AGAATCATACTGCTGATATTATATATTCTTTTTTTTATTGGTTAACTGAAATTGTAATTCTCATTCATCCTGCATATGCACCTTTCTTGATTTAGCTGCAAAACAACTTTACAAATCTTGAGGCTGCATTCTTTATTGGTTAGCAAAAAATACAGTTCTTAATTATGATATACATTTATTATTTATTGGTTGACTAAAAATATATGTCTTATGAATATGAATATTTACTCTCTATTGGTTAACTGAGAATATAGTTTTGCTTAATCTTGCATATCTACTAGTCTTTTGACTAATAAAATATTTCTTACTCATAGTGAAGCCACATGCTTTACTGGTTTGCAAAGATATATAGTTCTTAATAATGATGCATATGTATTATTTATTGGTTGACTAAAAATACATATTTTAGTAATCGTACAAGTTTACTTTAGTTTGCAGTCAAGAGTTTAATGTAGTTAATAATCGTATATACTCATTACTTATTGGTTATACTATATGTACTTTACTCATTGCGCATACTCATTACTTATTGGTTAAACTATATGTACTTTACTCATTGCGCATACTCATTACTTATTGGTTAAACTATATATGTTTTGCTCATTGTGCATACTCACCCTTTATTGGTTGACTAATAAATAATATATATCTTGAGTATTAAATTCTACCGTGTATATAATTTATTACTTTCTTATATTATTTTATAACCCATTAATTCTATTTAATATAAGTTTTAATATAATATATATTACAAAGCTTATACAAGAAAGATATACCTATCAGAAAACAGTCAAAACAAATATGAGCACAGGCACAAACAGAAAAATAAAGCAAAAAGAAAGAGAATTATAGATATATTCTTTCTAAAAATTATTGGTGCAAAATTAAAATTCAATTTATTATTAAGAGTATATGAAATAAAATAATATAATCTAATACAATATATGAGAACAAGACTGCGATTTTATTTTATTTTACTTTTATTTAAAAGTATAAAGCTTTAATAGTCGTATATTCTTTTCATATAGTGAAGAGTATGTAGTGGGTTAAAGAAAGATATTATTTGTAGGCAGTATTTGTAGGTGGCCCGTGTATGTGGTCCGTGTGACAGAGCTTTGACATTCATGGTGTGCGCTGATAAAAAAATAGATTTCTATAGTGGGCCATTGTGCTCAGTGGTGTCCGCCTGATTTAGAATTAGTCACACAAAAATATACTAAAAGTCAAAAGCTTTGAAAGTTATATGCGATGGAATGGAATGAGAAGGTTTCAGAAGTGCGATGATATGAATAGTGTATATGTGCGAAAGTTGAAAGCCAATTCTGAGAATGGCAGTGCATAACACTCTAAGTGTAAAAGAAAATAATGTATTGCTTTTGAGTGTTGAAGTTTTGTTATATAACTTCTATTTCAATATTTATTTTACTGTTGTAATAGAGTAAAGAAATAGTATGGTTTTTGGTGTCAATTTTGATAGTGCGGCTAAGCTAGTGCTGGTACAGGTTTCAAAAAAAATGGTACTGTGATTATCGGTTTCAATTTTGATAGTGCGGCGAAGCTAGTACTGGTACAGGTTTCAAAAAAAATGGTACTGTGATTATTGGTTTCAATTTTGATAGTGCGGCGAAGCTAGTACTGGTACAGGTTTCAAAAAAGAAAATGGTACTGTGGGGATTACCGTCGACTTTGAAGGCGGTGTGAAGCGGTTGCTAGTGCAAGTTTGAAAAAAGAAAACGTTACTGTGGGGATGACCGTCGACTTTGAAGGCGGTGTGAAGCGGTTGCTAGTGCAAGTTTGAAAAAAGAAAACGTTACTGTGGAGATGACCGTTGATTTTTAAAGCGTTGAGAAGTTTATAGGGTCACAAAGGTTTGACCAAGGGCTTATTTTTGTTAGAGCCGCGTATACAGTGACCAGTCGTCAAAAAGATAAAATAAATAGTCTTTCGATTTTTTTTCAAAAGAGTGTGCTCTCTTTTCATATTGCGACAGTTTCTGTCAACTTTAAGTTGCAATATTGTATGAATGACGATTCCCAACAGGAATGAAGATCGTTGACAAGGATGGAGGAATGTAGGGAATGTGGAAACAAGATTCAAGCCATCGGTAAAAAAGAATTTTTTGTTTTGATTGCGGCGCAGTGAATGTCACACTAATATACTATCCTCTCTCAACGGCTGTAAGAGATCACTAGACCGTATTTAAGCCTCCTTACGGATAACAGTATCCCTGTCAATGGGTTCTGCTATGGTTCTTTTACTATCGGCTACACATGGGCTGTTTGCACCACAAATTGATAATATCAGTCTACAAAAAGACTTTTGTTTGTAGGAAGTCGTAGGCTCTAATTTACCAATGAGCCTCTGCACAGTCTACAAGAAGACATAAAAAGCAAACCACCTTATACTCTATATTTTATAATGGTACAGCCAAGATATCGGTGGACAAGCTGGTTTGTGCGTCTATATGTGAAGAAAGACTGGGATGTATACACTGCACATATACACCTTAGAGACAGGTATTTAACCCCCAAAAAAAAAAGAAAAAATGCCCTTATTAATCTAAATTTTCCCATTTTTTTTTCTTTTTTACTTCTTTACACCAATTTACTATCATAATTTTAATTAATAAATCTGAAACAAAGACTTCAAATGTGCTATTTAATGGAACATATAAAAAGTATCCTATGTATTTTTCTTTTCTCTTAAAGGGCAATATAAAATATCATCATATATTACACAGCCGTCCATTTCAAGAGTGTCTGGTTTATGTATTCAACTAAAAAAAATTGTACTTTTAGAAACAACTCGTATTTTTGCTATTGGGCATTTAAAGAGCTTATTGAAGTGGTGCAAGTTTCCCGAATTTCAGGGTTCTATGCTTTTTGAGAGTGAAAAAATCGGATATTTTTATCAAAATTCGAGTAATTGTAATATAATAAACCTCGAAGAGGTGGATCACAATGTGTCTCACCAGGTTACTTAAAGCCAAAAAAAAAACATTGCTTATTTGATTCGATTTTTAATTTTCTATAATTGAAAAGCTATGATTCCCATTGGTGTGCATTTGCATATGCTTGTAGAAATCTTAAAAAATATCATTTCCAGTACACTCATATTTAATCGACCATAGAAAAGGTTCATTTATACAAAGGCTCCGTGCTTCAAACTAAAATAGTCTCAAGCGAACCAAAGCTAGACTATGAACCTCAAAGTAATAAGTGGAATCATACTATACAGTACTGTAGCGCATTATATTGTATTACAAAACAAAAGTTATAAATCAAAGCCTTTAATCCAACAGAGTATTATTTCTAGGTTATTCGTGCATCCAGTTGAGTTTGGTATACAAGCGCAAAATATCAAAAGCACTAGATCCTATAAATCGATAATTAGTAATCGATAGCGTCTTGCTCCCAACCAAACAGAACCTATACGTTCAGTAGCAGTAGATTGTCTCTTTGCTTTCATATTGTGCCGTCAGTCAGTCCGAGCAATAACAGAAAAAAATAGTAAATAAGCAGAGCCTTTAAAAGGTGATTTATATATATGTAATAGCCATTTTACTAGCTTGATCTATCTGTGACCAGGCTAGCACAATTGCAAGCACCACTACTTTTTCATGGTGTATAATGTAACTTATATAAATAATTATAATTATCGATAGAATGGTGTATATTTGAACACATATAAATGTAAAGTGTTTCAGGCAGTTGGGTTATTCTGTATTAATTTCTCGGTTGGATTATGATTGGTTTATAAAGTAGTACAAACCAAGGTCGATTGACAAACACTAGCCTAGACCCTGTTCTTCTTTTTACTTTTATTTTACTCTAAGAACGATGCTTTAACTTGAGGTACCAACGACTTTCAATAGTCAGGCTGTCAATCCCTTCATACTGAAGCACTGAAAGTACTTTTATTTCAAGAAAGTATTCCTACACTTTGTGTTTATTAACTCAAGACACTGGTGAAAAAGCTAGAAGAAAAATGGAAGTCTTTCACACGAAAGAAAAGAAAAGATATAAGCAGCAATTTTTTTCGGGGGTGCTTCTTAAACTAATAAAGTCACAGCATGTGAAACAAACAAACAAGAAAACAAACAAATAAATATACACAAGACTTTAATTAAAGCTTTATAATCAACACAACTTTACACTTCTTTATTGTAGTTTAACGTCTAGCCGATTAATACTTTGTATATCAGTAGTACAGCTAAAATGAACACAGAGGCATATATAGTGTCTCGACAAGTGGCTGTTCAAAAGCATAAGCCTTGTTAACAGAATAACAACAGAAAGTAGAATAAAAAAGGGGATGGGGGTCCATAGCAACTGAATAATTTGACATGCATATAGTCCACCAATCGGAAGACATCATTTAAATGTTTTCATGCTAAAGTAAAGTCTGGACCACTATTGCTACTATGCTCCTCTAAGCCCCATGACACATGTGATGCTGCACGGACAGCACGGACCTTATGTGACATAAAAAGAACTAAAACAAAAAAAGAGGCAAAAGAAAAAAACAAAAAGTAAAACAAGTGCCTGCACAGCACGTCCTTCAGAATATAAGTGATACTTCTTTAAAACCCAAAACCCATATTTTAAGCATAGATATTAAATAAAGAAGTAAAATAGTAATAATATATACATGCTGTCAAGGCTAAAAGATAAAAGAAAACCGAAAAAGGAATAAGAAAAAAACCGAATTTTATAATATATTATCAAACTATCATAATAAAAATAATAAAAAAGAACAGCAACTCATGATTGAGACGTCATGAGTTTTATAAAAAAAACACCTATCCAAACAGAACGCGTCAAAACAACTCTCTTCCACATACCATTAATACTTTATACACTTCTTTACTGCTCTCTCACAAACTGCTTTAATCAACATAGACGTTAAAGACGAATCATGACCAATACAAATCCATTTTGCTAGTCAAATCTCAGGTTTTTATCATATGTAAAACAGTCAGTAGCAAGATATAAGACAACATGTCAAAACCAGTACACAGCAAAAATTAAATACTGAGGTCCAACACTGGTTTGACCATCAATCCATCCAAAGCCTATTCACGCTCAGAAACAAGAGATAAACTGACAGGACTTACTATAATTCAAGGAGTATATGATATTCATCAAAGACACACATTGTGAAGATTATATTTGTCTAGTCTTTTGACAAACAAGGTCAACAATAAAAAATAAGATCTCCATCCAGGCCTACAGGTATATAAAGGCTCGTTGATTAATCATTCACTGTCTTTGATATTTCTGTAGGGACTTTTCAGGCAAAGTCAAGCAATCAAGAACAGGTTTCCATCCAGGGCCACAGGTACACCAAGACTCGAGGAGCATATGCTCATTGTCTTTTGTATGCTTCTAGTGCCTTCCGTCCAGGTCAAGCATCAGGGATCCGATCAGAGTCCACGGTTATCAGGTATATCAAAACTCTATGAGCAGTTACTCACTTGCTTTTGTATATTTGTAGTATCCATTCCATCCAGGTCAAGCGTCAAGGTCCAGGTCAGGGTCCAGGTCAAGGTCCACCGTTTCAGGTATATCAAAACTCGATGAGCAGTTACTCGCTTGTTTTTGTATATTTCTAGTATCCATTCCATCCAGGTCAAGCTTCAAGGTCCAGGTCAAGGTCCACGGTTTTCAGATCAAGGTCCACGGTTTCAGGTATATCAAAACTCGATGAGCAGTTACTCACTTGTTTTTGTATATTTGTAGTATCGAATCCATCCAGGAAAAGCATCAATGTTCCGATCTCCCAGCTATGGTCATAGTTATAACAAAACCATATGCGCATTTACTCACTAGCTTTTATCTATTACTAGTTTCAGCCATCCAGGTCAAGTGTCAAGGACCCGATTTCCCGGCAATGGGTATAGGTATAACAAATCGTTGTGGGAATATACTCACTAGTTATAATATATTTATAGTGTTCAGCCATCGATATCAGACGTCAAGGTTGCGATCTTCCAGCCAAGGTTATAGGTATAACAAAACATTATGGAAATATACTCACTGGTCTTAATATTTTTCTAGTGTTCAGTTATCCACGTCAAGCATCAAGATTCTGATCGCCCGTACATGGTGATAGGTATAACAAAATGGTATGGGCATATATTCACTAGATTTAATATATTTCTAGTTTTCAGCCATCCAGGTCAAGCATCATGGTTCCGATCGCCCGTCAATGGTTATAGGTATAAAAAAACATTATGGGCCTATACTCACTAGTTTTTATATTTATTTCTAGTGTTCAGTCATTCATGTCAAGCATCAAGGTTCCGATCACCCGTCCATGGTAATAGGTATAATAAAACGTTATTGCCATTTACTTACTAGTTTTTATATTCATTTCTAGCCTCCAGCAATTCAGGTCAAGCATGAAGGACCCGATCTCCCCTCCATGGTTATAGGTATAACAAAACGTTATGCGCATATACTCACTCGCTTTAATATACTTCTAGTGTTCAGTCGTCCAAGTCAAGGTTCAAGGTTTCGACTGCCCGTCCATGGTTATAGGTATATAAAAACATTATGGGCATATACTTACTAGCTTTGATATATTTCTAGTGTTCAGTCATTCATGTCAAGCATCAAGGTTCCGATCACCCGTCCATGGTTATAGGTATAACAAATCGTTATTGTCATTTACTCACTAGTTTTGATATTTATTTCTAGCCTCCAGCCATTCAGATCAAGCGTCAAGGACCTGATCACCCCTCCATGGTCATAAGTATAAAACAACATTATGGGCATATACTCACTAGCTGCAATATACTTCTTGTGTTCAGTCATCCAGGTCAAGCATCAAGGTTCTGGTCTCCCCGCCATGGTTATAGGTATAAAAAAACATTATGGGCATATACTCACTAGATTTAATATATCTCCAGTCTCCAGCTATCCAGGTCAAGCATCAAGATTCCCATCACCCCGCCATGGGTATAGGTATAAAAAGCATTATGGGCATATACTCATTATTTTAATCTAGTTCTAGTCTCCGGCCATCCAGGTCGAGCTTCAAGGTGCTGATCTCCCGTTATATGGTTATAGATATAACAAAAATCGATGAGCAATCACACTCGGCTTTATTTATTTCTAGTGTTGAATCCACCAAGATCATGCTTCACGGATCCGGATTCAGTCCGTGGCTATAGGTATACAAAAACTCGATGAGCAATTACTCATTGGATTTTATATATTTCTAGTGTCCACTCATCCACGGAAATTATCGGGATCCGATTTTCATGAATTGTTATAGCTAACCAAGTTTCCTTTAAACCTTTACTTAAAACAAACTGTACTCTTTATTTATACTTTCTTTTGATGGCAAAGAACGATGATCAAATATACATCCATTATGGAAGGTATACAAGTCGTTCTTGGCCATTACTAGCCTAGAAGTATATATGACTATTGTTTTTACTCTCCAGGCCAAACAGCAAGGATCAAAACTCAAATTTGGGCTACAGGTAAATAAGTCTTCTTGAGCTTTTACTTACTGTCATTTATATATTTCTAGTGTTTTTTTTTCCTTAAAGTTCAAATATCAAAGATCTGATTTCAAATCAAGGTTACGGGTACACACTTTTCTCTCTGTCTTTACATGCTTTCTTTCGTATTGGCCTAGTGTGTTTACGATCCGGCTACACAATGAAAAAATTGTTTTCCTTCCAGTGCGACAGGTATATACATCTAGTTCGGCCTTTAGTTACTGTTGGCTTTATTTCTCTACTGGCTTCACAGTCCAAGCCAGCCATCATGGATCCTATATCCGTCCAGTGTTACAGGTATACACTTCTCTTTGGGATTTTACTTACTGTCGGTTTTAATTTTCTACTGTCCTTAAAGTCAAGGCCAACGACCAATCATCTGGTATCCGCCGAGAATTACAGATATAAAAATGTTATTGGGCCGTTACTTATAATTGTTTTTGTTTCTCTAGTGTCCTTGCAGTCAAGGGTAACGAGCAAGAACCCGGTCTCCATATTGGGATATAGTGTTACACATCTCTTTGATTTTTGACTTGCTGCAAACTGTATTTTTTCTCGTGACTTTACAGTCAAATTCAACACTCAAGGATCCGGTTTCCATCAAGTTTTACAGGTATACAAATCTGACAAGTGCTTTTATTTAATGTGTCTTTTTTTTTGTCAAGTGCCTTTACTGTCTATGCCAATGATTCCGAATCCGAGCCCTATCCAGAGTGACAGGTATACAAATATGTTTGCGTTTTTACTAACTTTTAGTTTTATATGTCTAGTGCCTATACGGTTTAGGCCGAAGAACTAGGACTTGATATTCATCCAGACTTGCAGATATATATTTTTCGTTGGGCCGTTGATTATTGGCTTTTTTTATCCGTCTATTGTTTTTACTGTCAAGGGCAACCATCAAGGATTCGATCTCCATCCAGTATGACAGGTATACACTTTTCTTTGGGTTTCTACTTATCGCTTGTTTTTTTTTGTCTAGTGTTTTCACCGTCCAGGTCGAAGAACAAGGATTTCTTCTTCATCCACGGTTACAGGTATACAATTCTCTTTTAGCCTTTGCATAACGCTTGTTTGATTTTTCTAATTTCATTAATGTCTATGCTAAATAATAAGCATCTACTCTCCATCTAAGGCCATAGGTTTAAAAAATATTTTTAAGTATTATTTTACTATTTATTAATTAATTAATTATTATTTTTTAATTTTACACAGCCAAGGCCAATCGATCCAGGTTTACTGTCCTCTAGGGTAACAAGTATATGTACATACCTGATCGTTTACTTACTGCTTGTTGTTTCGAGTAATTTTTATTTAGTCAAACTGAATTACCAAAGTTTTACTATCTACCTAGTGCCCGAGGTATACAGGTCTCATTTAGTACTCACGTATAACTTATTATCTGATGATTTCGCTTTTAGTAAAAGCTAAAGGACATTACTTATGTGTTTTAAGAAAAGTACTAGCATTTAGCACCTATGCTACGCTTTAGTTAAATGCATTGCCCTGACATCCCTGACCCTACCCTATCATCTTGGGTGTTGCCTATGTAATTTGTAAAAGGTTATAAAGTAATATATATTTGATGTGTTATAGCATTAGGCAGCTTTGATCACATGACTTACGGTCGGAGAGTGTTTATTGATACATTTTTAAAATAGAATATAAAATATAATATACAATTTGGCCTGGTATTTCTATTTCTATATTCTTGCTAACACAAAGAAAAGACACTGCTTTAACATTTAATCTCCTTATATTTATTTAATTTTGGCTTAGATTAGTTGTTATTCCTACCTCAAAGAACTCGAAACTTTGTAGCGGTTTTCTTTCTGGGTCCCTTAAATAACCCAAAAGAAAGATAGGAGGCTTGTAACGTAGTTGAGGTACAATATAGGTTACAAATTCAAATGTATGCAATGCATGATATACACATATACAAATATACAAATATTAAAGGTATATATTTTAGGATGAGCAGACAATATAACTGTGCTTAACAATGTTAATACCAATGCCAATAATTTTCCTTTTTATCATTTAGTGTATGAATATTACATACCATCATTGGAAAATATTTTAATTGTTTTAAGTGGGTAAAAGATTAGGAGTTTTAGATAATAAAAAAATAAATAACAGATACATCACATCGCATCACACCGTTAACAAATATGCTTATCTTGGATAAACATAACAAAATGTGATGAACATCTTACAAGATGTATTCAGACTGTGTGTTAGTGTAGGGTGACTTATATTGAAACAAATAAACCAAAGAAAAAAAACTTGTCTTATTATGGAAAATTCGAGAAGTCTATATACTTGTAAAAATAAAAATAAAAAATAAAAATAAAAATAAAAATAAAAATAAAAATAAAATAAAAATACCAATATACAAGCTTCCAAGTTACTTTACAGAAATACAATTTATAACGATATTACCTATATTGCTTCTCAAGGAAGTATAAGAAGAAGAATAGAAAACGGGATTCGTCTTATGATAATAATAATAATAATAATAAACAAATACACACATACATATATATATATATATGTATGTATGTATAAATGTATATAAAAGGGGTTATTGAAAAAGAAAGAAAGAAAGAAAGAACAGTCAAGGTTTATCGTTTGATTAGTAAGGTCGTTTCTTAATTGATGGAAGAGAAGACCACCAGGAGTTACGGCTAGATCTTCGTTTTTTGTCATAAAGGTCGTCTGCTGCTGAAATGGCATTCAAGGCACCCGAAGACTCCCCTGTACCTGGGAAGCCTCCGGAACGATTGGACCACTCGATTGACTGCCGATATGGATCTTCATAAAATTCTTCGCTATAGAGTTGGTTTCTCTGTCGACGAAGCAAGACGCCCTTTTTGTGTCGTTTGCGTAAAAGCACGGCGCCAATGACAATCAAAGCAAGGCCTGCAGCGCCACCAACAGAGCCTCCAATTATAGCCGCAGTGTTGTTATGTGAAGATGATTCCATTGACTGGCTGTCACTAGCCAAAGAAGGAATCACTGTCCTGAAATAAATAAATAAAAAAATAAAAAATTATATTTATATATATATATAAATACAAACATGTATAATCTACACATATTCTTACTTTACGGGTACGATTGTAGTGATCGTGATAGTCTGCCCATTGGAAACTGTTTGGGAAAGAGAGGGTAGGTATGTAATGGTTGTCAGGACAGCCGTAGGAAGTTGCTGTATCTGGGTTGGCGCGGGAGTCGTGGTCGGTGATTCGGGGACAGTGTTCGGGGTCTCTGAAGCGTTAGGAGGGTCCGATGTAGTGGGTGTGAGTGTTGTACCGGGTGGCTGTGTGATCAGATCTGTGGTTCTTTTTGGTGTATTCATGTGCACATGAGTGAGTAAATAAGCCAGTCAAGCCAGCTATTTATTAATAGTCTTACGTTGATTGAATTATAGGTGTAGTAGTTACTGGGGAGTCAGAGGTTGGAGGTGTGGTTGTGGTTGTGGCAGTAGTTTCTTGGATTGATGTAGAAGAAATAAAAGATACGCTACTACTAGTAGTAGTAGGAGTAAGAGTAGGAGTGATATTAATAGTAGAAGATATAGGTAGCTCTGACGAAGTTATTTCTTGTGAAGGTGGTGTAGAGGAAGTATCAATAGCTGAAGAAGTAGGAGTGGTTTGAGCTGGTTCAGCTGAAGGATCTATTGGTGTATGTTCAGCAGCTGGTGTAGTTTGTGCTGGTTCAACTGAGGAGTCAGTTGGTGTTGGTTGGGTATCTGGTTGATTGGATGGTGCAGTAGGTGTAGTAGGTGATGGTGTGTCGATTGGAGCAGTGGTTGCTTGGGCAGCATCTGCTTCGAGAGAGTTAAGATCTGCTTGGAGACCCTTGTCCATAGGATCCATCGTCGAGAAAAAAACAAAAGAAAGAAAGAGGCAATTGAAAAATAAAATAAAAATGTAGACACAATACAAAAAAATAAAAATAAAAAAGGTTCACAGTCCGTGACATCTGACTCGTCAAAAATGTAGTATTTTTTTATGGTGCCAAAAAAGAAAAGAAAAAGTCTAGTATTTTTTTTAGCTCTTCCGCCTGTGTTTCCTAATTTTTATATAAAAAAATGCCAGATAAAAAAAAACTACTTTCTGTACCAGAGCTGGGTGATCTTGGTCTATGTCATCACATAAAAATAAAATAAAATCAATTAGTTAATTAATCCAACTTATCAAACTCGCTTCTTTAATATATATATATCTATATAAACTTACTCTTCTCATCTTCTTCTGCAACTGGAAGATACCATAGAGAAGGGCCTCAGCAGTGGGAGGACATCCAGGAACGTAGATATCGACGGGTACAATGCGGTCACAACCACGGACAACAGAGTAGGAGTAATGGTAGTATCCACCACCGTTGGCACAACTGCCCATTGAAATAACCCAACGAGGCTCAGGCATCTAATATATCCACAAAACACACAGGTACACACAATTCAAACTTCCTATAAATACCAATTTCTTCTTCCTTGATCTCTATCTCTATCTCTAATGGTAACCCATTTCCTTTTCCCTCAAAAAATCTCAAACTGTCGAATTCTCTTTTTATAGTTGTCCCTGTTATCATTGACATTTCTAAAACCTTTCTTTACCTGATCGTAAACTTTTCTCAAAGCAGGTGCCATCTTGTTGGTGAGAGTTCCGGCAACAATCATGACATCGGACTGACGTGGAGAAGCACGGAAAACAATACCAATACGATCCTGATCGTAACGAGGTGTAGAACAATGCATCATTTCCTATACACACGCACACACACAAAATATATATATATATATAAACGCGCATATTAATTTCACTAATTCATTAATGCTTTGCATATATATATTTAAAAAACAGAGAGAGAGAGAAAAAATAAAACTTACAACAGCGCAGCAGGCAAGACCGAAAGTCATGGGCCAGATAGAACCCTCACGGGCCCAGTTAACAACACGATCGACAGTTGACAAAACGTACTCTGTAACCAGCCATTATAAACACAATTGTTGTTGATTTCTTTACTTTGACATGAATCCAAGCATGCATGCATGTATATATATATTTCCGTGCTTTATTTATATATTATTTACCTGCGCTGTTGTTGTGCTTAACGGTAATGTCCTTGATGTCGTCAATGTTTCTGACAACCTCAGTGGACATAAAACGTGTGGGGGCAAGCTGTCTAGCAGCAGTCAAGGCTGATACAGAATGAGTTTTTTTTATGCCTTTTTATTTTCAAATGTGTGTATATACACATTTATTTGAATCGTCTCTCTCTCTCTCTCTCTCTCTCTCTCTCTTTTTAATTTTTTCTTACTCAATGCACGCTTAGCGAGGTGTAATCCGAGTGTGGAGGCCATTGAAATCAAAGTAATGAAGAGTAGGGAGGATGTTTAGTGTAGCGCTGCAGACGTAAAAAAAAAGGACTCGAGTGACTGAGACGTTTCTGCCCACGTTTTTTTTTATCGTCAAAAAGAAAGAGAGAATGAAAACCAGGGCCAAGCTAGGTGAAGCAAACTAGTTTAAAGTAGCCCAGTGCGATTGTTGTTGCCATTCCTCAGGTCGACGTCATCTAATTTACCCAATCGCATCAGGGATCCTATGGTATAAAACTCCGGGTTCCAAAGCTTACAGCTTTTGTCAATTTTCAAAATTAAATTAAATTAAATTAAATTAAACTAGCTATAAAGAAATATTTTTGCTTTTTGTTTTCTTTTTATTATTATTGCTGTATTTGGTTATATATATATAGTTATTATCGAGCCTCTGCTGCTGAAGGATGGTCATATTCCAAGGCCAATATAAAGTCTGATCCCCACGGGATAGTATATCGGTTACCAGTCAATTCTTCCCATGCAACTGGAGGGATACCAATGTCAGCTAAGAACAATTCACCTGTTACAGCACGAGAAGTGCAGCCAATCTTTGGAGCACCGAAGCAAAGTGTCCACTTTGGCTTAATATAATGCATTACATGGAAAGGAAGGCCTATAGAAACACACGGGTATCAGAACACAGCTACGACTACTGCTACTATATATCTTTTTTTTTTATAAAAAAAAAAGAAGAATAACAATACTCACCATCAATGCCATTTACACCACTTGGGAAATCTAAGCTGAGAACGGGTGCCTTGTTTGCATTGGCCCAGTCCATACTGCCTCGAAGAAGTTCTCTTGTTTCATAGTCTCCTCTAAGATCCTTCAAGGTAGACTGACAGCCCATCAGGCCATCAATGATGAGATCCACAGGCGTAGTAAACTGCTGAGGAAGTTGTGTGATATCATCTATGATGTTCACTTCTGCAAAAGAGCAATATAGCTTTTGCTCTTCGACTTCTTTGACCAGAGCTACGTTATTGGAGCATGCCAGGAACACGACTACCTGACAAGCTCTGTTCACCAGGTGTCGTGCTGCTGCCAGACTATAACTGCCGACCGTATTGTTACCTGCCAAAATGACGATCAAAGGAGCCGCGTTGTGGTTGTTTGGTTGAATTCGACGTTGACCACCGATTGCCTTGAGTGCCATCATACTTGCTCCATAACCGGCATTCTCAACCATCATTTTCGTATTTGGTCCCACCTTTGCCTCTAAAATAAAATAAAATAAAGTAAATAAATAAATTATACATATTTACATGGATATATATGCATACACACATATATATATATATATGCACACACACAAATAACTCAATTCCATATTTCCTTTTTTTCAAAGCTGTAATAATAATCGTAATAATCGTAATAATCGTAATAAATTGAAAATTTTAATAAAAATCCTTTTGTCATTTACCACATATTTCCTCGACTTTTTTCATTTCTGTAGGTGTGACGACAGGACAGAGGATACCGCCTGCTACGGTTTTGATTCCCAGTCCATTATTTCGAAACCTTTTATCATCATCTGGTACTATTTTCTGTTGATCAAGCATAGGAGAGTCCGGAGAATCCGGTGAGGGAGAAGACGACGAGGAAGAAGGTGAAGGAGAGGAAGAAGGGTGAGAAACGAGGGTAGGAGAGACATTGAGGGAATGTTTTGCTGTTTGGGGTGAAGGAGTCTGGTCTTTGGGAACAGGAAAGCTTTGGAAGCTTCCTCGGGCGCGTACTTTGGGTGGCACAAGCGAATTGAAAGCAATTGCTGGGGGAGACTGGCTAGATTTTCTTGAAGTGGAGGGATCTGTTGAAGTAGAAGAAAGTCGAAGTGATGCTAGAAGAGTGGTTGTGGCCTGTGTGTCGACAGATTCTGGTGCATCTTTCTATGATTGAGCAAAGATTTTATATTATATATATATATATATATATATATATTCTTCCTTTAAAATGTATAAAAAAAGAAGTATTGCTGCTATTATAAATGAATATATTTATATGTAAATTTACCATTTCAATGTCGTCAATTTCGTTATAGTCCATCATTTCGACTGTCGAAGTTGTTTTGTTCTTGACTGATTGCTTTGGTGAAATTTCGTTATTCTTTTGTTTTTGTTGCTGCTGTGGTTTCGGTGACTTTTGTTCAACATAGTCTTTTGATCCTTCGGTGTCATCATTGTCAGTTAACCGTACTCCATTTCTTCCTCGATATTTAACAAAATCTCGGTAATCAGAGTATATAACAGTCTCTAGTAGCTTTTTCTCGCCTCTTGACATTTGACTTCCAAACAAGGGTAATGACGGTAAACTCGAAGGACTAAGAGCAGTTTTTTTGGGTTCTGGATAAGATTTTTTCTCTCTTAATTATCAATATTATTTGAAAGAATATGATAAATATATTAAAAGACTTTGTTAGATAAATTTTTAAATATATATATCTTTTTATACTTGTTTACACACAGATAATGATCATATTTTCTATTAAAAAAATGGTACTCACTGGACGGGTATTTGAGGAGACACAGATGCCGATGAGATCATCTAATAAAACAAGTATTTGTTTGATGTTCCGGAGAAAAAGAAACCCCATTTGCATATACAATATGTATACTTAATATCTTGACTTACACTGACAATTGCAGGATCAACAAATTCAGCTGGGCTTTCCTTAACTTTTGGTGCTTTTGTGAAAGGACGGGATAGATTGTTGGGACTCGAATCGCTCATTGTTGGTGATTGTTTAACGGGAGACAGATCGATATTGACAAGAGAAGATACAGACGGTGTATCAATTACTGTAATAGATTTTGCATTTGACCGAGCAAGTACGACATTCTTAAGCTGCTCGATATATTCGTTCGAATGGCGTACAAGGACTACAATTTATTACATTTTTTTTTTGTTAAAAGAAAGGTTTAAAAAGTGTTGACTTGACAATATGCGTGGTTCCCAAAACAAGAAAGCAAATGGACTTACCGCGTTCAAGACTTATAGAACCTTTTTCGGCATCCACAGCACTTATGATCCCGACTAAAGTCTGGTTCGATTTGAGTTCGATGCGTACAGCTTGGTTTACGGATGCGGACATTAACAAATTATGACAAAGTAGAAATGACAAGGGAATAAACGGATAGGCGCCGTGTTAGTAATAAGGAGCAGTTACAGATGATGAAGAAGAATAAAGATAAAAGAAAGAAAAAGAATCTAAAGGTCTTTTTTTTTCTTATTCTTTGTATTATTTTGTAAGATTAACAAAGCCGTAAAGTATATATATATATATATATAAAGACGAGTATTAACAATATGCTTTTTGCGAGTTGTATTGTAGTCCTTAAAAGTGGGTGACGCACATAGAGTCACGTAACTGAAACCCACAGAACGGGATATTTGCACCTATGCGGTTCTGGTGTACCTTGAAAATCAGCAGAGTATCCGCACTTTTTATTTTATTTTTTATTTTTTGGGTTAGATATTAAGTCGCTATTATTATTTTTCTGTTCTTGTTCGTAGTCTTGTCCATTTAATTTCTTCAAAGCATAATGTCTCTCTTTGATGATTTCATAGAGTCATCTGAAGCAGCGCACGGTCCATCCAATGCCATTCCTGGTGAATTGTTTGGTACAGGCCAAACAGGTTATGGTGCTGGCTTTGAAGGCGTTGATAGTGTTCGCGTGCGTACCATTTTATTCTTTCTTTTTACTTTATTTTTCAAGACAGGGAATTACGAAACACGAATCGCTCCTTCTTTTTATTTATCTTTACATTCATTTGTAAAGAATTCCCCCTTCTTTCTCATTATCCTATGGTTGTCTTGTTTGAAACGAATGCTCACAAGCTTGCCTACAGCTCGAAACAGGCTATGTATCTACAGGATTTGGACAAGTCGAACTTCCGATATTTGCCCTAGATCATGTTCAATTCCAACTGCCAGCAACACTTGTAGACATGGCAGTTTCAAACGACATTCTTGTTGTTGCTCTTGATACCTTTCGCATTCTCCGCATTGACCTTGAGAAACCTTTAGAAGTTGAAGGTACCAAACGTTTCACCCAATTTTTTTTTATATTTAAAAAAAAAAACTCGACTTTTGCTTACTGTGGTTAATTACTGCTCCTGATAACCTTCTCCGACAATGTCCCGCCTAAACTCCTATGTCATAACTTTTTCTTTTTTTTAAAAATATATATATATATAATTATTTAGAGATTGATATTGCTCGGAAACCTGGAGATGGAAAGATCGTAAAGATATTTTTTGACCCAACTGGAAGACACTTGGTTATTACTACCGAGAATGGTGAAAACTATTATCTGTATGAGAAATGGAGACGTGCCAAACAGCTGGCGAAATTCAAAGTATGGTAGCGAACGAACAAAGGAAGAAAGATATCAAGTCACTGATGTACATATTTATATATATAACAAAAAAAAGGGCGTTACGATTACTTCAATAGCATGGAACAAACAAGCCAGCCTAGCAGATCCTTCAACACAAGAGATCCTTATCGGAACCAAGAATGGTCTGATCTACGAAACTTGCTTGGAACCTTCGGATGAATTCTTTCGACGAGAAGAAAAATATTTTCGACAGGTGTATTCAATCCACGAGTCAACCATGCCAATTACTGGTATTCATTTTGAGCAATTCCCGGTCAATAATCGCAAATATTTCATTATGGCTACTACACCCACTCGAATCTATCAGTTTATTGGCCAGGTAGGCCCTAACAATGGAACCCGAGCTCCAAGTGGGTTTGGTGAACCAGATGACCGGGAACGAACTATGTTTGAGAGTATATTTGCACGATATGATGCCAACCCAGGTAAAAAAATAAAAAATAAAAAAAAAATATAATAAAGGAGAGGGATCTATCGATGCATACACACGCAAAGAGAGGAAAGAGGAGGAAGGGGAGTGTGATCATACAGATGCACATATATGAATGCATAAAGATACTTAATTAGACAATAGATTAGCGTTAACATGGGATTGTATTTATATTTGTATTTATACGTGCGCATGTGTGTGTGTGTGTGCGTGTTGGTGTTGGTGTACAGACATTTATGCATATATGTATATATACATGTAGGATTCCAGGAACTTCCGGGGGATCTGCCTTATAGCGAATTGCATTTCTTTAGTCGTTTTCACGATTTGCAACAACAAGGTGTTGCACAGAACTTTGCTTGGTTGACAGGCCCGGGTATCTATCACGGAAATTTAGTATTTGGATCTCAGAACAGTGGCGACAGTGTGATTGACAATGCAGAGCTACTACAGTGAGTAAAACAAAACAAAACAAAAAATATATAGCATCTTTACAAGTATATCTTGCAAAAAACGAACAAACAACAACAACAACAACAACAACAAAAAAAGAGATATAATGGACGCAGATTGATCAACCTTGAGATAGATATCCTGCTACTCCTTCTGAAGATGAAACGGGTCAACTAGTCACAGAGATCCCTCTCTCTGTGGCACTGACTGAATTTCACTTTGTGTTGCTTTATAAGGATCGTGTACGAGCCATCTGTCAATTGAATGACAAGATTGTCTATGAAGAAACTATACCCCTCGTACGTTAAAAAACAACAACAATAACAACACCACCACCAAAATCTCAAGTATTCTATGGATATAGGAACAAGAAGCAAAGCAAATAAACTTACAATTTTTTTTCTTTATTGAATACGATGATAGAATCGTGGTGATATTGTTCGTGGTTTGACAGTAGACGGCATCAAGAAGACTTTCTGGATCTACACTACGGTTAATATGTATGAGCTAGTCATCAAGAATGAAGAACGCGATGTGTGGAAACTCTACCTCGAAAAGAAACAATACGATACCGCACTTCAGTACTGCAAAGACTCGGCTCAGAAAGACAAGGTGTTTACGGCTCAGGCCAGAGATTACTTTGGACAGCGTCGATTTCAGATGAGTGCAAAGTACTTTGCAGAGAGTACGGTGCCATTTGAAGAAGTTGTCTTGAAATTTGTGGAAAAGGAAGAGAGAGATGCCCTGCGTGTTTATCTGACCAGCAAACTCAATCGACTACGAAAAAATGTATATATAAAACAAGTCTTTATTTTTTGTTTTATTTTATTTTATAACAATACTTTTTTTTTGTAGGATCGTACACAAAAAACTATTGTGGCGACATGGCTGGTAGAATTGTACCTATCCAAGCTCAATGAACTCGAGGACTTGGCATCTTCTGCTCATTGTACCTCTACAAATGACCCTTCTATTACGCCTGCGAATTCACTTGCATACTACAAAGAACAGCAGGAAGACTTCCAGGATGAATTCAAGTCGTTCTTGGAGACATACAGTGTTCATCTTCATCGACCAACAACTTACAAGCTGATTGCTAGCCATGGACGTAGTTCAGAGCTGCTTTATTATGCTTCTTTGATTGGGGACTATGACCGTGTCATCAGTCACTGGGTTATAGAAAAAAACTGGGCCGAAGCATTGGACGTCCTAAGTAAACAAGTATGTTTTTTTTTTTAAAAAAAAAGGAAGGGGAATTTTAGACTGACTTGGAACTCAAAAGCTAATTTTTTGTTTTTTGTTTGTGTGTTGTGTGTTGGTGTAGGCCAATCCAGACACATTCTACAGGTTCTCGCCCGTATTGATGGATAATGCACCTTATGAGACTGTAAATGTATGGATGCGGCAGTCGAATCTCAATCCACGACAGTTGATTCCAGCTCTGTTGCGTTATGACCACAGCAAGATTGCAGACAAGGTGACTCATGTAAGTAAGCCTGCTGTCTTGATGCATCTCGTAGAAAACAAGGCAATAATCTTAATTCTTATCAACTCTCTTGGTTCTTGTTTTTTTCTTTAAAAAAAAAAGAATCAATCAATCCGATACCTTTCGTACGTTGTTACCAGCTTGGGAAATACAGACCCAGCAATACACAATCTACTCTTGACCTTGTATGCTACTCAACCTACACGCGACGAGACCGCTCTACTAACATTTCTCAAGAATGAGGCAAGTACAGATATACATCCATACAAATACAAATTTGCTAAAAACAACAGAACATGATCCTTTTATAATTATGTATATATATATATATATATATTAGGGTCGTGAGATGCATTATAATCTCGACTATGCTCTTCGTCTCTGTAGTCAGAATAACCGTACTCAGAGCTGTGTTCACATCTATAGTCAGATGGGTCTGTATGAGGAAGCCGTCAATTTGGCTCTCAAGGTAAATTGATCTAAAGCTAGGGGGAAGACAGGAAGTTATAAAACTAGCCTTACAGGTCCTTATTTTTTTGTAAAAAAAAATAATAACCAAAATTATAAATATTGCTTCATTAGCATCGGGATCTTGAGTTGGCGAGGATCAATGCAGACAAACCCGAAGACGACGATGTACTGCGTAAAAAACTCTGGCTTAGTATTGCCAAACATGTGGTTCAGGAGAATAAAGACATAAAGACGTAAGATGGGAGATACAAATTATATATATATATATATATATATATATATTTAAAAAAAAAAGGTTTGATAAACTGAGATCTAAACATGTGTATCACTTAGTGCAATGGAGTTCTTGAAGCAAGGAGATCTTCTCAAGATCGAAGACATCCTTCCGTTCTTTCCTGACTTTGTTCTGATTGATGATTTCAAGGTAACCTTGATACTCTTTATATAAACACCGCCGTTTGTGTCTGTATATTAAAGGCATACCTATCAAATTGTGTATTGATTTATGATTCTCTTGAACGTATTAAAAACAAAACAAAAAAAATAGGAAGAGATCTGTTCTGCATTGGAAGAATACAATGATCAGATTGAGGATCTCAAGGCTGAGATGGACGAGGCTACCAAGAGTGCTGATAGTATTCGTCTAGACATCCGTGAGCTCAAGAGCAGGCAAGTTAAATATAATAGTAATAATAGTAGTATTATTATCCCAGAGTCTCTATTTTATATATATATAAGCCACGTGCGTGTATTTATACGTCCTGATTGGACTCATCTGTAGATTTGCTGTCATAAACGCAGTGGAAAGGTGTTATCTTTGCAACTTCCCGCTACTCACCCGCCAATTCTACGCCTTTCCATGTCAACATGCTTTCCACGCAGATTGTCTGATAAACAAGGCAAGTCAAGCCCTTCGTCTTTTAAAATTTTCATTGTTTTTTTTTTTTTATAAAACTGTAATTAATTGATCTTACATATATAATTTTTTGTAGACTACAAAGTACTTGCCTACTCGCCACATTAGACGTTTAGCTGACCTTCAAGAACAATTATCTCGTGAAATTCATGCTCAACATCAAAACCAACAAATCCAACAAAATGGCAACACCAGTAATGGTAACACCAACCAAAACAATCTTACTTCAGCAGCAGGAGCAACAAACAATACTCCTACAACCATGTTGATTAACGCGGCTGGGAATATTCGTGGTGTGATGTTCCCAACCGATGGACCTGTTGATATTCACGATGATCCAAAAAAGGTTGTCGCACGCACCGAACAACTCAAGGAAGAATTAGACGATATTGTGGCAAGCGAGTGTGTTTTGTGTGGAGACATCATGATCAAGTCTATCGATCAACCGTTCTTGGCTGAAGATGAGGCTGAAACAGTGGCTTCATGGAACATTTAATATGATAAAAAGAAAAGATACATATATAAAATATAATATTTTGTGCGAAATTTGCACGACTAAATGTTGCAATATATATATTGGTTGTTGTTGCTATTGGAACTGTTTTGTGTATGTGGGTATGTTTCTATTATATTTAATTTGGTTGGTTTATCGAGGTTGAGATTATATATCATATATATATATATATATATACATAATAGTAAAATGATATGAATGAATATATGAATGAATGGATGAATGAATGAATGATTTTTTTATGTTTATAATAATAATGAAGATGATGATGAGGATGCTGAAGAAGAAGAAGATGATGATGATGATGATGATGTTTCTTGGGTATTGGTGGATAAATCCTGGATCTGTTGATGAAGCTGGCCAATATAATCAATTGCAGCTTGGAGAACAGACAGTTTGTGGATGGGTTGGTACATTGATGCCATAACAGGACCTGCACCATCAGGTCGACACGAGGGAATCATGTTCTTTAGTTGCTTGATCTTGTCATTCATTCTCTCTCGCCGTCGCTTTTCGATTGCACTGTGAGATAACCGGCGCTTTTGTTCTCTTTCGCTAGCCTTCATTCGAATATTTGGACTGGCAGATGGAAATACTTGAGGGGTGTCTCGTGGACGCACGGACCAAGCTGGAACAAGGACTGGGAGAGACATGGGTGGTAGAGGAACACCGGTATACAGTGAGGGTGTCAAGGGCGGCAAGGATCTTGATGAGGAAGAGTTGTCGCTTGACTCACTAGAGAGGCTTGAGCGACTACTCGATAGACTCTGAGGATAGATTTCTCTATTCATTTTGCAAAGTGAAGAAATAGAATGATAAAGAAGTATTGCTTTTATTTTTATTAACTCTATTTAAATGAAAATTTATTTATTTTGAAATGAAAATGGAAATGGAAATAGATAACCGTTCAATAGAATGTCTAATGTCTATGCACAAGGTTGCTTTAGTGGATGAGGTCAGAGAGGCAGTCTGAGAGAAGGGGGAGAGAGGGGGGGAAATTAAGGACAACATGGGATTGATTCTGCGTCTTATTGGAGGATAGACTGGTGCATGGAGGACATGTGATCTAATCTTTGTATCAAAATGAACATAGTTTCACAGCAAGCAGTCCATTTAACCATCGCCACACTGTACTTTCCGGATTTGTTCTCTCAAGCATTATGTTATACTGCAAATACAAAGCAGACCATGAGCACCTATCTAATCCTTGGCTTAATTTATTGTTCTATTGATTCGAAAATTTAACCATCCAATCAAAAGCCTTCCTTTTTGAATCACAGTGGTTGATCTATAGAAAGACTTGTTGATTTATACAAAATGTATATATATGTATATATATATATATATATATATTTTATTTTATATTACTAAACATATCTTAAAAAGTTGCTTATGAAATATTGCCTCAGATTAACTATGGCTGGGTTACTATATCTTTATAGTGTTTAGCCCTTTGACCTGGTAAACAACCTGCTCTGTTATACTATATATGATTCATAGTGTGTACATAATCGAAGGTCAAAACATCTCACACTCAAACATGATTCAGTAAACAAAGTTTAGCTTTCTTTTTTGCTTTTTTCCACTAAAGTTTTCTTCTTATTCATTAAACCCAAAACGCATTAATCAAGAGAGCACTGATTGAAATACTTTACTGTGGATATATCTTGACCTCTTTTTAAAGAAATAAAAGGGAAAACTATGTATGTGTATATGTATGTACATACGCAAGTTTAATCAACTTAACCGAGATTGGCCAATACAAAGATCAAGATCAAGGACCAAGAGAATCTCAATTAACACACCTTCTTTTGTGCTATTCTTTTTTCTGTTTTGGTTTACTGTCGCACTGTTCTTTGATCAAATTATATGGATATGAATAATGTTATTGTTATTACTATTATGCGTGTGTTTATGTTTGTATTTTGTGCCTGTAATAGTGCCTGTACTAGTGCCTGTGCTTGTGCCTGTTTTTGTGTTTGTGTTTGTGTTTGTGTTTGTGATTATGCAATATGTATACGTGTACAGATTCAGTGTATAGTGTGCATGATAGTGTATCTTACGCGCACATTTAGCATTCGGCTGCTTTTATTTCGTTGGCTCTACTCTAGACTTGTCTTTAGGTTCGAGCCAGCCCAAGTTCCAAAAGACATGATAAAGAAAACTGGCCTTGGCATCATCAAGGTGACACAGTGTCTGGACTTGGTTGACCCTGAATGGAAGGCGCTCCTTGTATGATTCAGCAGCAGCCATGATGATATCCTTTTTTGAGCTGAGGTATTGTTTGGGGTTCATGCACAGTGAAGAGACTAGCAAGACCTCACGAGGGTGGAGCTGGCTGTAGTATGGCAAGTGGACAATAGACCGATAACTTGTTCCTTTGAGAATCAATAGGGTTATTTATACTTGTATAAAACGTTCTTATCATCAATCTACCCAAGCAATAAAATAAAATAAAACAAAATATAAAACAGCTTGAAAGTGTATATAAGCTTTTTTTTTAAAAAAAAATAAATATTTTTACCTTTGTAGTCTACACAAACATCACCATTATCCAGTCTTTTTGAAGATGGAACCCAATCTGGATCTTGGATCTGAATGGATTCTTTCTCACAGCCAACGGAGGAATAGGCTGTCTGTCTGAACACATGCGCTGTTTGTGGCACGTTGGGACGGACAGTCGGGTGAGAGAAGAGTGGGGCATGTGGCAGCAACGACGATGAGGACGACGACAGCGGGGGCTTATCTTCATAGACATCCATTCTAAAAGTTGCTTCTGGTCTACGAGACCAATAGGTCTGTTGCTTGGAAGGACCCAGACTGTGCATTTTTTGGGCATACAGACGTATAAAATATGACTTTCTTTTACTGTGCTCTTTGTGAGCTTTATGAGGTACACATATTGCGCGTGTGTGTTGCAGGACAGAGCATTCTCTCTTTTGTTTATTGGACATAATTGTATGCTTTATATAGAGTTACGGCCAATTGTGTACACAGACTAATGCACTGCTGGTATTGTTGGTATTAATTTGATAAGAAAGAAAAGAAAGTGAAAGAAAGACAAATTTTGAATTTGAATTTTATGTAAAATAACTAGCCTCTCACACATCAACACTAAAGATACATTATGTTTTTTTTTAGAAAAAAAAGAGGGGGCAAAAAATTGAAACAATATATGAAATGTAATATATTAGGCTTGTCCTTTATATGAAAGAAATCAGAGTTAATGGTATTGTTCTTTTATCCTTTAAAAACAAACAAGCAAGCAAGCAAGAAAATACACAAAAGGCATGTAATACATGTAGGACATGTAGACACGTAGATACGAAAGACAACCAGATAGATAGATACACTTAGGGCCGGCCCCAGGTACGAACACAACCTCTTCGATCAGACGTGACGACTGTCGACTTTCCGAAATGTAGATCTACACACGGATCTGCATGGATCTTTTGGGAGCACACAGGCTGGAGTACCGAGACTTGAGTCTTTGTCAGGACCGGGTGTACCGTAGGATTTGTCACTAGATGTTCGTCTGGGGACACTTGCCGCACCGCTGTCACAGGTCCGATCGTCGTCACAGGTACGTTGGTGTTCATCACTGCAGTCGTCGCTATGGTAGTCGCAGTCCCAGGCCCTCGTGAAGACCGTCGACGGAACCGTGCAAAAGGGGTTCCGTTGGACAGGGATCCTGCCCTGCCTAGCGAAGGAAGCGAAGTCGTTGTTTTTGGAGGGGGCTCTCTTATATTTATATTTTGTGGCATTGGAGATGATCTGATCATCTTTTCAAACTTTGGTGCACAGCTTGACATGTGTGTTTCCTTTGGACTTTGTGGACCATTCCCACTCGATCCTTTTATCTAGACAATATAGATATATATATATATATATATATATATAGTTGATGAATTGAAACAAAGAAAGAGACAGTATATATAATTAGATATTTGTATAAATTCTAACCTGCTTGGGCCGGTGAAGTGCTCCAAATGAAAAGTCCCATAATAGTAGTCGACAGTCTTCTCCTACACTTCCAAATCTGTAGACTTTATCATCACAACGCCAGGGATCAAAGGCTACAGCCGTAACCTTGAATCGGGGGGTATTTTTTTTTGTTAGTGTCATTTGTATATAGACATTAGTTGGCTATTAACGATTCAGTGTTTCAATTCTATTCTGTTTTTAGTAATTGGGTATTATATTTTACCCATGAGCGATGTCCTTGACAGCGGGCAATGATTCGTTTCTCCACAAATGACCAGATGGTCACCAAGTCGTCTTGACCACCAGTCTGAGAAAATATGGTTAGCACAATAAAAAAAAAAGTGATCAAATTATATATGTTACCAGAATATATTTTCCATCCGGACTCCATGCTACACATTGTAATCGGCCATAATATCCACCAAATACATCTTGTAATCTACGGCACTCGTTAGAATTCAAGTGTATCTTATGATAGCGTTACCTTTCAGTTTTGAATTCAATAATTCTCAAGATACCATCATAGCCAACCGTTGCAACATGCATCCCATTAGGCGAAAAAGCAAATGCTGTAAGATATAACAAGACAAGGTCAGTTACAAGACCACACACACACACATATATATATATATATTTTATTATTATTTTGGTTGTTACAAACCAGTAATGCTCTTGTCGCTGACTCTCCAATGAGAAACCGGATTGTGTCTTGAATTCTTGTGAAACTTTGAAGCATGAAACCTATACAAACCACATGCGATAAATAAATAAGAAACTTGAAATTTGAAATCTGTATAATGAATTTTTCTATTTCTATCATTTCTGGCTCCCCCCTCCCCCCTCTCTCTCTCTCTCTCCTTTCATCTCCTCCTTTAAACATATATATAATTACCCTTGCTCTTCATGATACGATGGGCCCACAAAGTTCTGGTCATCTCGATCCTTGTCCAGCAAGAGAATTGAGCCATCATTAAAGGATGCCATCCATCTATCTTCCGAGCCTGGCACCCATTTAAGCATAGTGACTGAGCTATCATTCATAATTCCCTGCAAGTGCAAGTGCAAGTGCAAGTGCAAGTACATATATATATATATATATATATATTTAATTCAATTGATTTATTTTTATTTTTATTCTTTGGTCTTTGGTCTTTGTGTGAGCAGTAATGGGATAGCAGAAGAAGAAAAGGGGAATTCTATTTTAAAGTAGTAGACTTACTCCCTTGTTGATACGACAATATTTGTTACCTACTGGATCACACCACACAAAGTCTCCTGAAGAGAACCCAATCATGACATCCAACTGGTGGTTCGAGCGTGTCACTGGATTTACATCATGGCACGTCGGATAATCTTTGGAAAAGACGATTCGGGACAAGGGTTTCTAAGACCTGTCAATTTGGATCTATATTTTTCTTTTTCTTTTTCTTTTTCTATCTTTTATGTGTGTGTGTATGCGTGTAATGAACGTGCATCTGCATGTTCATGTGTTTTTGTTACCTTTATCTTGCCATTGGCGTCTTCCCAGATAAAACTTGCGCCGACGTTGTAGAACAGAAACTCGTCATCGATGGCTTTGGTCGTCATGATCTTCGATAGTTGGTCGTGAAGCACAATGCGCGACACAAAGCTAGATTTGGTTTTTGCAAGACTGTGCTTTGGTCGTTTGAGGGACCCGTGGCGTTGGCTATTCCGCCCAAAAAGTGACGAGAATGAGGATGTACTTGAGCTGCCGTAATCTTCTGGAACGCTCTCAAGACTCTGTTGGGTTTGTTTTTGGGGTATGGTCTGCAATGGTTGTTGGACGTGCAGTAGATGAGACTGATTTTGGTGTTGCTGATGATGCTGGTGTTGCTGGGTCTGTTGTTGTAAAGGTGATGCCAGACTAGATAGTGTGTGGAGAACCAGGGGTGGGGGCTGTGTCTGGTTGTCATGACAATATGTTGGTGGTGTGACATGAAGCGAGTCTTCGTCTGATGAATCTCCGTTGGCCTTGTCAGACGAAGAAAGGGTCGGAGCAAGTGTTTCAGACACAGAAGAGACTGTCGAGGGTGTCTTGATCGCATGAACCGCCGACAAAACCTCGTCAGACCGCCTACAGGAAATTGAGACCCGAGAACCAGTGTTATATTGAGGTGCAATAGGCTCTGATATCTCGTGCTGAAGACGATAAGTGCCGTCGGGTGTTACGAACTCGACGCAACGAAAGTCTTTGTTGGTAGGTGGAATTGGTGGCAAAACCTTTGCGACTTGTACCGGTCGAAATGTGGGTGTTGGGAATCCTTGATTACCCATGGTCTAATGGTAGAGTTGAGTCCAAAGTTTGAAATCTTGTATATAAAATAACTGGTTTTGTATAGGTGTATGTGTGTAGGTATGTAGAGAGGTGTATATGTATATATATGTTGTTACCGTTTGAAAATATGCGTCCATACTGTTGACTACAGTTTAACCTACAAAATATAATGAATTGATGATAATGACGGTAACAATAAAAAAAAATGAAAAAAGGAACAATAAGAAAAGGGTAAAAGGTCGAAATAAATATATATATATATAAAGCAAAAAAAAACAAAAAGGGCTTGGCAAGCGAAAAGGGTCCCGGGAGAGGACAGCTTCCGTGACTTTTCCTCCCCCCTCCTCCCCCCATTCCTCCCCCTCATCCCCCCTCCCCCCTAAACCCATTCCATTCAGTTTGTATAACTTTCTCAAGCACCAGTTGAATGGGCTGGTTTTGTTCTTTTTTGCTATTCTTATTATTATTATTGTTCTTCTTCTACTCTACAGAGATTGGCCACGTGCTGCTGGAATTTATGGGAAGCATATCTTTTTTTTTTCTTTTGGGTGGAAGAAGAGGAGTTTTTAACTCGAGAAGATCCCGTAATTTCAGCCGAATTTTTATAAAGACTTTATAATAAAATCGGCTTGAAAATTATCATCAAGATTTAATTTCACCATTAATTAATAAGCTGTACTTGGTTATCATAAATAGCCACCCAGTTTTCATCTATATGTACATATGTACATATGTATGTATGTATGTATGTATGTATCTATATGTATTCATTGGAATTGAAACGTCTATAGCTTTTTCTCTTACATGCATATATAGAAATATAAATAAATATTAAATGAAATATACATAAATAACTTACATACGTAAATACATACATGCCCATAGTAGGACATGTGTGTTGATTATATATAGTATATAGTGTAATATATATAAATACTTATTTATATACATGTATATTTCATTTAATATATATTATAAATAAACCTTTTTAGTCTTCCTCTTATTTTTACTTTTATATACATATATATACATATACATAGTGTCTATATATACATATATATATATACGTTCTAATGACATGTACTCTTAGTTACAAAGGACGCACTCTAGAGTGTACCCTTGAAGAGAAGCCTATTATAAATGATAAAAAATACCTCATTCTATTAGTTCATGGACTATTTGGTAAAGAAATAATAATAAAAATATTGATAACGATAACGATAAGGATAAAAAAAAGCAACAACAACAACGAAGTACATTTATAGAATTATAAAGAATTCACTCATTATCAAAATAAAATTGTCAGGCAACAAGGAAGCACTTTACCTACCAGATCTAGCTAAAGAATTGCCTTATTCAAGCGCGCGAATGAGCCTAGGACAAGACAATGGAAAACCAGCTATAGACATCATTGTAAGTAAGCGTATTTATATTCTTGTTTATTTACACCATTCTCAGGACACAGTCAGTACCTTGTTTTTTATTGCAAATCATTATATAAGCAAAGGTTATGAGATTCATGGAATCATTGGCCATTCTACAGGTACACTTTAGTTACTCAAAAAAAAAATTGAAAGAGAGAGGGAGGAGAGAAACCAAGATAAGTCTTATTGATATGTCATTAATAGGTGGTTTGGCTGCGCTCAAATATGCTACAACATGCGAAAGACCATTAGCCCATGTCATTAACATCAGCACTCCATACTCATTGAATGACATAAATGTTGATCATACACTTGAAGCCTTGTATAACTCCATGGCAAGTAAGGAGTACAAGCTTTATTTTTGCGATACTTATTCCATCAATAGGCAGGATCCTCTGAAAGTCAAGAACGAGAAAAGATACTCGGGTATATTACAGACAAAGAAAAAGAGCAATTCAAATCATGGAGCAATTCACACCGTAAGCAACACACACATACACACAAATATATATATATATATATATGTGTGTGTGTGCATATGAGTATTAGTGAGCTTATAAGCATCAAATGGAAACATCAAACCGACAAAATATTCGCTTTAATATTTATTACACTTTTATTAAAGTTACTCGAATGCCTTTAACTACGTGTGTATTGACATGTCACGGACTCAACGATACAGTAAGCCTTTATAACAAATGATAATAATATTGCATTTAACAATGACAAACTAAAAAAAAAACTAAACTAAACTAAAATCAATAGATCGTTTCACCAACTAATGCTGCTCAATTTGCCAACACAATCAACAATCACGACCTTCAACTGATCCCTAATGCAGACCACAATTACTCAGATCATAAAGACATTCTTATCAAAACAATAATCAACCACATCGAAAAACATCGAATAGATGCCTATGCAAAGGCTATGTCTATGGGACAACATGTAGGTCTCACTATTCCACGTTGGATCGATGTCGAAGGTGTCAAGAATTTCCGCGATATTGGCGGTTGGGCCTTACGTGATGGCAGTGGATACATTCGAGAAAGGATTGTGTTTAGATGTGGGAAGTATGTACTATTAATTCTGGTTGAGCAAAAAAAAGAATTATCTGACAATCTGTCTATTACCCTTTTCTTTTCTTTCGGTTAAAGTCTTGTGGGTATTAAACCCAGTGGGATCAAAACATTGCAACAGTTGAATGTCATTGCTGCATTTGATTTCAGATCAGATCCAGAAGTTGAACGTCAAGGAGTAATGCCGTAAGTAAAAAAAAATCCCTTGGGTTGGAGTTTATGGTGGGCTTGATTTTAATTGTGCAATGATAGTGAAATACCTGGATTAACCCGTGTGCCCTCGGCCATGTTTACTAAGGATGATTATTCACCTGCTGCCTTGTCAGTACGGTGGAAAGGATATTTTGAAGGTCCCACTGGATTCCCAAAAGGTATATATATATTTTTAAAAAAAAGGATGTGGGCAATAACTTGTTAATAAATTTGTTATACTGTAGTATATCGAATAATCCTTGAAAAGGCTGGTCCAAAATATCGATCAATTTTTCTTCATCTTCTTGAACATCACTCCACACAATCTACAAAATCAATCATTGTTCATTGTACGGCTGGAAAGGACCGCACTGGCCTCTTTGTGATGCTGTTGTTTGGATTGTGTGGAGTGGATGAAGAAGTGATTGCAAATGAATACGCACTCACAAATCTGGGCTACTGGGGTGAGTAATTGTGAACGAATCGACAAGAAAACAAGCAAGCAAACAAACAAACAAGCAAACAATATTCGGGGCATTGTGTGTTTATGTTTTATTTGATTGATCAATAATGAATTTTACTATTTATTATTTATTAAAGAACCCGAACATGAACTGGAAGCCAAGGCAAGGTCACTTGGTGCTACTCTTGACAACGTGCGCATGGTGATGTCTGCACCGTACGTAACTAATTCAAAATCAAAACCAAGTTCTTTAATCTAATAAAATTTTCTTTAGATATCTTGCTATGAAGCAGACAATTGAACTGGTCAAGGAAGTATATGGGTCAATTGAGGGCTATATTCGCAAAGAGTGTGGTTTGACAGACGAACAAATCAAGGAAATCCGTAAATTAATGGTAGTTCCCATTCGTTTTGAAGAGCGGCAATTGTTCCGTCCTTTGCCTTACTAGAAGAAGATGGTGATTATGGGGAAGAATACGTATATAAAATAACACTAATAATAATGTTGATATTAACAATAATAATAATAAAAACCCCCCTCTCTTTCTTTCGTTTTCTTTCTTTTTTGTTGGGATCAGAATCGGAGAATAATAATAGTAATAAAAAAAAATGCAGCGTATCCATAGCATCAAAAAAATGCAGTTGTAATAAGATCTTGTTGCATAGGAGACTCCATCTTTGACTGGTTTGACTTGATATAGAAAAAAAAAGAAAAAAAAATAACCAATAAACTTCAATGAAGCCACATTTGTAGAATTGGGAAAGAGGTTAAACAGCTCCCCCCGAGCCTCTTCCTATCCACTTCTTTCTTGTAAGCCCAAAGAATGTGAACAATAGAAACAATAGCAAAGAAACACAAAAAATAATAATAAAAATAATTAAAAAAAAATAATGTTCCGTTCATAGCTATATTTCGTTCGCCTATTTTCTTTCTTTTATTCATCTTTCCAACACTTCAGATGCGTTATAGATACAGCTCCACTGAAGAAACTTCGAGCCCTCACCTTGTCGTCTGCTTGCCAGAGATAGTCAGTCTGATTCTTGGCCATCTACAGCCTTCAGAGCTCAACAAGACCACATACAGTGTTCTCTACCCTTCCTTGTTCGTAAATAAGCTCTGGCACGACTGCGCTTCCAGGGTCCTGTGGCGCGAACTCACTTTTGAAGACAGTCCGACCGAATATGATGCTTTTCTCAAGCTAACCTCTGTCTTGGCCAATAATCCGATCCCCTTGTCTATGTCCCTGTCGGCTGCACCGACATTGATAGTTGCCAATCCGTCACAATGCTTGGTAACAAATATTCCCGGGCAGAACCAGCAACAAGACCAACAGCTGAATACCACCAAACCAGCTCTTTCCAGCCTCTTTAGATCTATGTCCGCATCAGTGCCCAAAAATACCCGGTTACTAAGATCTGAAAGTAGAATCCCCAAACTAAAGCAGCTTGATACAACTACAATAAAATCATCATCTTCAGCAATCGTCTTATCAAAGGAAAGCCACAATATCAACCGAGCGCATCTGGAGCTATATCGTCGCAGTATCAGATCTCTAACATTGCGTAAGATCAAGGATAAGCATATCAATGAACCTCTTCAACAATGGAGTCAAAATACCAGTCAGCTTAGACGACTTGATTTTTATATCTGCGATTATGTTACCAATGATTCTCTTTATCCTTTTATTGCCCACAAACATCTTACCCATTTATCCCTGGCTGGTTGTCACCGTATAACCGATAAAGCTATTTCACAGGCTGCAAAGTATTGTCCCCAATTAGAACATCTTGATCTCCGGGCCTGTGGTCAGGTCTCGGATAGCTCTATTGCCGTAGTAGCCTGGTACTGTCGTGGTCTTAAACATCTCAACGTCGGGCGTGTCAGAGACCGAGAAAAGATCACAATCAAGTCTATCGGTGAAATTGCCAAATACACACAGGTGTCGGTTCTGGGACTGGCAGGCTGTGATATTGCCGACGACTGTATGATAAAGCTGGCTCACCATCGTAAAGGTGGGCTCGAGCGTGTCTCTGTTAACAACTGTCATAGAATTACCAACAAAACTGTCCGTACATATGTACAATATTGCCCCAATTTATCTGTTTTTGAGATGAAGGAGTGCCATTGGGTTGACGACTGGGCTTCTGTAGCTGCCCTTGTCGAGCGCAAGGTGCTTTTGACTCTCTGTGATCAACAAAACCGAGCCTGTACAGATTGGGCCCGTAGAAGGGTACGTCTGTGTTAAATGATCGGATTATTTCTGAACTATTTGCTAATTCATTTCCTCTCCTTCTTCTTATCTCGACTATATATATATATATATATATAGGGCAAAGTGCTAGATGTTAGAGCACCAGCAAAATAAATCCAAATGCTGGACACCGCACGCCTTAAACTACCGACTTCAAATCCAAAAAAAAATTAAAATTAAAATCAATATATATAGTAATAATAAAAATAATAAAAAAGATCGTAAAGTTTAATATGTTTGGTTGTATTTGGTTGGTTGAGTGTGTTGGAACGGGTTGATTGCATTTGGTTGATATCTTTATTGAGGGAGAAAGTACGAAGGATGTTTATTAATCCTTCTTGAGAGGATAGGTCAGAACCTCAACATCCTGTCCCTTGCGAATAACAAAGATCTGAAGGTTGTCACCAGTGTAGATATCACGCTCAGTGGCAGATGTAAAGGCATCCTTAACAATTCCAATAACGGTAGGAAGATCCAATGGTGTTTTATCTGCGTTTTGCTGATTTTTGCGCCCGATTTGGTTATCCAAGAAAGGCTGGATTAATGCCGAAGCGGAACCACTAGCGCGACATGTCTCACGCTCATAAGATCCAATACCATCATAACAGTACACAGCGCCCTTGCCTATCCTTATTATGTCAGAACAATCATTCTACTCTCTCTCTCTCTCTCTCTCTCTCTCTAAAGAAACCCCTGTTGCCTAATTGATATTTCCATTTTTTTACCTTCATCATCTACACCTCCCAAAACGCAGAAACTGTAATAAGGGAAGAAACGCTTCTGGTAGAGAGTAATTGAAAGCATCTGTGCCAATGCAGTACAGGACATGTCCTTGTCATGCGAAAATTTGTACCACTAGTGTTCTCCATGTCTATCAGTTTCCCAGACGTTCTTTTTCTCATATATATTGCACAAATGCATCCTCTACGTTTTCTTAACAAATCTTCACCTTAAGGCGCTGGTCAAGAACTTTCTTTAATGTCAGACCATCAGCATGGAAACCATTCATGGCAATCACCGAGGTTTCTGATAGCTTGTAGGACTTTGGTGAGAATCGTGAATTGATGCTGTAGCCAGTGCTTTGGCGAGTATCAGAAGCTACAACACAAAAGTCTTCGCCAGCAATAGCCAAACTCGTTCTTTATCGTTGACATTTGTAATAATAATAGTTAAAAAAAAAAGAAGAAAGTATTGGCTTGGCTTGTCAGTAATGTTACTTTGAATTTATTTATTGCAGGAAAAAAAATGTATGTTTTAATTTCTTTTCTTTTTTTTTAATATATATATCTTACCCGCCATTATCATCATAAGGCTCAAAACGATGCTCCATAGGGGCGGATGTGCATTCAAGAGGATTTGACACAGAGTACATGTTTTAAAATAAAACGATGAAGTTCAACAATGTGGAAAAGAAGAAAAGGTATAGAAGGTCTTCCTATACTTTTATACAAAGAGAGAGGACACGCATGCGAACGTGTCTGAGCGGATTTGTGAGTGACGTCAATGCTGACTACGCGTCGGCCTCGTCATCCCGCTTTGGTTTTTATAAAGCAATAAGCCCAAAGTGTGAACATCTTTGGCTGTCTTTTTTTTTCTTGTTATCACATACCCCCCTCGAATCAATTAGCAGCAACCATGAACCGATTCGTCAATAAATTTGCATCGTCACCTCTTCAGCTGCCCCGCGAGGTATCGCCTATCAACATGTGCGGTCAATGGGATGCCGCACAACAGATGGCTTTCCCCTCCTTTGACATTCCCGACGTGCACAACGTACGTGTTTTTGCTTGAAAGAACGAGAAAGAAAAGAAATTGGAAAGAGAGGAATATCTCTCTCTCTGGTAGATAATATAGCTTGATTTTGTTGTAAGCTTACATATACCTATGTACCTGTGTATAAATAGCCTGTTGATTTCCTCAGAGGTGTAACAGACGAGTCTTCGCCTGAATACAAGATCAAGATTCAGCACGGCACAACCACCCTTGCTTTCCAATTCAATGGTGGTGTTGTCGTTGCTGTGGATTCAAGAGCTACTATGGGAAACTACATTGGTAGGAAATTACTGCTTATAGATAAATATCGAGGGATCGATTGATTGGGTGTGGAAATTGTGTAAGTTACAAACATGCTAAAAGAAAATGATGTGTGCTATAGCATCACAAACCGTGAAGAAGGTCATTGAGATCAATCCTTATCTTCTCGGTACCTTGGCTGGTGGTGCTGCCGATTGTCAGTACTGGGAGCGTGAGTTGGGCAAGCGCTGTAGATTGTATGAATTGAGAAACAAGGAACGCATCTCGGTTGCCGCTGCTTCAAAGATGCTGGCAAACATGGTCTATGCTTACAAGGGAATGGGTCTTTCTATGGTGTGTTACAGTCAGACTTGAGATGACATAACGATAGAAACCATACAAGAATATTTGGTGCTAACCAACAAACAATTCAATGTAATTATACAGGGTACTATGGTTACTGGATGGGACAACTCTGTAAGTTTAGGGACATGATTGAAAGACATTCTTTTTAGAAAGAGAGAAAAAGAGGAAATACGTGTTTGATTTTTGCCTATTGTGATGGGATATAAGGTTAGCTTGCTAATTAACTTTCCATGTTGTTTTTATCAGGGACCCAATATCTTCTACGTTGATTCCGATGGCACACGTCTCAAGGGTGATATATTCTCGGTTGGTTCTGGATCCACATTTGCCTATGGTGTTCTTGATAGTGGTTATGATTATGACCTTTCAGTATCTGATGCTATTGAGCTTGGTAAGAGATCCATCTATCATGCTACTCATCGTGATGCCATGTCTGGTGGTTCAGTCAACTGTAAGTATTTTAAAGAAGTATAAATAACGGTGTAGTGGGGGAGGACCGAGGTAGTAGGAAGGTTTTTGTTTTGTTTTTGGGATTAAAAAATTGGATATTGGACATTATTCTTACGGGTATGAATTTTAGTGTACCATGTTACCAAGGAAGGCTGGGTCTATCATGGAAACCACGATGTTGGCGAGCTCCACTGGGATTACCAAGATGAAGTTGCAAAAGGAGGACAGTAAAATATCACACTCATACGTAAATAATAATAAAAAGGCAAATAAAAGAGAGAGAGAGAGAAGGATCACTTCATTTATCTCAGCTATGATGTTTATTTTGCGTTGAAATATGTGGGGTCAAAGTAAGAGTGAATAGTGTTGTCTATTGTAATTTATGCATCAGGTCTTGGATACGTTGCTGTATCAGGGCAACTGGCTCCTTTTGGAGATATGCGGTCAACTTTTGTTGCAGATTTGTTTTAAGATCATTTTGAACTAAATACCAAAAAAATTGTATGTCATCATAATTAGTATTTCTTTTGTTTTATATCAATTTCTTATTTTACTGAAAACCTTAAAGCCAATTATTACCTTTATTTGTGGCAATACTGCTTTCTAGTACATCAACAGCTGCTGCTCTGATAGCAGAGTACTTGAGATTTCCCAAGTAAACACAACCAGTGTTTAAAACCATTTGAAGTACAGGAGTTGTGAGATAAGCGGCCCCTGCTTGATCTACGAAAAGTTTAAGGCTCTCGAGAATAGCAATTTGGACATTCCACACATTTCCTTCTAAGCTTTCTGTTAATGTCTTTGCTAAATCTTCGGTCTGAGCAGCTATTTTCACAAAGAAGAAGAAATATATAAGAGATGAAGTTATTAGTATCATTAAAATATGCAAAAAATCTCGTGAGACACAAAATTGTAGGAGTTTTTTTTTGTTTTTTTTTTTGGGTTTACCTTGTGTGGGGAAGACTTGTGGGCGATAAGCTGCAACTATGGCTCTAAAAGCGTTTGCCTTGATGGCTAATAAAAGAGGTTTGGATTCGGTATCTTCATCTTCTTCCATTATTGCGGTTTCATCCATTTGACAAAGGTCTGTCAGGAATCCCTGGACTTGGTCAAGTGCGTCCACCTTTTCTCCGAAAGTATCCAAAAATGTTTTTAATGATAGCAATGCGTTGCGCTGGTACACACGGTTGTTTCGCTTTGCCTCGCGTGCCAAAATCTATAAAAATTAAATTTCGGTTCAATATATATATTGCTTTTTTCTATTATTACTATTGTAACTGTTGATGCGTAAAATGGTATACCTTCACAACACCCGCCAAATTAGGCTCTTGTGTCTCAAAATATTCCGGGGTAGATATGCACAATTGTACAAATGCTTCAAGGACATTCTCTTTACCAGCCCAAGATCTGGTGGCCAAGGTTGATACCATGATGGGCATAAGCTTTGAAGCATGTTTAGATACACCGTTTCCACCGGATTTGCAAAGGTCTGCAATGGTGAGAGCAGAAGTTTGCTTGACCTTCCAAGAAGAAGAAGACAAGAACGGCTGAACAAAGGTAATGATTTCATCAGTGTACAAGGTCACCATACTACGGGTACCTAATTATTATCCAAAAAAAATTAATAATTAATAACAATATTATCAGGAAGACAGGCAGACTCCCTACAAGTTATAATATATTTACCAGATGTAAGATTCTCCCAGGCGTCCTTCCATAGTGCTTTGAGGTTCTTGTCAGGGTCGTGTTCTCCGTAGTAGATTAGAGGTACAATCTCAGTAGCTACGGCGTTCATGCGATCTGTAGCAAAGCGGGTCATCTCCACAATGGTCACCGCACTGGCAGCATGAGCATTCTCATCTAATAATTAGCAGCAAAATAAAGTTAGCAATTTGAACATGGTTCAAACTAACTTTAACTCTATTTTATATATACTTGCCTTCGTCTTCAAGATAAAGTTTTTTCAAGTGTTTGATAAGCGACACAAGCTTATCGAAGCTTGCCAATTGACACACATATCCGGTTGCAGTGGCGAACGACTTGCGAACGGCTGGATTCTTGGTACGAATAGCACCGCTTAAAGCCTTGAGAAAGGTGTCTGCAAAAGGCTGAAATACTGCCCTACGGTTCATACATAAAGTTACAATAAAACGAGCACAGCCAGCCTTTGTGGGGAGTCCGGTGCCCTTTTTGATGATATGAATAATTCGAGGAGACAAGGCTTCCATCACCTCTTCATCGATTTGACCCACGCAATGTTCAATTCCTTCCATCATAGGTGAATTCTTTGCACCGCTAAGACGAGCATTGTCAAGCTGTTCCTGAGAGATATTGTACTTTTCGGTGTGGAAACTCAGGTAATTGAGCGTCTGCGGCTCGAGGGAAGATAGTGACTGCAAGAGGGTATCAATGATTTCTGGAATATATCCCTTGAGCAAGGCGGCACCAGTCTTACAAAGCTTCAAAACTGCGTCCAAGCTAAACTTTTGGACATCTTCGGCGTCTGAGACAATGCCTTTTTCAAGTAAGAATGGCATCACAATTTCAACGACCTTGGCACCATCAGACACAGACACTACATTAGGGTCGCAGTAATGCACCGTGAGACGAGTCAATGATTTGCAGGTTTGAGTGGCTGCCTGACGTACAGAGCCCTTGATATCGTCTAAGGCACGGAATGACATACGCCAAAGAGGTTCTAAGTAAGGCTGGATCTGAGCCAACTGCCTGCCTTGAACGATATCGGTCACAGCTGCGCATGATGCTTCTCGTACACGCCATTGTCTATTTCCAAGACCTTCCAACAGGTCATCCATAATTTCATTAAAGTGAACATCAACTGTCTTTTGGTTGTCTTTAACCAAGGAGTTCCAAATGGCCTTCATACTCTGGTTGACTCCAGGGTTGGGATCAAATTGATAACGGTACAGCTTGGGAATTAAACGAGCAAGATAAGGTTCCATTTCTTTCTCAGCCATAGCGATCAGATTTTGGAAACCAAAAGCAGCTCCACGGCGTGAAGTCCACATAGCGTTGTGGTTGGCAAGATTCATGAACTTATAGATCAGATCTGGTTGGTTTAACTCCGATGCAAGTGAACAAAGTTCCTTGTAGGTGGTGATTGAGCTACCCTCTGGAGTTGTTCCAAGTGCGCCTTCTTCGAACAAGACAGTGTTATCTGTGACGGATTGTGCTTGGATTGTACGTCCTTCGGTAAATGTACCCACAAGAGAGTAAAGCATGTCTTCTTTGATTTTTGCATCACCATACTCGTACACAAGGCCTAATCCCTTGGATGCAACTTCTTGAGTAAAGTCTATTATATGAAACACAAAACAATTATTAGATATAGTGTTTCTTTTTCTTTCTTTCTGTGTATAAATTAAATTATACTTTACCATCTCGATCAGACAAAAGTCTAGAGAAAGAAGCGTGTATAATACCAAGGTTTTTCTAACAGTCAAGAAACAAGAATTGATATGATAGTAACGTAATATATAGCATATAGAAATATACCTGTACAAAAGCTTGGTCTTTACCAAACTTAAGAATCGAAAGAAGCCAGATACATGCGGCCTTTCTATACCAAGCACGATCGCTGGCAACATATGAACGCACCATCTTCTCTATAATTTCCTGGAATGATTCGATCTTGCTGGCCTTGGCAAGTGTAGGTGAATCTAAAGCTGGTATCTCACTAATATCTTTGTATTTGTGCATTGCTTGGGATTCCCATCCAAAGGCGAGAACGCTAAAGGCTTCACCTCCTGTAAAGAAGAGCTCGACTTGCTTGGTTTCTGCACTGGAGAAGAGAGCATCGACAATGGTGGGGATGAAGGAGCTATCCTTAGACATCGGAATACTTAAATGTCCAAGAGCCAAAAGCGCCTTTTCTTGAACCTTGGCGTCTTTGCATGATTTTGCCAGACTCAAAAGTCTCTCGATAATTTCCTGTGTAGAAATTCTTGGATCTATTTCCATGGTTGTAGTATCAGATTTTTCTGTAGCTGGCACAGTTTTGGTGTCTTCAAGAGGTAACACGCGGGTTCTACCGATTTCGGAAAGAGCATGACATGCTGCGCTAGCGAGAAGGAAGAATGAAACATTGGGTGGACCTTGGAGATTGTTTCCAATGTTCTGAACACATCGCTGAACAATTTCCTTGGAAAGCTCCCGGTTGCGATAGTTGCAACGACCAAGAAGGTAACCAATAGCCAACAAAGAACCGTGCTTCTGGTCAACAAGGTTGCTTGCATGATGTTTTGTTTCGGGCCGTTCGAGTATCTCGCAAAATTCAATCAACATTGCCTCTACTTCCGATTGAGAAATTCCTGGATCACTGGCGATTACACCGAATATATGGGACATGAGAGTACGAGCCTCTAGTTTTTCGGAAGTTGCAAAGGATTTAAAGAAATTGAGGCGAGATTTGAATATGGTTGATATAGATGAAGGACCCAGGGAAATTATTTCCAAAAGACATTTTGCTGCTGTATCTAAAAGGATTGAATCTGCATATATATAAGTGTTAGTTATTAACCAAATACTCTCTTTTTTCAATTTTATTTAAATATTTACCTTTCAAGTTTTGATCCAATACATTTTCAACAAACACCAACCACTGTTCAATAGTTTCCTTTCCTTCCATTTCTCCACCGAGCCACCAGGTATTAATAAGAGACTTAAAATTCTCCATAGTTACTGGGTCTTCGGACATACTGCTTTCAACTTTGTCTTCCACATACTGGTCAATTAAGATTGTGGTAGGGTTGGCTTCCAGAATTAAGACCATCCGTAAAAATCTCAGCATCTCGCTATAAACTTCAACTGGATACCCTTTGATACACGGAGTCTTGGATGCATGGCTATACTCGGGTGGAGGACGGTGATTCGCCATATATTTTACAAGATCCACAAATTTAGGCAAGGCAGAAATAGGTACGATATCTTGAGCTGTGTGCAAGAATCCAGTAGAGCTTCTTACAAAAGGATGCAACCCACGGGTAGATTCTTCCTTAACCTCAAGTTTTGCAACGCTCGAAGAGCTTCCTAGCAAGCAAATGTAACGAGCAAAAACAGACGAGAATGGATAAATTCCATTAGCGTACTTGAGAGCCATGTATCGAGTGTTGGCATTGGTCTATTGAGCAAATAAAATATGTTTAGTTTTATTTATAGATTTTACATATAAGTTGATATGTTTTACTTTTTCAACAGCATCGAGAAGGATGTCTTGGAGTGGTATATAGATAGGAGAATCCTCAGGGATGTCGACATAAATCTCGATCATTGATGATAAAGCGTCTTGGACATAGACGCGGACATTCGGATGTTCGAGTTCAAGATTGTCAAAGAATTTTGATAACATGTGCGTGTCGCTCAATCCCACTTTTGGAACTATAAAAAAAAAGATAGTCTAAACTTACCTAGCAAAAAAGAACCATGTAGCTTATTTTTGGTATTTACCTTTCTTTGCAATCAACCCACAGGCAACATAAGCATATCCCTTGATTCCTTCGGCGTCTATAATTAATTATAGATAGATTTAAGAATGTGCCTGTTATATCTTAACTTATGTACTCTTACCGTGACCTGAAAGTGGTTCATCTTGATCAATATACTTTAAAAGACCTGATATCAGAATAGGTGCAATGGGACCGAGTTTTGCAGAATCAGCCTGTACATGGAAATAAGCAATTAGGGGTAGAATTATATAGATTTAAAGAAAAATCTTGTATTTTATTATATGTACCATTCGTGCTGTCCATTGGAGAAAAGACATTGCAGCACGGCGCAGCTTAAGACTCGATTTCTCACCTAGCCAATATAAGAAAACAATTAACTGTGTTTTCCCACAACCTAATAGATATTTAAATTTTACTCTTACCATAGATACCATCAAAAACTACTTGTATCATTGATGGAACTAAATTAGTAGCCACAATTGATTTGCTCAAATAGTGAATGATTCTGATTTTAATTGACGTTGATACTGGTGCTCTCGCATCCTTGGCCCCTATTATATATAAAAACACACGCACACAAAATTAAGCATTTAAACTAATATGTTCAGCATTTAAATCCAGTGTTTGGATCTAATTAACCTACCGGGTGCTGAAGGCTTCGTTCCCAAATAAAGAGTGTACAGACTCTGAACAAAGACAGGGTCCTCAAGGTTCACATTACTTGCCCATCTTCTCAATCCGTCCTCACAAGCAGATACAACCTGATGGTTCGAATCACATACACCAGCTAGCAACAGTCGCAATCGCTCGCTATCCGTGAAGATCGGCGTTAATAAGAAATGGAATATCCCGAGCTACAAATATATCAGTCCCTGGCTTTTTAGTATTTCGTCTTATCCTAAATCAACTTTTATCTCTACTATTATCTTACTCGTGCTTCAATGAGTTTCGAAGAAGTCCATTCGGCTTTGCCTTTGTTAGTGATGGCTTCTAAGGCCAGAGGACTGAGACCTGGATATGTTGGCTCGGCAGAAATTTCTGAGCTATCTCCGTCGGCCGAGGTTTGACCTCTGGCTGATGAGGGCTGATAAAGTAAGATGTCCAAAAAGAACTCCAGGATAACTGATACATCCTTTGGGTTCTCATCGAATTTGAATATATCGTTGCGTGCTGTTACTTGATTTCCGTCTCCTAATTTCCAATGGCGCAATATCTGGTACCCCATATTATTGTTATTTCATTCTTGAGATTAGAACTTGCAAATCGTTGTAATTCTCTAGTCAGAAATTCTTACAGGTAACACCATGTGTAATAAGGTGAGTTGTTGGGTTACAGGCCGTCGGGAAATTCCCATTAAAAGATTAGGAAGATGCTTGGCTGTGTCCTCGGGACTCATTCTCTGGACGGCCATTTCGAGATAGATGACGGTAAAATTCTTGACAAATGTCGAGACAGATTTATCCACAAATTGGGCTAGCAAGGCATCAAATGGAAGTGGAATGCTTTGGTTGGATTTGACTCGCTTATTAATATGCGACAGGATTTCCATAACCTTGATTTTTGTTTTGTTTTAAAGTTTGTATTATTATTATTGTCCTTACTCTTATCATTATCATTATTTGTGATCAATTATTACTTCTCCTTGTAGCTCTTATAATTTTAACCAATGCAAACTTCTTTAAAGTTATCCTTCTTTGTTTATTTATTTTTATTTTTCAAAAAAAAAGAGAAAAAAGAAAATTACAAAGGTACAAAAAAGGTGAATTTGTGTATATTATTATACCTTTCTACGTGCTCGATCGTCAGTGCTCATGAGCTTAAGGAGAAGAGGTGGAAGAAAGATGCGAATTGTGGTTTCCAATTTTGCATCCGTATTGCATAATGCGAGCTTTAACTCGACATTCTCTATTTATATGGTTAGTCGGTTTTGGTCTGTCTTGATCACTGTCGTCTAATTACCAAGTAGCTGTAGTTCACTTGTTGACGTTGTCATCTACTGAATCAAAAGGAACTGTATAAAAGAAGAAGGGGAAATGGCGGGGAGTGAACCAATATAGGCAGTCCAATGGTACGCGTAATGCAAGCAAAAAGCGAACAACCTAGAACTCTCTACACCACGTGAGAACATAAGCTATTTTGCGAATTACGTTTCTTAGCAACAGATATCAATATATATATATATTAATTTATTTTAATATAATGAGTGGTATTAGATTATGAGTATACATTTATATATATAAATAGTCTATGGATGTGCAAAATTTGTAGGATTATGGCTACAAAAAAAAACAAAAAACAAAAACAAATTATATAAAGTATCAAGGTAAGCCATTGACTCTTGATTCAGGAGAAGACTGTGGAGGAGTGTAGCTTTTGTCATCATCATTACGATTGCTGATATAGGTATTGGTAAAGTTTTGTTGAGTTCTGGATCGAGTTTCGTTGCTCGTATTTTCCAATTCGATGCCATGAATAGAATAGTATGAGTTTGTTACATGGGCTGGAGGGACCGACTGGGGTTCATTGGATCCACTGGGTATATAGCTTTTGGCACGACTGAAAAAAGATGACCCTCTTTCCTCACTACTGTGTTTATTGGAGATTTCCGTGTATTTTTTCTGTAAAACACGAATTGATCTGGTCACATCTGTGTCAAATCCGATCAGAAGAACGAATAGGAAATTTGTAGCTGTCCAGATGAATATTATGAGATCGGTGTCAATTTGCTTTTTTTTCAAAAAAGAATGATGATGATATGAAAAACTTCAAATTAGCGACTCTGATTGTGAGTACAATTGATTATGTTAGCTTACAGAGAGAATGAATATGGCGGATATGAGGTTGGCGACTGTCAATAGAAAAGTGCGACCCACATTGTGATAAAGAACGGCAAAATAAATGCTAGAGCTTGCAGGAGTGTGTAATGAATGAATGCGTCGAATGTGTGTGATTAAGATGAAGGATATCATGAGTGTGGCATACAAATCAATTGCTGTGTCAAGAAAGGTATACAATGCTCCCCACTACAGTAAATTCAATTCAATTCAATTCATTCATTTATTGATTTACATATATATAATAGTGTTTAACTTACAGTAAACTCGTCGGCGTAAATACAGACGTTGTTGTCTCTTGTACTAATATGAACATGGGCAGAATCTGCAATACCAATGGCTACCCGGAATAAGAATACCAATATGGCAAAGTATTTGGTCCACTTCTTCCAATGCTCCGGAGAAATGGTCTGAACTCTGCTAAGCAAGACGACTGCCCCTGCTACCATTGAAGTGTGATATAAAACATCGGCAATTCGGCCTATTACATCACATTTAAGGTTTTGAATACTAATGGTGCAAGAATAAGCAATGATTATACGGGATCTTAATGATTAGACAGCTAACCCTGACTTCATGGCAAGAAATAGACATGTCTTTACGAGCATAGTTATTCCCAGTATAAATTTGCATATTCTGATATGAAGTTTATTGTTCTTGTTATGCGTTAGGCTGGATAGAATCAATTCTGAGCAAATGAGGAGATTGGCGCCTTGTATGACGGTGGTCGCAATCTGATAATTGTTCAAAAGCACAGGCATTGCTTTCTCGTCAATTGCTTATGTTGGTTATCCTCTCTTATAGCTTATAATTCAAAAAATAAATAAATGAATAAATGAAAAGAAGAGTTCTAAGGCGGGCTTAGCGGCAATAATATCGTTTTATTTTTAATTGATTTTTTCTATTATATATCTATGTATATTTTTCTTTTAATTTTAATATTTTTTTTTACAATCGCTCTTGTAAAGATTTGTAGTCGTTTTTGCTTCATGCAATGTTTGTTATCAAAGAGAGTATGAATATCTCCGTTTCAAAAAAAAAATTCATAAAAATTTGAATAAAAAAAAAACACTGTAAACTTATAGCACTTTATTGACTTGAGAGATTTGGTTTCAGAGGCAGGTCTCAAGACAATTACTACTGTGAACTTTCTTCCGGTTGAGATTTCCATTGGTCACTACCCTATTAGCTGTGATTTCAAGGTACAAAAGTTTTCTTTATCCGTGCCCAGGATTGGGAAGCTCATTTCCAATCAAACAAATAATCAAACATCAAATTAATACGGCACTAATGAAAACTGGATTTGTGTTACTACTTTTTTTTTTAGAAATTGATTATTCATCTGCTATCAAAGCGGGTTGTTTGATCCTATTTTTACTACAATTACTATTATTTTTGTATCTATCTATAATCAAATAATGGGCGTGCGCATTGGGTAAATATGGCTTTGTAGACCAATTGTCCCTTTCGTTTGCTATTTAATTAACCAACAGATTATTATTACTATTATTATTTTGGTTATTCCAATTTTATCAGGTCTGTATTTGTACGCACTTGCTGTCAATTTGTGTACTTCCTTGAGAACAATGATAACCGTGCTAAAAAGGGAATTCTTGTGACATTTATATTTATATGTATAGATATAGATACATTATACTTTACTTGAATGGTATGCTTTACATACGACTGATACCATAGATGTTTCCTCCTTCCACTTTTATATTATACACAACCTCCAGGCAGAACCCAATTACCATCCTAGTGTCTCTGGGATCAATAATTCCATCGTCCAGTAGCCGAGATGATGTATAATAAACATCGGACTCTGCTTCTACAGACATCTGAAACATTGCTTTCCTTTGACTGGCAAGTTCTTCGTCTATTTCGATTCCCGCGCTATCAAAAAGATAAAGAAAACCGGCGTAAGTTCATTCAGTTACTTGTCCTCGCCATCATTTTTTACCGTTTAGCACCCTGGCGCATCACTAGATCCATAACACCAGTCAATTGCTCGGGTCCCATAACAGAACACCTTGAGTTTGGCCATGAAAATAAGAACCTTTTTGTTTTTCATCATAAAATGTATATGTAGATGTGTATATATATAAAAATAAATAAATAAAAAAGTATAGATATATGAGTCACTCTGTTGTACAATAATACTCTATCCTGACCTGGGCTCGTAAGCTCGTCCACTCATTGCATAGTTTCCAGCACCGTAACTGGCACCCATCATGATCGTGATCGCCGGAACTTTTGAGTTGGACACAGCGTTAATAAACCGAGATCCGGCCTTGACAATCCCTTCTTCCTCGTAACGCTTTCCGACCATAAAGCCTGTGATGTTTTGAAAATACAGCACTGGCGTATTTCTTGTCGATAATATGTTTAAACTTCTAGCGGCGAATTCAAAACATTCAAGTGTCACTTACTTGATATTACAAAGCTGAATAAATTGAGTCGCCTTATTGGCCTCCTGAGTAAAGATAACGTTGTTGTTTGCTAGAATACCGACCGGGATGCCTACGACGGAAGAAACAAAAAAAAACCAAAAAAAAGTTACACTACATGTTAGTATGTAATCTCATTTCACAATCCACTATATATTATACACTATAGATCACCTTGAATAAATCCCCAGCCGCAAACTAGATTTACTCCATAATTGGGTTTGAAGACTGTGAACCGGGAACCATCTACAATACGAATAATTACCTCGGTTGCATCATATGGGATCCGGATATTAGAAGACACGATGCCCAGGATTTCGTCTTAGTATAATGAAAAGAAAAGAAGAAAAATAATAAGACGAAAACGGCGATTGATATAAGGCGTCTGTAGAATATCAACAATAACAGTGATAATAAAAAGAAGGGCTGTGCTCACTAGGATCATAGAATGGTTCTTCATACTGTCCTAGAAGGTGACGTTCAGGTAATTTTCCTTGGCGTTCCCAGTTTATATTCGAAATCCATTCTCGTGCCTTGCGTATGCCATCGTGTTCATCAATAGCAAGCTGGTCACTTACACCCGAAATTCTGGAATGCATGTCTGCACCACCAAGACTTTCTGCATCTGCAATCTCTCCAGTAGCCATTTGTACCAACGGTGGCCCGCCCAAAAAAACTTGAGCTTGTTTCTGGAGAAAAAAAATCTTGTCAGATATTGGATCACATAACAGATCACATGACGGGCCGATCAATTGATCAATTGATCAATTAATCGATTTTTTTTAGAAGACAGTTTACTTTGATCATAATCACATAGTCGCTCAATCCGGGTGTGTAAGCCCCACCGGCTGTGGAACTTCCAAATACCACGCAACACGATGGAATCCCAAGTTTAGACCTGTGATTAGTAAAAAGAAAAGAAGCGTAAAAGGAAAGTTGTAGATTATTATTATTTTGGTTTGCAGTTGAGTCTTACGCAAGTGCCTGATTACGAAACCCACCGCCACCCCTGTGAAAAACTTTAAATTGCTGCTGAAGGTTTGCCCCTGCCTATATGGAATTTTGTAATATTTAATTGAATAAAAAATATATTAAACAAAACAGATGCTTTATTGAAACATACACTCTGTGTCAGGACGATTACTGGCAATCGGTTCTCTCTGGCAATCTGTTGAAACCGACCGACTTTTAAAACTGTTGTCTCATTCATTGCACCTCCTGCCATGGTAGGCACATTGGCATTTATGGCACACAAGACACCACTAACCAATATATATATATATATATATATATTAAAAAAAAAGGTATAAGAAAAATACCCACACACGATGAATATATGTGTGTATATATAGCCATCCTGTATTACCTAACGAGCCCAATACCAGAAACAACAGATCCACCTGTATTATGTGAATATAAAAACATGCTTTTAAACACACGCACACGCACACACACACACAAATCTCAAGAGGCTAACCCTACCTAGAGTGCAGTGCTCTTGCTCGTACCCAGCTAAAGGACATATTTCGAGAAAAGGAGAATCTTCATCTAACAATAGTTCGATCCGCTCACGGGCTAAGAATGCTGTGTTAGAGAAATGTTGTACAGATCGTGAGACACCAAAAAAAAATCTTGTACCTGAGAGTTGACCGCGTTTTTTGTGGAGAGCAATGCTTTTTTCTTTGCCTTCACTTGTGGCTTCCTTTAGGCGCTCTTTAAGTTGGTCCAAAAGTTTTGTCCATTCTTCTATGTTGGATTTGTATTCGGGACTGGCTTTGTTGATGACTGTGGGGTGCCTTGGGACAAGATGGTCTTTTATACTTGAAATAGACATCGTGGGGAATACGTTTAAAGAAAGAAAGGGAAGAAAAGAAAGCCAAGAAAGGGGTGTGAGAAATTGAGGTCTCAATGCTTTATACTCAAAATGTTCACATGAAAGAAAGAAATATATGCACATATATTTATAGTTATACCAGTTGCGTCTTTTCACCATTTGAGCATGATTTAAATTATAAAATTCCCTATATATTGCTGTTACTTGCAGCCCTTATTTTGAAATACAAACTAAACATTCCTATATTTCTCGATATAGTGGCAGTAACAGCATCTGTAGCGGTCACATTAAAATTAACTCTTGCGACTGTTTTAATGTAAATTCTGAAATGTTCTCAAAAAAGTGCCTGCAGCGGTTACATTTCAGGCAACATTATAGATAATGTACGATGACAATAAAAGTGCACCAAACTCTAGCAACCACAAAGCATAGCCTATTTTTTTCAAAATTATACAAGTGTAGATTAGAAAATAATGGGTTTAATTGCATATATTATTCTCTACCTTAAATAAAACATTTTACAAGATAAATGGTGTTAACTAACTTTTCTTGACAAGTTTATTAAGATGAAACTAGTAATTCTTTACCTTTAATTTTGTATTATTTTTTCATTGTTCTTGAAAAACATGCTCATACTTATTTGAACCATAATTAGCATATATACATATATGTTTATTTCATTAAACTCTAATAATATCTAATAGTCTACGAGACAAGTGTCTGTGACCCCTGATGTCTGGTGCACTTTTAATGATGTAGAAAAATATAAAGTATCTTTATTACCTATAGTATTTATATAAAGTTTGACAAGTATAATGTAAGCTATTTCAGCCTTTCCAACAGCTGTCTCAAATAGCTATATTTTGATTATCTTTCAGGGATTTTCCGAGAATTCATGATTGATATTGACAATATATTCCACCCGCTTCTTTCAACTCTTCTTTAATATTTTGGACACGATATTTATCTGGAGCACTACATCTGTTTTGATCGCCGTTTTTTACCGCATATATTTAACCCCTGCAAAACGCCGATTGGTTCATCATCCAGCAACCCAATTTGATCTTAAACTATCAACAATAGTTTATATAAGTCAAACTAATTGAATTCATCAATAAAATACTGCATTATTTCCATAAAGTAAAGTTACCATCTAGATTCAAGATCCAAAACTGGCTATAGTATTATAATTCTTTATATCTAACATGTTTACAAATTAAGCAATATGTAAACGCCGTGTTCGAGAGGTAAACTACTGTGTCAAATCGAAGACTAACATAAGCGCCGTGTGTAAGATAAAAGTGTCGTGTCCTAACACTCACAACTTTCATCGGTTTAAATTCAATTCACGTAATAACGTTGTTTGCTATTAAAAAACTAATATTTTTACACGCTCCTTTTTCTTCTTCTTTTTCTTCATAGCCGTGCTTACTGTCAGGGACAATTGTAAGCTTCCGGTTATACTAGGGCGTGTTTCCGGTGGGTCATACTATACTAAATATCCAAAATAGTCTTTCGACAAGGCATCAACTGCTCTCAATATTCCTAATTCAAACATTATAAGATAAGTAATTGAGCTTATACATTAGGGGTTTTCACCGGATTTGGACACTTGACTGTTGGATGTAGTGGTAATTTAATTTGAAAATCATTGGCTATGATGAACCTTCAAAAAATGAAAACTGAACATCCAAGCACCTAAAAAATTAGTTAGATATTCTAGATGTCATGACTTGGCCAAAATTTACGATGTTTTGTACTTTATGTACAGTTGATGGCAAATTTCATATAAAAGCAAAGTCAAAAATAAAGCATAATCAATCTATATAAAAGTAGTTATCTTGATACCAAATTATAAAAGTCTAACTTACTTGTAGGGAATTTGGGCTGAGACACTATATTTATGGGTACTCTAATCAAGCGTATTGTACATATGAAATTTGACGTTATGAAAGAAAGCGTATCAACCAAGATACATTAAAGGCACTCGATGGTTTTTTTATATTGGTTATTATTGAATGGTGCTTAAACTACCACTACATCCAACAGTCAAGCATCCAGAACTGCTGAAACTCCCTAATAAGAATCCTTTAACCTTATACAAGGATAGAACTTGATCTCTTAGTAGTATTCATTTACTAATTGCCTTCATTCTTATTCCTAAACGACTGATGTTATTATCTACAACTCTTACAAAGGAAAGTTTTAGAAGATTCTGTCGTATTTTTCACAAGCATCTCCTAAAAGCCGATGGAAGTTACAAATTCCCTTGAAAAATCATCTCGACCCTTTAAAATATCAGTATAGCCTCATTTTAATAAAACTCAACCTGGAATTCACTATTACACTTCTTGTTATGATGAAATATAGATAATAAATGTATAGACATTCTACTCTACTTTTTGCTCAATATTATTTCTATATTTGTTTAAGTTTACTTCCTAGTGACCCTTGAGTCTCTTTTGTGTCTACTTGTGTAAGCCAAAAAAAATCTTGTGCCCTTGAGGAAAAAGTGCACAGGCCACTTTATAGTAACCTAGAAATCGCCGTTATAGAATTTTGTACTCCATCTTTAAAGTTATTGCTATACCGATCAAGACCAAGCCCTTCATTACTTCTTTAATTCTTTGCTTCTTTACTTTACTTTACTTCACCTTACAGAGTTAATTTCAGAAATACTTTGAGTAAAAAATATTAGCTGTCAATTTTGCCGTGGAACAGTTACACAAGCCTAGTAAAAATAATATACAACTATGTCACGTTTGATCTGACGTTGTCATCTAAGACTGACAAAAAGCGCAGTCCTAAACTTAAATCGCAGATGAAATTTTTTTCTGTTACAAATAGAACCCTTCCAACGCGCGTCATTTGTTTTCTCCTTGAGCAACAACAGTCCCGGTTTCATAGTGAGGCGTCTCTTGCGACCGTTGCAGGGAGATTCTTCCATGCTACAAGCATCGGAAAGTGAAAGTTGTTACTCGCCAGCTCAGTTAATTCTGAGAAGTCGTGGGGCATGGTCTCTTTTCATTTTTGGAAGGACTACTGTGTACATCGCATCGCCAATGTGGAATCATGATGCTGGGGGGAGGGAGGTCTAACCTGTGGTGAGATGTGCTGGCTCTTCACTGCTAACCTGACTGAACTCTTTAACGGCTGACGGTGAAGCTACTGGTAGTCGAATGAGCTGGACCTTATCACCTAGTGGTAAGTTCTCTGGTGAGTTCGCACCCACATTACTCGGTGACGAGATGTGGGGCTGGATGAACGGGTGCTTTCCGTTGGTTTGCCACCATTCTAGCACCTCCTTCGCTACCAAGTCAGGTTTACGTCCTGAAGGAGATTGAGCCGCGTAATGCGGGGACAAAGAACTTGGTGTCATGCTTTTTATTCTTTTACTCAAGTAAAAGAACATTAAGTGAAATTCAATCAAATAGAATAGTTTCTTTATGTATATCTTTTAATAAATAAATAAATAATGTCTTTCTTAGCTATTAGCAACTTTAATAAAAAAAAACACGCTTTTAAACTTTTTTTTGCTTAATTGGAGAGTTCAATGTTGTAATTAGGTGGACTCGTTAATAAGAAGAAATTAATCTAATCGAGTAAACATAGAAAGAAAAAAAATACTATTCATATATTCTAAAGTGGTATTGATAACTGTGTTTAGCTGTACACATTGTTGTCTATAAAGTATATTAGGGTTAAAAGAAGACTAGTTTTTGAGAACACCGATGCCGTGAATTGTACATTATTAAATTAGGCCAATCCGGATGGACATTGTAAAGATGATCCATTGGAATTAGAGAAAGAGAGACAGAGAAGAAACAAAAATAAATAAATAAATGTGAAAAGCAAAGGGTGAAAATAATGAAGAGAGATGAGAGATGAAAAGGAATAAAGAAATGTGTATGAAATAGAGACAGAAAAGGGTGTGGGGAATTGAATGCACAAGTAATGTCCTCATTGTATTTACAGACTGTCCGCAATAAGTCCAACATAAACGTATTTATGAAATAATAACCACTATCTACAAGGTTTTTTGTACTTTGAATATCAGTGAATACTTGGTACTTTTCATTCGTTGTTGCATACATTCGTACACATGCACAATTGTATTCACAGTGCAAAATACGATTTGAATTCAGATAAGAGTAAACAAGTATTGGCAATCACCAAATACAGCATTCAACATTCTGTATAAAAATAATTTGCTAACGATGTACCGACAATCTTTATATTACAGCCCTTAAAGATAAGCTGTTAAGCATTTGGATATATTAAAAAAGCAAGACATGGATATCATAAAAGAGGTATACTGTCATATTGAATTTCGTGAGGTTGAATTTTTATATATTGATGTTGGATATTATAGCTGATAGATTGATTAGTAGAGTTTGTTTGTATGTTGTTATTGTTTTTTGTTTTGTTTAGGTGCGAGCGGTCAAGATATACCATAGTGAAAGTAAAATGGCCGACTATATAAACCTTTTTTTAAAGAAAATAACAATAAAAGTAAATAGGATAATTGTGGTGCTAAATGAGCTGAGGAATAATACTTCATTTAAGCTGCATAACCCTGCATTGTATTTTATTTTATTTACAAGAGTAGTAAATTGTTGCGGTTTCTTTTATGGTAGCTTCTTTTGGTGTGAAAGAATTGTCATGTATGACCTAAAAGTGGGGTAATTTTCTGATAATTCTTGTATTGCAATTGTATTCTTTTTGCAAAAAAAAACCCCATTACGCTTTTAATGGTTTTAGTCTTTCATTCGTATTACACAAGTAATCAACCTATCATTTGTCATAATCTCATCTAATCTCATATTTAATTTACTCAGGTTATTGGTAGTCGGTCTTTCTGCTCAAATGGAAGCCGTTGCTCTGTACCCCGTGGGAAGAACCCCACCAAAACTTTCTCTCTCTCTTTGCTCGAAATTTTCTGACATTCGTGATTCCAATATATCGTCATTTAAACCCTTTATTTCTACCACAAATTTATAAATAGTTTCTTTTTTGTAATTTTGATTTTATCAAAAGAACAAACCGTAACAAGCAACCTCTTTGTATTTCCAAAGATCAAGAAAAGAAAACAAAAAAAGGACCTCTTCAACTAACTTCCGCTTTATTGTAGTATTAATCTTTCAAAGAAAGAAGTAAAGACAAATATAAAAAAAAACACACAAACAAAGAAAAAAACAAAAACGTTTTACCAGGCCAATGTAGCCAGTACAGGGCGATGATCACTAATATAAAGGTTGTCGTCGTACTGATTGGGAAGGACGGCAAAAGTTTTGACCTTGACCTTGGAAGAATTCTTCAAAATCATGATATAATCTAATCTCAATGGGGCGTTCTCTGCATCAATACCTACACCGAAGCTTGTGAAGGTCTCTGCAAATCCAAAAGGACCACTCAGAGAACCAACCGCTCTTTCATCTGTCAGACGTGTGACCAGCTCATATCTTGCGTCTAAAAAGACGGGCTCCTGATCCTGATCCAGATTCTGTTGCCCCTGTTCGGTGAGGTGCTTGAGCATACCTCTTCGGAAAACATGGTGGGTGGGTAAAGTGATGTTATTTTCGGTTGTCCGGACAGGGCGGCCGGTTCGACGACTAAAAGCCGAGGCAAGCTTCTGGTTAAGGTCTTCAAGATGGTTCAGAGTAGAGTTTTGGTCCTTGCGGCCTTCATAATGGGCTCCTGTAAGGCTCAAGTAGGCAGGATCGTCTTCGGGAGAGTTGAAGTCTCCAAGAAGAACAACAACCTTTTGAATATCCTTTGTGTGCTTGAGCAAGAAATCGGCCGCACCCTTACGAGCTTCAATACCCTTGTGGTCAAAATGGGCGTTAAGAAGAGTGAACTGACTGCCGTCGTTTCTCTTGAATCTATTATCATTTTGTCAAGGTATTGCAAACAAACAAACGCACAAATAAACACACAAATCACACAAACAAATGATAAACAAAGCAAACAAAGCAAACAAACAAACAAACAAACTTACTCTACTTGGGTGACAATACGGGGGTGAGATGCGTCCCATCCTTTGCTTCCAGGAACTGTAGGGGTCTTTTATTTTTTGAAAGAAAAGAAGCATTGGTGATAAATAATTGTGTCAATAAAACCTACAATTTTATCTGAAATACCTCGGACAACCAGTGCAAAGCCCAACTTTCCACTGTTACGCTCTCTCTACAAGAATCATATATCAAATATAAACTTCCAAATCGACCGTTATTTATTTTGCTTTATGTACCTTTTGTAAAACACGGCGCAATATTCACCTTCCTCCTTTCCGTCATTTCTACCGGCACCAACCCATTCGTACTCGTCGTTGAGCAATGACTCTAAGTCTGTTACTTGATGAAGTACGGGTTCCTAATGAGCTTATTTTTTTTAGTACTTGATTTCAACGCAATCCTAATGTGATTGTAAAGTATCATGGCTGTTATCGTTTTTCAATATTTCCTTGTTTTTACCTGAATACCGACGATGTCTGGAGAATAGAGAAGGATAGTGTCAGCAATTTTCCACTTGCGAATAGACCAGGGTTGTTCGTGATCCAATCCACCCTCTTGGGCTATCTCGGGTGGGGCAGCAAAGGCTTGAAGAGTAGACTCTTTGCCATGGTCGTGACGGACGTTAAAGGTCATAAATCTGAGAGATTTTTCGCTGGCCATAGCTATATAATATAAACAGTAGTGTTATCAAGAGAGAGAGAAAAGAGGAGTGCAGAGGACGAGGTTTTAAAAAGGTGTTTGGAATAAGATGACGACTGCTCCAAATTTTAGTCAGTGTGCATTGATTCATTCACTCCGACAAAGAGACCAACCTCCCACACACCCTTCTAATCCTAAGTCCTATTATCCTCCTCCTCTTCCTCTTTTTCCACTCTTTCCTTCCAATTGTTCTACGCGTATATTATATATATAAATATATAAATATATAAATATATAAATATATATTTTTGTGTGAGTTTTATGTTACATGTTCTTTTCTCGTGCTTCTTGACTTTGAATTGAGTTTCTTATTCTCTATGCTTCTTTTACATGTCTCAACATATCTCTATGTGTGTAAACTAACTGTAAATACATATTAAGTGATATAACATTGAGAATCATGAACAATGATTTAATTTTATTATTTAATATTTTTTTGTAAACAGGATGTGGTTGAATAATAATAGGATTGATGGTTGTGACGGTGGTGACGATGGTGACAGTGGTGACAGTGGTGGTTGTAATATCGGTTGTAATACTAGTGTAAATGTATGTATGTAGTATATGTATAGATTATTTTGTTTTTGGTTGTTGTTTTTTTTTACTGTGCTGTGGTTTGGCTAGGAGTCTCAAGGACCTTCTTGGTCTCTTCGACTTCCTTGTCCTTTCCACCGTAAAGGATGTCGTATCTCTTACGGGTCGACTCGTCCAACATAGCGGCGCGTCCTCTGCGCTCAAAGTTTACCATGTAACGATCAGACTTGTAGGCTCCACCACCAAGAGAGAAGCACATTACAATATAAAACTAATTGTGATAAAGAATATATAAAAAAAAGAGGTTATTCCTTTTCTCTCTTTTCTTTGCTCTCTTGCCCATAAAAACCCAAATACCCAAACACGATACATACCTTGTTTACAGTTTGTGTCTTACGGTACCATGGGAAGAAAGAGTAGGCGAGTCCAGAAACAAAGAGACCGACACCAGCCCATTGTGCCATTCCGATGAACCAACCCTTCATGGCATATCTGCTAGCATTGTCTTGTTCGGTTTGTGTGACGACTCTCATGATGGTTTATTGGTTTGTTGGTTGGTTGGTTGGTTCTGACGAAATAAATAAATAAATAGAGAGAGAGAGAAAGACAAAAAGTGATTGAAATTTTATTATTTTATTATTTCTATTATTTATTTACTTTATACCGTTTTTTTAAGTGGAAATATATCGGGTGAACAATTAACCAAATATATTTATTTTTCCAAAGTTCCAAAATATATTTGTACTTCTCCGCCATGACCCGAATGGTTGCCATTCAAACAGCTAAGAATTATGTGTACATATATGTAGATATGTTTTAACTTTCTTCCAAATATCTGTCACCAACCACTCAAGCCATCAATGAAAAAAAATGCGACTACACCAATAAAATTATGTACGTGGAATAACATTTAATTAAACAAGTCTATGGTTCCTTTTGCCTTCTGAAATTGATAGTAAATCTTGAGCCAATCACTTGAATGCCTTGATGAGTAAGCTAATAGTTTAATCGTATGATTTAGTAACTGGTTTCATTTAACTACTTCTCGTCGATCCAAAAAAAAAATCTCTACGATTCTATTTATTCTTTAATGTTTCGATATTATATATGTATAAATATAATATATTTGTGCTAGGGTTTCTATGTAAAATATGTTTTTTTTATTCAACTCCTCCAGAAAGAAAAGTAAAAGAAGAATAGCCCTTGTACTTGGAGCATCAATTAAAAATATATACTTTTAAAAAAAATGGCAGTTAGTATCATCTACGAATTCAGGGTAAAAAGACTGCGCAAAGCCAAATGGCCTTGATTTGTTTATTTATTTTGGAATTTGTGTTAAATTGAGATGTCAATATGCCATTGTGTACAAGACAAGGATTTTTGATCTTTGGAGCTTCCATTGTTTTGGGTTATGGGATATTATCAAAAGATAAAAAAAATCAGAGCAAAACTTATCAGTCCATGACAAGCCAAACCAGAAAATAAAGCTTTCTATTAGTGATCATAAAATCTTACATACATGTATCATACATAATTAGCCTATACAATAAACATATTGAAAATATTATTAAACCAAAAATCATATTTAACGTTTTTATTACATGGTGTTGGTGGTACAAATTATATCATCTGCCACGCATTTGTTTGTTAAATCAGGGTCTTACATAGTCATTAAAGCATAATGACTCTCCTTTCAAATGCAATAACAATAACACTCACTATATCTAGGAATCACATCTCCTTCAACACCTTGAATTAAAAGTGTACCCTTCATAGATATGTTTTAGATGACAAATATAAGGACATTTACAAAGCAGCCGTAATATCGGCGTCATTGGGCAACCAAAAAAAAAAGTATAATATTCGAGTCCGAACAAGGACATTTTTATGTAGTCCCCATCAAATGCCGCCTCCGATACGGATCCTGCATTTGACTCATCTCGGATGGAATATAGGTATTAACACACTTCTGTACTTCATTAAGCCACCTTTACTTTTTATCCTTTCTTTTATATATTTATTTTATCTACACTCACAGAAAAATATTGGATATTAGGCAGGTATAATATTAAATATATATAAATGGTAATATGCTTTGACTATTCTTTAATGTATTGATCAATTATATCATACAAGACACCTTTTTTTTTCTTACTAAGAAAGTTTTCTTGAACGTAGAATTTTTTTATGTCGGTAAAAGACTTTCGGTCAAATGATATTGTTTTCGAAATTTAAAACTATAAGTAAAATCCTGTTAAAGCACCCACTTGGCAATGAACCGGGGTGAGAACCAAGTTGAACAACCCGGTTCATTAGCTCGATTCATTCGGGAGATCTGATTGTCGATAATGAATGAAAGGAAAAAATAAATGACACGATAGAAAGTTTCATTATTGCATTTTTCATTTTATAAACTTTTTAATAATACAGATAGTTATATTTATATGGCAATTTGGTATATGTTCAAATAAGAAGCATTTCCTGTTATCGATCGTAATTTTTCACTATATAATCCAATTATGTAGGTGCCTAAAGTTTATCACTTACAAGTGTCTTTGTTTGACAGCTTTTTCTAATGTTACATTTAACCAAAAGTTATGGATTACCCTTCCTGGGGTAATCAATTATTTTATTAAACCAAGGATTCATTATAGACAACAGAATAAGAAGTATGGAATTGTACTTGCGTAAAAACTGAAATACGCATATGTGTTTTTATGAACCTCGTAATATCATTGCCTGTGGTATACAAACCACAATTGAGTGAAATACAAACTTTACAAACAGACTCTGCTTCATACTACATAATGCTTCTTGTCATATTATTAAGCTAACAAAGCTGTGGAATAAGTCCCTGCACTTTGCTTGTGAAGGTACATACAAAACGACAGCCTGGATCTCAGTTCCATAGAGAATTATTAATCTTATCTCAAGAACAAGCTAAATTTAGGACTTCTAGATCTAGCAAAGTATATATATACCTAAAGATCTAGATACTGTTATTAGTACAAAATGAAAATTACTCTTTATTATTATTATTATTATCATTATTTTAGTTGACGTGCATATGTGCAAGAAATTGAATTGTATTGCATTACAATAAAAATTTTATAGACCAAAGGAAGAGGTGTACGTGAAGAATTCTCATAATTTCAATTGCTTTAATAAATCTGCCTTGTATTTTCTTTTTTTTTGTTGCGTTCTTAGGAGTGTATTAGGTAAAAGTAATAGTCATGGAATAAAGAAGTTGAAAAAAGAAAGTTAAGGAAGCTGTACTCTCGCTTTATGACATTTTCTGGTTGATAAAGTATTATTTTCATTATTGGCTATCTTGTTTAAAATAATTGTTTGGAACAAATGATTAATAGCCTTTGAATCAAGGGCTTTTATTCAGATAGATAGATATCAACAAAGCCTCGCAAAGTCAGCTTCATAAATCCCAACTCATAAAATAATTCCCTGTTTTACTGTAAGTAACTAGCTCAGATGTGTATAGTTGACCTATTATAAATCTAAACTTTTCGAATCCATATATAGCTATTCAGCCACAGGCTTCCAATCAAAAAACAGGGAATAAGGAATATAAATTTCTTGGACATAAATATATTAAAGACTCTGGGGGATCTTCAAGAGCAGTTATCGAACGTCTTAATCCATACCCTTGCAAGTCCATATGCTCTACATGTGGCAAGGACTTTAGTCGTATCGGAAACTATACAAGGCATCAGAAAACCCATACCAAAGAAAAAGAGAAATGCTTTTGTCAGACATGTGGAAAGGCATACTCGAACAAGTCTAACCTCGACAGACATACCAAAATTAAGCACACCAACCCCTAAGCCCACACACTCTATGTATCATACCCTTTCTTTATTATATACTGACATTCTATTCTCAACCTTCATTTCTTTATTTTATATCAATAAATCGTTCATTATCGTCGTACGACAAATATGTTACTGATATATATATATATATGTGTGTGTATAAGAGTATATATGAATTGACGTTCATTTAATTACAGACATAGTACTCTTTGAATTAAGTTGGAAGCTCTTGTTTTTACAGTTTATGCCATGGTTTATGATTAATGTTCTGTAAAAAAAATTGATAGGTTTTTGTAATCGCATTACTATAGTGTATGTACTATTATATATACATATAGCCTATAATGGTACTTTAAAATCTAGTGATTAAATATGTTTTTCTTCTTTCTTTTGAAAAAAAGAGAAGTCAATTGTATCAAGTAGAAAATATGATGATTTTTGATATAACATATAGTTGCATGGTATAAAGAGACGTATACGATTCTATCGAACTTTTCTTTCTTTTGTTCATTCTACATTAAATACAAAATTATATAGCGATGAGTAAGTTGTAATATATATATTCCCACCTTAATGGGTGGTTAATTTGCTCTGGTTGGTAAACGAAATAGATAATACAGACCAACAGATATTAGGAAATACCTCTCATTACAAGTACCCTATTCATGAATGGTCAAATATTCCGCTATTTAGCAATATATACAGTCCTCATTTTTATACACAGGATTATACTTGGTAAATATGTGTACCAATAGTTCATGGTGTACTATTTTGCTCTACAAGAATATCTTTCTCCTAGTCTACCATACCTAACGATCTTATATTATGCTATGCTGTTATAGGTCAATTCACGTAAGGAGCTTACATATATCAAAGTGTATTCACATTTACTTGGCATGTATATATTTTTTTAGTTGAAGAAAGGGTCCAAGGAAGCCCCAGGCGTAAGTTAGTGAATAGTAATATCAATAATAATGCTATATCTCTTTTATGTTAATGTTCTTTATTTTCTATTTTTTTCTTTAAATAACATTAATAGAGTCTTATTGTGGCTACTCGACTGGCCTTGTCTGATAATTCTGCCAAGCCCTATGAGATTATGATCACATTTAGCATTAAGAAAAAGTCAGATACTTCAAAAAGTACTAGAAGAAATGGTTTGGTGCTAGAATCAAGTATGTATCAGAACTTTATAAACTAAGCCCGAATTTTACGCGTAACTAACAAAAGGGAAATAAACTGTAGGAATTGTGCATAGAACCGGGTCTGGTAGGCTAGGTGGTGTTTTGACTGCGGTTTAAGACTAACTTTGCGTATTCTGGCTCAAGATATCTTGGAAGGACTTCATGCGCCAATAACTTTGAAAGCACTAGAGCCTTACATTTATGATGATTGTTTGAATGTAGTCGTTTCTATCGATAAGTTGCCTCGTCTGTTAGGCATGTTCGGCAAATACCCTCCGGGTCATGGTTTTCTTCTAGTCGTATATGACGATTTACGTCCCAGCCCTAATGTTATCATTCGCGTATCCAAAGATGAGAAAGAAACAGAAAATGTCACCTCAGAGGCACAGATATATTACAGCAACAAACATATACTCATAAAAAACTCAGCTTGGTTTTCGAACATGTTCCTTAGCGGTATGAGAGAATCTGAAGATAGTAGAATTACTATCAGAGGAGTTGATCCACAGATATTTGGTCGCATTTTACACTTTATCTATACGCAAGAAATTCCAATCGAAAGCATGAAAGATTCTATCGATATTATTAAAGTAGCAGATCGACTTCAATTCGACAAAGTAAATACCAAAGCATTTAATGTCTTAAAGGATGGTATTTCAAGGCATAATGTTCTAGAAACCTGGCGGGTAGCTGGTAAATAATATGTATATAAATATACTAACATATTATGTTAGTGCAAATATTTAAGAGTTCAAAAGAGAGCTTATACCCCTATTGATCAATATGAATACACTGAGATTCAAGACCTTTGTTATAAGTATATGAGAAGGTACTGTGGTGATATTCTTAAATCTCCTGAGTGGCTTGATACAGATGGACAGCAAGCTACAAAGATCCTTAAAATCGATTGCTTGGATATTCCCGTCGATGAAACGATTTTCTTTGAAGCTGTAATAAATTGGAGAAAGGCAAACATCACTAGAGCAAACAGACTCTATGAAGACAATGTGTCTAATTTGTGTTCTGAACCATCGGCTGATAACAAGGTGGTGTATAACTGCGAAAATGAATTTCGGGGTGCTGATTCCAAACTGCAGGAAAAGTTTCATAAAAAGAAAGCAACTCTTTTAAAAGAGATTGATTATTATTTTGCTGAAATGGTTCGGTCTGTACGCTTTACTCAGATTAAAAAGGAATATCTAGCTGAGACAGTTCAACAAGAATGCTCTGTGAGGGATGTGTATGGATTACACTTTCTAGTGAGTATATTGATAGAATTTAGAGTCAAATCAATGTATCTAATACTTGCTTTTAAAAAGCTTAGAATGGCTTATAAGAATTTGGCGTTCTCGAAAGGAATAAAGCTTGAAAAAAACTATGGACCAAGGTAATCTACTCAAAAATAAAATAAGAAAATTACAAGAAGGAAAGAAATGACTTTTAGATATTTTTTGTAGAACTGCTTAAATCGCTTTTGTATAAATCGATTTATTGCTTGATTGATTGATTGCTTGCTTGATGTATTGCTTTAATGTGCATATTGTATCTTTTGCTTTATAAATATTTACGCTTCTAAAATAAATGACAATTATTCTAATTCGAATAAGTAAAAAGGTAAATTATGTGTATATTATAGATTGAGCTTTTCCAGAATTATTGACAGTTTTAGTCTATATATTTCTCTAGTTTAACTTTAAGCCATAACAGTCATCGTTTAGAATATTTTAAGCTTTTTAAGGCTGTGTAAGCAATGACTAAAGGTAATATCCTTATCAAAGAGAAAGATATAGTCGAGACTCAAAGAGAGACAAGAGATATATCGGATATTAATTCATAATAAATAACAACCTTTTTACAGGTCATATGTAGTCATATTTTAATACCAATTACTTGTTCATTGTCTAATAATTGACGACAATAGTAATAAAGGTATCTAGCCCGCATCAAAATTTAGCACTTGGGTATATAAAATATTTCTAAAGAACACACACATTGGATAAATCATAATACAGTCTTTTTTTTTTCTTACTCTCTTTTTCAAGCTCTTATATTCGACACAGTATATTTACTTGCATGAAAAATAGCTATAATAGTGCCCTTAGAAACGATCTTTGGGAGTATGATTACCAAGAAAACGCGAATATATACGATACAACACACTCCTTGGTGAATAACATATTTAACCCTGAGCCTGAGCCTGAGCCTGGATCCGACACAGAAACAAAACCAATAAAACTAGTAACTTCCAAAAGCTTGGATCCACGAGTTTTTCAGTTACTCTTGGGCTACGTCAGAAACGACGCTTCTTGTATAGACCGAAGTGACATTATCAGTATCATCGAAACATCCAATCTTCTCCAATGCAAAATACTCAGTACAAAAGCATTCATGTATTTAAGAAGCCAAATCAATCAATCAAACCTATTGGAAACATGGCATATTGCAGGTAATATAAAAACTCAGTACAATATTCAAGCTTCAAAGTATATACAAGGAAGAAGAAAGAAAATAAAGTTTGTAATTTGGATGTAGATACATACAGCTGCAAAGATACAATAGATGCCTGTGTAATATATATGCTTAAGAACTATCAGTCTGTATTCAATGATCCTTCGTGGCTTCTGGCAACTACAGGCCAAGTTTACAAGATTTTCACATTGGATGGTCTAAATTACGTTGAGCATTATGATGCCTTATCGGACGCACTTGTTTCCTGGAGAGTTGCATCGCTCACACAATTACTGAATGAGCTTGAGGCCAGCACAAAGGATTCTACCCATGCTACCGTTATACATCGGCTCCATCAAACAGTCAAAGCTCCAAAAATACTGACAGAAAATGAAGAAGATTGGATAGATAAGGATAACCTCTTGAGAAAAGTACGAGAACAAATGGAAACTATAGAAAATCATTTTATTTATATGATGGGGCATATTTCCGTATTAAAGAAAGGCCTTTGATATCGTGAAATCCAAAACAGATACATTCTTTACATAAGAAAGGTGTGGTCAATTTAAGGATCAGTATCACTACTCTACCTTAATATCCAAAAAGAAATCTTGAATATATATGTATATATATATAAGAAGGGGGATGATGTTTTTGAAATAAAAGCTATGGTGAATTTATTGATATGGCATTGAAACGAATGGCTTATAGAAATAGACTTTAATGTCACAAGAATATAGCATTTATGTAAACCCTTCACTATGCTCAAATGATCAAACTCCGATATCGGCCGTGTATATCTTCGTTCATCAAGAGAGCTTTGAAATATCCTTTTTGACAGCATCAAATCTAAATTTGATTATATCTTTCTATCCTTCAATCTCAAGGTACCCCTCTCTTATATAGTGCTTTTGCTATAATACGCCTTGCGTTTCATTATATAAAGCCTCTTTACTTTGAATTTACGATGACGTCGCCAGCATTTTTGTAAATCCGCCTCTCGGCTCTCTCTCTTTCTTGCTCTGACTTTCTCTCTCCTCAGCCAAGCCCAGTTTTTGCTTGCTATTTTCCCCCCCTTTCCTTCAGAAATAAAGGACTAGTACGATCAACCTACGATGGAGGCTCAACAAACTAACGCACGATCTCCAACTGATTTTCTCAACTCTGTTCTCGGACGTCAAGTAACTGTCAAACTTAACTCGGGCATCGATTACAAAGGTAGGATGAGCAAGACGTGTAGCATAATATTCCATAGCTGCGTAGGTGTTGTGATTTATAAGAGCTGATAACATATCTATTTTCTTGTTAAAATTATTGCTTAGGTGTTCTTGCATGCCTTGATGGTTATATGAACATTGCATTGGAAAACACCGAAGAGTATGTGGATGGCTCTTTGAAGAACAAGTATGGAGATACCTTTATTCGCGGAAACAATGGTAATGACATTCATTAGATGGAAATCATGTGTACTGACTTTATGCGTCTGTAGTGCTCTACATTAGTGCAGATAAATCAGCATAGATTTTTTTTATCTTTTTTCTCTTTCTCTCTCCCTTCTATTCTCTTCTAAAAAAAACACAGTATTTTATGCTGAAATACACCCAAAATAAGAAAGACCCAGTATGCTTGTGTGTGTGTTTATATTATATGAAGGTGGGGTAGAAAGAGAGACAACGAGAAAGAATTGTGGCACGGTGAAAGTGAGAATGTGACGGGCCTAATGCGGCACACTTGCTGCCATGGCCTTTATCACGTGCGTTTAACCAGGGCAGAGGGCCCGCCTTTTTCAAAGGACAATCTCTCGTTTTGGTGCATAAGCACCAAGGCATTTGGGAATTAAATGGTCTTGCCGTAGCATATATATATTACAGGTCACCAATGTACTTCTTGGTATATGTAAGAAGCACCTTGATACGTTACAACTTTTCTTGACTTGTCTATAAGCTACTATGGCTTGATTTGAGAATCAGTTCGAAAAAACACGCGTTTGTTTGTATACTGTAGTTGATAAAAGTCCCACAAATGGTCCCTTTCTCTGGAACTCTCCCCCAGTCAGACTTTGCTGTCATGGTGCAACACTGCTCCAGAACAAGGGACAATCAAGGGACCCTTTTCCTATTGTCCAACAACCACGCGTTGTTTTCATGGCCAGGCTGGGAGCAGTTTGCTCTTACTGCCTGTGTCGGATTAAGAAAAAAGAATGACGGAAGAAGTCCGGAGCGCGTGTTATTTTCATATGAATCCACAGCTTCTTTAGCGGAAAACATCGGGTTGATTTCGAAATACTCCCTCAGTTTACTACACTAATAGTTGAAGAAGTATGCTATAAAGATAAGGATAATACTAGGATGACCTTTAATAGAGAGAATCGTTATATGTGAGGTAGAAGAAAAAAAAACAAAGAAAAGGTTAGCTTCTCTTTCTTTCTTTTTCGAGTACGCAAAGTGATGTTTAAGTATGCGATTGAGTAAGGGTGTCGAGACTCGGGAAATGGCTGAAGGGCTGGGATGGGTTAGAGTAAGGTAAGGGGGTGGGGGAGGAGAAAGGAGAAAATGGATGATTGGCCAATGGGAGGGTGGTCTGGGCCATGCATTGGTGTGTTTCTCTTGCTATTTTCCCAGGACTGCATTTATAGCTTGAAATTTGTGTTGACCGGGTCCCCTTATAAATACAGCCTAAGAGTGCCCAGGCACCACTTTTCTCCATCTTTCTTCTCTTCAAATTATCTCCAAAAGAACAATGGGTATCCTTGATATTATCCCTGCTGGTGTCGTTACTGGTGACAACCTCTACAAGCTCTTCGAGTATGGTACGTCGAACTTGAAATCATCCTAATATCCAAAACTTAGCTTAGCCTAGACTAGTTTGAATTGACTTGACTTGCTACTTTGGAGTCTCTTTCACACGCTCATTCATGCTTGAACCAACAACATGGATAGCATACTTCAAATCATTCAATGAATCTATTTGACTTACATTTTGTAATTTGTCTGTTTTCTTTTCGACCTTCACTATAGCTCGTGAGCACGAGTTTGCTATCCCTGCTATTAATTGCACTTCCACCAGGTAAAGGATCAGGAAATCAACTTATTAATCAATAGACGTCATGCGGGGTAGGGGATGCGGCATTTCAATAGGTCCCGGCTTTTTGCTGTTTCCCCTCTCTCCTATTCCCGTCACGATCTAATTACCCCAGACACAATCAAACTCACCTCATACATCCCATCCAATAGCACTGTCAACGCTGCCCTCGAGGCCGCCCGCGACATCAAGTCCCCCATCATCCTCCAGTTCTCCAACGGTGGCGCCGCTTACTTCGCTGGTAAGGGTTTGTCCAACAAGAACCAGGAGGCTGCCATCATTGGTGCCGTTGCTGGTGCTCAGGTATGTTATTTAGGCTTATCAACTAGTGTTATATATATCTTTCGTGCTCTTGATTTACTAAATCGTATACACCTCAGTATGTCCGCACAGTCGCCAAGGCCTACGGTGTTCCCGTTGTCATCCACTCTGACCACTGCGCCAAGAAGTTGATCCCCTGGTTCGATGGTATGCTCGCTGCTGATGAAGAATACTTCAAGGCCAACGGTGAGCCTCTCTTCTCTTCCCACATGTTGGATCTCTCCGAGGAGTCCAAGGAAGAGAACATTGAGATCTGCCTCAAGTACCTCAAGCGCATGGCAGCCATTAACTGTTTGTTGGAGATGGAGATTGGTATCACTGGTGGTGAGGAGGATGGTGTGAACAACGAGGATGTCGACAACGCTGCCCTTTACACCCAGCCCGAGGATATCTACGAGATCTACACTGCCTTCTCCAAGGTCACCAACCTCTTCTCCATTGCCGCCGGTTTCGGTAACGTTCACGGTGTCTATGCTCCCGGTAACGTCAAGCTCCACCCCGAGTTGTTGGGTAAGCATCAGGCCTACGTTGCCGAGCAGCTCAAGGTTGCTGACCCCAAGCCCGTCTTCTTCGTTTTCCACGGTGGATCTGGCTCCACTGAGGAGGAGATTGCCACCGCCGTCAAGAACGGTGTTGTCAAGATGAACGTTGATACCGATACCCAGTGGGCTTACTGGGCTGGTCTCCGTGATTACTATGAGGAGAAGAAAGCCTATCTCCAGACCCAGGTTGGTAACCCTGAGGGTGAGGGTAAGCCCAACAAGAAGCACTACGATCCCCGTGTCTTCATCCGCGCTTGTGAGAAGACCATGTACGCTCGTGTCCAGCAGGCTTGCAGAGACTTGGGCAACGTTGACAGATTGTAAATAACTTTTCCCCTAAACTATATCTTTTTCGTCTTTTTTATTATACATTCACCTTTTCTTTCCCCTTTTTATCCTTCTCGATGAATGAGCAACAAACACGCCAGCATGAAGTTGAAATATACATTTGAAAAGAAGAAAGACATCCTTTCATTCTTTTGTTACAACATCTACATACTTTTTATTATTGGAAGATCTTATTTCCTGCTTTTATTGTTTTTTTTTAAAGAAAAAGAATTGGTGAGAAAATGTGAACAAGATAATATACTTAATTATTTGCTGTGAATGATCTTCTTTTGGGGGAGATTATACTGGATACCATTAGATTAAACGGCAAGTAGGTCGTTCTGGAAACTCAGGATCCAAGAATACATGTTTGGTTCTTAGAACAATCTATTTTGCGAATGTGATGTCATTGAGTACAAGGTGTTTCCCTGGCCCAAGTATTTGGTATTAACATCTCACTCGTCGATTTACACGTATGTATCTAGTAAGTGCTTTTTATGATACCGTTTTATTGCTATGGCAGTTGGTTTGGATATAACATGCCTGATGTATCTCTACTTACAAAATATTTTCTTTCTTTACCTTGTAATATAACATATGCGTTATTTACCTATAGAATGTCTTTAATTTAAAAATGGTCACACCAAGGTATACGATCCTGTGTATACGTGGGCAGCGCCATGTATCACTCCATTGTTCTCTTGATATAATCATGAGCCAGGAGTACCGATATATATATATTTACTCTCAGCAGCTTATCTTCTAGTCTCTCAGATAAGAGTTGTTCGGCATGGCCTGACCAAGCAGTGCGTGCTTTACGAGCACGGGGAAAGTAATTTGATTTGTTTGTTTGTTTGGTAACTTGGTTGAGTTGGTGCATAAAAAGATAATGTTAGAATGGGGCAACCAAAAGGCTGTGAAGTTTGAAGAATACAGTACAAGGAGTTTTTGGCTCACCTTGTTTGTATTTGTGCTGAGTGTTCTGATTTTTGGGGCACATGAATTAGATAAATCAGAAATCAGAAACCATACTGATAAAGCGCCATAAAACTTTCACAGACTTATTAATTTTGGAGTGCTACAAAAAAGTGTGATAACTTCCTTGAGGCTATTACTGATATGATATCTTTAATCTAAATATTCACTTTAATTGATAAATAAATAGTTGGCAGCTTTCTTCTTTACTTTTACGTGTTTCAACTTCAAAATTCGTGCAGCTAGCTATAAACCAAAATCATACACGCTATTGAAAAAAAATGCAAGCTGCATCTTATATTCTCAAAACTATTGAAACAAGTCTGTATGAGGAATATATAACCAGCCCTTTGGAAAGTATAGGGATTTGGAATAAACAGTAGCTACATAATATCAGCATAAAGTAACCCCCTAATACAGAGTTTCGCATTCAAAAATAAAATAAAAAGCCCCAAAAAATGGAGATAATCTCGGGTTAAATTTGAGAAAGTTTACTTTTCAAAAATGTGATCCGTAATCCCCAAACAACAACATCATGGTGATATTGATATAAATTATGTACATACAGTAGAGAGGTCAGAAATTTGGTACAAGCCTACGCCCTTTCTATTTCTGACAGGAAGATTTTCTTGAAAGAGTTTTGAATTTCTTATTTTCGAATGTGAAACTCTGTATACTTAATTCGCGCTTAAGGTTATACTTTTTCTGCTTTAAGAAGAAATATATGTCGATCCTAACCTATGTATATGTTGTATTCAGCTTCTCTTTATCTTTTGGAGGCTCACTCCAAATGGATATCATTTTCTAGCACTTTCCTAAGGTTTGTCGTTTATTTGGGTAGAACAAAGGGATATACTGGTTTGGTTTGTTTAGTTTATCATTAAAGATGTCTCTTCTTCTAACTTTATGATAAAAATCCGTTTCAGAGCTCATAAATAAGGTTTTATCCTGAACAACTTAATCCAAAAAGTGAGCAATTGGCTCTCCAAAAAGAAAAACCAACCAATTTATATCAAAAAGCTGTTCAAAAAAGCTTCCAAAAATCAAAGTGACCAAGTGAAGGTGGAAGTACTTTATTGGCATTAACTCCTTCCTTTTATATTTTAATCTCGGCCCAAGATAACTTTGCAAAGAAAAAATCAATTAGTATATTTATGGTTTTTTTTGGGGGTCCTTGACACTAAAAACTGATCAGGACAATTATGTATCATTTAATATTCTGTATATAATAAATAGGAGCTTATTATAGCTCTATACAAAATCTGAATTAGTAGAAGAATAAATAAAAGAACTGTGATATCTTTTGGAGGGTTATGTGGTCTGTATGATGCTTTTAGGCTTTTGACAATAATGAATTCTGGGACTGTTACTGTTTTTATTAAATTGGCCTATATAGGAAATTTGACTAAAAATATCAAAGGTAAGGCAAATTTTATTAAATTCTTTATATTCTCATTATGAACTTGTGCGCGTGGTAGATCCCCAGAAGTGATTCAGAAGAGCTGTGAAGAATGGTCCGAGAACAAGGCTATATTAATGAGCTCAATTGAGATCAACGATAAAATAAAAATTAAATAAATATGTGTTATGATGCACTGACTTGTACAACTAACCTCTTGAGCTTTTATATACAGTGAAGCTGTAAAATATTGGTTAATTTATAAATCTGAATGGTGAAGACTAAAAAATCATTGGCCATTTTTAATTTTTTATCGACTCGTTTGAAAGATTGTTTTGAACACTTTTGGAGTTTAAGTAGCTCGTTAGAACTTCACTTTATCTCGACACTTACTGACCTAACGCTTGGAATGGCTGCAAAATCCGCAAAGATTACTAACACATACATTGTTACATACATCAGCGATTTTCTGGGATAAAGTGTCTTCAGCTCAAATCCTCGCACTTTCTCTTCCTCTTCACAAAAGCCCAGATTTGCTCAATTGGGTCCAGTTCTGGTGAATATGGAGACATATACATGACTCCGTGGCCTCTGCTCTCAATTTTTCTTATCATGGGATGTGATTTGTGAAGTGTACAGTTGTCTATTACAAGACGACTACCCTTTACGCTTTCACCCATATCCATGATGTCAAGCTGCTCATTCATGAGCTTTATTAAATGATCCGCAGCTCTGCCTTTAGAAGGAGGCTTATTGCCTTTCTTGTCATCACTGTTCCCAACATCGAAGTATTCTTGACAGGTTCTTCAATGATGATTTCATCTGCCTTTTGATCTTTGTCTCTTATAAACTTTCTTTCCTTTGATTCTTCACTCGTTGCTATCTAAGCTTTTTGAGCCTTTTCTTTTCTTGGTGGGGGTTTCTTTACAGCAAAATGGATGATACTGGAGGAGTGAATAGCACCAATAGTTATATGGTATGGATAACGACCGTCTTCAACTTCTACTATGGCAGGTGTTCCTACAGTTGACTTTTCCAATTATTCCTCATATTAATCCTGAGTCCAACGTCATCAATGAACACACAGCACCTCTCGTAGTCTAAGTCAATATCCTTTCGCTTCATAAACCGTTCATGTCTCGTTTATAGATTTTTTATGACGTTCTTATCTTAGGTTTAAATGATGGCTTCTTTACAGAGATAAACATGTTTTATCAAATGATGATTCATTTAATATTTAGAAATTGAGAAGCCTTGAAACTTAGAAGTCAACGAATCAATGATGTCTACAGCACATATTTGCGGATCCTTTTCAATCATCTCTTGGATATGCTGATCGTATTCATCAGTAAAAGTACTAGGTCTACCCAAATACTTTTCATACTTCTTATAGGGCATCTCCTCTGTCTCCTTACACTGCTTCCACCAACTCGCAGCAGTGGTAGACTTTATTCTTAATTATCTCGTAGCCGCTGCTAATCTTGCTCTTTTGACAAAATATTCGATCGATAAATTGCTTTTTCGTGTGGTCATATAAGATTTATGAGTACCACTGACTGAAGGCTTAGCCAATTTGATTTTATTAACGGGTATGTCCTCCATTTCAGTATCTTCTTTATATTCTGGTTTGACAGTCAAGTAGGCAGTTTGACTCGTTATAGTGCAAATAAATATATTGAGGTCGGTGATTGCTGTCAATAAACCTTCTATTGAATCTATAAAAATTTCTCCATTCTCATTATAGTCATTATGGATTGTGACTAATAGTTTAAACATCAGGATCAAACTAGCTCTTGTGTCCCAAGTCACTGGAATTTATGCGTCTCTTAATTCAACGACCTGCAATTTGTTTGGATTATAAAGAGTGGTTTTAATTATCATGATTTTGTCGCAAATGAATTGTATTCCGAAGACTGCTATGCTTCTGTCAGAGAAACTACTGTCAGACTTCTTGATTTCTAATTCCAAATAAACTATTAAAAACCAACTAGATAAAACTAAGGTTTTTTATTATAAATATATATATACATATATGAGTGTATATTTGATGAATTAAAAGAAGAAGAAAAGGTAATATATGGTGTGGCCACCACAAGATTTGATTGCCGCTTGGACGCAACTCTATTATGCATACCTGCTACAGTACTATAAAGACCTTTTGAATCAGTATGATTCCCTTCCTTAAGGGTATGGTCCTTCAAATCCTTAGACATTATTTACAGAATCATTTCTCTCTTGAACGTTGGATTTTAGAACATGATGTTCGATTGGGTTCAAATCCAGATTTAAAGATTGTGAATAGTCAAATCGCTGAATCTTTAAACGGGATTTTTTATCGCGTCGTGTAGGGATCTAGTCTGATAGTTAGCCCCGTATTCTTGGAATTTGAACAGCGTGTCAGTTTTATAATTTAACTTCATATACCAAGGGATTTTGCAACAAAAAGAGACGACAGAATGAGACTGTGATCAAAAGAGAGGTGTATTTCTGGGTAGAATGAAATTGTTTTATCATATGGGAATGTAAATGCTTGAACATATTGTTAGCCTGTTCAGCTTCTACAATGATTCTAGCGGAGAAAATTGGTTCACATTATATCGAGATCAAAAACGGCCGCCGGAAATTATGATCAATATTTTGGTGAATAGAGGTGTAAAATACAATCATGAGAGAAGGTCGTGGAAAAGTAAGTACTTTTATATTTTAACATTTTAAGTAGCTACCTTCTAATTCAGAAAAATACAAAGGTTGAATAAATGGAGGCCGCAAAGGTATTTCGAATATAAGGGTAAGATCCCACTGATCGTTTTTTGGGGATAGTATGCTCCGCAATGATTCTGTAAAGCTAAATCGGAACCGATTTGGAGTCACAGGAATCTTATAGAAGACCCTAAAGAAGGGGGAAAGAGACGGCCGACTGATTACTGTTACAATTGATGAATATAATTCTTCAAAAACTTTCAGTGGCTGGCATCATAAAACGTTGAAGACAGTTAGGCATATTTGCGGTCAGTATTCTTGGATCCACATCCTGTAGAATACTATAGCAGCGAGATTTCAATGCGAGTAAAAATATAATGACAGTATCACTTTTGACTTGGACATGAAGTGGTCGACCAGCTGCTTTCCACAGACCTAAAGAAAAGAACAATAAGCACAATAAGCACCCCCACCCCATATCGCTGTATTATAGACAGCTTGTCTTTCGGGACATTTAGATGATTACAGGTAAGCGTCTAAATACTACTTTCCCTTCACCTAAGAACCAATTTGTTTTTGTCTACATTTTCTTTTCTGTTTGTCCAAAAAAGGTAAATATATCATCTAAAAGTTAGTTTTGATTCGTCTAAATAAATTCCTGATGTGTCTCAATCCCAAGTAGAAACACTGTGTCAAGCTTGGCAAAGGAGGACGTTTTATTTTATTTTGGCTAAATATGGTACAATATAATAAGGTTTTATTTAATTCAATATATGTTCCAATTTAATTGGATTCAATTGAACCTTTTTTTAATATCCTCTTTTATGTATATTTTTACTCTGTTTGTGCTTTATGAGCTTTGTGCTATTTTACAAAACTCTCTTTTTCTTCCCCTCTTTTGAAGCGACTCACAAGACATTATGGAATTTGTATTTCATAGCTGTTTTGGTAGAATGATTTAATTTTCAATTGTTTTGCCAATAGAGAAATGGTGTCGTATATTTAATATTTCGTTTGTCGCTATCCATTGATACAAAAGAAAGAAGAAAAGGACTTTGACAGAAGATTGTTAATAGCTAACCTAGCAGCTTTAACCTTTAAAACCAGAATATTAAGCACCATCTATTTGAAAGAAGAAACCCCCCAATTGGCAGTAATTGAACAATCAATAATAGAACTCGGTCAGGAAAAAAAAGGTGTCATTTGTGTTAAACAATGTATATCGGCAACATTAAATATTAAATACACGCAAACATTCTATACTCCCAGCAGTTTTAAATGGAAATGATATGTTACATTGAATAATTTCATCCTTTTGAGCTCAATCCCGAAGAGAAGGACAATTGATGAAGCTGTATTTAAGAGACAAAGTATTCCTTATATGACCTTCCAATAAGTGAAGTCTCATTCTACCAAGTTAAACTTAATAAATACACTTCCCTTGTTCATTGTCCCACCGGCTACTACACATGCATATATATGTATCGTTCTTATTTACAGTGTCCTAAAAAGCTTTTTGCAAGATTGGATTCAATCGCAGCAAATCCTTGTGTACTGAATTGTTGGGTAGGCTTTTCCTTTTGATTTTTAAAATAGAAATAAAAATAAAAATAAAATGAGGTCCCCCCCTTTCACTTTAACCTATTCAGCCTCCGGTCTTCAGAGTTTTATTTTTATATATATATTTTTTAACCCCTCTTCCCCTTTCTTTTTTCTTTCCCACCTTGAATGCCGAGGCATGTTTGCTCGTCCAATGTTCTTCCTCACAAACACACGAAAGAGACTCGTTCTGGTGATCCTGGCCATGCTTGGAGTGTGCTTTGTCGGGTTCCAGCTACATTATTATCGTGGTGATGGATTAGGTCTATCGGACAACCTTTTGAGGTGGTCAGCCGACGAATCAAGCCCCATTAACGCTGAAGAAGAGCAATACCTCACATACCTACCATATTCCCGCTTTTCAAACCAACGCAGCACTCTGCTAAATGCAGCCCTCTTAGCCAAGTATCTTAACCGTACACTAATCGTACCTCCCATGATCCTTGGGTCTGCAAATGGATGGTCACCTGCACCAGGTCTCTATAATGTACTAGAAGACATGACAGACTTAAAATATCAAGACCGCTGCTTTGATAACGGTGAACCTGTTGAAGAACCAATAGTATTAAACGATATGGGTCTGCCTATCTTTGGCTGTACAAACTTTACTTCTTACGTCATGCTACCCTGGAGCTGGGCAACTGATTTGCAACGTCTAACACGAAGTGAAAATGACGGCGGACTAGGCATCAAGATCATTGAAAGATCAGACATGTCATTGTCAAGATTACAAGAAAACCTTGGATTGGAAAACAAAGACATGTTTGTAATGCAGGACTCCACCGTAAGTTTTCGATACAAACAAAGATGGAAAAATCGATAAATAAACCAATATATATATATATGTGTGTGTGTGTGTATATCTAGAGATACCAATGGCATATGTATGATACTCCAGGTCAAGCTGTCAACCCTCGCTATCAGTATGAGATTTCACTACACGAACTAGCCGGTATTCGACAACGACTAGTTCATTTCTATGGAATCTTTGGTTACGATCGTATCACTCTGACAGATCCATTAAACGAAGAATACAGACTAAGAATCCAACACGCTCTGATTTTCCAGAACAAGGCTATCACAGACTCCACAACAATCATTCTTGAACAACTCTTACGTGATATTAGCGCTTCAGATGAAATCGTTCCGCTTGATCCGGAGCAGGCTCGCACTATCGAACGTCATGGTGACTTTGTTCCTCCTCAGTTTGTGGCTGCTCACATCAGGGCTGGAGATGGTGTGTTCTTAAAGGGGCTCGGAGAACGTGTGCCCGAGTTCGTTCATCAGATCTGGGACATTATGACTGGAAATGAAACTATTCTCGACGATCTTATCGGCTCTAGTAACAACAAGACTGCGAACGAACAGATCGCAGCCCATGCCCACACACTCTACCCACTTCCCACTGCACCAGTCGAATTACGTGATCGTCTGCTCAAACTTCCCCTGCTAGAAAGACTTGCAGAATGTGGAGCTTCTAAGCAAATGGTCCTTTATGTAGCAACTGATGCCATTGATCCACGGAATAATTATGAAATGAAGCCTGTCCTGAACGCATTCCCGTGTACCGTATTTATGGCTGATTTCTCTCCAGAATGGAAGGTACCTCTCCTCGAAGTCCGTTCTCCACTTGATCCTCAAAAGAGCTTGGCCAATCATCTCATCATGTTTGTGGATGCTTCTGTGTGTGCCTGGGCAGAACGGTTCATTGGAACTCGTACTTCCACATTCTCGGTAATTAATGAAATGTAGTCTGTATTCAGTATCCTATTATTATTTGCTTACACCAAGTACTTCTCTCCCTCTCTCTATTTTAGAACTATATCAAGCAGCATCGACATGCAATCTATGATGAGATGATCGAACATCAACATTTACATGATTAAGCTTCCTCTCTCTCTTGTACATAGTGACATTTTTTTACTTCTCTTTCCCTCTTCATCCCTTGGTTACAATAGACTTATTTAGTATCTATCTCGGCTTAAAGCAACCTCAAAGCATATATTTTTTATACCGTACCTTTTCTTCTTCTGATTACTACTACATACGATTTTTCCCAACTAAATTATATCTATATATAAATATATATTTATATTTATATTTATATAAAAAAAAAAGAAATACCTCTAAACTCAGGCATCATTGTGGTGTCATGCAAAAATTCCTTTTTTCAATGTGACTTGCATGATCCTATTCTTCTTTCCCTCTCTTTTTCACCACCATTTACCTTAACCATGGATGACCCATCAGTAGACAGTTTCTCTGTAAGGACAATAAAGTCAATCCTCCCTTACATGAAACGAAAGAGTCTAATAAACCAAACATGTACATTCAATATCTTTATAACAATAGCTTGTGCATGACCCTCGTATTGCCATGCACAGCAATCTCAACTCAGACAGCTCATCTCCTGCCAAGTTATTATATTCCAAGTCAAAGGTCTATATTCATCCCTCTGCAAATTCAGCCGATGCAATTCCGGGCTATTTGTCTGTTGTTGAACAAGTAGGTCTAGTATTTGATTACTGTCCTGTCAGGACTGGAGCTATGATTTGTGTACATATGTCTCAACACTTGTGTGGTTTGTAAAGGCATCCCGTGCCTATCTCGTGGCCTGGACACCTGAAGCATTGATACCTTCAAAAGACATGGAAGCATTTGTACAAGTGGACTGTAACCCCGAAGATTCCACTGAAGAGGGTAAGTCTATATTTACTCGAAAAGAAAAGAAAAAAATACTGATACCAATACCAATACCAATAATAAATAGCACCGATGATTCCATCCATTGGCTACGTACCCGAGGAATACGCTCTTTATGCCATATCATCTCCACTGCAGGAAATTCACTCGCTTCTTATTCGACCACCTTCTCTCACGAAGTGGTACGGAAGTGTTATCCTTAATTTCAAAGATGGTCACTCGTCTGCTCCACTTTGGTTTCATGATGATGAGAGCAAGAGTACTATGCTTCAGAAAAAAACCCAGGGTGGAAAGTTTGCTGATGATGACAATCAGAACACAAGTCCACAGATAAGATGGGGAGGTGATGAATTTGTTGACCGTCTGAGCCAATTGACAAGTGTTGTCAGGTATTTTTTTTAAAAAAAAAAACATGTTTTGAACAAGATGACATGACTAGTTTTGCTACCGTATAGAGCTGCGCACCAGCCACTATTGTATTGGGTCGGTAAGAAAGAAGAGCCAAAAGAACAAGAATTTTCCGAAAAGGGTGAACAAAGCCATGTAAAAGAAGTACCTGCTCAGAAGATCAATGAAAAGAATAAAGCTGAAGAACCCAAAGCAAGTGTGTTTGAATCTGCTCAGATGGATCCAATTGTCGCTGTGAGTCAATTAAAAAAATCAAATTAAGTACATAATGTATATTCATCAAATCGAACCAAATCAAATCAAATGTCTTATAGGCATTGAAAGAGGCACGGTGGAGTATTCTTGAAAGATTGTCAAGAGTTACAAAGTTCTCTCGTGATACAGCAGGTTTGAAAATGCGAAACTTAGTTAATTCACTAAACAATTTATCCTAACTATTGCTTAAAAAATGCAACAACAATAGTGAGCATTTTAGGACACCCTTCGTCTCGTCCTATTGTGGCTATGCTTCCTCCAGAAATTCAGGAAATGTGCAATAATGAGACAGTCAAACAAACTATTGATGACTATGACTCTGCACGTATTTATCTCGCCAAATGGGCAGCTGGTCTTGCTGCTCAATCAGAACAGTCAGCACCAGTAGAAACACGATACCGTCATGTAGGAGTATGGGGTCATGATGGCTGGGAAGAAGACACGGCTCTTGGTGTATTTGAAGTACTCAACGTAAGCTCATACACCCCCACCCATATATGCACATATACTTACTCTGCTTAAACATACAATGCATATAATTCATTAATTACTTTTCTATAAAATAGTCTGAAAACGATTTCTCTATCCCGACTCACACAAGAACTAGTCCAATTACCAGACAACAATGGGATTCATTCTTTAACGAGAGTGGCAGATTGAGTGTAGGTGAACCATTTATGCGACGTAGCATATTCTGCGGAGGACTTGATCCATCTGTTCGACATGAAGCATGGCTCTTTTTAACGGGGGTATACTCATGGAACTCTACCAAAGAAGAACGTGCTACTCTTCTCAAACAAAAAAAGTATGCGCCTTAAACACAGACAGAAACTAGTATGTTATTAACAAAAAATGTATAACCAACAGAGCTGAATATGCAAAATTAAAGAGTCAATGGGCGGATAATGAAGAGTATCAAAAAGATCCTACCTTCCAGGATCAAAAACACAGGATTGGTAAGGATGTTCATCGCACTGATAGAACAGTTCCTATGTATGCCAATGAAGACATGCCCAACCCAGATCCTCTTATGCATGTCGGTACCAACCAAAATCTTGAGACACTCAAAGACATCCTTTGCACTTACAATATACACAACACGGAGCTTGGTATGCCTTTTGTTTCCGAATGCGACTAAATATTCTTAAAACTAACCTACTATTATTATAAACGTGTCATTAGGTTATGTTCAAGGCATGTCTGATCTATTATCTCCACTTTATGCTGTTCTGGAAGATGAAGCACTTTCCTTCTGGGCATTTGTTGGTTTTATGAACCGCATGGTTGGTTACTTTCCTTACATATATTATGTTTATTGTTAAGCTTTGTTTTAAACTAACTTGCGCTGTTTTTTTTTCTAGAAATCCAACTTCTTTATGGATCAATCCGGAATGCATAAGCAGCTATTAACTCTTGATGGGCTCTTGCAATTTATGGATCCAAGTCTCTATAAGCATTTCGAACGCACTGATAGTGATAATCTTTTCTTCTGTTTCCGATGGTTGTTAGTCTGGTTTAAGCGTGAATTTGCTTGGGACGATACCCTTAGATTGTGGGAAGTATTATGGACAGATTATCTTACCGATCAGTTTCATTTGTTTGTGGCGGTATCTATTTTGGACCAGGTAATGATATTAGCTAGTTTTTTTTTGCTGGAAAATTACATGTTAAACTTACTATTTATTTTTTATGATATATGCGTATATGCACGTAGCACCGAGATGTAATCATCGACTATCTTAAAAACTTTGATGAAGTTCTCAAGGTAAGTTTAATAACTCGTTTTTTAATCTAAACTAATTCTCTTTTTTTAATGATTGAAAAAAAAACACATGTTTCTTTTTACTTTAGTATATCAATGATCTTTCAATGACCATTGACTTAAAAGAAACCCTGCAGCGAGCAGAGATAATATTCTATCAGTTTAAGCAGCGTGTGGAAGCAGTAGAAAACAAGCGTGATACATTAAAGAAAACAATAGGGCAGCGTAAAAACACTCCCAATGAACATCTGGAAGATAAATTGCCAATTGTTAATGAATTACTTAAGGGCTTGTTGAAATCACAAACACAAGGAAATTGATTATATTAACAGAAAGAGAAAAGTGTAAATAAACAGAAACCCATTTTCAAAACCCATTTACTATATATTCCTAGATATACAAGTCCACGCACTACATACCAAATACATAATGTGTTTCAGTGAACTTTTGCTCTATGACTTTACAGCTATAATAGATAGTAAATACAATATTATTTTGACAGATTGCTTTATAGACAATGATGTACTATACTTGATACTTCTCCGACTAGTGTCGTAAGATTATATAATTAATATACTTCAAGTATAATTTAGATGTCGATTTAAAAGTTGAGGGTAAATCAAGACTACTCCAACTTCTTTGTGAATATTAGAAAACTTGTTCCAACTTATAATATATACAACTTATCTTATTATCCATTATAGCAAAGTCAGATGGTCAATATTTATAGTAAAAACAAGAAAAGACAAATCACGTTTAAAAGTCTCAGCTTTGATATGTTCTATGGATATGTAGACCTTTTATTATGTGCGTTTTATTTAGAATAATATGATATTCAACGTCATATATGAATCCACACATAAAAGTCTGTCAAAGAACTTAATTTAATATGTCTTGATTCAACAAAAAAAATAAGAAACAGAAAAAGCAAAATGGTAACTGTGAGATTCGAACTCACGCCTCTTGCGAGACCGCAACTTGAGTGCGGCGCCTTAGACCAACTCGGCCAAGTTACCCTTCTTGTTTTTACTGAATTAAGCAAAGTATAAAAGTCAAAAGTATATAATATAAAAACAGGCAACGAAGTATACTTGATAGTAAAGAAATGTATTTAAAGAGATACAATCAAGCACTACAGCGGGATGAATGGCAGTTGGGCCGAAAGTAGGCACATAACTGCCATTTTTTCGGTCGAAACCCAATAAAATCTCCGCCGTTTGTCGTAAGATGGTAATATTATTTGTAGCAATTTAAAAAAGTAACATGAAAACACTTTTTTTGTTGCTGTATAATATTTTCAATACTGTAAAAAATGTTTGTAAGTTGTAATAACCACTTTGAGTATTGAAATATATGTTTTATTGAATATTAAAGATGTCAACAATTATTAAGATTAATAATTTTTGGAATGTGTGAACGAAATGGTATCATAACTGCCATTTTTTTTATTTTTTAAACTACGTTCTTTTTTTTTAGATATTCTTTTTATCTTGATGAATTAGCAATTTGATTTTATTTAAATCGCGTAATAACATATAGAGCATATAGGGAATGAAGAGAAAAGCATAAGGTGTATAGAGAATAGAAAAAAAACTAGAGTATATAAAGAAGAAAAGAAAGACGGGGCATATAGAGATTGAAAAAAAACATAAGAAATAGAGAAAATTAAAAAAAGAATATAAGATACAAGAATGATATAAAAAATATAAAAGATATAAGAATATAGAGCATATAGAAAAATAAGATAAAAATAAAAAGGATTACAGAATAGAAAGATTGCCTTTAGTAATGCACATGTTGTTGTTAAAAATATAATAGGGCACGATTACATAAAACTGGTTTCCATTTGGTGGGTATTGGACCAGACCAACTTGATGACAAATGTCATTTACACTTATAACTGCATAAGTCAGTTGCATTTGGTGGCCTAGTGTACAGGTGCTTTGTGACCATTGTTTGACGATAGGTACTGATAAGTCATGGCCAGCTGCGTCATGTTCCTTCATGACCTCCACGAAAGCAAGAAAGTGTGGGAAGCCATAGAAATCTACATGCTGAAAGTAGAACTGTACTGTACCAACGAGCCAGCTGTGAACAATTACATTACGGTTGCTAAAATAAATAAATAAATAGAATATAAGCAACTTTTGATTGTATATTGAAAAATATTATACTTACTTTCTATAGGGGCAAGTAAACATCACGTAATGGTTGCCACGGCTGGTCTTGTTTTTCTTTCTTTGGTACATGCATGAGGAATATACAGTCGAGTCCATCCACAGATGTGCAGCTACAACAACAACAGAGTTACCAAACTTGTGGCCAGTCAAGTCTGTTGTTCTCCGGTAATATTTCAATAAAGCTTCCTTCACACTAGGGCCGCCTACACCTTCCACCAAATCATCATTCAAATTAACAAACTGATGAAATGGCTCCCACAACTGCGCACCACTAGGATCATTAGGAAGGTCCATGTAGCTCTCTCTTCCATATGGCTTTGGCCAAATGAGGTTGACTTCATCACAGATACTGATTGCCGTGCTGGTATAATTGTGAATCGCAAATTGCTCAATGAGAAAACTGGCGTTTTGGCAACCCTTTGATTTGGACTTTATCAATTTTGAGAAGACACCAATTACTCTCTCCATTGAGCAAGTGGAGTAGCATCGCAGGGGGCCTTGCTGCTTGATGATATAGGGTATATGGACCAGGTAATGTTGCACTGGTCAGAAAATACTATGAGACAGGGTATTATTCTGGACTTGTTGGTATAAAAACGAGTGCCAGTGCTTGAAGTATCTATTATTAATATTTAAAAAATGGTAATAATCAGCTATTTGTAATGATAATATATGAGATGTATAATAACTTACAACTCCATCTCGTCAAGCAATTCTGATGTCAACATCTATTGCAAGGCAAGCGCGCAACCTTTCACGAGAGATAATAGAGCTGTTTTGACAGCCCTATTTGGTAAATAAGGCATGACTAAAGTGGGGACAAGATATAAGAGAAAGTCAAGCCAGTCAACTGCGCGAGTCCCATCGATCTTGGCAAATACATTGTCAAAACTGCCTTGAAATGAGGTGGGTATATATTTTCGTGAGCTGGTGATACAGTTTCCAATTGTTACAAGGTCTGCTCTTGGTATATGAAAAGGGTATTCGGTGGTATTGAGGGTATTGTCTGGATGGGTATAATAAAATTTGGTTTCCTTTGTGAAGGTGATGGTAATCAGGTCATATACGAGCTTCCCAATCCCTCTTCCAATTAAATGAAGTTCATCTAATGCAAAAAATGATGATCCAGAGAAGGTTGAGAGTTGAGTATATATGCTCGGCTGGTATATGTTCTTGGACTATTACAAGCAGTTATTTAGTATGAAAAAAAGATGGCTAATTGAACATTTGTATACTTACAGGGTTGCCTACTTTGAAGTCTTCCAAAGGTCTTAATGGGGCGGAACTATCCTCAAAGTACATGTCATGCCGTCTGTTAGCAGGGCATTTGCCTTTTGTCTCATAAAAACGGCAAGCAAATAAACTTGTGTGGGAACCAATGTGAGCCATATCAGCTACAGCTGGAATATCACCAGAAGCAAGCAACAGATAGACCTTGTATCTACACAGCTCTACTCCATTGTGCTTGACAACCAAGCCATGTGTCTCAAGATCTCGCAATTCATTGATAACGGGTATAAGAAAGGAGTCCAAATGAGTTGGCGTCTTGGAGCCAGGCAAGATTGCCAGTTGCAAAAGGTATTTGTTGGTATATCTAAGTATTTTATTAGTAACTTTTTTTTTTTAAAAATTGTAATAATAATAATAAATAGTAATAAATCAATTAATTACCTGATGGATGGGTCTAGGTTAAATATTATGCAATGGATGATGGTATATGAGTTTTTGCCTTTCTTTTGATTGAAAAACCCATCGGTATAAAGTCCAATGGCAATATCGTTAGGATTAGAGAAAAGGCCCTGCTGCACCAACTGCTTGTAGTTGTCACCGTCGAAAATATTGGTGAGCTGACCAGCTACAGATTCCCGGTTTGCCCTGTAATGAAGGAGTTCTCTTGTGACTGGATCAGCTAACATTCGAGAAAACATATCACTGACTGACATGAGCTTCATACTGGCGGTTGGTGTTTGATTTTGCTCAGTATCAGTCTTGTATCATGGTTCGCCGCAGTCGACACAAGATTCCTGGTCGTCATTTATCCCATACAATCGGCAACCACTAGGACAGACATCATACTCATGGCCCTTGATGCTTGATTTTGACAAGCAAAGCATCAGCTGTTTCACCATGACTGATTCTGGCCCCGGGCTCTAAGAACAAAAGGAATCACACACTCCTTGTTAGCAGCTTTTAATTACAATATAAGACATCAGTACAGTTACTATTTTAAGACAAATGATGTAATGGCCTCTTTTGTCCTATTCAATCTGGAACTTTTAATAGTTCCGAGCCTATCAACAGCTCCATACAATCAAAAGATTTTTTTTTACCCAACATTATCTCATCATGGTCCCAGATGATCGTATTAACAAATCGGACGATATCTCTGTAAGCTGCTCTGGCAATTTTGTGCTGCAGCATCAATTGAGAGAGGTGGATACTCATCAATTAGGTCCCGGTGAAAGTATTGCTGCCAATTCTGTCATTATCATAAACGTGAGCTTCACCCTCCCTGTTTTTGAATGTACAGCCGTACTTGTAAGAAACAACCTCCCCGACATCCATGGCATCCATGGTATGTTCTGTAATAAATTACTTAGTATCTGGTAAATAAATAATACAATTACAATTTTTATTACCTGAATCTCTAATAGATTCGTTGTCAACAGTAGAATCATCAATATCAAGTTCCATTTCAGTGTCCTTTGAAATATAATAGGCAACTCCAGCTACTGTTGCCGAATCTCCTTTGTGAAGTCTTGTGATTTCGCAGCTTCTGGTAGTTATCAAACTACAAGACAAATCGATCACATTGATGTTGTTGTGTAGATAATCTATCTCTTTGCTGGCTGGCGTTGGGTGAAGTCATATTGTTTGGTTTGGTACGTATGTGATATATAAAATAAAACTGCAAAGAGGATTTTGGTGTTATTTGTGAAATGTAAAAGGGAGCTTTATATACTCTTCATTTTTGGGTCTAGTGTGTACTGCAATTCTTTCTATATATACAGTCTCATCAATTAAATGAAAGAAAATTTTAGCTTCCGCCAAAGTGAAAAAATAACATCCTTAACTCTCTCTTCATTGTTTGTCTACTTTTACTTAAGAAACCACTTTCAAAATCATTGGAATAAGAATATATAACCTTTAAATATTAAGAAAAATAATTTTTATTGAAAGTTTAATATTTAGTAACATCACCACGGGCTTTCTTCATACGGGCTATGCGAGTTGGCATAGACATGCAGTAGGCCTTGCATACTGCAACCGGTATTTACTTCTATTCTTCATGGATAACCTTGTCTAGCTCCTTAATAGTTCTTGGAGCTGGTACTCTTGCCCTTACCATTCGACCCAAATGAGCCCATAGGTTCTCAATAGGACTGAGATCTGGGCTATTCGGCGGCCATTCCATTATTGGTACATTATGGGTCTTTTTCCAGTTCTCAACAAGTTTTGACTTATGACAAGGAGCATTGTCTTCTTGGTAAAGAAACTCCCCGTTATGTCTTTCACTTAGGCGACCATAAAATGGGAGCAACTTTCTTTCCAAAAGGTTTATATAGCCAAATTGGTCAAGGCTGTTAATAATCGTTTTTAGTGGGCCTACTCCTCCTGCCCACACACAGCCCCAAACCATCACCGAACCACCTCCAAACTGTACTCTAGGCATGATACAATCAGACTTGAACTTCTCCAGAGGAAAGCGCCAAATTCTAAGGTTTCCATCCTTTGGGAAAACCATAAAGCGAGACTCATCGCTCCAAATCACACGATCCCATCTTTGATTGGTTTCTTTGCAACGTTTAGCAAACAACAATCGTTTCTTTTTATGTGTTCTGGATAGCCTTGGCTTAAACACAGGATGGCAAGAAGACATTCCGATCTTACGAATAGCTTTGCGGATGGTATTCTTGCAAATGTACTTGCCAATCATGAGTCTCATGGCGTTTGTGAGTTCTCCAAGTGTGGCATTACGATCTTTCTTCGTTTCGTTTTTAAGCTGGCGTAAATCTCTCTCACCCAAAATTGATAGACGTCCTTGGCGTTTTTTTGTTAATGGCGTGCAATTCTGTTTCCATCTTTGAACTGTGCTATGTACAGTTGTCATGGGTATGCCTGTCTTCTCCGAAATGGCAGTCAATGAAATATTATGGAGAGCACCACCGATAATAAGTCCTTTTTCATAGTCTGAAAGCTCTTTTCGTTTCTTAGGAATACTTTTATTGATTTGCTGAGACATTGTGAGATTTGAATGAGAAGAGTTTTTAAAAAAAGCACAACAACTTTGCATTAAAGATGTTCTATTTAGTTGGGTTTAAACTTTTTTCTTTCATTTATTGTATGGGTCTGTATATTTTATAATACTAACGATGTAGCAATAAAGACAACTGTCGTAGAATTACATACTTGTAAAGAGGAGTTTTAACACCTTCACATTGGACATATACAGAGATCTGAGAATGCTGTGATAATAATTTCATATATTCTAAGTATTTCTTGAAAATAGGTGTAGTAGACATATCAACTATTTATTGGTTAAGCTATAAGAATCGTTCATTGCAAGAATAAATTCAGCAAAGAATAGAAAGATCAAATGAAATAAAGAAAGTAAAGTAAAGATATATAGTGTTAGAATTAAGGGTAAAAGAGGAGGATAGGGATTAAGACAAATTTCGACGCGGATTTAGTCTGAAGAAACATCACGGAAAAAATAATACGTGTCTAGAAGTGTATTTTTTAATTTACCCCGGGATATGTTTAGAGGTGTATTTTGCAAGAAAAACAAACAAACATTGACTTATCTCATGAACAATGTAGCAGAGATAATTTATCTAATAACGAGCAAAGATAGAATGAAGTATCCAGTAATATATATAAAAGAGATATAGAATCTCAAGTTAAAAGAAGCTTATAAACGAACACAAACCTCTTGTTTTCTTTGCTAAAGGTCGGCCTAAAAGTCTTATTTTAATATATCTCATTCTAACTTTATATCTTTCAACTATCATGATTTGTTTCTATTCCTTTTTTTTAAGGTACTTCAATCGTAATAAAAGAGTATAGCTGACATCTATTACAGTGTATGGTATTAAATGTTCCTTTGAATCTAGACCTAAGGTGTAGGTTACTTATAAGTTGTGTTTGTATCGTTACCTAATTTTGTAATATGATAAGCTGTCAAATCTACAGTTTTCACCTAAAATGGTTGCCTAGATTAAAAGCAAAAACCTTTGTTTCAATATCAAGCTTGATATATCAATTTAAACTTAGAGAATCGTAAATCTAGTATGTGATACAATTAGCAAAGTTACGAGGCTTTGAAAGAGTTTATAAAATATTTGTATTTATTTTTATATATAGATATCCCTACAGTGATAATAAAAAATATTTTGTTCAATATAAAATAGAAAGGCATAAATGGTAAAGAAAAAAGAGAACCGTTATATAAACAATGTTTGTGACAATTAACGGTAGGAAGAAAGGATAGTCGACACATTTCCACAAACATCGCAAAGAGCATTAAAAATTAAACCTTTTTACCGTATTGCCTTTTTCCCGTGGTAAATTATTAAGAGCAGAGTTCTATATAATGTGTATTGTGGCTCACGTTCCAAGAAGCTAAAAAAGCCAGAATATATCGCTTTACTGCTTAAATCAAGATGCGGAAAGCAATTAAAGGACGTTCTCTCGCCCCAAGAGGTCAAAAATTGGGATTTCTCGTTTTATATCTATGAGAAACTTATCATACTAGATATTGATAAGAAACTAGAAGAAAAAAGTATATATTAGCGTAAATAACTATAGTCAATTCAGCGCCAAACTCTTATTGTGCAGATCTCACTTTAATATTATAGATATACAAATCCAAAAACATCAAAATACTTGAGTCGAAATGAGCACGGACTAATTAAAGAAGTGGCATTGTACAACGTGTAACATAATCTTAACTGTGAGATACCAAATGAAGAGCCTTTAAAGTTGTTATGGCCAGAGTGAGCTATTTATGTGTTAATCTGTTTGATATGGACCACTTCATTTTTTTTTCAAGTCATGGAATATATATATATTGCGGGTAAAAAAACACACAAAGTTAGTCATGGTATGTATACTCATGGTAGGACATAATTCTTTGAATGTTATATGAAGAAACATGACTACTTCTTTGTTATTTTTGACTTGCATTGTTCTTGTTTACCTAAAAGTATTTAATTCTGAATGATCAGAGATATCTTGAGTAGATAAATTTGAGTGCATTGATACCTATTAAGCTCAAAATATTATTTGGGATGAAACAGTGCTTTAAATAGAAGCTTGTTTTTGTAACGTTCTAGTACTACTTCATACAAAAAAAAGTTTGTTAGGACCGAGCCGATCTGTCAATATTATACTGCAAAAGTAATATAGACACACCAAAACGACAAAATCAAACTATTGCCTTAGGAATAGGGTAATCAGCACATGTTATTTTCCTTTCTCCCAGTCCTTGTACTTGAACCAAATGAATGAAAAGTAAATCCATACCCGTGGAATGGTAATTGCACTGGATCAACCACAAGAACTTACTGCATTGAATTACCGATAGTTGCACAATAGTGCTGCAGTCTAATGAAATGTATCGAGCAAAATTGGAATATAGAGCTTGTTTGGAAAGGAAAGGGAGTACGAGATCTTATGATGCCAGAAAGCAAGTGACATCTACAATGCACAGTACATATAAGACTTCTTAAACATGCACTGTATTCTGCATACCTACAGGATTTCATGCCTATTGAATATCATAGTGCTATTCAGCTGATCTGCCTATAAATGCTCAATGCGAGTGAAGAAGCAGAAAAAAGCAATAAATAGATAGAAAAACGAGTTGAGTGTCTGATTGTCTCCACTTTTAGAGATCTTTTCTAACTAAAATAATAATAGTAATAATAGCAGAACTCTGATCGTACTTTAACTGTCCTTTCTTCCTTTTATTGCTTCCTTCCTTTCTTTCTTTTTCTTTCTCTCTTTGTGTATTTGAATTTAATAGCCAAATCCTCTTTTACAAAAAAAATGCCTCAACTTCAAATATTTCCATCATCCAAGTCCCAGAACATGTTTCTTAATAGCAGAAAATCAACCTTGTGGTAAGGTAGAGAAGCCAAATAATCTTTTGGTTACCACGCACTATATTATATATAAATATAAATATAAAATTATATATATTTGATCATAAATTTCTACCTACATTTATCGTAGGATGGGAAATTTAGAGGCTTGGATGGACGAGCGATACCTTCAAGAGCTTTGGACGTCTATTGGTGAAAATGTGGTTGTCAAACTTATGAGGGACAAGAGAACTAGGTATAATTTTATTTTTGATATTTTGGGTTGCACTATCAAACAATTACTTTCTTGAGAATGCATATGTACATATCCTTTCTGCGTTATTATTCACGGACTCTGTTTCCTTTTCCACTCTGTCCTGACATTTTAACACAATATTACTATTACTATTACTATTACTATTATTAATATTAATATTCTTATTATTATTTGCTCGAAACAAAACCTAATCTAAATTGTCGAATTTTCTTAGTATTAGCGAAGGTTATGCTTTTGTTGGATTTGTATCAAATATGGCAGCCCAAAGAGCGCTGGCCACTATTCATGGAACACAGATCCCAGATACAAATCTTTCCTTTAAGCTTAACTGGGCTTCAGGGGGAGGTATTCAGGATAAAAAGTGAGTTTCAAGGTGTGTTAATGTAGCCTATGCTGACTTATCAGGTGTGTTTTTAGAGAAGATCGCTTAGAAGAATTCAGTCTTTTCGTTGGTGATCTTGATACTGAAGTAGATGAGACTTACCTCTTGGTAAGTGTCTTTTTTTTTTCTCCCATAATAATAATAATAATAAACGAGTGAAAATAATGAGTATTCCCTACATTTTGGCTATCAGTCTTTTTTCCAACATCGCTACCCTTCTTGCCATTCGGCTAAAATTATGACTTATCCTACTACGGGCCAATCAAGAGGGTTTGGATTCGTTCGCTTCCATGACCCGATAGAGCAGCAAGAAGCCTTGATAGAAATGAGTGGAATGTATTGCAAAAGCAGACCTTTGCGTGTATCCCTTGCTACTCCTAAAAACAACCAACTCAGATACCAGCAACTATCTCTAAAGGCACCTGCACTCATTCAGCAACCAACCAGTCCAAATAATACGACTGTATTTGTTGGTGGTCTGTTATCTGCAGTGACCGAAGATGAGTTGAGATGCTACTTTAGCCCGTTTGGCGAAATAAACTACGTCAAGATCCCTCCCAACAAGAGCTGCGGATTTATACAGTTTGTCTCTAGACGTTCTGCAGAGGTGGCAATGGAGCAAATGAATGGATTTCAGATTGGATCATCGCGCATCCGACTTTCATGGGGACGAACGCATCAAGAGAAGCCGCATGGACCTTTAACCTTTGCATACCCACCTCACACTACGACACATCCAGACACTGGACTTAATTACTCAAGGTAAGAGTGCACAGCTCATAAAAACAATTCAAAATGATATACTTATTATATTTATTCTTGTGTAAGTAGACCCCAACAAGCGCCTCATTCAACGCAAAACAGTATGTCTATAGACAGGAACCCAATGTCGTCCTACCCTACGTCTGTGCCCCCTGGATTATGCACCTTTCACAACCTTTCTCCTCCAAATTCATTTAGCAGTCTTGAATTTCAGCACAGCTCCACAACTCCTTTTTGGGGTAGTAACAAAGTCACCCAAGTACCTAATGTCCAGGTGCGATTAGGTAATGGGATCTATGAGTAAAGACTAAATTTGGATAAGACACTACGACAAAAAGCCAGAGTATATCAATGGAAAACCAAACCAAACCAAACCAAAAAAAATTATACTTTTATAGCCGGCCAAACAGAAAGCTTGACTACCATTTTCGTATATTGTTTCGTTGGACAATAGCAGTTATTGATGCTTACACATTTATTATTATACTCTACTATACTTTATTTAAAACTTGATATTTTGTTAATCTTTATTTCTATACATCCACGCTTCTGACTACCTTTCTTTTTTATCTGCCCAACTTATATTGATACACTTTTCTTTTAAATATTTTCTACCATATGCATAAAGTTCAACATGTTTAAGATTTCTTATCAACAATAATAAAATAATAATAATATCACACAGGAACTATATTAAATGCATATCAGTGTTTATTTCATAACAGCCATGTAATTAATGAGTAATTTTGGTAGAAAGCAAAGCCAAAAACAAATAAGCAAGAACATAAACAAGCAAGCAAACAAGCAAACATACATACATATTATTTATGTAGGTACGAATCAATTAACAGAATAGAATCCACAATCTCTAACAAAATAACAGATCTACATTTATGTGAGTAAGTTGGCACAATTTAGGTTAATTTCAATGAAATAGTCACTGTTTTAAGCTTCTACCAAGTAATATCCAAAACGTCTTCAACTGTTTACTGTGTATGCGTGTCTTTAATTAATAAATATAAGACAAATATACTTAGATCAACACTATACATAACTAACAAAAGATGTATATTTCAAATGCTGTGAAGCAAAAGAAAGGTGGGATAATAAACATGTTCTCTAACCACCATATACCAACCAATTAAAAATTCTCTCTTCTTTCTTACTCTATCGAGGTTAATGGATGAAGTACCCGAAGTTCAAGGTTTTACCTAAAATCACAACCCCACAGAAAATATTGACACATGCTAATTGTTGGAATCATAATAGATAATGCTGGTCGCATATAAAAGAATGACGTTTGCTATATTGCATACACACATCAAAATGTTCAATATATGCTTTTAGAGACAGTAAAAATACGCTTTAACTACTTGGGACACACTAGAGGTTTGAATCATATATGGATTTAATAGCTAGCTTTCACGTATCTGTTTTCTTTAGTTTGTTGCAGATATCGCTTTGTTCAATTCGTTTTTAATAGCAGCTACTTAAAGTAAACTGAAAAAATATCATTTATAAAAAGAAGCAAATATTGGTGGTTTATAAAGAAAAACAAAAGTAGTCAAGTATACCACTTGCCTTGCGTCTTGGTGATTAACGGAAATTTCGGCATAGAAGACCTACAGTACATCTAATTAAGCTACCCATTCTGTCTAATAGTACTAGTAACTAGTTAAGCTGACTGAAGATCAAGAATTAGAACAATTATACTCTGCAATTTTGACAGGATTATACTTTATGAGTGTACCTATATGTGGGTGTTCTACATTTTTCTTATATACAGTCCTATGTATATATTTAAGAGGTACAATTGAAATACATGTGTGTTAGATGAGTAAAAGAGTTTTTTATTTGTATTTTCTAGTAGACCTGTCTATAAAACCAATTAACATATTACTTGCTTATAAGATCTAGCTAGATAAATGCCACAAATTATGCCATATTATTTATGGTTACCTTTATTACAAATATTCATACTGTGGTGCTAATCTAAATGACATACAGAAGCCAATTTAAGAGCCTGTTTGTTATGACTTTAGAGCATCAGTTTCAATTATACATAAATTATGATACAGAAAACTTTTTTTTTGCACAAAAGATTTGCCGACCTTTCTATCAGTATATTCCTAGAATTAATCATATAATTCTCTATATAATTCCAAACAGTAAATGTGCTGTTAATTAAAACGATCAGGAAGACTAGAATTTAATGAACCGAGACGCATATCAATTGAACAAATGAGTAGTGGGAATACTCTTATTTTATAAATGACACATCTTCACTTCATATCCTTTTGTTCAAAACAAAGTATAAAACCGCATCTTCACCAATATCATTTCTATGTATTTTAGTGTCTATTAAAAAAAAAAGAAAAATACCCTTCAAAAGGTTCGATTCTTAAAAGCTTATTTCTATTTTATTTTTAAATATAATAATATTGTATAGGTGATAGTGTTTTGTTACTGAGAAAAAAAGTTACTCTTTAAATATTTAGATTATTTAAAATACTCAGTGAGGCTGACTTGCTTTAGCGGGTTTCGTAATATTTGAAATTCAGGCCACAACTACCAGAAAGAAAAAGGGCAAGAAAGAAAGTAAGTAACCAATATATCAAAGAATACTTTCTTTTCTTTGCTTACTCGAGCAACAACTCTTCCACGAAGCAACCCCATGGGAACCGGCCCATAGGTCCTTGAGTCATTCGAATTACTCATATTGTCACCACTAAGCCAGAGGTGTCCATCAGGAACCTGTTGCCATTAAATATCATCAATCACTACTCTTTCTTTCTTTCATTCTTTCTTCCAAGCATAAATCAACTCAGCTCACATTGACGTATTTTCGTTCCTTTTCCGTGACATCAAAGCAGACACTGTCTCTAGGCTAAAAAGGATAGACAGTTAGCAGCTATATTATCCCACACAATTCCTCAATTTCTATCGCAGCGGAACGAAATATACTTACTGTGCCTACAACTCTTTTCAGCACAGCTCTACCAGGAGCATGAGGAGATATGCAAACTACGACGTCGCCAATCTCTGGCTCAGAAAAGTATCCTGAGATGTGATCAGCCAATATGATGTCTCCAGTCATGTTGAAAGTCGGGAGCATGGATGGTCCCATGCACTATAGTACACATGAGTTTCTACTATTTCATTCTTATTTTATTTTGAGAGGCGTGTGATCTTACAAGTGAGATTTCCGCGACATGCCGGTTATACATGTGAGCAAAGCACATAAACCGAACAGTTATACTCGCAGCATGTACGGCATATTTACCGAACCGCAGAAACCTTGAGTTGAATCGTTGGGACATGCCTTGATGAATGAAAAAAAAAGACTCATTATCTGCCTATACATTTGGCTTATTCAAAGATAAAGTGACTGCTTCAGGTCCATTTGACACTTTTTTTGGTCTGCTCAACACTCTATGAACCAAGTGGCATTTATCTCTTGTTTAAGATCCCAACAGAGCCAGATCATGACATTGGGTAGTTTGCGTACTTTGGGCCTTAATACTCCCATTAGAATGTCTAATGGCATTCGTGTTGCATTGCCTCGAACAACACAAACTTGTACATATACCCAGCGTCACCTTTCAACTAGTTTGCCTCGTCTTGCAAAAGCAGAGAAAACCAATCCTTATACAAGTACAATTCTTTTGCCAAAGACCGAATTTCCATTGCGCGCCGATGCAGCTAAAAGAGAGCACGCTTATCTCGACCGTTGTACCAAGGACCTCTACCCCTGGCAGGTAAAGTAAAGAAACAAGAAATAAAACAAAAATGAAACTCCTCTACATGGCTTCAGAGATATTGGTATCAAAGATAGTTTATTATTATTGTTTTTTTTTTCAAAAACACATAATATAAACCCATAGCTACTATATCTAAATGGAACTGCTGCTATGTACATATACATATACATATACATATATATATATACATACATATTCTTATATGCATACACATGTGTATGTCTTAGTTAAAAAATAACCCCAAGAATACATTTATTCTTCATGACGGACCTCCTTATGCAAATGGTGGCCTCCATTCAGGTAAAATGAGAGACATATGATTATTCAGGGAAATACCAACCTCCTTTGATACCGGTGGGATGTAGGTCATGCCATGAATAAGATTTTGAAAGATATTGTGAATCGCCATAAACTTCTTCTTGGACACAAAGTGATGTAAGATAGGATGTCAATTGTGATGAAAGTCTGTATAATTGAGATTTCTTGTGGATAATTACAGGTATCGCCCTGGGTGGGATTGTCACGGTTTACCAATTGAAATGAAAGCGTTGGAGCAAATTAGAGTGGGTTCATACTTCGATCGATCCGTAAAACAAAAAAAGGTCTTATATGTCTCAATTGGCTATAGAAAGAAGGCAAAGAAGCGAGTCTATCAGCAACAGAGATAAGACGTCTAGCAAGAAAAAAAGCAGTAACTGAGGTCGAAAATCAAAAGAAAGACTTCATGAGCTGGGCTGTTATTGGAGATTGGGATAATGCCTATATGACACTGAGTAAGTGAACAAGATATTATAGTAGAGCATCTGATTTATGCCTTTATCAAGCCAAGGATTATGAAATCCGTCAGTTGGAGCTATTCCATGATATGATCAAAAAAGGTATGTTTAAATATCCTGTTACAGTATAACTTCTCGAGCTCACGTTAAAGATCTGTATACAAAGGATACATCTATAGACAGCTGAAGCCAGTATATTGGTCACCCTCGTCAAAGTAATAAGTTAAATTATGGTTATAATACGATGTTGATCCTAATAACAACAATAAATCAGATCAGCACTTGCAGAATCCGAATTAGAATATAACGAGAAGCACGTATCTCAATCCATCCATGTACGCTTCCCTATCAAAAAGCTTGGTATGTATAAGAAAAAAAGAAGAAGGTGGCACCCGTTTTACATCATATAGAACCTAAAATATTATATATATACATACATATATATACCAGCCCCAAAGCTCGCCGACAAATGGAAAGATGTTGTACCTATCGATAAGCTTTATGCCTTGATATGGACGACTACACCTTGGACAATCCCTTCCAACAAGGCAAGCAATATAATTACTATGAATAGATGAATAGATGAATGTATAGTTTAAACTTTTCTATATAATTTAGGCTATTGCAGTCCACCCAGACCTCGTATACTCTGCTGTCGAAGTATTACACGGAGATAAATCAGGTGTATATATTGTTGGTCTCGACCGTCTGGATGCTTTTAAAACAGAGCTAAACATCACAGAAGAGGATCAGATTCGCCTCCTGGGAAATGTTAATGGTTCAGAATTGGCGGGTACAGAGTACACCCACCCGCTTTATGAAACTACTCTTCCTATGATCTCTGGAGAGCATGTAACCGCTGAATCTGGTACATGTCTGGTTCACACTGCACCTGGTCATGGTATGGAAGATTATGAAGCTTGCTCAAAGCTGGGAATCGAGCCTTTCAGTCCTTGTAAGTTTGTAATATTATTTTGAGTTGATAGTGGTAGTAAGATTGTGAGAATTTATCAATTCTTTCTTCTTCTTATTATATATGTAGTGGATGACGAGGGAAGATATACAAAAGAAGCTGGGCTTGGGCTCGAAGGAAAAGAAGCTTTTACGGATGGTAACTCTATGGTTATTGATGCACTTACAAAGGCTGGTGCACTGGTTAGACAGCGTGCTTATACACACAAATATCCTTACGATTGGCGTACAAAGAAGCCTATCATGCTTAGGTTTGTGGAATATATTTATTTACTTTTTTTCTAAATATAATTAAGCCTATGATATACTAATTATATATATAAATATTTCTTGACCCAGAGCCACATCCCAGTGGTTTGCCAATGTAGAGAACCTTCAAAAGGAAGCTGTCAAGGCTCTTCAATCTGTTAAGATGGTTCCTTCCGTTTGTAAGTATACGAATATCCAAGCTACCAAGTAACATAGCTAATACTATATATATATATAATACGGGGGGTTTCTATAAAGCTATGAAGCGACTTGAGCAATTTACTCTTTCACGCAAAGAATGGTGTATTTCTCGTCAGCGCTCATGGGGTGTGCCCATTCCCGCACTTTATGATGTAGAAACAGGAGAAGCTCTTATGACAGACGAGTCTGTTCAACATATCATCAAGGTGTTTGGAGAACGTGGTACAGATTCGTGGTGGGGAGAAGAAGATGACAACATATTTGTTGCTCCCCAATACCAACAAAACGGAAAGGTTTACAAAAGAGGTTACGATACAATGGACGTCTGGTTTGATAGCGGAACCTCTTGGACTATGCTAAAGGATATACCTGACAGGTAAGATAATTATACTGCTCTTTTTTTATATATTTATGAATAGATTCTTAAGAAAGTACCCGTAACATATTGTATACAAATATAGAGACCCTACACTCCCTATTGCTGATGTATATTTGGAAGGATCTGACCAACACAGAGGATGGTTCCAGTCCTCTTTATTAACATCAAGTAAGTTTGGATTTATACTTTTTCGTAAGATATATATTTGCTGAATGAATACAAACTACTATATTTATAGTTGCTACCACCGGAAAAACACCTTACGGCACTCTTATTACTCATGGATTCGTTCTTGATGAAGAAGGACACAAGATGAGCAAAAGTCTCGGAAATGTCTTGGTGCCTAGTGTTATTACTCGTGGTGGAAAGGTAATACATATGTAATTAATACATATCTATCAAAAATAGTAATACAAACATACTTACTGATATCATTTATAGGACAAGAAGAAGTCTCCTGCCTATGGTACCGATGTCCTTCGTTTGTGGGTAGCAAGTTGCGAATATACAAAAGATGTAGCTATGGGTCCTTCCATCATTGGTAAAAACTACATATTCTTATATATATAATTTATTTATTTTTTAACAACATCTTGTATTATTATATCTTATAGCCCAGATATCCGAAAATATGCGCAAGATTCGTACCACAGCTCGTTTCATGCTGGGTAATTTGCATGATTTTAACCATACAGATATAGTGCCTTATAACCAGCTCAAAGAGGTACATAAATATATTTATTGATAATGAGCAAGCTATATTAAATTAAATGTTATGTAATTTTTGTACATAGATTGATCATTATATGCTCCATGAACTCTACCAATTCAATAATCGTATATCAGAAGCATACGACAGCTATTCTTACAACAAAGGTAAGTTGATATATACGACGAAAACGTTTAATTATCGCTGTTATTCTAATATTTAGAGTAGCTATCCAACTTTTACAGAATTTTACAACAAATACTTTATCTGCCTTTTATTTTGATGTAATCAAGGACCGTTTGTATAATGAAAAGGCATCGGAAAACTCACGACGCATGGCACAAACCGTTCTTTTCCAAGTAAACACTAATATTAGAAGTACACACAACATTTGATTTACTCAACATTAAAAAAAATCCAGGTTTTGAAGTCATACACTACTTCACTTTCCCCTGTGGCATGCCACACAGCTGAAGAAATATACGAAAATTACCGTTCAATGACACCTCAACCAGAATCATCAGTTTTCAAGACTGGATGGTTGGTAAAGGTACGTATCACATAATAAAAGACGTGAAATATAGAATACTAAAGAAAGTGATTGCTATTAAACTAATTATTTTAGGACTCTGAATGGAAAAACGAGTCATTGGAAGCCAAATGGGCAATATTGAAAGAGTTGAAGGGTCAGATTAATCAAGTTCTTGAACTTGCTCGCCAAGACAAGTACGTTTTTTTATGTTTCACTCGATTCTTTGGGAATGGGGTTAATTAAATGTTACCCATATTCTTTTAGGGTTTTGAAGACATCCCAAGAAGCCGAAGTCGATGTAGTAATCAATAAAGAATCAGAAGCCGGAAAGACTGTTCATTCTATGGACGGTAAGTTTTCTTTTCTTATTATATTCTAAGAAAATAAAACAAAACAGAAAATACGAAGCTATTACTTATACAAACACTCACACATATACATGTTATAATAGTCTCAGAGCTGTCTTCTTTGTTCTTAACTTCCCGAGTAAATGTTCATGACGCAAACACTGCTATTAGCCGACAGTTTGAGAAGGAAGCAGTCTTAGGAGGTAATAGCAAAACAGCTTTATTATTAGATACTAGACTAAAAGCGTGAAAAATTATACACCGAATAGATGGAACAAGATGTAAGATCTACACACAGCGAACAGAGCAACACAAGTGCCCTCGTTGCTGGAACTACCAAGCTTCCGAAGCCGATACACTCTGTCCTAGATGCACCCAAGTTCTGAATGCTTAATTTCTTTAAGATCAATAGAAAATATAATTGAGCATAAGCGTTTTATCGTAACTAGAGTGTAATTTAGAGGAAATTATATATATACATATACATATATTCCAAAAATCTATCAGAGATCCAATGCTTATTGAATGATCTTATCTTTATAACTAAATCATTCAAATATGAAAGATCTCTTTAATGTAAATATATATATATGCACATTTAATCTATCTTGATTGTAATGTTCTCTTTAAGTCTGATATTTATTTATTAGTAGTCTACTTTAAAGAAGGAAACCAAAGAAGAAAGTTTCAACACATGTTTATGTTTATATATTCAAAAGAGCATTTTTGTATAAAACGATAATATACACATTCATACAAGTTTCTGTAAGGTTATTGATAGTTGTAGCGTTCAAATACTATATCTCTTTGTATCATAAATTTGGATCAAATCAAAGAACTTAACCGACAAGATACTTGAGTGCGCGTCACATAGGTTTCCTATCCCATACTCAACTAATCCAAAATAATAATAATACGCACACAGACACAAACACACTCTTAAATACGATCCTTGAAAAATCTGACAAACGTTTCACAAACTTCTCTATGTTCAAAGTTTCGCAACACCTTCGACCACTTGTTTTGGTGGATTTCGATCAAACCATCACAATCAAGGATACAATCGAGCTTCTTGCCAAGACTGCATTGAGTCTTACCCAGAGTAATCTTACCTGGGACTATTTTGTGGATGCCTACATGAGAGATTATGACCAAGTTATTCGTCAGAATTTTATGGATCCGATTGTCAAGGAACGTGCACTTGTCAAAGCAGAGCAAGATTCGTTAACCAGAGTCACAAAAAACAACGTGTTTAAAGGTTTAAAGCGACAGGATCTATTGGATGCTGGCCGACGGGAAGCAACAAAATCTCTCCGTCCAGGTGTCATTGATGCTCTCAAACAGATCTCACCATCTGATCAGCTACACATAGTGTCACTCAATTGGTCTAAAGACTGGATTCTTGGATTTCTGGATCCACTTGGATTGTCCCAAGCCCAAATACATTGTAATGATCTTGTATATGGTGGGGATGGTATTTCGACAGGTGTTATTGAACAAAATATCCTTACAACACAAGATAAGAAGAGAGAAATGGATCAAATCATCAGCTCATCACAGCAAACGTCTACTGTGTACATTGGTGACTCTCTAGGCGATCTTCTACCACTAAGTAAGTTGGTTACGATATCGATTATGTAAATGCAACTAACAGTTTTTTTTTTAAAAAAATCGTAAATGAAGTCAATGCCGATACAGGAATTGTTATTGGTAACAACCAGACTTTGGCAGATGCTATAAAGGAAAACGGCTTTTCTATTCAACCCCTTTCTTCTTCCAATAACCACCAAAAAACCATATATTGTGTGGACAGTTGGGAGGAAATTAAAGATAGTATGCTTCTGTCCAGCGGACATGTTTAATCAATGCATCTGTTTGTATGTGTTTTGCACCTGCGCGCGTGTATCCTCCAACAATGTCTCCATCTCTCTCTTTTGACTTCTAACATCGTCTACTACCCGAGTCAATCGACGCACAGCATCGCGAGCAGCCTCAATGTCACGTTCCTGCTGTCGTACTTTGGCTTCTACATCGTTCTGATCAGTCAATTGGCGGAGCTTATACTCGTACAGAGCTTCGAATTGATCTTTCAATGGTCGCGATCCAAACGCACTCGTGTCTTCCTTTGAGGGTTCGGATGCACGCTCTTCAGCATCACGAACACGGCGCTTGAGATCTTCTAGTTCGCGTTTTAGGCGATCTTCCTCTTCCCGTTTATTAGCTGACTTTGGACCTAAGAGAAAGTTTCAGAATTAAGCACAGGCCAAAAAAGAATGAAATGAAATGTGGTTTCCTATGTTTTTATTTAGCGAATTTTTCTTTACCTCTGTCGTCCCGGTACTTTCCAGTGCTCACACGGTCTCTTAGACTTCCTTCATATTCACTTCCAAAGGCCTCCTGGAGATCAGGAGGAAGAGTTTTGGGAATAATAGTGCCTTGTTGGCGTTGAGAAAGGATATGGAAGAATGTGAGACATTGGTCCTTAGTGATGGCGGTTGTCCGGTTAACATTCACTAGGGCCCTGTAATATAATATATATTTTAATAAACCTTAAGTTATCTCAATTAGGCTCAATTGGACTCTTTAGTTTACCAGGCATTAGTCAAGTCGGTGCGAGAGAGGCCGAGAGATGAATAGAAATCCTCAAATTGGACAACTGAATAAAAATGGTTATATATATATATATATGTACCTGACAATATCCAATGGATACCAACTTACATTTGGCTTTCTCACTGTTATGAGCATACTTGGAATATGTGCGCTGATAAGACTCCAGTTCTTGTGATGTCATATCCCACGAAAACTCTGGGGCGCTTTGTGGTAGTGGTGGTTGTGGGATGTTATGCTGAGGCGAGTAAGAATTGTATGGCGCATACGTGTTGGGAGATTGGTAGGCATATCCAGTTGGCTGTGCGTATACTGCTGTTTGTTGTGGTTGGATTGCAAAAAAGTGCGATTTGTTTGGAGGCACGAGATGAGGAGGTAAACTCATTGGTGGTTCAATGCCATTGATGCAGCTAAATGTGAGGTGCATGGCCACACAGAATTCTTCAAAATCAAGATTTCCATCCTTGTCTATATCAGCAAGATCCCTGTAGGTTTATATTATAAGCTTAAATGGTTGCCACCGAGACTTAGTGAGTTTACCAGATGCGTTCCAGTCGATGAGGAGGTAGATTGGAATTCAAAAGAACATCTCTAGCAGTTGCGCCTAAAATAAAACAATAAAGATATAAACACCCTGTTCTGGATTGTAGAAAGAGAGAGATGTACCAGGCATGTAGCCATTCATTTGCCCTCTTGCTTGGAAGATCTCTGCATATTTAGCTCTCTCTGCAGGTGTAATTGGGTTCATCGTCAATGGAATAATAAAAAGGACAATAATACAAAAAAAAACGTGCTTTGTTGAATTTCAAAGCGGAGCGGTTACACGAGCCAAAAATAGACATTGTCCAAGCAAAACCAACCCTTGCTTGGCTCTTTCTTTTAAAGCTTTTCCCCGACTTCTGGATAAATTTATATCTTATGGTGCTGAGACAGACAGATGTATTTTACAAGACCACACAAGAACAGAGAGTTACCTCATCCCCACACTCGACAAATGAATATAAATATATATGCACATTTAAATATTTCCCAATTGGAATTGTATACTATATACATACGTGTATAACACTACTAATTGTTATTGGAAAAAACACACACACACAAGAGGTTTATACAACAAAGCCTTAATGGCGACGGGACTCAGCAATGACAGCAGAGAGCTCCTCAATCTTCTTCTTAGCACGGAGGAAGGTACCGAGTCTCTTCTTGGTGAGCTTCTTGGCGCGCTTGTCCTTGGAGTTCTTGATCAATTCCATGACACGACGCTCGTAGGGAGCGAAGCCAACAACCTCACGGACGATGCTGCGGACAAAGGTAGTACGCTTGGAAGCAGCCTAGATAACACAACACACAACGCCATCAGCATCACAATCTGAATTCAACATTGAAGTTTTCTTTTAAAAGAGTAATGTCGAAAATTTGTCGTTGAATTCTCTCTCTCTCTCCTCTTTCTCTAAAAAAATGGGTGGTCGGTCGTTCGATCGGTCCGTGCTTTTTTTTTTCGTCTGTGTGGTCCATCCATCCATCCATCGAAAATATGATCCATCCCCCCTTTTAAAGAATGAATGAAAATACGTACACCCTTGGTGTAAGAGGGAGTGATCTTGAGCTCACGGCGGGTGGTGATATGACCCTTGTTAAGGCCAACAGCGATGCCAGACTTGGAAGCAGCCATTTGCGTATAGAAAGGAAGAGGAGGAATCCATCAGTACCAAGATGGGCCAGTACTTTTGAGTAACTTATGCGGAGACTGAACAAGGTCTGGTTCGGGCACCCTTCCTCTCCGGCTAACACACCTTAACTTTTACACTCTTGGTTTATTTCGACTACAATTACAAACTACAAATTGCATTGTCTTATGCTATCATCTCATCTACAACTGCACCGTCAAATCTGATTTGAACACCTTTTTTAAATGGCATATTATTTCAGTCAGACAAGTCTTCAAGTACAGCTATCATCACCTACCAAAAGGCCGCTGAGCAGAACCTAATGCGGGGAACTGAGTCCCCCACATGAAAGAATTCGTAAAATCCATGGCATGTTCTGCATCAGCAATGAACCATGCCGAGCCAAATGATGAATTTTCTAAATTACATCCCGAGAAACATGAACGAGAATCCAATCGATAACCAGAAAAGTCTAAATTTGAAAGATCCTTGTCTACAAAATGTAACAAGGTTCTTGTACTTTCAACTGGGTATACTTTCCACAGCCCCTCTATAATTGTTACATGAATATTCTGTCTTTCCCTCTCTTTATATCTATTTATTCCTTTTTAATGCCGTCTCTTGTACTTGACTACTTATATAATTATCACCTTGAGTAATGACTGATAAATTTGCCCATCTTAATTTCAAGAGGTCTAAGAAATCCGAAAAAGAGGTTAAGACGGAGATATTATTGGGTAGTGTTTGTACTTGCCTTTGATGCGATAGAACATGGCTTCTTGCATAAGTTCTTCCATTCTGGTAAAAGAACATTAATACCCATTATAATTTTATGGTCTTTTCACTTACATTTTGGAATCCTCTTGAACACTAGGAGGTATCTAAGCTTCCATTTATTATCAATATCAATATCTTTTTTTTTATTGTTTATCCATGATTGTCTGGATTTTACTTTTTTCTTCTTCTTACCCTTAAGTCCCGCAAATAATTGAGAACAAGTCTGAAATATGTACTGTCTCTATCAATGAAATACGAGCCATCTGGATCCCTAGATATCATCCCATTTCCTTAACAAACAATAATTATAATCATCAGGCTCTTTCCAAAAAAAAATACCCCTATCCCCCATATAAGCATACCGCTAAACATGGCAGCCAACATAGAGTTAGGATCGCGCCGTAAAGTGCTTAGCGAGGTTTCAAAGTATTGACCTCCCACATTGAGTTTTATCCTTTCCTCTTGGAGCCTCCAGACTTGGTGAATGACCGCCTTTTCATGAGTGTGGCGATCTTGATCTGCTTCAAGAATATCCTGCCAGCCATCGAGCTCGGTTGACAATTGATCGTAGGCTCCTTCAACCTTTCCATGGAAATCACCGCTCATCTTTTCAAACTTGTCTTCGAGTGCACACAGTTTCTCTAGCTGACTAGTCATATGTTGATGTAGTGCTGTTATTTGTTCATCAATTTGTGAGATTGTGCAATTTACAACACATTCAAATTCAGATCGTGTTACCAAGCTTCTTTGCCCTGTAAGTGTCGGTGACAAGTTTCCACTCAGGCAAGTAATCTAGAATATATACGTCGATAATACATCACTTAGTATTACTCAACTGATATAAAAGAAAGAGAGGACTATGCCTTGGCGTATCTTGTAACCTTGGTAAACAGAACTTTGGTTTTTAGCTTCCAATGAAAGTTGGGGTGTATCGTTAGTAGGCGTGTGAGTAACTGAAGATGAGTCTTTTATTCGACTGAACCCTGACTGATCTTTAGGGTCTGTAAAGGCGTCAAAAAACGAGGCTGCCATATTAAAAGTTAAAAGCAACGGAAGAAGGAAGGAGAGATTGAGAAACCGAGAAAATACGAATAAAATTAAATAGCTTGAGTCTATATAAGGAGTGGTGTTTTTTCTTTTCTTTTTTAGATTATTTGAAACAAATCAAATGTGTATTATCTAGGAATTTGTTTTAGTAGCTATGAGCAGAGCACATAAAATATGTAAATTCAAAGTTAAAATACCAGACTTATATTAATCATAATATAAGCACATACAAAACTATAGCTGAAGAAAAACGTTGAATTAATCAAGAAGTTACACATTTACTAGTCTCTAACACTAGCTGATTCAACTCTATAAACAAGCTCGAGTTATCATAAAAGAGGTATATAATTTTTATTTACTTATCATCTTTCTATATCTTTAAAAAGAAAGGGAGATACTCTGCACATGACTTACATTTGATCTTTATATTTTCAAAACAAGTTTACGAGTTAATTTTGCACAGATAACTTCCAATGTAATTGTGTTTCCAATTGAGATGAACAACAGAGACAACTAAACATATAACTAGCAAATGAATATCTGACTCTCGCACATATTGTAGTCAATGTTAATTGTGTACCCAATTGAAATAAACGGCAGAGAAGTAGCTAAAGTTAGGGATAAAATGGCACACCATATAGAATTCAGATTTACATAAGAAAACTTTTAGCTATCAAGACAGTTATAGAAATTTGAAAGGTTTTCATAAATTTCAACAAACGAGTAATGTAAATGGGTAATAAAATCTTAAAGTTGATAAGAGTATAAAAAACATATACGAGGCTTTAGGAAGAAATATTATCATGGATGCTAGAAGATGACTATACAATATATGAAATAAAAAAAAAAGAAACTAAACAACAAGTGCAATTATTGCTATTTTGTTTGATCCAAAACTTTCAATTTTTGTATGAGTTTGTTTGTTTTTTGTTTTAGTATCAAATATTTATAAGAATAGAATATTTAAATAAACTTTGACGAATGGTTTTTTTTATTCTTAGAATAGTATACTTATTCATTATTAAACTGTCTCAATGGGGACGACTAGTCTACCTCGTTTATATATATATATATATATATATTCTTTGGTGCTTGTATTTATTGGAATAGGATATATAAAAGAAACAGCAGAATATATTCAAAAGTCAAATATACCATAAAATATTATATTTTTAGTACGGAATTGAGTAAAAGAAAAATGATAAAGGATATGAATATCGATACTAAATAGTATCAATAATTCTCTTTATAAACAAAGCAAATAGCTATACTGTGATTGACTTTATTTCACCCAGCCACAATATTTAATCAACCTGAATACGAGCTTCTAGCTCAGCAAACTCTTCAAAGAAGACCTACAGCACAGAAATATATAAGCATTAACGCTCACAAACCTATATCTACAGGTACTTTCTTACCTGCAACAAATTAATGCCGTGCTTCACATCATCTGTACCGCCAACTTCACGAATTGAATGCATACTCAATTGAGGATTACCAATATCTAAAAAAATGGCAATTATAACATAAGCTCAAATTAGATTTCCAATAATATTGTTGGCAATAATAATTAGTTACTACGAAAACAGCACAGTCAGCTTACCAACAGTACGAAGACCCAACTTTGCACTTAACATGGGACCAATTGTAGATCCACAGGATGAGTCGTTACGTACAACAAATTCCTATAAAACACAGATATTCTTTACATTAGTTATGTCTGTTCTTTATTTAAATTAAGAACCTTTGTATACGTACTTGAATAGGAATAGAATGTTTCTTGGCCAGTTCCTTCAATACCAAGCTAGTCATAGCTGTGGTAGCATAACGCTACAGAGATAATATACATATAAATATTACAAGATTATAAAAAATAATAATTCCCATTTACTCATTACTATGATTGCTTACCTGGTTAGCGTTGACCTTAATAACAGTTCCTTTGTGCATCTGAGGGCGGTGGTTCTCTTCGTGCTTGTCCGAATAGTTGGGATGAACAGCATGTGCCATGTCTGCACTGATCAAAAGACTCTTGTGCATAGCTTCCTCAAAGGCAGTCGAAGAGGCAGAAACATTCATAAGCTGAGTGTTTGCCAATCGTTGGAGAGTGACTGGTAAAAGGTTTGAATCTGCACCATGAGCAGTCTGACTACCGATCTCCTCATTATCAAACAGAGCCACAAGGCGAATATTAGTATCATTTTCAACATCCTTGGAGCGGATGAGAGCTTGGATTGAGCAAAAAGACATTTCAAGGTTGTCTAGGCGAGGAGAGAAAATGAATTCATTGCAAGCACCGCCGATTGTAGAAGCCTATTCGAGATAAAAAAAAATCTTTAGATTCTTCTTGCATTTTGTGAATATGTGTGTAAGTGTCTTTGTTTTACCTGAGTATCGTAAAGAGCAAGTTCAAAATCACGAATCTGATCAGCTATATACACAGATAGAAAAATAAAGCGAGGTAAAGTTTTAAAGCTATAGTTTAAGTAGTATCCCATTTTTCCTATATTCTTCAAAACTTACGGCCAACATTCATCTCTTCTGCCAAGATTCGAATCAACAGAGGGTGATGGGTGGCATCTGCTTCAACACCGTCTGTCGCATCTGAGCCGCTCAATGCACTACATAATCTCAAACATTGAGTGACAGCCATTATTATTATTATTATTATTATTATTATTATTACGCTTTAGTGGCAGTGGCCAAGACAGGTGCCAATTGAGTCTCCTTGTTGAACTGGAACTATATATTCACATAATTCAGATATTTGATACTATTTATTTTTGCGTTTAAATTTTACTAACAGTATACTTACACCATCATTAGTACTACGATCCAAATGAATGGCAAGTGTTGGAATGCGCAAGAGAGGTCTTTAAACAAACAAAAGTTACATAAACAGAAGTATGCTTAGTATGATCAATATGCCACGCCCATATTTTCATTTAACTATCCATTCATGATTATTTTACCTGTCAATCTTGACGAGGGTATGCTTAAAAGTACCGTCTTCATGTGAGACCAAGACACGACCAGCAATGCTCAGATCTCTATCAAACCAAGTGTGCCTAAAAAAAAGACGATATTTATTACAAACCACAATGTCAAGAAAAAGCAGAATAAAGAATTTAACCCACCAGATACCGCCACCATATAACTGAACACCAACTTCCAAGTAGCCACTCTTTTCTTTTTTGGAGACCGGCTTGATCTTGAGGCAAGGTGAGTCTGTGTGAGCACCAACCATTGAGAATCCGTTTCCAGGCTGGTACTTTCCACCAACAATGAAAGCAACAATCGAGGATCCATTGCGGGTGAAATAGTACTTTCCGTTCTGTTCCAAGACACCGTTGTTCCAGCTGTCACGTTCTTTGATTTCTTTGAATCCAGCCTAGATATTAATAAGAGCGTTAATTAATACAGCACAATTATCTTATTAATATTAATACTTCTTTTTTTTGCTTGTCAACTATGTTCTACTTACAGCCTTCAAAAGAACAGAAGCCTCATGAGTAGCATGGAATGGAGAAGGTGACTTGTTAACAAACTCGATAAAGTCAAGAGCTATATAAATATTCAAATTATATTAGCAATAAGATGTGAAAATAGGTAACGGGCATAAAGCATAAATAAAAATTAATGAGTAGGTGCGTGTGTGTGCGTTTGACTTTACCATCTTGGGGAATATCAGACTTGAGCTAAGAGAACCAGAATGAGCTTCTATTTTTTATAGAATATCGGAAGTATTTATCAAGACAAAGAAATTTAACGTTACCAACATGGTGAAAAATACAAAAAAGAAGTTATTGAAAGAAAGGTTTTGGTTTGACGCGGTAAAAAAGAAGAAGAAAATAAAGAGAAGAAAAAAAAGGGAAGAAGGCGTATGCAAGTTTAAGCGCGGGAAAAATCACGTGTTTGAGGTGATACCCAAGCGAAAGGCACCTGGATCAAATTTAGTGTGACCAAGATGCCAGATGATGTTCATGGCTTACAGACGCTCACAAAAATTCGAAGCTCCTTACAATATGTGTAGCATATAATTGTCTACTAGAGATACTTTCAGTACTTTATTTTACTGAATTAAATATCGAATATTACATATATTAGAGTCTTCAAAAAAAAATAAAAAATAAAAAAATAGGCGTATTGCTGCTACTTTTATTATTTTTGAAATACACAAAAGTCAATTGCCTAGAATAGACTTTTATTCCATATATAGTAATCTTGGCAAACAATGGAGTTTGTGTGTAGCTATCAATAAAAAAAAGAAACGTATCCTTTTTTTTTCAACTCAATATTTTTGCTGGCTGAATACTGTATTTTGATTATTAGCCAGTTCTTACTATATTTCTCAAAAACACTAATAAACTAGAGCTTGCAACTCTCCACAGAAAGATAAAAATACACTATTTTTCGCACATTGAAAAATATACTTCCTTGAATATTCAATTAAATTTACAAGATTGATTTTTGGTTTCGTATACAAAAGCTGCCTACTTTTATTTGTACTACTAAACATCAATTCTCAACAGTAGAACTGAGATATGTTCTTATATAGGGTCAGAATATACTGAGCATTTCGGTCGAAAACATTGTGATATCTTTAAGTAAACCAAGACACTAACTTTAAATGCACAAGACTTGTAAAAACCAAATTGTCAAGACAATACAATTATTCACCAGGATTTTATTTCTCACTATGCCCGTTAGTTTTCTGTTATTTTCCTTTTTTTTTTTTGCAAAGGTGTTATACTTTTGAAAAATATCTTTTTATACGTTAATGCTTATATCCGATTACACCATACTGTTTTGATGTCAAATGCTAGTGTGCATTAATATCATCAGAAGTCTGTTTCTTTCCCTATAAGCATAGAACTGTATTATAGTTAAATATACTTTACCATAGAAACCAAGCAACATTTATCTCCGCATATTCAAGCTATTCTTATTTGTTTATTCTAAAAAAAGTATAAGCAGATTAAATATTTCTACCATAAATACAACGCTATAAATATGTTGAAATAAAGTACAGATAATCACGAAAGTCCTAAATCACAATATAGCGCACTAGCTTACATATATATATAAAAGATTTTTTTAATAAAGATAACGTGAGACTTTGAGTTTAATAAATCCTTGGGATAATAAACTAGTGCCGTTGTTTGATTTCTGAATAGTTTCTGATGCGCCGAGATTGATGTTGTCGAATGACTGAATGTGCATACCACATATCAATAATATCCTAGGAAACAGGTAAATGTTAATATATGTAACGCATAATACACATTTACATACAGCTGAAACCACCAGAATACATCCACCTAGAATCGTACGATGAAATGGCGCCGGGAAATAGCGTTTTACAGGCTTGAAATATGTCAACAAGCTAAATAAATATGCATAGACATATAAGTGAGTTTTGGTGTACATCCCCTCTTTTTTTTTCTTTTTCTTTTAAAAAAAGGACTTAAAACTCACTTTCCAAGTGCAGAACCTGTAAAGGGAAGTAAAAGTGCACACATAGAGGACAATAATATATCTGGCATTCTGCGTGTCTCAATTTCATCGATTTGTATATCGTTAATGGGTTGAATATCTGAATACGAATTTTCATTATTTTGCTCTATATTTGATAGCTGTGGTGTACTCGAGGATGCATTTAATCCCAAAGATTGGCGTGGAGAGCTGGATCTAAGCATAGATCTACGCACAACTAATCTGTATGTAGCATTTCGGGCAGAAACATAAACCATTCTATATGGAACTGTAAATATACATAATCGTATAGATTATGACAGCGTCTTTATATAATATCACATACCTCACCATAGGATAACCTATTACTACATCAAAGACTGATGGTGGCCAGTTGAGACTGGGCCGTCTGTAGGATCTTGACGCCATACTCATGAATGTAAATGCAACGAATGGATATACATTGGCAAATGGAAATATTGAGGTCAAGAGTGTGGCAGGAATTAAAGGAAGTCCTACCCACGCCCTCCACGTCCATTGTGCTGGATTTCCGATCAGGCGCTCACTATCTTTTGGACCCATAACGGTGACAACTGTAAATGCACCGAGAGTTGTTGCTGCAATTATTATTGAACACCCAATCGTGAATCCAAAGAAGTAGGGTGCAATAGTAGATAGTGCACGTTCTCCAAGTGTTATCATAATGTATGAAAGACTGGTTTTTTGTTGAAATGAATAAGGAAAAGCACACTGTGGACAGGTGACCTAAAAGAAGTTCGAGGATGATTACTATTTGAATTATTATAATTATCTAGTTATTCTGGTATATTTCTCTTTCTCTCTCTTACTCATAATTTATTTATTTATTACCTGTTTAAGGGGCTCCTTTTTTTGACTCTCGAACATCCAACGCAAAAGACACTTCTCGTGTGCAATCAGGGAACATTGACATGGGCTCACCCAGCGACCTTCAGAATCACCATCTTCTCCAAAGCAGATCCAACATCGTCGCTCATTATACTCTGTCTCGGAGTAAGTAGGTTGGTCTGGTGTTGTAATAGCTGATCGTGAAGAAATGGATGTCTGTACTTTATCTGATGTTTCTGATTTCTGTTGTTCTGTGTTTAAGGTTGATGGAGTTGAAGAAGAGGATGGTGATCTCGGTCCTACAGATGAAAAGCTTGACTTCTTATTCACACTATTGCTCGTAGAACCTGGAAAATTAGCCGTATATTGTCTAGAAGGCTCGGTCGGTAAAGGACTTGAAGACTTGAAATGAGACATGAGTAGGAAGATGGCTAAAGCTCATTTTTTTTGTTAAAGCGCTCTTATTTGTTTATTGTGACGTATCCTGACATGGAAGATGAATGTCACATGTATCTCTTTAAGCTCCAATATTAAACTCTCCTTCTTGGCCAGGAGGACACATCAAGTTTGTGGAAATAAGAAATATCGGAAAAGCATTTGTGGCATATCACAAATTGAGCCTAGAATGTCTATTAATCCTAATAAATGTTTCTATGTTCTATGTACGGAAAAATGAGAATATTGTCATTTACTAGGATATTTCTTCAATTTAATACAAAGGAAAATATAAGTCAAAATATGATATACCAATTGGTAAAGAGTAGATTAATGTGTTGTGATTTAAATAATGAGCATTAAAGGAAAAGCTTGAAAAAGAAAACCATTTATAAAGTTGACAATAAAAAACATTAGACGATCAATATGCAGCATTACTAAACGGCTAGTTTCTAATTTGGTAAGCTCTTATCTTAATGCGGTTATAAAGATATGGGCATTTTGATGGTTGTGATATAATTGAAAGCTTAAAAGAATTTATCATTTTGATGTGATCAACAATTAGACTGGAATGTTTATTACACATGTGCCATGTATGCAGCAGAATACAGTAAATTACAGTAACAAGATGCAATACAACTTAACATATAGCGTAAAGCCTAATATAATGGCGGGCCAATTGCCCATATTTTGCTCCTTATACCAATTGTAGATGTTAAGCTTTTTATGATCTCAGTAACGCTTGAATTTTAATTCGGTAGTCTCTAATATTGAATGTTCTTGAGCGTAAGTCATGGTTTTCAGTATATGGTCTAGGTTAACTATAATATTATTGATATTGTATACGCATATCCAATACAGATGTTACACATACATATGCAGTGTCTCTATCTAGAATTTTAGATCAGTCGTTTCCTTTCTATTGGTTGGATCAAAATGAATGTGAAGGGTTGGATTGATGCTAACATTGTCATGTAACGCAAGTCATAAGGGCACAATGTTTCCTGGTGAGGCACGATGCTTCAATTTACTAAAAAACCTCAAATCTGAACTTAATATTTATATTCTAATAATTAAATCTGGTTCCTAAATATTTGCTTTGTCTTTTATAAATAACTTCACTGAAATACAAGATAAGGTAAAGATATTACCTCATTACAAAAGTATTCTTCTGACTATATATACCTTAGAAAAAAGCACTGTTTTTTCTGTTCAGTCTTATACACAGATTATAGTAGCTAATCTCCATAATGCGAGATCAGTTATTGCTAAGAAAAAAATATCGTGCCCTTAAGGTCACTAATTTCTTTCTTCTTCTTTTAAATAAAGAATCTTGCTTTGCATTGTAGCCATTAGCCTTTGGGTGACATCATCAGTAGTATCGGACTATGTTTTAGCTCAAAATGGGAATATAAACTCCCAGTTAACAACCCATCCTGACGCGTTTAACCCAGACACATACTGTGCTGGTCGGACTGTCGCTTCTTTTTTTTTTCTCTTTACACTTTCTTTTCTTAATCTGTATTATTCCATTGGTTTATAACTCATTAAAACCTATCGAAATAACAGGTGTGAATAAGTTAATCACTCGAAAATTAACCTCATTTGAAGATTAATGTACACATCAGATTCATTGGTCTTTTTTTTCTTTTTCTTTCTTTCTGTTGTTGTTTTCACTGTTGTTTTTCTTAGAACACCTTTTAACTTTACACGATCCTGGCTATCTTCAATCAATTTACTAGTCTTCAATCATGTTCTTTCTGGTATGTTTCCTGAATTCCAGGCGGGATGACAAAAGAAATTGATCAGTAATTACAGAAAGAGCTTTACCATACAATCACCCTTCATCCGTCTTATTTCGGACCCAACATGCACAGCCAGCTTAAAGACAAGCTGTATGCTGATGTAGAGGGAACATGTTCCGGAAGATTTGGATATATTATTACTGTGGTATCATTGGTTAACATTGGTAAAGGCAAAATTCTGCCAGGATCAGGATTGGCCGAATTCAAGGTCAAGTATCAAGCTATTGTATTAAAGCCATATAAAGGAGAAGTATTGGATGCCGTTGTCACAACTGTAAACAAGGTAACTGGCAATGGCTAAAAACAGTAAATAGAGGAAGCATAAAACAAAGATAAGAAAAAGATGAGTGAGATGTGGCTAACAAAAAAAGGGGGTATTTTCAGATGGGTTTCTTTGCGGATGTAGGCCCTTTGCAAGTATTCGTTTCAAATCATGTAAGTGAGCCCTTTGAAGCAAATGAAAAGGTAATGTCAATTGAGACATAACGCTTAATCTGTGTGGTTCGGCGTGATATTAGTTAATTCCGAATGATATGAGATATGATCCCAACGGAAACCCACCGTGTTACTCTTCTGAAGATCAAGTGAGTATTGAATAAGATGGTTGTAAAGGATATCATTCCGTGCTGACTAGGTGGAATTTAAGATGATCCAAAAGGATGTTCAGGTTCGGATCAAACTAGTAGGAACACGTATCGATGCAACGGAAATTGTAAGTAGTACTATAGAGAACCCTTTCGGGTATTTTTTATCGTTTTATTTGGTGGTCTTGCTGGAAACAACTTGGCTGTCCGGTTGGGCTTGTGTTTACTATTTTCTTTAAAGTTTGCCATTGGTACGATCAAAGAAGACTACCTCGGCGTCATCTCTTCTTAAGTTGCTATCCAAACACAAAAACATACACACATACATACACACAACCATACACACAAACATAAGAGAGATGTCCAAGCCAGCCTTTGTCTGTCTCTCTTGTTTTTGTACAGCCTCCCTATGCTCAACTGTCTTTATACGAGACTATCAAACATCCACCAGAGCAAGTAGTGACATCTCCATGTAATAAAATAAAACACAAAAAATATCAAACCAGGATGAATTAAGACAGGGATGGAGGGAAGTAATGATTATTTTCCCTCTCTGGAATTATATTTAAAAGAAAAAAGAAAGAGAGAGAAGATCGATTGATTTGATTGATGGTGAATAATAGGAAGGCAAGGTAGGAGGGGGAAGGGGAGGGTTGTACATTAACGGCTATTTCTATCCAGTAAAGGAGATATTTGTCCTTGGCCGTCCAATCCTACTATTCTTTGATTTTTTTGACTTGGAACCACCAGCTGAGGACGGTTGGCCATCATCATCTTCGGGCAACACATCACCACCAGCACTGAAAAGTTGGTCTAAAATACCACCCGGACTTTGGCCAGGCGTATTTTGAGAAGGCGTATTCTTTTTGCTTCGCTTGGCAGGTCTCGCTTGTTTCTTCTTTTCCTCTTCTTCGGCTTTTCGTTTTAATTGTTGTTGAAGCTTATTATCCAATTCTATATTTCAAAAAATAGTTCAGTATACAAAACACTATGCCCAAAACCACAAAATATAAATTTTACCTTCGTCATCCAATAATAAGGATACGATTTCTCTTGGCTTAAAGTCAACTTGTTTAAATTCTCCACCAGAAATGACCACTTTTTGGATCTAGTTTTATTAAACAATGTTAGTATCACCTAATTAAACGTCAGAGTCAAACATACCTCGTCTTTCTGCTTGGCCCTTTGTAGAATACGCTCCTCAATTGTGTTCTTTGTGATCAATCGATACACAGTAACTTGTTTGGTTTGCCCAAGACGATGTGCTCTGTCCATAGCCTGTAGAATACGACATTAGATATGAATGTGAATTTATTAAGAACACTTGCCTGTTGATCTACTGTTGGATTCCAGTCACTGTCATAAAATATAACAGTATCCGCAGCGGTCAAATTGATACCAAGACCGCCTGCGCGTGTACTAAGCAGGAAGATGAAGATCTCGGGTCTAAAGCAAGACATGATATGATTAATCCAGAAACTTGATCTAATGTTTTATGCTTTATTTCTTACCTTGTTTGCCAGTCAGAAACCATGTCACGACGGTCGGAAATCTTCGAAGAACCGTCCAATCGCAAATACTTGTATTGTTTGTATGAGATATACTCCTCCATAAGATCAATCATACGAGTCATTTGGAAGTAAATAAGACAACGATGTCCCTCAGATTTGAGCCTCTCCAAGAGTCTATCAAGTGTAGCTAATTTTCCAGAGTCTAATACTAAATCTCGCATGGCTATTTTTTTACATCAATAAAATATTTGTTAGTTATATTGATTGTTCCGTTATGCTTAAAATAACTTACCTGGGACTTTCATCAAGGAGAAACCATGTCCAGAAGATGGGACAGTCATTATACCCTGACCCTCTGTTCTTCTTACTACATCACGCAGTTCCATTGCTTGTTCTCTATTATGACCAGGAATATATTGTGGCGTTCCGAAGAAAGCGGCACGTAAGGTAGGATTAAACAGTACATCTCTTTGTTCTCGCTCAAACGAAATATCAGAACAAATAGCATCAACCGGGACAGCACGTGCCTACACATCCACAAACAAAAATATAGCTCATTAGATACATCCTCAAACACAAGCAAATATATAAACTTACACTAGGCATGTAGCACTGACCAAATGGTCTGGTCAGATACAACATACTATCAGTGACATGCGTCAATTCATCTAAGGCTCCACCAGGGATTATATTGAAGGAGGTTGTGGGAGATTGTGTTTCTGATATAAGGAAGCTTGCATATGTACGAATAGGTGCCTCAGGATAACTATTATATAGGTAAGTTTCGAATGTACTTTTGGTGAAAAGATAGCAAGCATTACCTTTCTTCATTTGTATTATAAAATTGTCTTCGAGCACGTTGATCTCTTTTTGCCAAATGATCAATCCAACGAGCAACCAAGGACTGTTTAAATAGATAGCTTGCCTCGTGTGGGGTGGTATCCACAAAGCGGAGGAAAGAAAATGCAGAGTCTAATATTAAGTTGTTTTTTTTTGGAGTTCGGTTTGTTAACTATCGACATTCAAAATTAAACGTTTAAGAATCGTAAGCTTACCTGGCTCACTGGACATCATGGACTCGTGGATAGCATTGGGTTGCCAAATATTCAGCAAATTATCCAAGTAATGTGTTGTGAATCCAATCTTGGTACTGGGACCAGGCTCTTTCAATATACCACCATTTCGGTATAATTTTTTAGGAATATGGTATTTAATGACGCCTCTTGATGAATAGGGGCAATAGAGAAGCTGCTCTTTGGTGAGTGAAGAGGTTGAACTAAAGTTACAAAATGCAAAAGGGGACTTGACGTCTGCACGCTCGAATAATTCTGGGTGGTTGCAAACCTTTTAAATGTATAAAAAAAGGAATTGTTATTTCTAAAGACAATGATAATAATACCAAAAGCTCTTGTTATATTTAATTTTACCTTTCGGAACTGCATCACCAGGTTCATCAAACTATCCATGCTTTCCATATCGTTTAGTGAGGTAGCTTTTTCGAGGAGTTCCGAAATAGATATCTTTTCTTTTAATCCTCTGTATAGTGCCCTTTGTCTGGCCGTAAGATCACAGTATACTTCTACTTCGATCTATTTTTTTAGGAAAAAAAAAAGACCCAGGTTAAATTGAAATTTATCTCAACGTATTATACAAAGTTATGTACCTTTTCGCCCAGTTCATGTTGTACGTTACGCTTGATACGACGCAACATGAATGGTTTCAATATCATGTGAAGACGCCTGAGTTGATGTTCATTTAGTGTTCCTTTGTTCTCTGCGTGACTCTCGATGTCTTTTGAGAACCATTCAGAAAATTCTTCGTGAGAGTCAAAGAGAGTAGGCATAATAAAGTGAAGAAGTGCCCATAATTCTAATCACCAATATAGACGTCAGTTAGCACATAAACAACTGTGTTTATAGACTATTTATGGGTATAATACCTTGCATGCTATTTTGAATGGGTGTACCAGTTAAAAGCAGCCGATTCCTACAATGGAAACCTAATAGTTGCTTCCAACGTGCACTAGACGAACTTTTGATAGCCTGGGCTTCATCAAGTACCATATATTGCCACTTTACTCGTTGGAAGTAACTAACGTCAGTAAGAACCTGGTATCAGAAGAAAAAGAAGAAAATAGGAAGTAAGTATTGTGTAGTGCTTCCCAAGACAATTGGCTACTTACAAGTTGGTAACTTGTAATTACTACGTGGAATGGGGCATCTCTTCCATAGAGCTGTTTTCTGTTCCAAAACTGACGCAACACCTTTCGGTCCTTGGGATTACCCCAGTATGGAAGAGCCTAATTATCAGATCAGTATACCAAGTTTTGTTTTATTGTACATTAAGTCAGCCTAATAAACTTACTCTGAACGAAGGTACAAACCGCGAGATTTCTTGTTGCCAATTGTGAAGAGTGGAAGCTGGGGCAATGACTAAGAAAGGACCCCAGATATTGTGTACTTCTGCTAAATAGGCCATCAAAGAGATGGATTGCACTGTCTGGGAGTCAAATGCGTCAGGTAACATTGGATGCAATCATTTTCTTTCTCAGGGATCAATGTTACCTTTCCCAGACCCATCTCATCTGCTAATATACCATTAATACCCTGTTCGTAGAGATTCGCGAGCCAATTAAGGCCTTTGAGTTGGTATGTTTTAAGCTGGCACATTAGCATAGAAGGCTGCTTGACCTCGGGACCTGATCCCATACTGGTGGGATCTTGGAAGTTCATAGAGTCCACTAGTAACATACTATCAGTGAATACCCTTTACATATAAAAGAAGTCAGTATCATACGTTGATCCTGACTGACTGTCATATCAGCAGAGTCTCCAGCGGCAATACGTCGCTCAAGAGCGCTTTCATCAAATGCTCGGGTAGCCTCTCGCTGTTTAGCCAACGCATTTTGTGCACCTCGTCTAGCCTGCTCTCGAAGTTTTTCGTCGTCATCTAAACGTGCCAATTGATCAATTTACGCAGATACTTGTATTAAGTAAGCCACATACCCTCATCGAAGTCAATCTCTCCTAGTTGCTCTTGATCATCTCCTCCTATATCCAAATCTCCATCGCCCTCCAAGTCCATTGACATATTTCCACCTGGCATCATAGCAGCATCTTCATCATCACCCATATCCTGCTTGATCTTTCTACCAATGAAATGACTGTAGAGCTCAGTTTGTGTAATCAAGAAGTTAAGCTTTCGTGCTTGGCGTTGTGCTTCTCTTCGTTCTTCTTCTTGTCGCAATCGTTCGAGGGCTTCTTTCTCAGCCTTTTTACGCAATTCTCGTTCTTCTTTTTCGTTTTTCTTCCAGAAAACTAGCATCTCTTTCATAGCTCTCTTGGCCTTGGCTTGAACATCTTTGTTTGCCCGGCCACTCTTGGTAGCTGCTTTCCTAGCTTCTTTCTGACAGTATTGTGCAATCTTTTTACAATTTCCACTACGGGTAGCCTGTACACGAGAAAGGACTCTTGCCATACGAGGAATGTCCTTTCGAGCAATACTCAACCAAATCTTGTGTCGCTCGTCTTCAACCTTGCGCTGGATTGTTTTACCGAATCGTTCTCGCATATATCGCTCGCCTTCATTATCTGTATCTTCAGCGCTTTCTAACTCACGACTATGTGAGCGTTTTACCTTTTTGAATCGATTTTTGTTACGTCCTTTAGGTTTCAAAGTATTAGTAAAGATAGGGCTGCCTTGGGATGAAGTGCGCTTCATCATCTGAGATCCACATCGTTTTTCGTACACATGCTGTAAATGTTCTTTTGTCTTGGCAAAACGTCGCTAGAATAAGATGATATTAGGAGCCGGTATTAATAATAATAAGAAGCAAAAGAAAGAAAAGAAAAGAGATGATATGCTATGTTGTGATATTGCATTGTTCAGCGGTGCTTACAGTTCGTTTTTTCTCGTAAGCTTCAATTATGTGCTTCTTTCGTCTGTGAATCTCAATCATGTATTCAATTATGCCTTCCTTATTTTTCTGTAAGATTTCTTCCTCATCTTCATCAGATAGTTCCAATTCTTCTCTTATTTCATCGTAACGGTTCTTTCCTTTTGACACAATCAGTTCAGAATCGCTTTCTCCTAATGATGACTCATCGCTTGAGGCATAAAGTCCACGTGTCTTGACAGAATTTGAATGGACTCGTATTCTGGGCGATCGGGTGATTTGGTTTGCGCCACTACTTATGCGATGTAGTGCTGAAGATTTTCCAGATGTTACAAGAGACCTTCCGGTCTTAGCATGTCTGTTTTCTGTAAAGCCTTCAGTGTCTGAAAACTATAAATGAACAAACATTAATTTCTGTTTAGCTATAATTTTTTTTTAAAAAAAAAGTGAATCTTACACGGGCATTGGAAAGATTACTTGCAGTAGATTCAATGAGTTTAATGTCTTCAGTGTCAGTGTCTGAATCTGCCATGGGAGTTTCTTCGGAATCACTGTTGAGTAAATTGCGAAAGCCGCTTGGGCGGGATTTTGTAGGCATAGGAACGACTGCGGGTGCAGATAAAGACTCAGTAGAGCTTAAAGCTGTTGACATAGTAGTCGAAGGGTTTTCAATTGCTGCTCTAGTAGATGAGATTGTTTCTGTAGCTGAAGTAGATGCGACATTGGTTGCATTGGTAGGGAGAGTTTTCGGTGTTGATGTTTTTGTTGATGTGGCGACGGCGGTGACAGTGGCGGCGGTAGTAGTGGTAGTAGCGGTAGTGGTGGCGGTGGGGATGGTTGTCTTTGCGTTTGCAGGTGCAGGTGCAGGTGTGCTTGCGCTTGTGTTTATGTTTGAATTTACGTTTGCGTTTACGTTTGCAGTTGTGATTGCAGTTGTATTTGTTGTAGATTCCATAGTTGGTGTATGGTTGATGGATTTGGGAGTATTTGTAGTGACTGCCGTATGATCAACAGGTGCACGATAAGATGTTGATGTCATCTGATTATTGTAAGATGGACGATCGGTTGTATCGGATGACAGAAGTTGAGAGATGGACATTACGGGAGAGATGTTTGTCCTGTCATAATATCCCTATAGAAGATCAAATAACATAAACAACTAATTAGATGCGTTATTGAACTATGCTGGTCTGTGCTTACTTGTGAGGTATGACTCTCTGTCTGTGAAGGTCGACTGGACTATATGTGAAAACAAATTTACATATTATCATTAATATAAAATCAAATAGGAGAATATATATATATATCTCTTTATGTCTTCATTTATATACATAAAAATGAAGGAGAGAGAGAGAGAAGAAAATACCTCTTCTGATGTCGCAGCTCGGATCGGATCATATGGTTTTTGGTAGGAATGTTTTTGGTTAAAGCGCGCATTGAAGGGTTGGGTGGGAGCTCTCGAGGTAGGAAAGCGATGGGGTAGCGAAGACTATGTACGAGGTGAGTTGTATTGTTGGTTTTAATAGATCTATGCTTACTTGAGTATGTGTCCGTTCGCTATATTGCCTGTCCGAATAATCCCAAGTTGGAGACGTCGAAGTAGGATAGTTATGAGCCGGATAAGGGTCTCGGTTGTATTCTGATTGAGGTGAACGAGAATAAGGATATTGGGCAGTAGTATAAGGCGCGCTGCCAGTAGAGGGCTGCCTCGCATACACACCCCATTCTTCGGACGGAGGAGGAGAAACACGCGGCGTATATGCCACCGGGTTAAACCTCGGTGAGAGATCCTGAGATGGTGGCTGCTGTTGTGGCTGTTGTGGCTGTTGCTGTTGGTGGTGTTGGTGTTGTTGTTGTTGTTGTTGTTGGTGGTGGTGCTGGTGCTGGTGTTGCTGGTGGTCTTGGTGTTGATGTTGATGCTGCTGTTGTTGCTGTTGCTGTTGCTGCGAAGGTGGCTGTGTCGAGGATGAGTGGTGCTGAACCTGCTGCTGTTGCTGTTGCTGTTGCTGCTTTTGTTGCAAGTGGTGAGGGTGCAAATGGTGATCGGCTGGTACCTGCTGCCTGTGGGAAGACTGATTGGTGCGATCAAAGGACATTACATGAATAAGCAACTACTTGGTGCGCAGATGCAAAGGAAAAAATTCAAGTAGAAGCAGACCAACTGTTTTCCCTCCACACGTTGAGTACGCACGTCACTTTGTGACGCCGGCCTTTGAAGAAGAGGTGAACAAATTGCTATATGCACCACACTCCCTGTCGTTTATTACTCCACGGTTTCAGACATCAAAGAGAAAGCTTTGTTCCATACTTATGAAAGAAAATTAAATATCATTATTAATTTTTTTAATTTTATAAAATCAATTTTTTTGTGCATTTTAAATATAAAAAATATTCATTTGATTTATTGTATTTCAATAGATAACTGCTACCAAATCTTATGAATAAATATAGTTGCTTTTTAGCGTTGGTTTGTTTTGGTGTGTATTTTGATTTTGGTTCACAGAAACTTGATGAGGCGCAAATTTAGTGTGGACTGATTTGAATGCAAGGGCAATCTTTTTTTCTCTCTCTCTGTCTCAAAGAAGTAGAACCCCGTGTACACACACTTTTTATTTGAACTCGGACATTTAAAAAACTCCGACATAAGAGTGTGCTTCCATGGCAACCAAAAAAAAAGTTAGAAAAAAAAATAGAAATTTGATCCAAGAATTTCAATGTTTTTTTTACCAGTGATTTTCATTTATTTAAATTAGTATAAAAAATGTATATATATGAATATATGTAAAAGTGAAAATGAAAGCACTGCTGATTGTTGCCAACATCGTACCCCCGAAAAACTCAAGAGTCAGTCAGACTGCCCAGCGTGCTTTTTGAATTCATTCTGAGTGCGATAATGCGGTCCGACAATAGGGGAAATAATTGGCAGACGCTGATAAGAAAATCGAGCACCGGATAAAACATAAGTTTTCATTGTTCAACGCCAGGGCGGTATATAAAGATCTATTTTATAGAGACTGAGTTGTGGGTCTTGGATATTTTTATTATTCACAAAAGATTATATGTTTACAGTCTTGCGCCAGAAAAATAAATAAATAAATAAATTAGGTTATATCAGGCAAGTATTTATGGTTATTTGTGTTAATTTTGGGAAGAAGTAGTATCAAGCTGAAACTAATAATTTGTTTTTACTAGTAACAGTAACATATCCCTTTGGCTGTGTTGCCTCAGTCCTCAATTTCTTAAAGGAAAATAAACGAATAAAAGAAAAAGGAAGTAAAGAAATAAAGAAATAAGAACAATAGAAAACGGAAGAAGGAATAAAAAGAAAATCTTTAACCTCTGTACTTCTATATATGACAAGCCACGTAATTGTTCTGTACACATTACTGAGAAGGCTATGTAATATTGATGTATGAGTAAGCAGCTGTTTTTCAAATTGTTTAGGCTGTGGAAAACCTTGTCTTTTGCTCCCTGTAAGTAGCCTACCCACCCACTCATTCACTACGCCCACCAATTCACCCTTCTCTGCCTTTTTGTTGGATTTGTCATATACCAGTCACAGATTGCACCATTTTGAAAGCAAAAAGAATTTCTTTTTAAACCCAAGGGTTGTTTTTGAATGCCAGTACTTCTTTATCCTCCTTTAACCTCAAAATGCCAGCACAACAAGTTCCTCACAAGCTCAGCTTACCAGACCTCCAGCAGCTGGTCCTTTACACAGGAAATCTTATGCGTACTAGCCTCGCAAGCCGCACAAAGGAATTGAACAAACAACCCAATGCAGAGGTACAGACTACCCTGATAAATAGACGAAATCGAGAGGCTGATACATTTATAAATTAGTTAGTTCACGCTGTCGACGATACCCTGAGACTGCTTATGGACAGCCCTGGTGCTCCATCATATCGCTATTACACAGAACACGGACTACTTGAAGTACCAGACCTTCGACAGAGCAGTAGAATACCAGCAGAGGACAGAAATGATGTGCAGGTCACAGGTCAGCAGAAATCTATAGACTATTTTTCCCGACACACCAATCTATCCAACTAACCTCGATAGCTTCCTCCAATTAGCCAAACTATTCTATCTTTCCGAGAATACACAACACGTCTATCCACCCATTCATGTCGATGCTGCAGTAAACCATTTACAGAAATTGCTGGGTGTATCTACTATTGACACCTTCCTTGTCTCATTTGCCGGTGACCATTCTCTAAAAAACACATGCCAGGCCTGGAGTGCACTTGAGACATATCAGCAGCAAGGTGTCATTGGCCGACTGGGTGTATCTGACTTTTCTGCACAAAATATTGATGAAATTTTGACAAACAAGAGTATAAAAGTAAAGCCTTCAATTAATCAAATCAACGTTGGATCATGCTGTGACATGCCAAAGGAAACTATTGAACATGCAAAGCGTAATGGGATTGAATTACTGCACAACAGTGACAGTGCAGGTAAATCGAGATTTGGGCTTGAGCTTGTTTTATATTTATATATAAATATAAATATTATAAATACTTTTCAACCAAAAATCTAATATTATTATTCTTATTATTTTTAATATTTTTAATATATAAGATATTCTATCTACCGAGGAGCTTAGTAAGTTATTGTCCAGCAGAGCAGTGGTACCAAAGACAACTACAGTGACCCCACGCTGGGTAATCAAATATCACGTATTTGTCCAGTGTCGTAGTGTAGTTGCAGACAAAGGGTAAGTAGCATAGATATATAGATTTTTTTTTTAAAAAAAAATTATTATTATTTTGATTTTTGGTTTTACTTATACTGTAAATGAACTGTAGATATATTGTAATGGGAGATGCTCTTTGATCGACTGCGTAATGAGACACAGATAGAAGCGGTGCTACCATCGGGCACACGTGTGATTAATGATCCACTGTAGAACATCAACTTACAAACAAACCAAACTCAAATTGCAATTAATATATTATTTTGAAAACAAAACAAAAAAAAAAGAAAGGGAGAGAAGGCTAGTGAGAGAAAGAGTGAGTGAGCGAGCAAGAAAGAAAAAGAGAGAGAGAGATATAGAGAAAGAAAAGTTTAATGGCGGGATATTTATTTTTTTTACAAAATCGTGCACTTCTTCTGTCGTTTCGGAGGTGGGGCGGGACAGAGCACAGCGCGAATGGCCTCATCGAACACGTTCTTCAAGCCCTTTTGTGTCAGGGCTGAACATTCAAGATACTTCACTGCACCGATATCTTTTGCCATCTGCAAACTTTGGGAATAAGTAATAGGAGCCATATGCTTCTGACGCAGCTTGGCAATTGTCTCGGGATCTTCACGTAAATCAAGTTTTGTACCGACAAGAATCATGGGTGTATTGGGTGCATGGTGGCTGATTTCAGGGTACCACTGAAATACAAGAATTACTCAGATTACTCTGTTCAATTTTAAATCCCCTGAAGAGTTTATTTTATACCTTTGTCTTTACGTTCTCAAATGAAGGTGGACTGACGAGAGAGAAACAGATCAAGAAAACATCGGTTTGTGGATAAGAAAGAGGGCGGAGTCGGTCGTAGTCTTCTTGACCAGCTGTATCCCACAAGCCCAAATTGATTGGCTTTCCATCCACCATCACGTTAGCCGAGTAATTGTCAAAGCTATAAAAAGCAAGGGAGCGTATGAGAGGGTCAGCCAAAATAATAATAGTATTAATATCAGTATCAATACCAATACCAATAGTAGTAGTAATAAAAATAATAAAAATAAAATGATAATAATAACAATAACAATAATAATAATATCATACAAAAGATATGCCTTACACAGTCGGGATATATTCGCCCGGGAAGGCATTGGTTGTATAAGAGATGAGCAAGCAAGTCTTACCAACAGCACTGAGCAATAGATGAGATGAGATGAGATCAATGGTCCATCTAACTTTTTTTTCCACATGATGGTACTCTTCATCAACCAATCTTACCCATCACCAACAACAACACATTTGATAGCCTGCATAGTTCGGTTTGTTTACAAGAGTGGATGTAATAATTCTTGTCGAGGATTAAACGTATATAAGCTCTAAAGGCGACTGAGATGCGAAAAAAGCTGAATATAATGAGGGTAACCCAGGGCTGGTGGGGTTAAAGGAGGTAAAGGGGAGAAGAGATGAAGAGATGAAGAGAGGGAAAGTTGGAGAGAGGGATGGTGTCCAAAAGGCGCAAAAGGGAGGAGAACACACTTTGGTGTGAGTGAGCGAGCACCGTTGGGTATTTACACATAAATTGATATTCCGCGTGAAAATTGGCACCAGCAATTTGGTGTTGGAACTGCACCGCGATTTTCAGTATTTACGCTTTTTTCGACTCCAAAATTGCGCTTCTTCTTGCAAGTATTGTGTGTGTATGCGTTTTTTTTTTTTTTTTTTTTTTCAAATGAACTTTCAAACCATTTACGCTATCTGGATTATGTATGGCCTTTACCCCTCTACTCTCTATCTATATGTATATTAGAATTATAATAGAAAAATTATACATACACAATATTTGAATAAAGTCTTTTCGTTACAATCATGGAAATGGCTCATTCACCCATTCACTTTGGATGAGAATAATACTATCACGGATGTGTTACTGTATCTGGGCTACTTACTGTGTCTTTTCCCGTCCCTTTAGATCCTCTCTACTTCTCCCCTTACACCTTTGAGTTTTCTTTCGCTCATTACAATTGCAAAGGTTGTGAAAATAGGACAATTAAACAATTGAATGCCAGATACTTCCCAAGCTCTCGGTCAAACCAATACCTTTTCTTTCTCTCTCTCTCTGCTTGACTTCAATCCTTTTTTTCTTCTTCTTTTGCTGTAGAAATAAGGATCCTTTGGTATAATTTATATATATGTATGTATATTAAGATAATGTTTTGTCTAGATTGAAATCTAATTTGAATATCTTTGTCATTACCATTCTTACAACTTTTGTTCTTCATACTGCTTTCCAAATCTTTCTTTCTTTCTCTCTCAGACTTAGTAGTCGTGTGTCCTGATGCAGGTCGTTTGAATTCAGTAAATAATATCGACTCTATCGTAAGTATTTATGCAAGTAATCAATATAGAAGCAGCAGTAATAAAAGTAGTTGTAGAAAAGGAAGAAGAAAAAGAAGCATAACAAAAAAAATATTAAAAGACAAAATATCTTGATCCTAATCCATTTTACCTGTTAATTGTTACTTTTTTTTTGGTATTTATTGGTCGGCTACAGTAAAAAACACTGAGAGATTGGCTTAATACGCATGAAGCTTTGTATTACAATATTTATATGAGAGAGAAAAGGTAAAAGAAAAAAGAAAGATACTAGGAGAAAAACTACTCCAAGAAACGCCTTATCACCACAAGTGCTGTTAATTGTTACTTGTTACATTTATTCTTAATAATCCTTTATCTATCATATATTCTCTCTGTATCTTTGTATTGAGTACTCCCCTGCTCACCTTATTTTTTTATTTATTTACAGTCTGGTATGTTTGAACAATCGCGATAGTTTTAAAACTTTATTTCACTACGGATCATCCCAAAGCATACCGTTGTTTTTTGTCCACTTGTAACCGTTATATAGGCTAGAGTATTTATCGCAGACACATTTATATTTTATATCTAACTTTGGTTTCTTCTCTTTCTTAGTATTTTTTTATAGCAGCACCTATTCTTTAATTAATTACTCTTGGTAAATTTGAAAACTAGATTTTATACTAGATTTTTTCTTTAGTCTAAATAAGAATGATGTATGTGTATGTATGTGATTCAGTAAAAGTAAAATGCTTTTTGATCGTTCTCCTTATTAAATGTCTTGCTCGATGCTTTTACTTTTTGTGTTGATACAGAACTCGTTACTTGGGCTTTAGTAAATGTCGTAAAAATGTATTTATACTGACAAATGAGGCCTCTTTGATCGATTGATTGCATAATGTATTTTATTTTTATTTACAATAATAGGTTTTGACTACAACTGTTCAATTAAATCAAGAAAACCTAGCGGTTAAAACAAATGGTCGATAAAATGATATACAAAATATGGTGAAGCATATTCAATCCACATCGGATTGTTAATCATTTACCTGGTAGAAGAGACACGGTAATCATAAAGTGAAATATCTAACTCTATACTGTGCGGAAAAAAAAACAAATGAATTTCTTTGTCTAGAAATATTCAGCAGTCTGAAGGTTGAAAAAGCAAAATATGGCAATGTTTCTATGCATATTCTAAACAGGATCTATTTATCATTACTTTCTTCCACTTTCACATTCATTCTCACTATCATTAGCATTATCGCCATTGCTTTTGGTAAATAAACGTATGATGATGTGTATTATAGTGGCAGTTAACCTTTTGAGATTTTGGTACTTATTTTGTTTTGTTTTATTGAAGGAAGGTGTAAAAAAAAAAGGGGGAGAGGGGGTTGGAAAGGGAAGAAAAAGTGAAAGGTGAAAAGGGGGGGAGAAGGGGGGGGCCGAGTGAGGACATGATTTGTGATAATAAACTGAAAGAGAAGACAAGAATTGTGTCAAAGAAGAGTAAAGAAAACTCAAAAGAAGTTAATAACTAGAAGGATATTGTAATACCATTTGTAATGGTCATACATATTTTGTACTTTTTTGAATAGATTTGTGAGATTCTTGGCTATCGTTTGTGAATTTGAATATTAGGTGTTCACATGTAGCCATTTCCACATGCACAGATGTATTTAATTGTACTTAATTGTTCCGTTTGGCTTTCTTCATTTCTTTACTGATTTGAAATTTTGCTTTCGTTTTCCTTTTGTATTCCTAACCACCAAGTCATGTTTTATTCAAACTTACTAGACCAACTAAACGTCTTTATTATTAGGAGTAAAGCAGAAAATAGGAGACCATAAATCAATAGAATAATTCTGCCATATCTTTATGCACAAAGAACATGAATCCAACACTCTCTAAAGAACCTTTTTATTTATTTACTATCTTTTCTTTCTTTCTCCTACTCATCCTCATCCTAAACCTCATCCTCAACATAATACTCCTCATTTATTGACCTTAATAATAATAATAAATATTTTATTTTTATTATTGAACCAACTCCTTGTTCAGCAGTACTGATCATGCCACCAAGAAGTTCCATTATATATGTTTTTTGATCCTCCTAAAATCATCACCAAGCCAGCCTGCATTGCATTCACAATTAACATAAAAACTCTTTTAAGCTTTTTCTCTTAATAGTTTGCTTTATTTTATTTCAAGAAGATCTAACCAGCTATCTGACTCTCTAAACCTATCTTTCATTCTTTCTCTTTTTTTTTCCTTTCCTTTGTTTAATTCTTAACAACCACAATAATCAGAATAGTAATATAACGAAAGTTAAATGAACTACTCTCACAGTTTATTAGTCTATCCAGAAAGGTTCTCTAAACCACCTCAGTCAATACCACTCTTTTATGATGATTTTGTTTTGCCAAAGAAGCAAGAGCCACCTGAGCCAGTCAGCCAAGACGAAGATAATGTTCCATTGAGCAAATATCGTGTCATTGACGATGCAGTTCTGTCTCACTACCACCCAGCTTTCCAGACCCGTCCTGCGTTTAGGACAGCAATGTCAGCACACCACCAGAGACACGAACCCCTTTTACCAACCGGATATTCAACTAGCACGCCTTGCCACAAGTCCGCATCACGGAGCCAGCCGCCCACAAGAAGACCCAGTGCGTCCAGCAATGGATATGAAGCATCCCTGCTTGGGTCTGGATTTTCTGGGAAAAGTTTCTCAAACTCTCAGAACTACCAGCCTCATCGTGTAGAGCGGCACCCAATGTATACCACAAAGCAAGTCTGGTCGGACCCATCTCCACTGCTGGAAGACATGTCTGACGAAGACGACGAGGACCATGTTCCTATTGGGGTTCTTCAAGGACAGCCTCCTGCAGACCGAAAAAACGAGTATCAATCTGTAGCAGAAAAGTACAAAGAAAAGGTCAAGGGAAAGCTGATCGATGAGTTTCCAGATGACATTAACAGCAATGATCTTCGGCAACACCCGGTATACCCTACAGTTCCGCCGGCTGATATATCTCTGACACTACCCTGTTCACGTCCGGTTGTATTACGGCGACGATCTCACGAGCCATATCGACAGCATTATTCCCAGCAAACCCAACAAAATACTTCTCAACAAAATACTTCTCAACAACAACAATCATCTTCACAACAAACTTCATCACAGCAAAACCAGCAACAAACTCAACAGGTTCAGCAACCACAACAGCAACCACAACAGCAACCGCCACAGCAACCACAGCAACCACAGTCGCAGCCACAAACACAGTCGCAGCCGCAACAACAACAACAAGTTCAACCACAAAATCAACAGCAACAGCAATCCTCACAGCAGCAGCAGCAGCAGCCACAACAGATTCCACAACAACCGCAGCAGCAGCAGCAACAACAACAACAACAACAACAGTTGACTTTAATCCCGTCCGTATCTACTAGCCGTGCAAATGGTCATTGCCAGCAGCTCTATCCAGGTGATGGTGATGACGATGACGATGATGTGCCTCTTTCTCAATCGTTCTCTGGCCTAGCCGAGATACAAACATTAATAGCTCCAGCTTTAATAGATCGTGAACTTGCTGATGATGCTCAGTGTGCTATGAATTATTTAATGCTGCGTTCAACCATAGGGTTTCAATAAATAAAATAAAGTAAAATACAATATAATATAATATGATATAATACAATACAATAAAACAAAGCAAAGCAAAAATATAACTATAATAATAATAATAATTCATTACAAAGTGTATCTAATTTAATAGCACTATATAATCCAATCAGAACAAGAAACCATATGTTTTCTTCTTTCTCTTCTCTATATATCAATATTCTTATTATATCCTTTTCTCTTTCTTATTTGTTCCCCTTCTCCTTAGCCTTCTCCTTCTCTTCTTATATATGTATATATATCAACACGCCTATCCGCCCATCCTTTTCCTCCCCTTTAGTCTACCAATGAATTATCCCTTTTATTTTATTTTACACACCAAATCTCTGTAGATAGGCTATTACACACACATTTACACAACTAACCAATATATATATATTTCTTTAGCTTGTGAATTACAAGATTACAAGAACAGATAACAACAAAGTGAAAATAAAATAAAAATAAAAATAAAAAAGGTTGATAGACTAATACAAAAAATAATAGTAATAATAATAAATATATTTATATTTAGTTGTATCCTATATTTGAACTATCACGGTAGTTTTGCCGTCTGTCTTGTTCGTCAGCAATTGTACACAGCTGGGACCACAAAGCATCTTTTTGCATGTGTGCTTTGTATAATTTATCGCGGGCTCCTTGCAAGCGTAACAGGTATTCGTTGCTGAAATTGATATTTTCCTAATACAAATATAGATACAAGTATAAATATAATTCCAATAAAAATGAAAGAGAGATCAGTAGGTTGTTATTAGAAAAAGAAAGAAAAGAAGAAGCAAAACTTGTAATGGTTGTATTTTTTATTTTTATATTGAAAACTTACCAGTAATAGCTCTCTTACTCTCCGAACTACTTCCTGTGCTTCAGCGTCTACAGAATCATTGGATTGACTAGATGGTCCTTCTTCTACCGACATTGAAGATATCTTTTCATTCATGTGGGATGTTGGTTCGCCGCCATCTTCTTTCTTGGTTTCACTTTCAGATAAATTTCTTCCATTCTGATCTACCTTGGCCTGTCCCACTCCTGAACCTGAACCTGAACCTGAACCTGTTCCTGCTCCTGCTCCTGGACCTGATCCTGATCCTGCCACTGATCCTGATCCGGATCCTCCTGCTCTGTTCTCCTGTATATCTTTTGTGGCATTGTCTTTTGATCCAGCATGACGTTTTGCTCTCCGTTCTTCGGGTGTTCTTTCGAATTTGAGGTCAAGATATCGAGGGTCATCATGATGCAGAATGGCACACAGGCGACACAGGATCTTGTTGAAGTTCTTTTCGCCTTCGATAAACTCCATTGCTGTCTTTGCCAGTCCTTCCACCTGTCGGGACTGGATAATTCGTCTGAGAGCAGGGCGGCGGACAATATCAGTGGGTGATTCAATTGGGCTCAAAATGGCTATAGTCATTTATAGTAGATATACACAATAAACACATGGTAAGTGTTAAGATAAATCCAAATCCAAATCCAAATGCAATCTATTACACAATGAAAGAAAAAATTGGGCTTGCCTTCAATGTTGACTAGAGTGTAAGGATCTTCTTCTTCGTCTGATATCTCTTCATCTAATCTTCTCTTTTTACGTTTTACGACAGTTCTCTTTTTCCCTGCTTTTGTGTACTGATTTTATTTGTATGCATATTAGATAAACGCATACATATAAAGAACAAACCATTTTCTCTAATGGCTATAAAAAAAATCCCCCCCAACACACACAAATTTATCGATCTATCTATCTATCTATCTATCTATATGTCCTTTTTGGTATTTTATACTTTATAAGAAAAATACATATAATATATACTTAATATACTGTCTATTTTTCTTTTCTTTTTTTTTTCTTTTTTACCTCTGATTCTTCGGCTAATTTTCTGGGTGCTCTCAACTTGTTTCCACCAAATTGGGCTTCTGATGTAGCCCATTTCTTCAGTAAGCAAAAAAAAAAAAAAAAAAAAAAGAAGAAGACGCACAAACAATAACTTGGTTGAGGATAATATTATTTGTCTTTTTCTTTTTTATATATATAAAAAAATTGACGTGTTAATCTATTATTATTATTATTATTATTATTATTATTATTATTATTACTATCATTTTAGAAAAGGATATGTTTATAACCACGATTGTGAGGAACAAGACCAATTTGGTCATTGTCACTTTCTTCATTGTCTTGAATCCACTTTGCTGCTGGTACTGAATGTGCTAAAGGTGCTGAGGGTGCTGCTGATTGTTGTGTGTTGGTTGAGGTTGATGACCCAAGGTTGCGGTCTGCTCCAATAGAGTGTAAGTTTGACAATGGGTGTTCTGTTGATGAATCCATTTGGGAAAAGAAAAGCAAAATAGAGGTAAATTACGTGTGTGTGTGTGTGGGAGAGTATAAAAAGAAGAAGAAGAAGAAAGAAACAAGTGAATAAGACGATGGGTTAACAAAAGACAAGACAGGTCAAGTCTGGTCAAGAGATGAAATTTAACAGCGGATTAGAAAAGGGAATAATGTTAATAATTGCAATGGAAATGGTAATAAAATGGGGCAAGGTCTACGGACAAGTGCAAGTGAAAATAAGAACGATTCAGTGAACGACAAAACAAAAGTTTTAGTGACGGATGCGACACCATGTCTGAGTTACAAAACAGTAATAAAAAAATAAAATAATTAGTATTAAAAGCGTGTGTGGATTTCTCTCTCTCTCTCTCTTTCTCTTCATCTTTTCCTTTTCTTTCTTTAATATACATTTTTATTATTCCATGCGATACTACAGACACTATAAGCACTACAAAGACAGGTCTGTATATTTTAATTAGCATCACTCCTTTGGTTTGGCATTATTTCATACAAGGACCTTTCTTATTATTATTATTTATTTTCAACTAAATTGTGTAGTCCAAACCCACCCTGATTTCCTGTAATGAAATATATATATGATTATGCTGGATCAATTTTAATTCAATTAGAGAACAAAATAAATAAAATTAATAAAAAAAATACTGGTTATTATTTAAAGGGGGTAGTCAATTGAATTTTATAATCTTTGGTCTTGCTTTGCTTTAAAAAACTGGTGGAATTTAGTAAGCCTTTTTTTTTTAAAAAAAAAAAAAAAACAATCGGTTCATTTACTCCTTTAGTCACAATACAAATTACATTAGATTATACAAGCAAACAAGTGATTATATTATTGTATTCATCTATGTAAAAAGAAAATTTTCGGTTTTATGTATCAATCACCCGTTTTACACCAATATAGAGTCACTCTTAAAAGTGCGACTAGCTTTTTCAGATTGTGCGATTCGTACTTTAAAATTGTGCGACTTGCATCGCTCGTCTCAATCTCAAGTAGAAGCACTGTAATTACGTGATTTATTCTGGGTTTTAATTCACAGAAATGCACGTCTTTTATTTATTATAATATTCTAAATATATATATAAATAAAAAAGCAATAACCTACGACATTAGTAAAAGATTATCTTTTTTTTTTTTTTTTTTTTTTTTTACAAAACAAAATATATTCACTCTCACACTACATATATATATATATATATATATATTATGTCAAAAATTAAGGTAGAGACCAATAGATAAGTAGATAGAGAGATAGAGAGAAAGAAAATAAAATAAAGAACAGAGCAAAGTAAGGCAGGGTAGAGATCAACGTAAATCACACAGAGTACATACTCACATGGATTTGGTATTATTTTTTAATAAAATGGTAATAATAATTTATTGATTTTTTTTCATAAGGAAAAGAAAATAAGATAAATAAATAAAAAAAAGGTGGAACCGGGGACCAGGGTCAAAATAATAATAATAATAATAATAAAATATTATATTTATATATAAAGGGAATGGATTTAGGATTTTATTTTATTTTTGGGTGTGGTCAGAAGTTAAAGTATAAAAGATATATATATATACATATGTTATTATAATTATAATTATTATTATTATTTTTTGTTGTTGTAGAATACAGGGCAGGACAAAATTAGGACAAAATAGGATAAAATAGTACTGGACAGAGAAGGGCAGGGCAGGTCAGGTCAGGTCAGTGATAAAATATAATATAAAAATAAAAATAAAGCATGTGAAAATCAAAAATCACAACATCACACCAAGTCGGAATCCATTCACCGAATTACCCGCCTAAAACGTGTGTGTGTGTGTATGTCTTGTATCACAATAGAAAATAATATATAGATAATTTTTTTTTATATTATATATAAAACTTTACTTTCTTTTGGTGTTGACAAGCACTAAAGCATCTTTATTTCATTCCTCTTCTCTTTATTATTAATATATATTTTTTTTTATAAATAAATATCTAAAATATATGCATTATAACCTTCCCTCCTCCTTTTATTTCCCGGTTCTGTTATACTAGTGAAATGTGCAGGATCTGAGATACGGAAGGTCTGTGTGTATGTATGCAAAGTATGTATTTATGCATACAAATCTATATTATAAAAAAAAAGGCGGATAGATTTACTTGGTGGCGGTGGCGGTGGTAGTAATTGTAGTAATGACATGTAATTTTGTGCTATACTGAATGACAGAAACTCTCGGAAGTAAGGAAAGTTGGGGAGAAGTCGGAAAGAAAGATAGGGACCAAAAAAAAAATTGAATTGAATTGAATTGTCTGTCCCTCAACTATGAAACTGTGAAATAGCAAATGTATATATATATTTCACCATTTGATCTAAAAATGGTTTAAATATATTGAATTATGCCAGTAATAATAATAATAATAATAATCTTTTCTTCTTTGTCGTCGTCTTTATTCCGGGTCTTATTTCTGTGGGAAATAGAATAGGTAATGAAAAGAGAGAGAAAGAAAAAAAAAAGTCTATTTAGTCTGTTGCATTTATTCTGAATAGACGTCACTGCACTGGCTACAGCATATTTGAATAATAAAAAGCACTAGTTTTCAATATATGAACTATAATAAACAAATTATTTTCATCAGGGAAATGTGTCCAATAAGACATGAAGCGAGAAAATCAAATGAGCTAATCGAGAATAAATAAAATAAAATCCCCACTCAATCAATCATTTATTTATCACCATGGCTACCACCACCAACCTTCTTTTTTTTTTTTTTTTTGGCGATAATATAAATATAACGCTTACATTAGTCGATCGATCAATGTTTGAACCGATAAAATTGATCTGATAATTCCGTGTGAAAAATAAAGAAAGAAAATACAATAAAATTGCTTCTTTTTTTCTTTTACATGTCAACGAGATAAGAAAGATAAATCTCGATCAAATTGGCTAGAGTTCATTGTTATTTAATTATATAAATATGTACATATTATCTATCTAGGTTATGGAAGTTGATAGCTGAAGCTAAAGTTAAATATAAAAAAAAGATAATAGAGCTAAATAATCGTCTTACAAAGCTATCATTAAAAGTACATTATTATCAGTAATAAAAGAAGAAGAAGATTTTTTTTTTATCTTTGATTATTTGCCATGTTGAATATATAGCAATATTTTTTTTTGTGCTTTTTAATTTTTTGGGATTTGACTTTTTGAGCGCCCGCTATATTTGGTACTTGTAGCACTTTGTATATTTGTAATCTTTGTGTTTGATTGCTTATCTGACCTTTTCATTTGAACTATCTTTTTATAATTAGGTATTTTATTTTATTTCATTTTATTTTAGAGCTGTAGAAATGAGTGTGTATGTTCTGTGTGCGTTTTGCAGTATGTACAAAATAAAAAAAGGGGGGGAAGAGGAAGAAAAGAGCATATGAATAAAATAGAAAGCATAGGATATATAAAGAATAGAAAAAGAAAGCAATAGTAAAGAAAATATGTATATCAGAAAATAAGAAAAGAAAAAAGCCTGGATTAAAAAAAGAAAAAGAAAAGGATAGAGACATGGATTCTTTTTTGAAATAAAATAAATAAATAAAACAAAATAATGGGGTTGATAATAATAAATGATGATAATGATGATAATGATGATGATGATGATGATGATGATGATGATGATACTAGTTGTAATGATGGTAAAAGAAATGAATAATAATAGTAGTAGTAGTAGCAGTAAGGAAGAGTAATAAAAATAAGAATGTGTATAGTATGTTTGTGTGTGATTTGGGTTTGTAGCTTTGTTTTTGTGTGTGTTTTATGTGTAGCCAACCCTTTCCAATTTGGTTTGTTTTACACAGACACAGACATAGACATAGACAGAAAAGACAGACAAGGACGGAAATTTGGTGTGTATATAAAAGAAAGAAATTAGTCGATGAGAAGCGATCGAATGGAAGGAAGGCGATGATGTTGGTTATGATGGTAGTTTTGAGTTTGGCTGTGATTTGGTGGCATGTCGGGTATTAAGGGCATATTTGGAGACTGGGGTGCAAAACGAACAGGAGGTTGGAGGAATAACGGAGGGAATCCTTGATGCTGTTGACGCTCATTATTTGTGTTGTAATATATATGATGTCTATAATGATTGTTATTGTCTTCTTCGCATTCATCATCTTCCTCTTCTTCCTCGTGCCAGATAGGTGATCGTAGATAAAGGGGCATAATAGAGTCAGTTGCATATTGGTCCTGATGTTGATATGGATGTTGAGCTTGAGCTTGAGCTTGGGCTTGAGCTTGAGCTTGAGCTTGAGCTTGAGCTTGATGTTGAGTCTGACGACTTGGTTTGATGGGACTGATTATCGACAGGGATACAAGAGACAAGGGTTGTTCTGGAGTAACGATCTCGAGTCGTTGAGGGTGACTGATGTGGTCATTTATGCCGAGCCTGTAGGGACTGTCTGGGTAATCATAAAGGTTGGGTTCATAGGTGTAGGCGGGACTAGAGAATGTGGGTGAAGATGGACCGGAAGACGACGGAGATGATGGGACATCAGATGAGTGAGCAGACAGGGCAGGAGAGGGTGGGATGATGGAGGTCTGTGTGTGTCTGTGTGTCTGTTCCTGTTCCTGGGTCTGTGCCTGTGCCTGTGCCTGTGCCTGCGCTTGTGCATGCTCTAGTTCCAGTTCTTGTGCCTGTGGTTTGGATCTCTCTAGGTCAGCAAGTTCCTTTTGAGTGACAGTGATACCATGTTGCTTTTCAATGTGACGCGTCAATTGACCGCGTCTCCAGAAAGACTTGTAGCAACCTTCCAAAGGACAGTGGTTGAGGTTTGCAGTCGGGGATTGTTTGTAAGGACTGGTACGGGTGCGGGAAGGAGTTGAAAAAAAGGTATTAGTAGGAGTGGACTGAGACGAAGAAGAGGACGAGGACGAAGAAAAGGAAGTAGTGGTTGAGGTAGAATTAGATTGCTGAGATGTTTGTTGAGGTGGTGGTGATGAGGATGGTGAGGATGGTGAGGATGGTGATTGTTGAGGTGAAGAGTTCGGTTGCATGAAACGTAGGATTGAACAGTGTTGCTGCTGGCGTTCATAGGCTTCTTCATCTTCCGAAGACCAGGCTCTGGATGAGTTTGTTGATCTGCGTACATATCTGCGACGGTGCAAGAGAACGGATGGTGGGGCAGTGTGGACGCGAATGTGTCGATTGAGTTCATCGGAGCGTGCGAATTTTTTGTCGCATTGAGGGAATGTACAGGCGTGGGGTTTTTCACCAGTATGGGTTCGAACATGGCGCACCTTGTGTTCGAGACGATAGAATGATTTGTGACAAAAGTCACATTTGTAAGGACGTAAAAGGGTTCCTTTTTCTGGGTCGAGAATTTGATGATAAGAGCTCATGAAAAAAATAAAAAATAGAATAAGAATTTGTTTTTATAAAAGAAATATATAAGATTTATAATAAGAATTTCTTAAAAAAAAATTATAATAGTAAAAAAGAAAAGAAAAGAAAATTGGTGTTGTAATTATTTTGTTTTGTCTTGTTTTGTTTTATTTTTTTTGGTATAATTACTATTACTTTGAAAATGTGAATTATGATTATAATTTCAAATAATCAAAAGAGGTAGAGAGAAGCAAAATAGTAGTGGCAGTAAAATGAAATAGAAATAATAATAAAATAAAATAAAAAAGTCGAATCAAAAAGTATCAAGGTAAAGAAGAAAAGAAAGAAAGAAAGAAGGTAAGAAAGAGAAAATAAATAAATAAATAAGGAAAGTAAAAAAAAAATATAAAAAAAAAAAAAAAAAAAAAAAAAAAGAGTAGGTGATTAATTTGTGTTTATAGGTTTGAAAATAAATAAATAAATATATAATCTTGTTTGCAAGTGTTTACAAATGTGTTTCTGTTTCTTCAACCCTCCCATCAAGCACTTTTTTTTTTTCTTTCTTTCTTTTATTTTTATGTTCCATATACAATAATAATAATAATAATAATAATAATAACTTTTTTTTTCTTTTTAAAAAAAAAAGAAACAATTTATTTTTCACGAGTATCACAAATCAAATATATATTTAGGATCCGGCAAGGTAATCTATCTCATTACTATTACTATCTTCATCATATATCTATATCTCTAAATCCACTTGCCTATTCACATTCAAATAAACTAAATTATCATTGCAAGATATCAAGAAAGAACCAAAGAACTAAAGAGATTAGGATATAGAAATAGACAAACAGATAGCATGTATACATAAAGAAAGAAAGAAAGAAAGAAAGAAAGAGAGAAAATGATTATTGTTGTTGTTTAAAACAATGATACCAATACCAATACCAATACCAATACCAATAGTAATAATACAAGTAGATATCCACGTGGAAATACATTTCTTTTCTTTTATATACACATACAAAATGTATTTTGTGTGTGTGTGTGTGTGTGTGTGTATGTATGTGTACGGAGCACCCGATTAGAGTAACCCGAAAATATAAAACAAAATATATATCATTTAGTTGGTTGGTTGGTTGGTTGGTTGGTTGTTCTGACATGCGCCAAATACTAATAATACTAATAACAATATAATATAATATATAAATATTTTATATAAATCAAAGAATCCGATTTTCACATGGTCGTAAAGAATAAATATTACCGATCACCCAAAATAAAATAATAATATAAAAAATAATTTATATACAATTTATATCAAATATAAATATAATAATAATAGACATTTTTATCCATTCACCTAATATTCCATCCAAAAATAAAACATTTAAAAAAAAAATAAAAAATAAAAAAAAATAAAGAGTGATGGTCGTAGATCTCCCTTCCTTTTAACTTGTGTATATACATAATATAATATAATATAATATAATAAAATAAAATAGAAAATAAACATGTGATGTGATGTGTCAAAGAATTAAATAAATTAAATACAATATATTATTTATATTATATTATAAAATTTATATATATATATATAGAGAGAGAGAAAAAGAGAAAAAATAATGTGCAAAGTAAGTATAGAAATCCCTTTTTCTTTGGTTTTTTTTTTATTATTATTTTCACTGTTCACTTTCCACTTTGACTTTTTTTTTTTCACACTCTTAATATTTATTTATCTATTTCTTACTTGGTAAAACAATACAATACAATGCAATACAATAAATAGATATAAAATCCATTAATCTCACAAATGCTAACAGACCCGATATGGACAAGTTCTGACACTATTTATTTTATTGCTGACATGTGAAAAATATATAAAAAAAAAAGCACAGGCGGATTAGGAAAAACAAAAAATAAAACGTACAACAACAACAGCAAAAAGTAAAATACTTTATGCATTTTATTTTATAATATTTATCTTTACCGTATCATTAGCCTTTATATATATATATATATTATCTATCTAAATAGGATATATTCTTATATACAAATACCTCTATTTGAACAACACAAAAGATTAGATTACAATTTCTTTATATCTGTATTCTTTGGTATAACAACTTTAACAAACTAAATCCCTCATTAACGTGTCTACTAATCCACCTACTATCCACCTAGCAACCTATTAGCATAGCAACATGGTAACCTAGCAACCTTGTAACATAGCAACTTATTAGCAGCAGCATAGTAACCTAGCAACCTTGTAGCTTAGCAACTTATTAGCATAGCAACATGGTAACCTAGCAACCTTGTAGCTTAGCAACATATTAGCATACAGCATAGTAACCTAGCAACCTATTAGCATAGTTATATAACCAAAATCTTGTATATTATATTTAAATTATATATAGAAAATAAAATAAAATAAAACATTAAATCGCCCAAGCGTCTTTAGTACCACCACAACAAGAAACGTTTTTATATATAAGTTTTGACAGTATCGTGTGTGTATAGTGTATATACTGCTTTACTATTAAAAAATAATAAAAAAAACCTATCAAAAACTATCATAATTATTATAATTGTAACGAATTATTTCTTTGGATTTACATAAATAGTATATATATGCGTGTGTTTATTCAATCAAAAATCAAAAAAAAAAGCAAAGAGAAAGCAATAGAGAGACAAAATGAGAGAAAGAGAAAGAGAGTGTGCGGGCGAGAGAGAAAATTGAAAAAAATAATAAAATAAAATGATTTCAGAGCCATGGATCTATATTATTATATTACTATTTAGTATTTACTATCTTATCATCCGCTGTTTACCGTTTATTAGTAACACTTCACAGGCTCACAGGTTCACAGGTTCACTTTGCATTATACCAAACACTCTCAGACCTTTTTTTTTCCTTGAATTTTATGCCTTGTTTCTAGTTTTAATAATAAATTATTAGTTATATTATAATACTAATATATATATATATATATATATACATATTTCTTTTTGTCCCACGGTCCCAATCATCTCCCAGTCTTTCTGCACATTGGATGTACAAACAAGGGTAACTAAAACATACATAAACTCTTATTTCTTATTCTATTTTATTTTATTATTTACTTCCTAATTCATCTACACAAATTTGGATCAGACATGTGAAATAGAGTGTGCGCGTGTTGGTGTGAGATGCGTGTCGGCTAGCATGCCGTACCTAATCGTAACACACAAACACGCAAACGCACACACATACACACACTATACTTATACTATACTTACACACAAAGCACACACAAGCACAAAACCTTGATTATTTCTCTCTCTCTCTTCCTGTGTCTTCTTCTCTCTCTATCCTCCTATCTCTCTATCTATCTATCTATCTTTAATACTCCTCTTCTTCTTAATATATATATATATATATATATACTATATTCGATTTATGTCAGCTCCATTAAGCTAGGTAACCCTCTATTATGACAGCCCAAACAAACACACAACAATCACACAAACATTAAAATTAAATAATAATAATGATAATAATAATAATAATAATAAAAGGAACCCACATGGATTGATTGATCGATTGACTTTATTTATATTTCACCTTATTTTAAATTCTTAAATGACGCCCAAACCGTGGTATTCAAAATAAGTCCAACCAAATCAAAATCAAAATCAAAATCATAATGTTCAAAATATTGAATATTCATATATTATAAAAGAGAAATATTAAGAATACCTCTATTTACTTTGATGATATATTTTTGATATTTAAATTTGACTTTGAATTTAAACGTATAATAATAACAACAATAATAATAATAAAAGAGGGTTTCAACTAACAACAATGTCAAATAATAAATAGATAGCAAGGAAAGTATAGTGTATAGTCTAGATGTAATTATTCAACCATATATATATACAAACCTATATTTATTTATTATTTACTTTAATATTATTATCAGTTTTTTGCTTTTTTCTTGATTGTTGTTTTCTTAAAAAGAAATAATCATGTAAGCTTGTGATAATGATGATTTTAATGATTGTACTTGTGATTATGATTGTGATAATGATTATAATTTTAAGTGTGATTATGATGATGATTTCTTTTTAATTATTATAATAAGGAGTTGTATAAATACAAACATATATGACTTTTATTCTTGTTTTAAGAAATAAAACTTGGGGTCAAATATAATGCTTTTGATGCAATATCCCAAATGTAGAATATCAAATGTCCTGGTTTTTGTTTTTGTTGTTGTTGTTGTTGTTATTTTATATACATATTGGAATTTCATTATCTTTACCGGATCTACCGGATGAGACCAAAAAAATAAAACAAAAATAAAATGCCATGTTTCTTGCTCTTTCAACACTTGTACTCCAATACACACTATTTATCTTCCTATTATTTTTATACTAAAATAAAATAAAAATGCTTTGTTTCTTGTCCTTTTTTGTTCTTGTTATTCTCTGGTATCAAACTTGTCTCAAACTATATTTTTTGATGTACAAAAACACTTTTCATTTTCATTTTCACACTCATAAACTCACATTGAGCACACATTGAATACACATTTGAACACGCATAGATTGTACACACACGCAAATTAGAACACACACAGCTAACCACACACATATGTACACTATGTACCATGTACTATGTACCATGTACTATGTGTCTTGGGCATTCCTAAACAAATCAGTCTTTTGACTTTTCTCTGTCTCTTTGTGCTTCTATTTTTTTAATAGATAATTATATATATAGAAAATATATCATAATACAGCCCTTTTGTAAATAATCAATAACTCGTATGTCTGAAATCCGATGTCGCTCTCTCTCTCTCTTTATATATATATAAAATTAAATAGAAAACAGAAATACATATATATAGTTTCATTTTTTCCTTATTTTGTTTTTTGATACCCAAGAAATAAAAAAAATATATACTACACACTACACAACAGACTACATATACAACATACACACTTTACATACTTTAAACACTATGCAAACTATAAGAGCAATACATAACTTATTATATAATACTATATAATATATTACTTATAGCTTAGCACTTGGTATAAGACACACCAATACACCAAACACGTTATATAGCTCATAATACACAATACACATCATGCATGCAACACTCAACTCGCAACACATACCATACAATATAAACAATAAGTAATTCACAACTTATAAGACACATGTTACACTACACATACAGGGATACAGGCCCACACAAAAATATTCAAAGAAAAGAACACAATTTTTATATAAATATAAAAAAAGAGTATATAATTTAGGATGTTTGCTGTTGTTTTCTTTGTTTTTTTTTTATCTTCGTTTTCTTTAACGGTAAGGATGATCAGCTTGCAAGTTTCTAATTGAATAAACAAATAAGAGTTGGTGAGTAAACGAGTTGATAAAAAAGAATGAATTTATAATATTCAAAAAGAAACCAATTGGTTATTAAAGATTATTATTACTCATTCATTTAAAGTGTAATTTAATTCATATATATATATATTATTTACCTTGCAATTTCAACTTCCCACTTATCACCATTCTGCAACAACTTTTCCTTGTTATAAAGAAGTTCCTCGTGTGTCTCGGTAATGTACTCATAGTTAGGACCTTCAACAATAGCATCAACTATAAAATAAAGCGATAAGTAAAGTTAATATATATATCGAATGTCAAATAACAAAAATCAGAGATCAAATGCATATATGAATGTATGCATATTATTTAATTTAATTTAATATTAAATATATATATATTAAAACTTACCAGGGCAGGCTTCCTGGCAGAAACCACAGTAACTACAAAACATTAAAAGACAAGGATCATTAAAATCCAAATCGAAATACAAATGCAAAGAAAAAAAAAGGAACAAAAAAGACATCATTTTCTGATCTATTCTCTTTACATATATAAAGCTATATTTCTCTATCTAACTTCCACGCACACGCATACACAGATTTCTGTGCCTGTGCCAATTATTTTTATTCAATTTCTTCTATCTTTTTTTTTATCCTTAATTCATTTCATTTCGTTTCATTTCATTTCATTTCACTTTCTCGCTCGCTTGTATTTCCATTTAAATCCAATCCAAAGATCCCAACTGTCCTCTTTATGTTTCTTATACTTCTGGTGTTCGTTTTATAAAACTTACATGCACTTGGTCATGTCAATATCGTAACGAGTGGTGCGACGGGATCCATCCTCACGAGGCTCGGCTTCGATGGTGATGGCTTGGGCAGGACAGATGGCCTCACACAGCTTGCATGCAATACAACGCTCCTCACCAGTGGGGTAGCGGCGGAGGGCGTGCTCACCACGGAAACGGGGAGAAAGAGCACCCTTTTCAAAAGGATAGAAGATAGTGTAGGGTGCACGGAAGAAGTTCTCCAAGACAACCCACATACCTCTCATCAACTCAGTAAACAACAACTGACGGGCAGCGACATCCAAAGCACCCAGAGGCTTTCCAGAGAACTGGTGGCTCTTTTCGAGATTCTGAGAGGCATGGCTAGAGGGCGAAGTGCTGAAGCGAGTCAACTGGTTACCGAGAGGAGCAACAACGAAACGTGTGGTGGCAGCAGGTACTATTGTATTGAATTATATAGTTTTGAATTGTGTTGATTTTTATTGTGGTGTATATTGTAGTGCATTGTGGTGTATTGAATTGAATTGAATGGGATTGTTTTGAATTGTAAATACATAAGAAAAAAACAAAAACAAAATACATTGTTAATTTTTCATTGATTTTCTTTTAATTAAACAGCATGCAATAAATGCACAATACCACTCTACTTCTAAATATTTATATAACGATATATAATATATTTTTCTCTTTATCATAAATTCATTTCTTTTATTTCATTTAATTTTTTTTTGTATATGCTTTAATTCTATTATTTCACATGCCAGTTAAGAACGCGCGACGTGAAGCTCCAAGGGATGTCAATGGCCTTGTCAATTTGAAAGTGTTCATTTTTCAATAGTTGTATATAAAAACAAAGTATAGAAAAAAAAACGAACCAAAAAAAAATTAAAATAAAAAAAAAATTAATAGAGTGGGGAGTGAGAGAGAAAGAGAAAGAAGGGAAAAGAGAAAGGGGTTGGGGGTGGGGGTGTTGTTTTTTTTCTATTTTTTTTTTTTAAATAGTTAAAATATTCAACAAATAGGAAATATGTTTTCCTTTTCTCTCTCCCTCTCATTTTCTCTCTCTTTCTCTCTCTGTGTGTGTGTCTGCCTGCCTGCCAGCCTGCTTGACTGTCATATAGTATATAGTATAAAAAGATATATATGTTTTCTATATGTTTCTTCTAGGGAGTGTTGACGTCACACTTATTGTCTGGGGCCCAAAAAATATGAGCTTGCTTATTTCAAAACACAAAAACTTCATAATCTATAACTTTTTTTTTTTTTTAATAAATAAAAATTATTTTTTTTTGAAGGGGTTTTTTTTCCTAGGCTTTCATTTTATTTTATTTTATTTTATATTATATAATATATATACATATATTACTACTGTATTATATTATATATTATTAAATATTGCTTGTGTGTGTGTGTATATTTTTTTATATATATAACAAAAATAATCCTCATGTTGGCACTTACACGATCATTCACTAGACTCTCTGTAGTCTCCCTTCCAAGTGTTGGTACGAATAAGACACACACATATACATACATATAAATATAAACAGCATGTAGTTTTTAAAGCTGTGTTGACGTTTCTTGTTTTACTCAAGCTCAATTGGGTTCTCGACAGTATGCCGTAGAGAGCTCCAAACGTTTGCGCCACGAGGGCCTCTCCAAAGAAAACCTGCCTGAACTTGACAAACTCGATTCGATCCTTGATTTCCCTCAGGAATCACCAAAGACACTCGACCAGCCCAAGACCTTCTCACCTCATCGCCCTGCTCAGGTTGTTTTGAATGCTGTGACTGACATCATCGACACCCCTCTCTCGACAATTGAGCAGTCCAGACTGATCAAAAAGTCCTTGGTCATCAAACGTGTCGTGAATATGAACGGAAAGGGAAAGCAACCTTCGATGTACGCCCTTGTTGTGGTCGGCAACGGCGAAGGTTTGGCTGGTTATGGCGAAGGCAAGGACGAAGAGGCTTCCAGAGCCGTCCGCAAGGCTACCAACAGAGCCATCAAGAACCTGCGTTATTTCGATCGTTATGACAACCGCACCGTATTTATGGACATTGTCCATAAATTCCATGCTACTACCCTGGAACTCCGTAGCAGACCTCCTGGTAAATATCATCTTCAACAGCAGTATTACAATTACAATCGCAGTATAATTAAGCTATAAATAAGAGGAATAAAAAAAAGAGAAATATATAGATGATAGTGAATAGAACCAAACGGCTAAATCATTGAATCAATTACGGAAATAATAGAACAAATAGAGCATATGGATATAGACAAAGAGACTAATGACTGAAATGTATATGTGTATGTGTGAATTCTTTCTTTTGGTAAATAGGTTTTGGATGCCGTGCAAACCACTACATTCACGAGATCTGCAGATGTATTGGTATTCAGGACTTGAGTGGTAAGGTCCGTGGATCAACAACCCCCATGAATGTCATCAAGGCAACGTTTGAAGCTTTGTCCCACCAAAAATTGCCAGAGGATATCGCAAAGATGAGAGGAAAGAAGCTGGCAGATGTTCAGCATGTGTACTTTGGTGGCCAATAAATATATTTAATTAGATTTTTGTGCTATAAATAAGATAGAAATGTAAGAGAAAGGTAGAAAATGTAGAGAGAGGCACATATACACATACACTTTCATACACCTATATATATATATATATATATATAAGAATCCAACAATTGAACTCTTATTTTCTCTTTTATTTGCTATTCTTTTATCTTCATCATATTCAAAAAAAAAAAAAAACACAAAAAACAAAAACGAACAAAGAATCAATGTATAAATGTCTAAATCAAAACCAAAATTAAAAGATTCCATGCAAATCATTAAACCCTGAGTCTACAACAAAATTTGCTTATAAAGTGAAGATATTAAAGATCATTTTTCTTCTTTCTCTTAAAAGCCAGGTTGTATCTCATATATAGAAGAAGTGGAATATGCTTAAAGGGAAGTATCGGTAAATATACAAGAGTGTGAAAACTACAAGATTAAAAGAATATGTATAGCAAATTAGGAGAGTATGGAAATTGCTTAAAGCAAAAATTAATCAGAGCATAAATTAAGTAGAAGAACTAGTCCAATGTCTTTTGCATACAGAGGGTAACCACATTAATTTTTACTTTAGCAGTATGTAAATTAAAGGTACAAAAACTGACATAGTAAAATTAGAAGTATCAATTATTTATAAGCTGTGTGTAAAATTAAAAAATTAAAATAAAAAATAATAATAAAGACAGGTACACAAAATTGTGTGTCGTCACTATTCGGGCCGGACATATTAATTTTTCGGTCCGTGACAGAACCAAATCGAAAAAAACAGTTAAACCTTGTTGGGTCCAAGAAATATAGAAGCTTCAAGAATATACACTGCACTCATATTCATACACACACACACATATATATATATTTATTATTATATTATATTAAATTATATTATATATTATACATATACATAATCTATATTTCTTTTCCACCTCTTTCTCTTTTCTCTCTCATTATCTCTATTTAACTTGCACACACACAAAGCATATAGCATATAGTATATATATATATATATACATACTACATTACACTGCATTACACTACACTACAAAAATTATAAATATATATAAATATATATTACACACACAAATAAATTGGCGATGGAAGCTATTGCAGAAACCGACGTAGATCGTCACCAGCAAACAGCTCAGAAATATTTGTCTGTACAGAGCCACGAGATTATCGTGCCATCTTATGCCGCGTGGTATGAGATGGACAGAATCCACGACATTGAACGACGTTTTTTACCCGAATTCTTCAATCACCGAAATCGATCAAAGTCGCCTAGTGTCTACAAGGAATACCGCGAATTTATGGTCAACACCTATCGCCTCAATCCACTCGAGTATCTTACTGTTACGGCATGCAGAAGAAACATGACAGGAGACGTGTGTGCAATCATTCGAGTACATGCCTTTTTAGAACAATGGGGCCTGATCAACTATCAGGTAGATATAACTTACGCTCACACATACATATATACAGTACATACATGCATACACCTCTTTATTTTATAAAAAAAGGAGAAAAGAAAAGAAAACCATTTACACAATTTTATTTATTGATTTATGCATTTGTGTACAATTGACATACCCGTGTTTGTGTATTAAATATATATGTAAATATATATAAATATGCATAACTACACATATACATATACACATATAATTATATGCTCCTTTATATCAATATATATACAAATATACATATATAATTATATTGAACCTAGGTCGACCCAGGATCAAAACCATCTAATGTAGGTCCACCATTTGCTGGCCAGTTTAAAATGATGATGGATACACCCAAAGGCCTTGAACCACCACCCACCCACAACAGTCTGCCACTCTCCACATCCCATTCGCAAACACCCAGCAACAATAATTCCCGCAAACCCTTAAAGCATACTACAGATCCCACACAATCCATGGACATTGACTCTGACCCTAACTCTGACGCAAACTCTAAACAACCACCAATTTCTTCAAGTACATTAAACATCAACCTTGAGTTACGACGCTCTATCTACGACACAAAAACTAGCCAGGAAAACAGGTGGACTGACCAAGAACGGATGTTGCTATTGGAAGGATTGGCGATATTTTCAGACAATTGGGATGAAATTGCAGAGCATGTTGCTACAAAGACACGCGATCAATGTATCCTTCATTATCTTGAACTTCCGGTCATGGATCCAACTGCAGATTTAGAAGTGTCAGAACACGACTTGCCTCAATTTAATACTAAAAATTCTTCTAAAACTAAAATTACATCTAAAAGTACCACTACTCCTACTACCACAACAACCAAAACAGCAGCAGCAACAAAAACAAGACAAGTTGATAATCCGATCATGTCGGTCGTTGCTTTCTTAGCGTCAACAGTTAGTCCAGAAGTAGCGGCCGCAGCAGCAGCAACCGCAGAATTGTCATCATCATTATCATCATCTCTTTCTCCTTCTCATCATACTTTTGGAAACTCTTCTAAAACTACTGGATCACCATCGATAACTGGTGACGATATGGTAAAACATGATTTGGCCTACAAGCTCATTCGGAGCAAACTTGGGAATTTCCAAACCATTGCTGCAAACTTTGCAGAAAAAGAAAGCTTTGTGGAGAACGAGAGACGTCAGTTAGAAAGGGAACGGCACCAGCTGGGACTGGACCGGGTTGTCTTGAAGAACAATGTTGGTTCGATCCAGCAAGAGATACATCGACTACATGAAACCAGGCTAGCACAGGCCCAGGCACAGGCCCAGGCCCAGGCCCAGGCCCAGGCCCAGGAACAGGCTCAAGCTCAAGCACAGGCTCAAGCTCAAGCACAGGCTCAAGCACAGGCTCAAGCTCAAGCACAGGCTCAAGCACAGGCTCAAGCACAGGCACAGGCTCAAGCCCAGGCTCAAGCTCAGGCACAGGCTCAAGCTCAGGCTCAAGCTCAGGCTCAAGCTCAAGCTCAAGCACAGGCACAGGAACAAGCTCAAGCTCAGGCTCAGGCTCAAGCTCAAGCTCAAGCTCAGGCTCAGGCTCAGGCTCAGGCTCAGGCTCAGGCTCAGGCTCAGGCTCAAGCTCAGGCAGAGGCAAAGGCAGAGGCAGAGGCACAAACACAGACACAAGTACATGAACAAGAACAAGCTCAAGAAGAAGCTCGAGTAGAGGCTCAAGCAGAACCACAAGCAGAACCACAAGCAGAACCACAAGTTCAAATACAAGCAGAACCACAAGCCGAACCACAAACTCAAACTCAATCTCAAAATCCCATTACCCAAAGTCAACCACCCACAGGTTCACCAGAAATTCCTATGAGCTAGCCAGTTTTTTTTATTTGTATATTTTCTTTGATATAACTTTTCCCAAAAATAAATAAATAAAAGAAAGAAAATGCAAAAAAAAATATTAGAAGAAAAAAAAGAATAAAATGTTTAATTTCTTACCTCCCAAAAAAAATCATGATATCTTTTTAGGACATAACGAATAATTGAAAGATAAAAGATAAAAGAAAAATAAGAAGAGAGAAAAATATAAATGAAAATAATGATTATTTATTTTTCTATCTATATTACTGTATATTTGTATTATGGCTGTTATTTTGCAACCTTGTTGTAAAAGTTGTTACGCTTGAGTTCCATGGCAGTCTTGTATGGTGCAGTGATAGGAGGTTGAAGAGGATCCAAGGAAGTATAAGATGTCTGTTATCATTATCATTATATAGTTAATATTGGTTGGTATTGAAAGAGATAAGAAAGTTAGTTAGTTAGTTAGTTAGTGGCTATGCCCAGAGCCTTATTTCTCTCAATCATACCTGGAGTGGATAAGTACGATCTGCGTCGTAACCGCTAGAAAAAAATTGTTAACATGCTTTTCGTTCATCTTCCTCTGTTCTACAAATCATACTTTAAATCACCACACGCAAGGAATGGTACAATTGTTCGGTTGGGACCCACCAATGCATTGGCAGCATCTAGAACAACAAAAATAAGAAGAAAAAGAAAATACAAATACAAATTCAAATTAGTATTCTTACACACACATATTTATATACATTAATCTTGATCCTCTCGAACAAAATTCTCACCGTAATGCAAATCAAGCAAAGGGTTGGTCATGGTTGGTGTGTAGTTTGGAGGAGGTGTATAGTTTTGGCAAACAATAAACGCCTCTACATATATACACATACACGTGAATATAACAGTTATGTTTCTATGTGTTTGAATTCATCTAATATAACTTATCGAATACACCAAATAAGTATCTAGACATTTACCTATGCTTGAATTACGCGAACTTCTAGGTTTGCTACATGTCACAGTTGGGAAAAAGACTTTAAGTTGGGAATAAAGCAAAGTGATGTCTTTGCCTCTAAAGATCTTTGCCACAAAGCATCCTCCAGGGCGAAGTACATGTGTTGTAATATTAAGAGCCTATGATTAAAATCAATCCACATACAAATACAAATATGCACATGTTTAGTTTTTTTTTATATTTTCTTCCTCTTCTTCTTGCTTTTTTAAATATTTTAAATAAACAAAGAATAGACATATAAGCACATATGTAGAAACTTACAGCCAGCAGTAATTGTGCTTGAATATATTCATCCATGTCATGAAGACCAGTTACTACAAACCAAGACTGTTATCTTTCAAAATCCTAATAATAACATTTACACTCATTGAAAAATAAAATACTAATTTAATACTACTACCATTGCTACTCACCATCAGGCGCACCGTCACATACAACGATGTCAGCCAATTCACCTTCAAAGTATGAGATGATCTTCTCAGCAGTTGATTCTTTAGTAATGTCACCCTGGAGTTGAATCACATTATCCAAAGGAGCCTAGCAAATCATTTACATCCTACTAATTAATTCCAGTGTATTCTAATCGTGAAAGCAAAATATCGTTATTGTACCATTGCTTGGAGGTCAACAGCAACGATTTTAGGTTCTTGTTCTTGGGGATTCTGAGCATGATTCTGACTACATTAAACAATAAAAAACAACAGAATGGAGTAAATTGTGTTAATGTCTTTAGAATTCTCTACTTATATATACATGTCTTTTAGCTTTAAAGAATTTCAACGAGTTCATTTTGTGAACATAAATGTCATTTCTTTTTTTTTCAATTTAAGCTTTCATGCTTTCATGTAATTATGCATGTGTGTATATGTGTATGTGTATGCTTAATGTACCTAAGTCTTTGAGTCAAAACTTGAGACCAACTACCAGGTGCTGCGCAGAGATCAACAGCTCTGTGGACACCTTGCAGAAGATTGAACTCTTCGTCCAACTGGAGTAGTTTGAAAGCACTTCGAGCTCTCCAGCCTTGTTCTTTGGCAAGACGATAATACTATGATGGGTTGGTTTACATTTTTGTTTGTGTATAGATAACATATAGATATAGATATATATATATATTAAAATATGTATATAATTAAAGCATGGCTCAATAAAAGATATATATATATATAGGAGAAAAGGAAAGAAAGAGAAAGAGAGCTAATATAAAATCACACAGTAATTGTGTAAAACATGAATATTTACCACGTCTCTTTTGTCCTTTGAAGATTTTCCCATTATTCTGTATCTTATATATGTGTATATATAAGGATATATATCTATATATCTATATATAAAGAGAAATATGCTGGGGATTTTTTTTTGTATTGTTTATTGGAGAACCCGTTGAGATATGATAATTGCAAGACTGCTAAAAAATAATAATGAGTTAAACCCAATCAAAAATACAAAATAAACTCAACCACAGTTGATGAAAATACTGGGACAAATATAAGAATCATACATATTAATAAACTTGGCTTTTCAAGCTTTATTTTATTAAGTATGTAAAAAAAAACCTGGCTATCTTTTATTGTGTCTTGAAAGGGGAGAAATATAGTAAAGTACATTTGTAAGTCGCACAATTCGAAAAAAATAAAGCGCATTTTTAGGGATAAAAGTTTGTCAGAGCTTTTTTTTATATTTAAGCAAAAAGTTGAGTATGCATTATAAAAAAATAGTGTCAGAATGTTTATTATGCTCCTTAATAGCCTAAGAATGCTTGTTTGTGCGGTCTATTTGAGAAAAATCCATTCATAACGGTTAGGAACTCTTAAAAATGCGCCTTGTATTCTCGAATTGTGCGACTTGTATAGTGTGTTTTACTGTAAGCCCCTCTTAGTATTTACTAGAAATTAAGGGATGAAATCCGGGAAACTACCATTGGAAATTAAGTCGCCATGTAAAGCTAGAATTGTCAAAAATTTGAATTTTTTTACTTGACGAGCTCTTTAGTATCCTGTACAACTTTGCAAGTCTGAGTGCCCAAAGTGTAATGTTGGGATGTAGGGCAGGTCTTTTATTTACGGTGCGGAGTGAACGATGGTTTCCTCGATAATGAAGAGAAGATACACGCACGAGAATAGAGAGATAGTGGAGATGGGGGGAAATGGATGTGCCACAGTGGAAATAAAGAAGATAATGATAAGCGGAACTCTCACTTCGTTACAGATGATTCTAATTGACCAGAGCGATTTATGTCCTCTGAGACAATTACCGACTTTACGAGAAAAAGAGATAGTTTAATTGTAACTCATGTATTAGGGTAATATAAAGGTTGGTCACAATGCGTGCCTACCACATTAGAACCTAGCTCGCCCAATTCCCAGGTTTCATGCTTTCAGTTCTCGCCGAACCTACTGGTGGCTCGGTATGGGCCACATAACAAAAGGTTTCTAAAAGCGACCTTTGAAGACCTGTTTTCCCACTTTTAAAAAGAAAATCATTACTATCTATCTTTGATGTTTAAACCAACGATAAATTCATTGGGAGTACTCAGCCAGATTGGTCGATCAAATTCTTGTGTGAATTATGGCCAATGATATCAATTTGTAGTTGAAGACACCAAAAGATAAAAGTACAAAATTCGTACAAAATCCATAGATTTTTATAGAATTCATAGAATAAGCTTTTGCACATTCTGATTTCTTTTTTGAACCTATAATCACCTAGACTCTCGAAGAAGCCAAGCGTTCTTTCCTTTGACTCAAGTTCTGGCAATACATTGTCAACCTTGTGTATGTTTTCTATTGACTTTAAGGGTTTGCTCAAGCTCCTTCACGGCAGCTATCGGATCCAACTTTATATTAACTTCCTTTTCGATTACTTCTAAACAGTAATCTTACGGGGACGATGTTCCTTGATGGGGTACGACGTTTATGTCTAACCGAACTAGTTAATTGTGGCCCCCTATCTGGACTGGTACCTTTCTCTAATCCTTCAGGGCAAAATGATGTGTCCTGGAAAAACGCAATATATTTATTGTACACATTAGCTTTACTACTTTGTCACCACATTTTGTGTTTATCTCTCTCTCCAGGCACTTAGCTCTCATTGTTTTAAGGGACACAGCCTGTATTTAGGCAACTTAATAATAAAATACTGTCTCATACGAAAAACAAATCGTGTATATTCAATTAATAACAGTTAGTGTTCTAAATTTAGAATTGACAATAAAAAATAATAATTAGTCGCGAATGCACTATATCAATAGCTGGTTATCCAGAAGATCATAAAGAGTTATTGTCATTAAAGCGTGACGCAATCTTGTTGAATATTTTACTACTTATTGGCCTTCTTACGCGTATCGTGTCTTTTTCTTTATTTTACCTAATGTTCCCAAAGTTTGACAAGACAAACTGGTAAGTAATCCCCATTCAATTTTTTTTCAAAGCACAAAAAAGAGTCTTTATACGAATATTATGTGTCCTTAGGGAACAAATAGAATTATTTCATGCCGGCAAAAAGGTCACGATTTGTGGTCCGATAGAATCAAATTGTCGTCTCCCACCAGGAAATGTTGTCCTCCTAAAAGTAGTGATGATCCGTTAAGGAAAAAGCTAAAAACAGCATAGTATTGCATATACAAAAGTAAGGATTCAGCCGGTCAGAGAGCCGTGTGTTTTTCGATCTTTCAAAAAGACGTACAAATTTTGATCGTCGCTATTACAATTCTAGACCAATAATATTGTTTTCGGAATTTAAAATTTGATCGATCAATCTGGCTGAGTACCCCCAAAATTTGATCGAAATTTGATCGAATTTTGAACTTTTGCCTTTTGATGTCCCCAACTACAAATTGATATCATTGGCCAATATTCACAAGAATTTGAGCGATCAATCTGGCTGAGTACCCCCGATAAATAAAATCTACTTCTTTCTGAATTATGGCTTTTATTTATTTATCAATTAAAGTGAAATGTATCTCATAAATACAATGATATTTGCTTGTTGCGACTTTCGGTTACACATCCTGGATTGATGTTACGAATCACTTTCTTAAATTACCCATTCTTTACTTTTTACAATTTCTCTTTCTCTTTCCCTTATCCCTATCCAAACAATTATACTATAACTTTCACAAACCAACGAACAAACTTTCGGTATAGTTTTTCAATCATTATATCTTATCTTCTATTAACATCTCTGTAGCTGGTTTCTATTACCTTATAAATAAAGTTTATTTCCGTAACAAAAGAATAGAGATTATCATATAAAAAGGCAGAAATATTACGGCTACAACGTTTCCAGATGGGAGCATCCCCTACAGTTTCATTTTCTTTAAATAAAGTGGTGGTGTTTGGTTTTAGGAAATATAAAAGTTAGCTAACTATTGGAGATGCTCTAAAATTCCTATTAAGAAATTGTTTTTTTACTGAATAATGACTGTGATGAGAATCAATTCTATTTTGATGATGAGGTTACCTACTCAGGGCTCATAACAAGATTAGCGTAACGCTATATATATATATCCCTTCATCTCTATTTCTGTATCTGTTTGTTGCTATGGTATATGTAGACTTATATATACCACAGCGAACCCCCTATTTCTAATCCACTCAACCATTAGTATAAATACTCGTCGCAATCTTGTCTAATAAAGATGTGCTGTATATCCAGCCAGTTTTTAGCAGGAAAATTGCATAAATTTAAAACCAACTTGATAGTGCTTAGTATGTCAAGAAAAAAAACACTTGGATGATAAAAATGGTGAATATATTTGTGCAAGAAGAGTCAACAGTGAATGTTGTAGATATTTTATAGAATATTTTTGAGATGCCGTATTTTGAGAGAAAATGAAGTCAGTTGTGGGCAGAATATTGATAAAACAAAGAATACGATAAAGATATTCATATTAATGCACTTTTATCTTTTCTTGTATTTCTGTAAATTTAAAATAGTGGTCAGATTTAAGCATCTTATGACTATATATCTACAAACTTACATCTTCGTTCTGTAGTCTTCGAGTTGGATCGATAGTGTTCCTAAGGCCGACCAAAATACTTTGAAACGCACCGGTCAGGCCAATCATCGGCTTCAACACAGCTACTGGAACAGCTTTTATTACAGCCTTTGCAGAAGTAGCTTGATTATCTGATCCGCGATCTTTAAATTCCACCGGAATTGTAAAAATGGTCTGGGCTGCTGACCCGATATTTTTACTCAAGCTGTGGTAGGCGTACTGAAATCCTTGAGAAAGATCACTAGGTTGATCAGCAAACTTGCTTACAGCTGAATGGGAACCATCTATATCTTCATCACTTTCATTGTCTTGTATATTGTCAATTGGATGGTCAATTGTAGCATAAATCAATGCATCTGCTCCAGAAAGAGCATTATCCATTCCACCACCGTAGTTAGGTGATACATGGGTGGGAGTGGCAAAAAATCCATCGGCGTGTTCTAGAATTACTTGAGTTCCAGAGGCGAAACGAGCACTAAGGTTGATGGCTTCAATAGCTGTGGCACGTGCAAACGAATGTGTGCCTTTTTGAATGCCTACACACACATATATATATATATATATAATAGCTCATTAAGTTTCAAGCGAAATTATTTACCAAAAAATATTAATGACAACTACCTTTAATAATTCTACCATCTTTACGGTATTGTTGAAGAGGCAAGAGTACAAGATCAGCAACCCCACTACTTAGGTTCACAATCGAACGAATTGGTGCTACGCCAGAGACCATATTGGGAACTTGCGTATTCTTGATATGAGGTAGCCATTCTTGACCAAGCTTCTCAAAAACTCGCTCGATTCCAGCAATGCCGGTAAGTTTGACATGATTGAGAGACATTTCAGCGCCATCAAGATGGAAAAGATTGATAAGTTCAGCAAATTGACCTTCTTTTATATTGCCGTAATTTATATATTTTGGCTTATAATCCACCTTTAGGACAATAGGGAATATCTCGACATATTCTACAATAAATTCCAGTTATTATGATCAAAAATAGATGTAAACCAAGATATTTAGCTTACGAAAGAACACTGGATTTGCTTCGTCTTCATCGTCTTCATCTTCAGGTGCCGGTTTTGGGATTGTAGCATTAGTAAAAGGGGTGGATCTCAGCTTAAGCTTGTCGAATGTAAAGTAATTGACCAAAAAATCCAGTGCATCCTGGTCAACATAGAGACGAATAGGCAATAAATTAACCTTGAGTCTAAATTCTTGGGTCGGATCTTGTGCCACTGGCCTTATACCAGACAATTCAATATCGACCATGGATGAGCCTCGCTCTCGTGGAGTGGCTGATGAATCAGGTCGCATATACCCCAGAAACTTCTTCCATGATGACGTTTTAATGTTATCAATCATCTCAACATCACGAATAGAAAATTTAAGATGTATGCCCGTCTGACTAGTATCTGGCATAAGATCCAGAGCAACTGAAATGCCCTCTAAATGTATCTCAATTTTTGCAGTACGAGATCTTCGCTTGAGTCGGTTTGTTTGAGATCGTATCTTTGAAGATCGATGACGAGAATCTGGTAGCGAAGTCTCTTCCCGGGAAGAATCGTGCTGTAGAGATGGTGAGAATGTACTTTCATCCAAAAATCCTGCTTCTGACGCAGGTCCTTGCGAGACGCTATACTCTGAAACAGAATAAGGAGGAGAATGTGATAAAAAGTGGGAGTTTTCCGAAGGAGAATTTTCGGTGGCAATTTCGCGTGACATACGCGATCTACTGTCTACTGAAGCAGGACTTGACGAATATGCTGTTGAAGGTCGGCGAGGGGAAGAGCGAAGAGGGTCTCGCATGTATATCCAATCATACCCATCATATAGTTTCCACAAAACGTCAAAGTCTTCGATCCGAACCGATAAAATAGCGTCTGCCAAATTTAACAGCGATTTTTTTGTCTCTGCCTTTTTGTCAACACCATAATAGTCTTCAACCATATCAAGTTCATTGACATTATCGAGTAAAACACGAATAACATCTTCTGCCTTTGGTTTTTGAGCTTGTCTTCGTCTTGGTTTCTGCGGTCCATGTTTAATAAAGCTACTAGTAGAGAACATGGACGCGGATGAATCTGGCTGAACAGAAGGCTTTCCAGAATAATAGCCTTCGACATAACTAAGCCCAGATAAAGTATCGCTATCTTGCCCAGAAGGTCTCTCTGGAATCGTTCCAGCGTTCTGTCTAAACGCATCTTCATCCAAGCTAGATAACATATCTTTCTTTGTAGTGCTGAGTGAAACGTGAGATCGACGTCTTGACTTTCCCTTGTTAGATTTTTTTGGGGTATGAGTTTTATTGAAAACAGTGTCTCCTTGGTTAGCAATATAGGTTGCAAAGTTGACGAGTGATTGGAAAGAGTCTGAAGAACCTTCAATAGTCAATAAATTGTTATGAATCGCTATATCAGTAGCTGGTGCTGGTATTAGGGGATCCATCTTGATCTTGACTGTTGTCTCCAGATTTCGAATTGATAATACAGGAGATAACCCAATAGTCATCCAATACCGCCGTGGATCTGTTGTCTTATTTTCTACCTGTCCTAATAGAGTCTCGGCTCTTTTTTCGTCAAGTTCACTTGCATCATCTGACAAGAACACATCAATACTTTGTATGTAGGTTTTAATATTCATCAAGGGCTGTCCCGCAATAATCTCGGTGATCACCTATTATTTTTATATTAGATATATTTTTTATATTCTGATATGGTATTCTCTATACCTGAAGGTCATCAATTACGGCAACACCACGCGAGGGAGTGTTTATGGGCTTGTAATCAATTGAAGTGTCCAATACATGCGCATATATCTTAATGTACTGAGCTGGTGGATCGATATACACCATCTGTATCAATTTTACATTAGTATATTATATTTCTCTAGTTAGTTAACACTCGCCTCTTCAGGGACTTTTTGAAATTGCATTAAATTTTCAAGAAAACTCAAATCGGATCGGAACCGATGACATATGTTGCAAACCACCACACTGGTAACTTTGTCTTGTTTATTTATTTCCGGGAAAGATGTAAGTCTTGAAAACAAGGAAACCATTGCGGTATTTCTTTTGGCCTAATATATAATTTTAGAAAGCCAGTCTTCGATATATACTCTTAATCAATGCTACTTACATTCAAGCTCTTTGGGATAGTCTTATAAAGAACTGGAACTATATTGAGTGGGTCGGACATATCGTCCAGAGCGAGCTCATCGATATCAAGTGTTGTTATGTTTTCATTCTTAAATACAAAAAATTCATTTAGCTTATAAGTTGTACGTGTAAAAATAGCACAAAAGAACTTATGTACTTACTGTATTCAAATGCTTCATAACAGCAAAATATCTAAACTCGGTAAAGCGAGCTTGATAATCCCCGGGTATTCCATTTTCAGGTGTATAATGAAGATCCCAAGCAGCTTTTATAGAGGGTCACATTAGGTTTTATCGGATTTTCACAAAATATACCGAAAATCCAACATACCTTCACTTATTACAGCTACTATAGCAAATAAACTAGATGCTGGAACTGTACTTCCAAATCCAAGTCGCTCATGACTTTGACTCAGTACACTCGATTCGAGCAAAGAATATCTTCCATCAGCCTGATGATAATCGGACATCCCCATAGCATCATGAAGGGACCCTGACACAGACATTTGATGCCCTGTTTCAGGATCTGTAGAGAGCGTACTTATAAACTTTGGCTGCCACAATAAGAGATCGTTCTGAAGAACCTGAACGGTGTCCCACACAGGCTTAGTCAGGTTCATGCGAGTAACTGGGAAATGACAATTAAGAACAATCAACTAAGGCAGATGAGTTTTCTTTTCTATTTCCAAAGCTTTCTCGGGTTACTTACAGCGGTCTCTACCGTACGTTGTTTAAACATCATAGCTGATTCTGATTGATCTTCCATAGGAACATGCAGTTTTTGTTCTCCATTAAATGTTTCATTTCGACTAAGATGCTCGAACAAGTTAGACGGAATGTCTGAACCTGCACCAAAATAACCGGGTCTGGCAGACGACATTGGTGAATAGAGACCTGGAGATCGCGAGGTAATCTCGAAAGTTGGGGATTGGGCAGCAAATGCCCGATCGCTTCGCATGCCAGACAAAGGTAATGTTGTCATTGCGGTAAAGAAACAATGAGCAAGTTGATCTAAAAATAATACGTAAGGATATTAAAACATAGTCTTCCTGGAAAAAATATATACATACCTTTAGCCAATGTTACAAACACATAGATGGCATTAACATCCACACTGACTTTAGTGGGTTTTGGAGTTTCTAAATTGCGATCGATTGGTGTTTGATGAGGTGTATAGGCAGATGGTATAGTGTGGTCTTCTCTACCGGGTATTTGAGATTCATCAGGTCCATCGTCACTCTGCCAAGATGCTACCACTTTTTGCACGTCTACGCTCAAGAGATCGGCATGCATATGGTCGTTGAACTCATCTCGTGTACTAGATTGGCTCATATCTGGAACATACAGAACCAGTCGAATAAAAGCACATTTGATGCGCGCCTTTTTGCGTTCTTGGCAAAGGTTTAATGTCTGGTCAAGATCATCGTATACCTGCTGACCAAACGAATTGTTGGAGATACTAAAACTTAAAGTGAGCCTCTTTAATCATGATTTTGTTCTGGTCTGCAAGACATTTACCCAGTGTCCCTAGCTGGTTTTTTTTCCTGGTTTTTTGTAAGACTAGCTAGGGCGTAGACATAGTTCTCTAGTCGGTCTGCTATTCTTGGATCTACAGCTAGTCTGAATGCCTGTAGATCCACCTGTGTATCTTGATCAAATGATAACGCTAATTCTTTCATAAATAGCATACTCAATTTATCTGAAAGTAATAAAACTTACCATTAATAAACCGGTTAACCTGATAAGACTGTCTCTTTTCAATGCGTAATCGAATAACTTCGGTTTTAGATGTGCTAGTTCGTGAAATACGATGATTAACGGAAGGAAATTCTGGTTGGTTCTCATAGTCCAGGGGCATAGTTGGATCAAAGGTAAGGATATCGTTGTAGCATTCATATCTAACCCCCATAGACCGGCTGCTTGTCTGACTAGATCGACTCGACCCTGGGGGCTTTTCTATCCATTCTTCTAACGCAAGTTGAGTGATTTGTAGGTCAATTGTAGAAGACAAAACAGATGATGGGCGTTGTGTAGCAGAATTTAGTGGATATCTTGCTCTGTCCGAGCTATGTTGGTTAAGACGTGAGATACTGGGATTTTGTTGTGGAAATTGTTGGATACGAGCAATAATTTGGTTGATAGAAAGACGTAGGTGTCCGACATCCTTGAGTGAATTGGCTTCTGAAGATTGCCATGATATTGGTTGACGATATAGAGCAAAGAACTCAAACTGACCAATTTGTAGCTTGATTTTTAATTGAGGTATATTATTTTGGCGAGGAGCAGAACGAGGTTTGGATGGCGAAGAGCTAATTTCTCCAAGATCTGCGAGAATATCAGTCTTGTTATTGTCCGTGAAGTTATCATTGTCGCTATTGTCACTATCATTATTATTATGGCTCTCACTGCTACTTTGAAATGTATCAGATCCTATGCTCTGAAAGAGGTCGAGAATGAACGCTGTTTGTTGTGGCGTGACGACGGCACGGATGTGGGTAACAAAAATGTCGAGTTGCTTTATAGCGGGTGCATCGATTGGGGAGTCGCTAGTCTTGTTAAATGGATACGATGGACGTAGCTTAACACTTATCCAGTTGTCCTTATCCATTGTGCTAAATAGAAGGGCTTCATAGGGCTTTGAGCTCATAGTAGATCCGGAACGGGGGTATCCGCGAGGTGTGATGGATCCACTCATGTAGGAGTGGATTGAGGTCTGGAAGAGGAGGGAGTCACCTTCATCTGCTTCATAAAATTCTGTTTCGGAAAGATCGTCGTCTTGGCTTGTTATTGTAGTTTCACTTTGACTTGGCACTGGAGGTGGCGTTGCATTGGATCGGATATGAAGTGTCGGTGAGCTAAAAGTTATGATTTTGATCGTTTCGTCTGCAACAGGTGGTAGAAGAATACTAGACTCTGCTAGATTCCTATTCACAGGAGGTTCACTTGGCTGTCCTGTGCTAAAGGCAGGTGTCTCATCAAAGTAAGAGATATTCTTGATCTCGAGGTCCATAAAGTATTCTCGCTTGGTCTTATCACGATCACATGCAAGAGGAACAGCTGATGTGTGGATGATACGAACCAGACTATCAACTATCTCTATCTTGACTTTGGCGAGCATTTTGTCAATAACTCTGGTGAGTACCTGTAGACCCTGGAGTCCTGCATCAGCTATATCATCGCCTTCAGCATTGAGATCACAGAGTGAATGTTGAATGGATTCATGCAATGCCTGATTCTGGTCAGGTTCGATCTCCGTCCTCAAGAAATCGTCGGCAAAATGCAATGAAGAAGACATGATCGTGTCTTCTTCTTTTATGTTTTCTTTGCTAGGGTCTAAAGTGCAGCAGCCATTAAATACTGAAAAACATAATTACTGACTTACACTTCTTGGGTTTATTATTCACTGGTCGTAATGCTAAATGTAAGCCCTGGATCCTCAATGCAATATCTCCGCTCCAAAAGTTAGCCCATGGTAGCGATGCGCTTATGCTAGACACTCTTCCTGACTCCAGCACAAATGGTGTGTCTGTCAGACAGTCATTCAGTGTCTATAATTTTGCGCGTATGAGAAAACTAGAGCACGATTAGCTTATAATTGCAGGCCTACCTGCAGATTGAGATCAAGATCACGTAGTTCGACCGATCCATTTACTAGTGCAATGTCAAAGTTCTCGAGATCCAGCTCGTTGGCTAGGAACTGACCAATGGCTTTACGAAGGAGGAACTTGTATAGTCGCTTTTGTATATTGGTCGGGAGGGTAAAGTTGGTCCAACCCGAGGATAAGAACTCCCAGGCTTTCATGATGTGTTATGGTAATGTGGAGACGCAAGCAAGGTGAGACAACAACGAAAGCTAAGGAGGGAAGAAAAAGGAAATAAAGACACCGCAAAAGGCCAACAGATTTGTTCCAGTGACTGGTGGAGATTTCTATGATGCTTTCCGCTTTGAGCCTACCTCTGCTGTCCCCCTCAATTCTTCCCATTCAAGCCAAATCCATCCAACGTGACTGTAATTTGAGTTTTATTTTCTGTACAAATTGCAAGCTCGCTTTCAAGACGTTGGACTCAAGGTCTTGATTTTATCAAACACATCAGAGATATTTATCTTCATATACTATTTAGTCCATGTTGACTTGTTTATTCAAGAAGATTTGAGTATAAGTTTATTGCTCATTACTCAAAGCAGTTCAGACAATTTCCATTATCAGGCTTTATTGTTACTATGAAATCTCAGTTTTTATCTTCAGACAAATACTCTATCCACAAAAGGATTTGACGGTGACACTATGAAATCTAACCACTTCATTAAACACAAAAACTCATCATGGGTATTATGTATTAAGCATTAAGCATTAATAATTAAGAGTTAAAGCTATGTATAAGTAGCGTTATGAGTACCATTGTATTGACTTTGGCCAGATATATCTATCTAGATATTATGTTTTCTTTTTCTTTTTCCGAAAATCATATTTAAGCAATCCAATTGTTATCACTATGATGAAAGTAAATATATCAGGAAGTGAAGTTATGGTATCGTATCATTAATCAAGATAAAACGCTGATACCGAGTGATTCTTAAGTTGGGTTAATTCCTCCTAGCCATTGGCATGCATTGGAGATCGCTTAAAATTACCTTGACCGAGTCAACCTGTTGACATATATAAGTTAAGGGACTTGTCTAATTATATTTAATCCAGCTATAAGTAAAAATATTGCCCAATATTAGTTTTATATAATTAAGAGCTACGCGCTTTGAAGATATTACTCTATACACTATCCTTTCCTTTCTTATAATACATTTTATGTGATAAACTCCATTATTTTATTCCTCTTATTGAGTTTTACAGCGTTGCTTACCCTAAACGACTGTGTATATATTATTAATGGACAAAAACTTACGAAATCCAGCTGTTCTTGTCTAAATAAATATACGAAATAACCAAGTAACCGTATACCCAGTGCCACCATAAATATTTTGATAGCATACACTCAAGGTGTTTAAATGAGGTCGTTTGAGTCTATTTACTAAGTGTTACCAACATTCCATCAACCCATGTGGGTTGTTCTAAACTATTACGCCTTAAGTAGGTTCAATTGGCAATATCTATGCGCTTAGTGAAATTTACTCAATTTGTGGATTAGCTCTTTCAAGTCATTAAACTAAGCTAATATCAGCTCAAAAAAAAAGACTATAGCTCTCATAGCTTTAGATTATTTAATTATATAGCACATCTAAAACACAACTTGAGTAATTCAGTTTTAATGCATATAGCCGTCATACACAAGGTAGTATCATCCAGGAGAGTATGTTATGGATAGTAAGGGATTGTAATTTCAGTAATCTCCCCTAGGCTGTGAAAGACACATCTTTTATTTTTTTTGTTTTTGAAATTTCTGTACATTTAATATACGATGATCACTATTAAAAAAGTGGTGATTCTGATGGTGATTTTGGAAGGTATTATAGGAACTTTCCAAAATCACCATTGAGACCACCATTCATTTCCCATAGTGTGGAGCAAATCCAAGCAGAAAAAACAATAGTCTTCAAGACATTACAAAAATAAGCACAAGTCCCAATAGACTACAATATTAATTACTGCGGCTGTTTAATAGTAAAAGTTATAATAATGCATTTTCTTCTCTCTTCACTTTCAAACGACTAATGGCTTCAGTGGTGAACACTTATATCACCCCTGTAACGATATATGTGACTGTATCCCTTCCCTCAATTTTGGTTTCTCTGCACAGCTTTCATTACATTTTACTGTCCGTGAATTGCCTTTTTAGTATCCAGCTTTTAACTAACCATGAGATCTGATGCTCCATTCACTCCAGGTGTTCCTCATGAAATAGAAAAAACTGTCATTACCAGCCAGTCTACCGAGACTCCCTCATCTCCTGATAAAAATACAACTCCAGCACCCGAAAATCAGATTCTTTCATCACCAGCACCATCCAATTCCGACCTTACGAACCTCAATCTTAATTCAGCACATTTACAACATATGGATGCAGCACAGGCACAAGCTATAGCGCAGGCGGCAGCGGCAGCGATGGCAGCGCACGGCTCACACTATCACCAACTATTTACCAGCTTTGATCCAAATACAACACAACACATCACAGACAATAGTTCGACTGTACTGGCAACCTCTCTTGCGACAGATTTTATTAAGCGAGAGTTGATTAATCAAAAGGTAAACCACTCGTTCCTCCCAGAACCTTACGAGGTGGATATGGAACTAGTTTAAGAACCTCGACGAGAGGAGAGGATGAGAAGCGGTAAACAATTGTGACGTGACAGGTCAGGGCTGATAACAGAGATCGTAAAAAGCGATGGAGAGCGTTAAATGAAGAAAGAAGTAGGTTTTGGTTAAAACGCAAAAGAAAAAGAAGAGAACTTTTGCCTGATTCTTATTTATTTATTTTAGATAAAGACAATGATCTTCGGTGTAGAGTCAATAAGCGGGCCAATAAATTGTTTGGAAAAGACGATATTGGACCCAAGCGACATTGGGTTGAAGAAGAATTTGTTAAGCGTCAAGCGAAACGAAAGGAGAAAGAGAGACGTAAACGTGTGGTCGATGGAACAGTCGCCCATACACCGACAGATTATGGTCTTGATATTACAGCAGCTACACAACAACTTACACCACAGCAACTCCAAATACTACAAGAAACAAATTATCTGTCGTTGATCTGCAGTAATCTTGGCGCATTATCACCAAATACGGCTTCCAAGTTACTTGGTGTTGAACAGGGGTCAACAAATCCCCAAGACAAAACACAACATCTTTCAAGTCAATTGATTGAATTCCTTCAGCAGTTGCAACAGTATCAACCTCCACAGACTGTTGAATCTAGTGTTCCTCAACCTTCTGGTACGCCCACCTTAAACACAGCGGTACAGGACACTCGGCCAGAAGAGAAGGTTGCGGCCTTATTAAGCTCAAGTATCAGCTCTATAGCTACTGCTGTTGAATCTCAAGACAAAGATAAGAAAGATTTTGAAGAACAAGATCATGTTTCAGCAAGTCCTGAACAGCCTAGGATCGACTATCCTATGGATGCTGTCCTGACTTTGATGCAACTTAATTCTGGATGGCGACAATAATAATATTTTTTTAAAGTCAAATTCTGGTAGATATGATAGGCGTATTTAAAAGAAAGCAAGCCTTTCTTGTCGACATGTAATCCTTTATATATATATTCCTTTTATCTTTCATATATATATATATTACTTTCTCTCTTATAATTTATTATTATATAACCATACAGACTTGTTAAAATCAAAACACAATAAACGTAGCAACATAAAACAATACAAAACAAACGAGTAATCTTTATTATGCCACTTGAGACTCTTTGCCCAGACATCTTGGTTTCTATTGCAGAACTGCTGACTTCCAAAGATATTCTCCAATTGTCCATAACCTGTCATTCTCTCTCTAAAATACTCTACTATGAGTGTCTATGGAAATCACTTTGCAGCTCCATATACGGTATTTCATACAAACATCCAAACCAAACCTACCATTCGCTTTTCCGGTCGCTCGATAACCCCGGAAACTCCCGCCTTCCATGTCCCCATATTGAACTACTTGATATACATCAAACTCCACTTCATGGTCTTTTGGTAGATAAGGCGACTGACCCAGTGTCATGGGAAGGTGTTGAATGTCATGAATGTGACGTGAAAGGGATAAATTCTCTATTCATTTGCATGTCGCCAGAATGTCATATCATATGTAGGTGTATCAGGCAAGAACGGGGGTTGGAAATTAATACATATATCTAGTATGCCAACATCATGCCAAATCCCATGCTTCCCTTCGTTGTGTCCACCACAATGTGTTCTTCAAGCCGAACATCGGGGAGATATTCTGCTTCTCCTGTATTGATTGGGTAAATGTGGAAATACTTCTCTATACTTGACATGAGCTTTATTTATTCATGTATTTAAATAGTTGGGAAATGAATGTGCAAATATAGCAGAACGATACAAGGAAGAAATTCTAAACGACCACTGGTCCATTGTAATGTACTGCCCATCATATAGACAAAAAAACACAAGTGACAAGTTACGGAGACGGGAGGAACGCATAGTCCGATGGCGAGATTCTCCTCATTACATAGCAACTTCAGGTAGACCTATCTGCTTTATCCCAACAGAATGGATGAATACTTGGGAGCAGTATATCGAAGGCTGGCAAACAGATCATCCACCCATGATCGATTTGCGCTTATGGTATCTTTCAAATGGATATTTACGACCAAATATTGCGTTTAATCCTTTTGCGCCTAGTACCACTGACATTACTCTCATATCTTGGGATACATGGGCCTACTTAGAAAATAATTATCCGATACTAGGGGCCTTATTAACAGAAAGTAAGAGTTGGAACAAAACAAATCTTTAATAAGGCTACTTATAAGTCAGTAATATAGATAATCTCTCGACCCAAAAAAACAACAACCGATGGAGCACCTATTTAGAAGTATGGAAGCGACGTGCCAGAGGCGAATAAGTCTTGAGATTATATCATGTTTTTAACAAGATCATAATTGTAGTTATGTGACTCTTTCCTTGTTAAAGCTTGTACACCGGCTATCAAAATAAAAAAAAAGAGTGCTTTAAAATGGTAATTTGCCTGTTCATTTGTAACTTCGAATTACTATGAATCAACCTCAAAACACCAATAACTATAAGAATCTCCGGGTGGTAGAAGGGAAACAAGCAATTGCCCAATGTGTGCAACAAAGTGAAGAGATCAAAAACATACTATCCAATGATACTTTACTGGATGTCCCAGAAGATGCATGGCAATCAGCCATGCAAACTTTTGAAGCAAGCATGGTAAAATGAACGAATGCCTAAAATGATAGGCAAATTAAAGAAAAGTATATTTATTGAATTTAATTAGGTTTCCTTTGAATATAATGTCGAGCAGCTTGGAAAGCCTGACGTTATAAAGTTATTGAAAGCGAAGTTATCAAAACTAGCCAGAAAAAGGGTCAGATTACTTTATTTTACAGTACAAATACCACATTTCATCATATCTAATAATATATTTCTTTTATTAGGCTTGGAAGAAAAGACATCTGGCTCGTATGCGTATGAAGAAACATGAACAATACAAGAACCGAAAACGTCTATTAAAAGCGGTTGACGCTTGGCGGATTACCATGTCTCAACAAGGGCAGGTTTACAAAAAGGTAAGCTTTTTTTTTTATTTCTTTGGACCTTTGGAGTATATTTGTTCTTAAGCTTTTTTTAGTTACAAGAGCAAGAAAAGAAGAGAGAGAGAGAAGGAAAGAAGAAACGAGAGGAAAACAAAACAAAGATCAAAGAGATGTCTAGATTGCTTGAACGATTAACTCTATTAAGAGATTTGAGACGCCAACAGCTTGAAAATAAAGGTATAATGCTTATGAATTCTTTTAAGGGTCGGAACTTTATCAATAACCGATAAAGGATTTTATTATGAATATAAACTATAGGACATTTCTTCCCGGAAGAGGGAAATGATTTCTTTAACAAAGTCAAAGCATGGCATGTTGCTACTGAAGAAAAAGATGGCACAGAGCAAGAAGAAACCACTACGAATACATCTTTGTATATTCATCCGGATGACCATTGGAATGTCTTGGGGCTTGACAATATGTCGTATACATACTGGTCTCAGGGCTTTCAAAATACAGAAGCCCTGCGACGCGTCCGTAAATTATGGGATCATTACATAAGTGAAGAAGAAACAGCCCGTGAAGCGAAAATCCCTCCTTACTGGGTTGAGCCTTCTCCACCTGCCAATTGGGTGTGGGCTTCCTGTCTGGTGCAAGACTCTTGATCCTTTTTTTTATTATTATTATTATCATCATCATCATCATCAATATTTTCATTTGCCTTCATACTTTCTCCTCTTACTTTATTTTTACATCTTTGTCTATTACATGTCTTCATCACAACTATAGGAGTCCGAAAGGGTAATCATATCCTCTTTCATCTCCAGATAATCTTCTCGCCCAAATCCGTTCTCACCCTCGGAAAATTCAAAGAAATCGCTAAAGGAAATTGAATTTATAGACTCGATCCGGTGCTCCATACCAAGCCGCACCTTGGATCCCGTAGCAAGACGGGTCAAGGTAGGAACACTTCTTGGAGGCTCACTATTAGTATAAGGTGTTCTATATAATAAATGGGCGTTAATTGAGTACACGTGTGTGTGTGTGTGTTAATTTGGAGTAAGAGAGGGTGGGGTAGAGAAAAAGCTTACAAAAGTCCATCTTGGCTAATGTTGGATGAGAAGAAACGGGGATAAGAATCGATCAAAGGGTAAGCAAGATCCACAAAATATCTAAAATAAAAAAATAATAAAAAAGAGGGGTTAAGTGGAATCATATATAAAGTAATCTCCTACCTTTGTTGTAATGGACTATTCTCTTCTTTGAAAGAAGAAAAGAGTTTTTCCAAATATTTGTTTTGGTTTTCTCTAGTAGACATATTTTGAAATGTTAATATAGATTTATATATTCAATGTGATCTCGTATTGTACACAGCTTCACGTACCTTGAATCAAAACTAGGCAAACCGCGAGTGACAATGTATTCGCCAAAGGTTTCTTCTTTCTATTTGTTGATATAATGTAAATACAAGAAAACAATATCATACCATATACTTACCTTTTTATCAGCAAGAACACTTAATGAAGGAGCAGAGTGATCTATGATTGGGAGAACATTATTTGTTTCCAAGGTATCATTATAACCAGTACGGACGATTGGCAATGGTAAGACAGATTCCAATCCACCAACGTAAGTATTTCCATGCCAGTTAAGGCGAGAAACCATCTCACTCAAACTGGTTCCATTCTTTTTAAGTCTATTGTTAAATCAAATACAATTAATCAATGTGGGATACATTATGTATGTATATAAAGGTATCTTACCTATAAGGCAATGAGGCAGTTTCGATAGCCGTAGACAGAATAGCACTTGTATGGTACATCAGTTCATACTGGTAGGCCTTGTGAGACTATGGGCTTAATATGTAGACATAATAATCTTACCTTGGGATGGATGTAAGGACTCCGGGATGAATAAGCCATACGCTTGGGTGTGGGTGTGTAAAGAGGTACGTATAGAGAGGATAGTTTGGTAAGTCTGGCAATAGAAAATGCACGATTGAGGGTTTCTTTCTGACGTGCTCTCTACAATACATAAAACTTCAGATTTATGTTCCACGGTAGGATTCATATTTATCTATACCTCTGCCGATGGATTACGTGTGGTATCTGACAGCCCGTATGTTAATACAGTAGTCTTAGGAAACTCATCACGAATGTCATCCAAAAGGCCTTCGGTAAAGCCACCCATAGCATCATCAACACCAGTAAATATTTGAAATCCTTGTAATTGATCGCATTCTTCGACAAAGAAGCGGAAATTGTCTTCAAATATAGACGTTTCCTGAATCAAGTATAAGCATAATGATATTCGTTAATTATCAACTTTTTGTGTTACTTCTTGAGCAGCAAATAGACCGACCTTTTCATTATCTGTATAGGCTTTCCTTCCGGCAGTGTAGCTGTCAAATGGAGTAAGTGTACTTTCAGCCTGATGGGTTACAATTGGGTTCATGGATCGAGGGTGGTAATAAATGCGATTGAAGTCGGACCAAACTTTAACCGTGTGGTCGAGTTTGTCTACGGCATCTACATCCATGTCTGTATGACTAGGATCCTACAAAACGGCGAGAATATAACAATAAATATTCGACCTCCATTTGATATTCGAATGGTTTTTATATACCTCTTCCATACGATCTAACTGCTGCTGATAAGGGTTTTTTTCATATGTTTTGGTAGTAATTGTATTGACTCCTCCATCCCTTTGATAGTATACCGTTTGCTTATGTCAAATACGAGTACTTATTTTTTCAGTATATATATATATATATATAGAAGACTAACCATGCTATTTTGGTGGATTCCTCAGACTCAAAAAGACGATTATACTTTTGCAATGACCCAAAGCAATCTATTATGACGGCTCATTATACAAGTTTTCAGGCGCGAGAATTTTCCATCGTCAACCAACCTTTGAGATCATAAATCAACACACGCGGTGTATATGTCTCAATGCCCTGTTTTGTCGATCGCCATCAGCCTCATTAAACTTCTTTGCTTTTTTTTTGTTTTTTTTTCTCAACACAATTAATAAAATAGGTATTATTACCGTCGGTGTTTTACCGGCACGATACAAAACATCATGATCGAGAAGATCTGGTTTAGTGTCATTGCCATAGTTAAAATAGGCTTCCTAATAAATTTTGTTTTGTCACAATGATGCTCAAGAGTTTGCTTTATTTATTAATGTAGCTTTTGTTAACCTGTGCATTCCAATAGTGTGTGCCAACAAAGTTTGCCAGTTGGCCTAGTTGCAAAGTAAGAATCTCACGCATGATGAGGTTATTGTGGAAGTCTGTTTGCTGTTTGTGAACTCTCTATATCTCCTTTTTACTGCGATTTAATGATTCTGGCTTGTTTTGGGTCGCTCATCGAAATGAAGGTTTGCGTCTGTCTCTAGCCTGAGCAGTCTCTTTAGGATTAAACTGGGCATTGTAACGGTGCTCTTTGGGGGCAGCTACTTCGCCATATACAACAGCCTTTGTTCGTACACGTTCAGCTTGTTCACGGGCCAGCCGTTGTGCGCGAAGCGCCTCGATAGAGGATGATTGAGTTGAGGTTGAAGATGCATTTGTGGATTTCGACTTTGTTTTTGAAGGTCGTTTAGAGTAACTGTAAGGATTCTTGACTTTTTCCCTCTTATCTAAATGCTTTTTAACAATAGCCATGGGATCTTCCTCTGTTGTTATAGCAGGTTTTCTTTTTCTATTGTTGCAAAATTCAATATATCATAATTATCAATATCAAAAGAAATATGAATATATCATAAAACCTACCTTTTGCTGCTCTCGTCCTTTGGCTTGTACCGTCTAACATGAGTATCTGTGTATTTATCGCTTTTTTTCTCAGAGTACCATGGAGTTTCTTCTATATGTATAGTTAGAATAATATTCTATAAGACACCGCTACACACTTGCCTGCGACCCCTTTGTCAAGATACATTGTTATCTGCCTTTCCCACTTATCATCTTTTGCTTTTTGTTCTGCAACATATTCTTCATTTTGACTAGTAGCTGGTGCAGCCTATTTAAGAAACGTATTAATTATAGAGTTGCATATATGTCTTATTTAGCAATTCTTGCCTTGAGAATATCTTCGATGGATTGACCTGTGATCAGAGTCTGGCTGGTTGTAGATAGTGCATTGTTACTGATTCCGGATTCCTCTAGCCGTTTTTCTGCTCGCTGTCGTAGTAGATTAAGTCTAGCTTCACTTTCCTAATGAGATCATTAGTAATTATTGATCGATGAAGGTAGATCACAAACTTACTGCTAGTTGGACTCGTTCTTGTTTTGAAGATTCTTCTAGCTTAGCTTTTGCTTCGTCCTTGCGAACTTTCTCAATATTTTCGCGGTTATATACATGCCAGCTATTAAATGGATTAATGTGAGCAGAACAATGAGGACAATTTATTTTTTTTTTATTTTTTTTTACCTTTTGTGAGGAAGAATGTTCATGGTCAAGCAATAATTGTACTTTTTCTATCTGCACTAATCTTGAAGTTACATTTACAAAGTCCGATAATTATGTTGTATATTACAATCCAACAATTAAGCTTGAACAAAGTTTCGCTCTCTATTGCCTTCTTGATTTTAAAGAAAAAAGAGTGGCAATAGCTATGTGCTCCAAGTAATTGATTTATATATAATATGGTTACACTATTCCTATACCTCTTGAATATATTTCAAGTGTTGTTTCTTTTTTTTAAAAAAAAATTAAGGATCTTTAGGTGTTATAAGCAAGTACAGCTCACAGAGTTTTATACTTGCAACCTACTTTGATTTTCATAAAATGTAAATACCTGACTCTTTTCACAATACTGCTACCAGAAAATAAAATAAAAGGTAAAATAATGTAGTTTTTATTAGAGCTACAAAACATATGACTACCACAAAACATTATGTAAGAATACATTATCCCAGATCATGACATTACAATAGGTTATTTTCCGATCAATGTGATTTACAGCCCTTACATCGCTTTGTTTTCTTTTCTGTATTTAATTTATGTATTTGGTTTGGATAAAGTTCTATAAGAGTAAATTTAAACCTTGCTTATAAGCATGCTGAAAAGTTATTCTTTTTTTTCTTCGTCTTCTTCTGAAGCGGGAGTGCCCAGTATTTTGCATGGCTTATTCATTAAATATGTATATTGGCTGATCTCATGCAGAACCTTCCATTAATTCCCTTTTCTTCTTTAATACTTTGAAAGGTTACCAGATAATGCAACAATGCTGCGTGGACAAGCCTCTTTGTATATTTTGGGGATCCCCTCCATTCTTTTTTTTTCTCCTTGAATCTGTTTTTATCTTTCTCTCAGCAATAAAATTCTGGTTAGTGTTATTCTTAATTCAGTTGTGCACAATAAGGGCGCGTGGTGTTTACTTAGATACTCTCACAGGCAGTAAATATAGATTTCTTAGGTTTGTTCTTTTAACCATACAAAGCATTTAGTCAAAACTGAAAAAGAGCGAATTTTTAATTGTATAGAGTTTTCAGGTACTTAAGATGTAGTGAGCATATCTCACTATATAATATACCTTTCTTTTTTAAGCGAAAATAAAAGCTGTCATTATGGATAAGAATCCAAAATAAAGTGACCTTTTATCCAAATATTTGGTATAAAATGATATTACATAGTGTTCATAGATGAGTTTACTTTAACTGGTTATAACGTTGGGAGATATGCGGATTTTTTGGAGTAATGTGTAATCGAAATAGAGGGCTGCCATATGAGAGAAGATTTATATACTCAACAGTGATGAAGTTGTGGGCATATCATGGAGAGACAGATAGTATAGCAAAAATGCAAAAGTCGGTAGTTAGGGATTCTTCCTATACCTTGCAAGAGAGAAAATAGATCATTTAAGTTGGTGAAGCCATGGTAATAAACCTTTATATACACTTTGGGTATACTTGTAACACTCTCTTTTATACTTGACCTCTGGGACTCTTATATAACCTCCCAAAACTGGTTAACGGTCCGGGACAAAGCACAATACATGACGAGGATAAAAAGCAAGAGTATTCATTTGTACCTTTTATATGGTGTACAATTCCATCATCATGGCTTTTTTTTGTTATAAAATAACAATAATAACTTTCTGGTGTATACGCAACTGAAACTAATACCTGACATGAAAGGTGGGATTCAAAGTGTGAGGTTAGTAATGTGCCATGATTGTTTTATAATCTGGCGTAAAGAAGTACATACAAATATGCAAACTGATTTTGTATTCGGGTCCCACTAATAAACCTGACCCTGTCTTTCACAAATAAATGCACGAATCTGGAAGGCCTTTTTATGTTTTTTTTTAGAATAGTAACACCTACATTTATGTTAGTGCAGAAGGTATATAGCAAAGATAAGCTACTTGTAAACTGTATAAGAACGGTTTCCTTTCATTTTTTTTATTACTTTATTCTTTCTTTTGTTTACCACACATTCCTATTATAGAGCGTGATAAGCTGAAAATATCCTCAGTGTGAGACTAAACTGTTCCGCTTGAGGACATGCGATGAACCTTTTATGATATATAGAAGAATTGATACTGTTTTTTTTTGCATTTGATAATTTCTGTTTTCATTCACATTACAGATTAATAAGAATGCCTAAATGAGACATTTGATATGAAAATCATAAAGATTTAATTCAGGTCAACATCATACAACGAATAAATATAACCAATCCAACAATGGGTTATCGTTCTCAGGCTCAATGTCTCTCCCTGCTCTCTTGACCGAAGAATAAAAAATATAATACAAATAAAATATATATATATATATGCTTTAGAATATAATTTTCTCTGTATAAAATTTAGCTTGATTGAAGACTCATGCTAATATACAACAGTATTCTTGTTTATACTATGACTCTATTATAGCAATGTATCACATTTCAGCTATCTATAAACTCCTTCAAGGATATTATATACCAGTACTTCTATTGGTCTTATTGTAACATTATCCTCTATATAAATTCAGCCTAAATTTCTTATTCTTCTTCTTCAAAATAAAGACAATTTAATAAATCATATTAAGCCTATATGTTTTTTTTACAAGATTAATGGTGGTAATTTGGACAACGTTCTACAGTGTACTACACTCAACTACAATTAAAAAAAATATAGAGCAGTATGTGTATACTTACAAAACAAAACAAATCAAAAAAGGCAGAAAATACATGCAATTTTGTTTTTGTTTTTTTCTTGCACGCAAAGTCAAGTAAATGGTTCTAAACAGTTTTGGGGTAGAACTAATCTTTTATTTTAACCCGACACATACTGTATTGTGAGTATATAGTCTTTTCATTTCTCTCTTAATTTGAAGCAATAATTTCTACTGTAATGAAAGGCATTTCTTTACTATACTATCTGATGATGAGATTGCTATTCGATTCCACATCACATCATAGAAATGACTTGCATTACTGACGGCTAAAAGTGTTTGTTTTACTAATAAATTGAAAACACTGTCTTATTATAATGATGTCACTATATTAATTGTGTTGCCTACAGCATATCAGCATAAGATAATGGATTGTATTAAAAAACAAACCAAGAGAATTCAACGATCACAAGCAGTATGATTTTCTTTTCTTTCTCTAGACCAAGTGGCTATAATACAGTTCCCATATTCTGGGTTTGATTTATCCTTTTGTCAATTTAGACCTGAACCCCTAGAGCCTTTAACAAAAACAGAGAGTTATATAACAGGTATTTATCTCATAGATAAGTATATACTAATTACTCTTGTTGCATTTTATCTCTTTCATCAGGCAGTAAAAAATTGGAATAGAATCATCTTGGGTATTATGGAGTATTTCTTTTAATACAGCTATAAAAACATCAATTGGAAATGTTTGTTAAGCGCAAAAAATGTATCAAGTCGATCAATGACCAATGACCAAATGATTAGTAGAAGAAGACTTTTAAGTCTCATAAATTAGTAAATATTGTTTCTGGATAAATAGGCAAGTAAAGAAAAGTGTGAAATACCATAGAATTTGAATCTGGATAATATAGTGAGCATACAAGCCCTTTTCCCATTCTGTAACTCATTTGATTCCTAATAATAATAATAATAATAATATATTATTATTATTATTATTATTATTATTAAAATAGATAAACGGATAGGTCTTTAATAAGAAGTCATTTCTTTTAAAAGAAGAAGAAAAGTTCATACACACATATTAGAGATACAGCAATAGTAATTTTTTGGTTGCTTTTTTTGTTTCTTGTATATTTCTGCTTTTTATATTAATTGCTAAGCAACCAGACTAATAAGTAGAAGGATAAAGATCTTTATGTATAAAAAAGACATTAGCTGTTGACGTTTATATTTTATTTTATTTTATTTCATTTCATTTTTACATTGGTCTACCTAAAGAGATTGTCGCACAATGCTCGTCCCACCCATAATATAATCTCACTCCCTAGCTGATTTATTATATAAGAAAATCTCTCTTAAGTATCTACTATATTCTCTTTTAAAAGGTTAATAGATTCTTTAATATCAGTATATTTCTTTTAAAGAAAGAAAAGAAAGAATTGCAAAGGAAAGAGGCTTAATGAACTCTATGCAGAGTATACAGGTAAATCCTATAAAATACATTTAGGCGGCGAAGACATTTCTTTGGGTATTCTAAACAGGAATTAGCTGCAGTCGTTCATACAGTCACGATACGAGCAATTGCCTTGGCCAGTCTATTGGATAAAAAGGCTTTAAATGGTGTGGAAAAAAAAGGCTACTCCTGAATATCCTTCTCCTCTCTGTTTTCTCCCTTCTTCTTCCTTTACTCTTTTTCTTTTCTCTTGATTTTCGTATAGCTTCTCTATCTACTATGAACAACTCGTCCTACAGTCCGTATCATCAAAGGTCTCATTCATTACCAGTAGGGGACTCGTATGGATCATCACTTCGGTAAAGCTTCTATTCTTTAATATAGAGATCTAGCCACAAATAGCATTCCTTTTATTCTTTTCTTGCGACTAGAACTAGTCGACGTGACAGTAGCAATAAGAAAACGAACGTTACTGGCCATGCGACACTCCTAATAAAACTAAATGTCCTTAAACTAATCTTCAAAAAACTCCGATATGCACTCCAGATCGCCACCCTCCCCCTCTATGTCCAAAGCATGCAAAGGCAATTCCAATCCACACGCGGTACTCTTTGGCGTCACTACCACACATCGCTCTCTAAGTCAGCCAAATAGCGGAATACAGTAAGCCAATTCAATAGATAACTATTAGCCAGACTGCTGAACAAAATAAATAAATAAAAATTGCAACAGGTACGACGCCCAGATACATTGCAAAATTGACAGTGGGCATTGTCTAGAGCAGAGTACTTGGATATTCTACCGCCGGAACTACTTTCAAGTATCTGCATCATTTAGCATTTGTGAAAAGATGTCGGTCAACCCTGTGCTCTGTATGGACACATACAGTGTTCGAGGAAACGACAATAATATGCATCCAGTCAAGCACTTTTACTTTCAATTGTCAGCCTACGCCAGTGATACCAATCGGCCGGTTGACCTCATCCAACTTACAACCAAGCGCAACAAAGGTCCTCAGTCACTCCCCCAACCTATCCTTGTCCAGCCTAGCAACGGTGAGCTTGGTCACAAACCACGTAGAATTGAGACAGAAGCCATTTTTGAGCGCATCCAGTTCAGGACGGCTACGGCAAACAACAATAGAAAGAAGTCTGTTCAGCAGCACTACACTCTGAGTGTCCAATTGATGGCAGAATACACTCACGGAAGTGTCTGTATTGCCAGTCGGCAATCTGTGCCTATTGTTGTCCGTGGAAGGGGTCCAGGCCATTACTCTGGCCGACATACTCTTCCCACGAATCATTCTCCTGCAACATCCACAGTCACTACTACTATGACCGCGACTGACTGTGAGCCGAATTCAGTCCTCCCAACGACGTTTACGCCACTAGTATTGGATACCTGGTCTTCAAGACCACCTGTGTACACGAGGCCGTTTAGTGCCAACCCGAATACATATTATGGTCCTTTGAGTGACTCTGCTGATACCATGTGTTCTTGGCAACATGATACTGGACACTACATGTATTCGGGCTGGTCTTCTTCATCCCACTACCGAACAGAATCTACAGACACTCTTGGTTCAAACCAGTCAAGTATTGAATACCCTCCTCCTACTCCTCTTACTCCTCACTCTGTGCAGCCGATGTTCGACCCAATGTGTCTAACTAATCGTACGTAGAGAATACGAGTATTAGATCTAGAGTGTTATCTTTGCATTGATTTTGACTTTTTCTTTTCTTTATTTCTTATTCTTTTGATAGAAATTCAAGACCCATGGCCACTTTATGATCCCTATTCACCAACAGTTGGACAATAAGTTTTCCGGTGCACACTGCTTATACACGCTCGCATATACACATATATCATTTAACGAATACCAGTACTAATACCAGTACAAACACTTACTTACTTACTTACTTGTTTACTCACTCACATCTATATACATACTTTTATATCATGACATGTCATGTCATATTATATTATATCATATTATATTATATTATATTATCTCTAAAAGAAAGAAGAAGAAAAAGGAATCTACTTTTGTATATGATTAGAGTATTCTCTATTTACATATATATATATATATATATTATCAATAATCATGATAATTCCTTGTTAACCCATTCCTTGCTCTGCATCTGAACTAGACGTGAAAGGGCTCTTTGGAAAGCAAATGCTTCTTCTTGCCCTGAGAAAAGGGGAGAGCTGATATCTGTCATGTCTAGAGCATCCATCATCATCCGCATCCCCGAATCCATCTCATCCTCGCCTTGTTCGGCATCAAAGATCTCCATGATGCTATTCTCGGCACTGGCAATCAAGGTCACCTTTGACTCATACATGGCATCGATAAATGTAATGAATCGCCTTGCCTCGGCACGATGTTTCATGGTCATTTTGGGGATGTCAGTAAGGATGATTGTGTGGAACCTCTTGACGATCTCAAGATAGTCTGCCGCACTGAGTGATCTTGCACACACATCCTCAAACCTGACTCGCGCAACTCCATCGGCCTGATGGGGAATTACGAGTGAGCGTGACAAGAAATCGATCTTCATTGGAGTCATGGGTTTGTTGTGGGTCAGCTTGCGAGTGATGGCATTGATCTGTTCGAGGGTATTTTGGTTGAGTGGGTGGAAGTAGACGTGAGAGGTTGCTCGGTCGATTTTTCGGTAATCTGTACCAGAGTCCAGACTAAGGACCTGGCATCTTTCGAGCAAGAGATCGATACAAGGCAGGAACGATTGTCTCTGGATACCGTTTTTGTAGAGTTCGGTTGGGTGTCTGTTTGATGTGGTTACGAGCACGATTCCGCGTGCAAAGAGTTCCGAGAAGAGCTTTCGGAGGATCATGGCATCTGCGATGTCTGTGACTTGAAACTCATCAAAGCACAACACATATGCATCATTTAACAAATCGTCTGCAATCGGTGCTAATGGATTGGCTAGTTTTGGGTTTTCGGTCTTGATGCGGTGGATACGTGCATGGATATCGAGCATAAAGGCATGGAAGTGGACTCGGCGTTTGCGAGTAATAGGCAGGGTATCAAAAAAGAGATCCATGACCATGGTCTTTCCGGTACCCACATCACCATAGATATACATTGACTTTGGGCTCCATGCAGTAGAGGCACTTGGGTCTTCGTCCTTGTTCTGCTTTGCGCTATTGAACCACTTTGAAAACTACTTGTTTCGAAAATGTGATTAATATAATTATATATAATTATGTATGTAATGGTAAAAGTAAACGTACAGAGCTAAATACACCATTGTGGGTATTCTCATCAGCCAAGATTGATATGGCTGCAGGTTGGGGGGAATACTGTTTGAGATCTCTCCAGAGACGATCGAGATGTTTTATTATGGACCTCTGGTGATTGTCAAGTCTAACTTTTCCCTGAGAGACGATTGCATCGTATCTAACCAAAGGAGATACCTCTAAATCAACTGTCTGTCATTCAGCCAAACTAGTAACCTTTTTTTTTTTAAAAAAAAAAAAAAAAAAAAAAACAAACAAACAAACAAATATTGAATCATACCTTTTTGACAAGGTGTTGGATTAGTAGTAGTAGTAGTAGTTGTTGCTGTTGTGGATTGCATCCGCCGAGAAAGTATGATTGGAATTCTGGGTTGACATTGTTTGAATTGCCTGGCTGGAATGACTAAAATTCGACCTGATGCAGCTCTTTTGCTGGCAAGGGCTACAACTCTAAACATGAGGATTCCAAAATGTAACAAGAAATAACAGTAATATAAAATCAAAAAGAAAACAAAAAATAAAAAAAAAATTGACTAAAGGATATGTGTGGGGTCTGCAAAAACAAACAGCCGTGTGCTCCCTTTATGATTTGACTTCCGACAGCATTTTTATAGATGGATATGCATTTACGTAGTAGATAAAAAGAGCCAAGGGACAGGGACAGGGACAGGGGGAGTAGTAGTAGTTTTTCTATTATTATTACTAAGAATAATATTTTATTTTACTTTATTTTATAAAAGATTTAAGTAGTGAAAAAAAGGGGAGTCTTTTTTGTGTTCAAGATTAGTTTGGTGGTTAGATGGTTATTAGAGTGGGTGTTGTGTTGTGGCAAAATGCCCACTACAATATTTGTCGAAATTGAGTCGCTTACCCTATAGAAAAAAAATAGGCGATTTTAGTGAATTGTTGCAAGTTTTCCGGTGTTTAAAATGATTCGTGAATTTTATATCCCTATTTCCTTATTTGGGCGTTGTGGCAACTTGATTCGATTTTGCCACAACACAACACCCACTTTATTATATTCGTTGTGTCCATTAGCTTTACTAATTTGTCCCTACACTTTGTATTCATTAATCTCTCGCCAGATACCTAGCTTTTATTATTTTAAGAGCCACATCTTGTATTTGAGCAACTTAATAATATGCCGTCTCATATGAAAAACAAATTCTGTATATTCAATTAGTAGCCCTAAATATAGACTTGACAACAAAGAAATAATAATTAACCGCAAATGTACTGTATCGGTAGCCAGTTATGCAAAGGACTATAAGGAGTTGTTGCCAGATCTTGACGCAATCTTGTTTGACATCTTGTTATATATTGATCTGCTTACGCGCATCATGCCTTTGTCTTTCTTTTACCTACATATTCCCAGAGTTCGACAGCACCAGCTGGTAAGTAATCACCATCCGCTCTTTTTCTGAAAAGTACAAAAGAATGTCTTTATTCAAATATTCTGTATCCTTGGGAGCCAGATAGAGTTATTTCATGCCGGAAAAAAAAAGGCCACGATTTGTGTTCCGGTAGAATAAAAATGTCGCCCCTCATCAAGAAATACATTCCCCCCTAAACTTAGGGTACACGCTGTCCAGGCTGTCCAGGCTGTCCTGCCAGGCTGTCCGTAAGATTCCCCTTTTAAAACTTGACACCGGTAATTTAAGACCTCTATATATTAAATGTCGGATATTGTTCTTCCTTGGTGCCAGCGTCCTGGCACTGGCATGATTTCCAAGCTCGTTCTTCAAGAAAAACAAATCACTAATTTCATCGTCGAATATGTAATTGGTATGAATCTCACGCGATTATTTGGTTTTTATTTTATTTTATTTTTATTTTTATTCTCACTTGATAGGAACCAGAGCTAAGGATAAGTATAGAGCAAATCCACCTGAATGGATCAATGGCTCTAGATCTGATGTTTTATTTATTTGCAATGAATACGATAGTACCCTGCCTCCAGTAGTCATTGAAGTACAACACGTGGTGGATGACAACTTCATGCGACGTCTCCTTGGTTACTGCCTTTCCTTAGAGAAACAATCCGGTGTTTTGCCTATAGTTTTAATTTTTCCTATCTCCTCAATAAGATTTGAAATAATGAACAGAATCAGAAAACGCAAATCAGACCCATTACTCATCCACTATCCCTGCCATCCTTGGGTTCCATCTTGCTTTATTTTTGATCGAAGTAGTTTAGAAGAAAACTTACAACAGCCTTTGATCCCCTTTGTCAGTGTATGTTTGTTCTTGATGCGACGAGATTCATCCCTCATTCGCTCACCATATAATTCTGATCAAACAATATAGCTTTTATATCGTTTGGCTCAACATCATGTCGGAACTACCATTTTGGATCATGATCACATCATTGACGGTTTTTTGTCCTTTTCCAATGAGATGAAGACTCGGCTGGAAGAAGTACTACACCTTCAAGAAAACGACCATGACAACAATGCGGCTATATCATGTCTTAAAAACACAATTTTGTTAGTCAGTTCATGTCAAGAGAAGTTCAAACAGCCTTCCACTGCTGCTGATTCTCACCCTAATTTACAAACACTACCCCAAAAAACTGACGCTAACTGGGACTTCGTGAAAAATTGTATTCAAAAGCTCAATGAGGGAGATCAGATTTCTTGGAAAGCTGTATACCAGCAAGGAAAAGGCCATGGATTGTTCTCTACCTATTCCAATGCTGCATCCATGAAACGTTCCTATTACCGAGCAAAAATAAATAAAGGTTTTTACATATAAAGAAAATAGGTTGATCATTTGAAACCATGTTGAGAATACTTTCGTTGTCAAGTCCTCATTAATAGTAACTGTATATGGATGTACTACCTTAGCTACAAATTTGTAATTACTCTATTTAGTCAATGGTACACTCTTTTTCAAATCACTTGGCACGATTTTTTTTTATTTTAGTATAGCACAAAATAATGGCATATAGCGTGCCAAAAATCAAAGCAGCTTATATATCAAAACAAACTTGTCATTTCGACGCAGAATAATGGCAGAATCCTTTCAAGTCACTGTAAAGAACTTTGTTACAAGCATCAAAGATTCTTGCACTGAAAGTCTCTGACTGTAAAAGTTTTTCCCTTTTAAGTTTGCTCTTGACTACCGACCAGAATTGTTCAATTGGGTTCAATTCTGGAGAATACGAAGGAAGATATACGCAACCATATCCTCTGTTTACTATATATCTTAAGATATCTTCATGCTTGTGTATTGGTACATTATCCATGATGATATAAAAGTTTTTAAACTGCTCGTGCTTATCCATAACATCCAGTGTATCTGTTAAGAAATTGAAATAATGACCAGTTACGGTGCCTGTTGATTTTACCACTTTAGAGGAACCTGGGAGCTTTCGTTTCTTTGAGGGTGCTTGATATGGCCTTCTGACTTTGACATTAATGACACCAAAAGGCGATATAGCACCTAAGATCGTCGTGGTTTTCGCCCTTGTTGTAGGTGTTTCAACTATCACTCTCTCCCCCTTTTTTTTGGCCAAGCCATTGTTCTTTTCGAATTGACGTGAAATGCTGCTTCGTCAACAAAAAACACAGTTGGTCTCAAAAATCCAAATCGGTCTTTGACCATCGAACTACCCATTCATATCTCTCTTGAATTTTGGCGGGTGAATTTATTTCAACTGAATAAAAATAGGCCCTCTTCAAGCTAAGAGCGCAATCATTTTTCATATATCTACGGACTGTAGATGGAGAAACTTTCAGGCCTTTAAACTGCTGTGTCAACGCTTCTACTGCTTGATCTACGGTTGCAGATGGATTATCACCATACGTTTGCTGGAGAAACTCTTTATGATCTGATCCTAAGATCTTTTTTTTTTCTTCCAGGCTTTGCTTCTTTATCCTCAATTGCCTCGTTACTTTTATAATTTGGATTGTCCTGATCTGTTTTGAATCTCTTTTCTATCTCAGCCTGGTCTGCTTTGTACCAATTGTCAGCTGTTTTGGGTGGAATACCAACTGTTTTCGCAGCTTTTGAAATGCTTAAGCCTTTCTCATACACATGGAAGAAAGATAATGCCCTGATATCATCACCATGTTTTCTTATAATCCGACGCTCAGTCTTTCCTGCTGAACCTCTCTTGTCGACTACATCTGGAGCTTTTTGCTTCACATCCTTCTCTGGAGGTTTCAAATCAGAATGTATATCAAAATTTGTAATAGTATCCAAAGGAAGTGCTTCCAGATCTACTTCGGATAAAACAGGCTCACGACCATCTTCGTTCATAGCGTTCCCTTGTCCATCCTCATGGAAAAATTGTAATGGGATGTTATAGGTAAAGAATAAAAGAATAGTAATGTTTATATTGAATGAAGATTGTGCCAGTTTTATTAACAAGTTGTGCCACATGATGTAATGAAATTGGCCAAACCTTAGAGCATCCACAGCGGTCTGTGTAAATTTAACAAGAATGTTAATTTAGCTAGAAAATTTAGATCTTTTCATCCCCAGCGGTTTGCTTAACTAAAAGTTTTAACTGATTATTTCTCAATAATAATTACCGGCTTTTTAAATTTAACAATTCACAAAAACATCCAGGGCTTTTTTTACATACACTGCTAATTTTACCCAATCTGCTGTGGATGCTCTAAGAAGTTATAGTGTGTCAAGCTGAATTTTAATTTGTGCCAAAAACGAAAAAAAAAAAAAAAAAATTGTGCCAAGTGATTTGAAAAAGAGTGTATCTGTAAACCAAAGCAACAAACCCATTTGTGGGGTGACTGCCAAGCCAATTTTTCTTTGCTTCTTCTTCTTCTTCCTATGATAATAATAATAATAAGCTTATTGGTGTAGATGATACGGGTATGTATCTAATCGTCATTGATGGTTTTATTTTTGTGCGCCAAATAGGTTGATTTATTTATCTTATGTAATATTTATAAAGAAAATTATCAGCAGTTATCCAAGATTCACACACACACACACACTATGTACACTATGTACATACTTGTATGAAAATAAATAAATAATTATATATATATAAAGAAAAAGAAAATATAACATCTCGGATTAATATGTTGTCATGGTTAGTTGCCATGGATATTGATTAAATATATATATATATATATATATACATGTGCGTTTGGGTGTATAATATGCTATTTTGGTTAAAATTGGATGACGTCTGATATCCATAATCTGCTCATCAGGGTTTTGTATTCGTGCATCTTTACACAATATATATATTTATTATTGTATTATATTATATTTCCATTGTAATCCCACATGGCAATTAACTATATTCGTAGGTGGTCAATGCGGCAATATTTTTTTTTTGTTTTTTTTTATTATTATTTTGCATTCGTACTAGACAATAAATGATGAGTATCACAGACTAGTTCACATGATATTTAGAATATAATAGAAAAAAGGAAGATGACCAAGTTTGGTAGTAAAGATGAATAGAGTCTTGAAGTACTGTAGAGTTTACTAGAATACACAAACAGAGTCTGAAAATAAAGATTAATCTATTGTATTGTATTGTATTGAACAGGCGACTTGTAAGTTGTATTTCCCAGAAATTTGGGTGATCTTATTGTTCTATTGAATTTACTGGTTTAAATACTTTTTTTTTTCAAAAAAAAAAAAAGACATGATGTGGTACAGATTTGTAATTCTAATATTTTTAATATTTTCTAATAGTGTTTTTAAAAATACTAATAATAATAATAATAATCTCTTATTACAATTCAGTTTTTTACTTTAAAGTAAGAGAGAAAAAAGAAGAAATGTACTGTACTGTATTGTACACTTTCCCACACCCACATACTTGTAGATATAACAAGTGTATATAGATTTATATGTATAATAATAATAAAAAAAAACAACAACAAAATAATGAGAGAGGGGAAGGTGTAGATAGTAGTAGTAATAATAATAGTAATAATGATAATGATAATGATAATGATATAAAGAAGTAGAAAATGCTATGTACGTTCGTGTTGGTGGCCCAGTATATATATATATATATATATATATATGTATATGTATGTGGGCGACCTGTTATGTATAGATATGTATAATAAAGATAAAGTTATGTATATAGATTGATAAAGGTAAAATAGATGCTATAGAAAAAAAATGATTTTTAAAGAAAATTTGCTTTGATATGAAATGCATGGTGTGTTTTTGTTTTTTGGTTTTGGTTTTGGTTTTGGTTTTTGGCACGCGTCGTAGTAGAAAAAAAATGGTAGTAATGGTAATAATGAAAAGAAGTAAAAATAATAAAGGGGAAAAGGTGGCATAAAGAAGTAGAAGAAGAATAAAAAAAAATTGGAATAAAAGGAGTGCGGTACGGATATTTCTTCATTTCGTTTGGTTTGTCGCTTTTTTTTTGATTTTTTTTTCGTTGGACGGGCAAGGCTTGTGGACAGGATTTATGTGTTCGTATATGAAAAGGAAGAAGTAAAATAAAGGGTCCATGTTTAAATGTCGAAAGTAAAGAATGAATAAAAATAATTTCTTTCTTCATAGTAAATAAAAATTAATAGAAAGGAAAGGGCTGGGGGTCGTTGAGTGATTGATTGTTTGATTTAGTATCGGACGCGGCACTGTTTTCGTTTGGTTTCACGGACACTTGATACGGCATAGCCAGATAGATTGTCGTCTGGGTAGTCGCGCTTGGTGCCCATTGGGGGAGTATAGACAGCAAAGGAGCGGATGTGATGATTGTTGAGGTTAAGGTTAAGATTGAGGTGGTGATGATTATAATCGTAATCGTGGGGTGGGTGTGCGATGCGAATGGGTGAGATCTGAAGAGGAGTGTGGGCAGGTGATGAATTTGAAGACGAAGGGAGTGAAAGGACTGGAGGATGAGGCTGTGTTGAAGGTGAGGAATTGGATCCGATTGAGTGAGGTGAACAAGACAGAGGTGACGAGAGAGTTGAAAGAACCGTCCAGCGTTTGCTTATAATATTACTATTACTATTCAAATTCTCGTCGTGAGTCTGAATGTCCATAATTCCTCTTTTTCTTGATGTGCGGGAATGACATTCACAAGAATCCGCAGTGGATTTTCTTGTATGATGTTGTGGCTGGGATGTGTATGGTTGGTTTGAATGAACTTGTTGTTGGAGAGGACTAGGTTGGCGAGGCGCAAAGGAGGTTGGAGACTGTGTGACTGACCAACCAGAACGTTGGGAAGCTGATGTGGTGATGATGGTATTGTTAGTATTATGTGTGGTTGTGTTTGTGGTGCTTGGCTTTTTCTGGACTGCAGAGTTGGTATCCGAAAAGGGTAGGCAAGACAGATCGTGCAAGGTAGTTGGCTGGTTTTGTGTTTTGGCGGCAACATGCATGTGCAACATATGGTGCCACTGCTCAAATGTCGGCTGGGCAATGTAAAGTCGATAGTCAATCAGTTCAAGAAAGATACGCTCGGCTGCATTAATCTCGGCTACCGGAAGTCCAGCAATCTTGGCCCAAGCCGAATTGCGGTATGTTTTGTCTTGGACAAATTTGGATGCCACAATCAGACTTGCAAGAAACATGCGACGGCCACATCGAATGTACGCGCTCTCACATCGGACAGAGTGGTTGCACGAACGCATGCAGCCTTCCTGACCATTCACTCTCTTCTGAAGACTCTCCATGATCGCCGGTCTGGACCGGAAAAGGTAAAAGAGTGAGGTCTGGAGGGTTGAATAGATGGCCCGGGATCGTTTGAGGACCTCCTGGATAAAGGTGCGCAGGGGGACGACGGCGGCAGTCTTGGTAGAGGGTGACGATGAATACCATATGGACTCTATAAGGAGCGCATTTGTATCTAATTATCCAAACCTTTTGGTCAGCCAATCAATCAAACCTTTTAATATCTTATTGGTGTACTTACCCACAAGTGCTTCTACATAAGCCATACGGCTGTTCACTGATGGTCGTTTGACAGTCACGCACCCATTCGACAAAGGGCGTTGAATAGCAACAGAAGAAGAAGGGTTGTTATTACTATTACTATTACTGCTGCTATTGGCATTGGTATTGGTATTGGTATTGGTATTGGTATTGGTGATGGTGGTGGTATTGGTGGTATTGGTGGTGATAATGGAAGGTGCGAGTGTATTCTGAGCAGATAGCATGTTGCGGAGGGCGTACATTTCTGGATCTGTGTTAAAGTGGGCGTTGTTTTGGATACCGAAGCTAAACTTGTCTACACTCGGCTGGAAGGTGGTCGAATGGCCATAATCCGGCAGATTGAGACTGTTGTTACTGTTGTTACTGTTGTTACTGCTGTTACTGGTTGGGACCGAGTAGCGAACACTTGAGAGTGTTTGGGTAACCGAAATTTGGTCGTTGCGTTTGTAGCGAGAGGGTAGAGGAAGAGAGATGGATGCATATGGACCGGCTGCCAATAAAGAAGTCATGAAGAATAGAGAAAGAGATTGAACAGTAATAAGAAGGGAAAGAGAGAAAGAAAAGAAGAAAAAGATAGAGAAAGAGGATTCTACAAATAAATCAAGAAAAAAGAAAAAAGAAAAAAAAAAGGGGGAGGCCTATATTTTCTGTGTGCGTATATATTTTTTTTTATTGGGATATTTAGTCTACTGAAAGACTAATAAGTAAAGGAGAAATGAGGGGTCCAGGAGGTGATTGAAGATAGGGAGAGAGAGAGAGAAAAAAAAAAGACTGGTATAATTAGATGTATATATATATATATATTGTATACAAACACCAAGTCAAGTAGATGGAACTTAATGAGGAAAAGTATATATAAAAAAGAAAGGGATCTCTGGCTGAGAACAATAGGAATAATACTTGATAGTAAATGTGCGGTGTGCAAAGGGAGCTTTTTTGGGGGAGGACACAAAGGCTACAAATCATAATAGCCATATGGCTTGTCGGAGCCGATTTTTCAAATGGAATCCCTGTTACCAATCAAACAACTTTTTACTATTTTCATTCATTCATTCATTCATATCATATATATATATATATATAAATAATATAGCAACCATTTTAATTTGTTCTTTGTTGTATCATGTTATATTCACACAAAAAATTAAAAAATATTATTATTTATTTTTTGGTTTCATTCATATCAATCTATTCTATTTTCTTCATATACTAAAGACCTCTATTTATTTGTTTATTTTAGAGAATTTACAAGACAAAATAGGCTTGGTGTTTGGTTAAAGAAGAGTAAAAGAGAAAAACAAGGGATACATATATATTCCATCTTATTTTACACAAAACTAAATACAGTAATCAATCAAAAGCAATCGCCGACAACAGCGAAACCAAAGTGGGAGTTGGAGTGAGATAAAAGAGAGGGGAAAAAAATTGAGGGTTATAAAGATAGTGAGAAAAAGAGACAGGCAGGCAGGCAGGCAGGCAGGCAGGCAGAGTGGGGGGGCAAAGTAGAACAAAAAAAAGTTTTACAGTGCTAAAGGGTTTCACGGATTTTAAACTGAGTGATGGAGGTGTGTGAGCCTAGAAGCACCATATGAGGTATCGCCACTTGTGCTCATTATTACAACTCCATTTTATCTCGTGCTTTAATTCTGGTGTAGGTTGTGTGGCAAAGACCCAACCTGGATGAAAAAGGCATCTGCATGGCTGACCTCGAGTTAAACCCACAAAGACTCTCTCCCACTAAAAAGGTAATTCGACAGCTTCTATTACCATGGCTACCGGCTCACATGGCTCCCCCTTCTTTATTTTATATATATATATATATACATCATTAGCTGAAAAGAGATTATTAACTTGACTTCTTCAATACGCCAAAAGTTTTTTTTTTTTCAGGGGCACTTCTTTGTCCATATATTTTTTACGTCACTTTGTTTTCAGTCAACACACTGTTTTATTCGCCTTTTACGGCTCGCCCCGTGTGCGAATAAGAAAGCAAGGTAAAGTAAAGAAAAAAAGAAAAAAAAAAATGTATATATAAAATAATTATACTAAAATAATACGCTGATTGAAAAAAAATCGATCGTCCGCTTAATAAGGTCGATCACGTCTCTCATGTCTGTCCTTTCTGTATGAATCATCGCGCCCACCACCCGCATGACGACCATAATCATCGCGTCGGTCTCCTCCTCTTCCTCCTCCACCACCACCACCTGAACGGCCACCGTCATCGTTTCGGTCTCTTCCACGGTATCCACCACCGCCACCTCCACCTCGGTTGCTCGAGCCACCCATCGAATCTGCTGGACGGCGTGCGTGACATTTAAAGCACTCGTTACGGCGGGCAAAATTGTTGGCACTGCATCTAAAATACACGACAAGAGATAATAATAGCAACGTATTACGCGCCTGTGTATCATTCCAAGTAACAAGAAATAACAATAATCATAGTAGTAGTAGTAATAGTAATGATAGCTTACCCTTCACAAGTCCAGTCACCTTCCTTGGGTGGTGGTGCATTACCTCCTCCGCCACCGTAACCACCACGGCCACCACCTCCACCACCGTAACCACCACCACCACCGCGGCCACTGTCTCCACCACGGAAACCACCTCCGCCACTGTTTCCGCCACGGCCGCCGCCACCACCACCACCAAAGCGACCTCCGACAGCTATATAAAATAGTTGGTCATCAAATAAAATAAAGATGATTTTTTTTTAAAAAAAATTATTCAGAATCACTTACGAGGACCATTGGTCTTTCTTTCTGCCTTGGAAACTTGAATGATATTACCCATGAATTCCTTGCCTTTAAAAGGAGAAAGAAATAATCATTCCATAATTTAATCATCAAGACATTCATATATATATATATATATGTGTGTGTGTGTTTTTAATGTCTTTCTTTGTTTCTTACCTCCAAACCAGTCAATGGCAGCATCGGCAGATGGTGGATCATCGTAGGTCAATGTGGCTATGGAACACAAACCATAAAAACCAATTGATACCCTGACAACCTAGAAAACTATATAGCCTTGCACTTTACCATCACCCTTGGGAAGGTTCGTCGTCTTGTCAAAATAAATCCAGACTGAAAGACAGATTAAGTTAAGATTCCAGCGTCCTCTTTCAGGTTGTCGCTGGCCCACGAGACATACTCTTTGGCTTCCGGGTCTTTCGGTCAATCTTAAGTACTCCAATAGATCCAAAATGGGCTGCGAGTTTCTCTTCGTCTACATCCTGGGGGAGGTTGCTGATATAAATCGTGTCGGCTTGCTTCTGGATACCGTCTAATCAAATCCTATCAATACAAAAAAGAAGGGACATACATGCACATCTACATATCCCTCTCTCTTTCTCTCTTTCTTTTTCTCTATTATTGCCAAAGCTACCAAAAAGCTAACAAGCAACAAGAAAAGAAAGAAAGAAAGAAAAAATAGCCCACTCGACCACTTTTCTCTTTCTCTCTCTTTTATTATTATTATTATTATATACATATGCTTACCCGAAGATTCATCGACAGGAGGAGGTCTGCTTTGACGTGATCTATCAGAACGGTCATACCTTCCATAGTTGGACATTCCTGACTCCTGTCGATCACCATAGCTGTCGTGCGAAGGTGCTGTGTTCTTATAGTCAGTTCCATACGCGCTATACTCGCCACCTGTATTGCTGCTGCCTTGGTACTGAGCATACGATTGAGGGTCGTAAGAGTAGTAGGCTGAATTATCAGCTACATTCCCAGAATACCAGTTCGCTGATGACGACTGGTCCCCCCCTGTAGCTTCAGTAGTTTGCTGAGGTCGTGATTGATGAGCTGAAGAGCCATGGCTTTCATCTGAAGAAATTGAGACATTAAATCAAATAAATAAATAACTTGATTTTTTTTTAAAAAAAAAAAGAGAGAGAGTATTTTACATTGATGATGGTCATCACCACCATAGGTGCCTTTGGATCCTGACATACTAAAAGTAACTGATGCTTATATCTTATTTCAGAAAAAGAAACAAGAAAAAAAACAAGGAAAAAAAAAAAGGCTCGCCAAAACTGTAGGACTGAAAGTCACTACAACAAAATCACAATCACAATCTAGGCGGCATGCTATTACGTCATACAAGTTTATTTTTATTTATTTATTTATTTATTTTCTACCAAGGACACTTTTAGTTGGACCGGACTCAGCTCCCAACCCTTTGTGGTCCATACATACCCAGCCTCCATCTATGTCAGCAAGCAATTTTTTTTTTTTTTAATTTTTTCGTTTACGTGGCCTATACTTAGCCACACTTTTTTTTATTTATTTATTATTTATATTATATTTATATATTTAAATAAATTTTGTACCAAAAAAAAAAAAGAAAAGAAAAATTCGTAATTAAATTTTTGATAAATTGACTGTTAGATTAAATACAGAAAAATATATGTATATAGAGGATTTTAAAGATGCTGATTCCAATAAATAATATAAAATATGTATTTTCTTTAAAATAATAATCTATACAATTTTCCCCCTTCTTTCTTTTCTTTACCCTTTATTTAAAAAGCCCTATCCAATCAAATAAAAATTAAAATATGTACGAGAACAAAAGCAAAATATAGACAATTGGAGAAACGACTCGGGATTGATCAAATCTGCTATACAATGTATTTCTTTTATGAAGAGAAAAGAAAAGCTTCAAGGTAGTGTATGTAATGTTATTAGATTTGCTTTGAATTTTGAAACCTTTAGATTCAAGGCTATCTTACTATTAGTATTACTGTGTTGATTTATCAAAAAAAAAAAAAAAAAAAAACAACAACAACAACAACAACCAACAAATGCAAACAATCATTCGACTCCCTACATTTTAATATCAATCCATACATCTTGCAAAAAAGAAAAATGGGAAACCTTTGGGCTGTCAAAAGAAGAAATATTGAGATGATTTGTTTAAAATCAAAAAGGTGAAAGCTTGAATGGACAAATGTACAATCCTAGAGTGTTGAATACTATATGCTTGATTTACACTAAAGAAACTCGGGTGACAGCCGAATAAGAAGCATGTAAATTTTAGGTGGTGTTGTGGGATTTGTGGCTGTGGTTATGGCTGTGACCATGGTAATAGTCATGAACATAGCTCCCAACCCGGTCGAATAGAAGAAGAAAGATATATATATATATAGAGGAGCACTGGATACACGCACACGCACACGCACACGCGCACGCACACGCGCACGCACACGCGCATACTCGCTCACATATAGATATAGATCGTTGAATTTTAGTGGTTCGACAGATTGCAATAAAGATTTTTTTGTTAAGACAGACTGTCAATCCAGGCGATCTCCTTGTGCTTATGGTTTTTTTTCTAAAAAAAAATTGCAACAAGGAACTTTATTAGAACCAGTGGAAGAAAGAGTTCAATTAAAACAGAAACTCAGGTAGACCTCCCCCGCCGCCGCCGCCGCCGCCGCCGCCGTCAATGCCAGATGAACTGATTAAAAAAAAATGAGAACTTTGATACTTTATATGATTGGGTACAGCTCTCCAAGACTTTCTGGGTTGGTTGGCTGGTTTATTCTAATAATAAAACAAAGCTATGTGTCTTGTCAGGATAGACACGCCTAATACTTTCCAGGTCCTTCCTCCGTGTCAAACTAAAGGCTTTATGAATCGACTGGTTATCTTTGGTTAGACTACATGTATATTTATAAGAATACACTAAGCTTTTTGTTTGGTTCCACAGCAATGGATATTTGACAGTAATCAATATTTATAACCCTTTGTTTTAAATAAATAAAAGTGACAATTCTTGGCATTGGTCTTCAAGATATAAAGCGTGATACGACTATAACTATAAATCACATATACATATATAAAAACATAGTATTTTCTATAGATATCAATAATATTTACAAAAAGAAGAAGTCGTTGTCTCCTTTTTCTTTAAAGCCGCATGGGCAGGTATTCAACTTGATTTATTGACATTTGTATCAGTATTTTGTATACTGTTATTTTATTTTATTTTTCTTAGCTGTATTTCTAAGATGGCTGTAATTTTATATATATGTTAGAGAACATTATCCCTGGTAACTTTTATTCTTATCCTGCAGGATATATGTATATCTATATATGCTTTACAGTCGTAACATACTCTTTGTTCCAAATAGAATAGAATAAAATTAATAATAATAATAATAATAAAGAAGAAGAAGAGGTATGGTACAGCTTGGTATTACTTTATATTGAAACACGCTCTTTTTTTTTTCATTTAATAAAAATATAGCATTTTGAGCCTTCTCCAAAAGTTGACTCATTTTGGGACTTTAGAAATACATGTATTTGTTTTATCGTTTTTGTGTAGTTCAAAAATAAATAAAAGTCAATATCACAGATGTTACGGATATGAAACTTTGAATTTTGGGCTTTATCCCAATCTATTGAACCACAGTGGAATTATGCCTTTATTTCTTTTGTTCTAACTGATCGTCTTATTGATTAGCCATAAGATTCCAGCGTGCATGCAATACTTGAATATCCTTTGTATAAAATAAATATTGTATATTAACATGCCACATTTCTTATATGACTATGATTATGAATACAAAACTAAGCATCTAACTAAACAAATTACATCACAGCTTGTAGTAGATTTCTCTCTCTCTCTCTCTTTGTCTAATATAAAAAAAAACTCCATTCAGAGTGTATAAATGATGTACATTCTGGGCTGTAATTAATGTGTAAAAGGTATTCTTACAAATCCAATCAAACAATGGCTTCATGGCTTGATAACTTTACATGTATTAGATAAATGATCTAATCAATTTGGTAGGCGTACATATATACATAGTGCTGAGTATTAACATGGGTAATACACACACATACAAGTGGGGCTTTGTTAGTTATTTCCTTGTAAGAATAAAGATCAACAACAACAAAAAAGTGATCTTTTGTGCAAAGGTTTGCAACCCAATACTTTTTTTTTAAAAAAAAAAGAGCTTGTAATTGTTATGTCTAGACCGCTTATATATATATATATATATATATCTAGTCTTCTTTACAATATAATATAACAGTAGCTTCCAACAAACAGTTACACATCTTCCAGGTGCTCGGTGACCATGTACGATTCTGGCTAATAAAAAAGAAAAGAAAAAGAGATGGGTTTATGGTTATAATGCCATCAAAGGCTGAACTAGATTCAGAGGTCTGGGCGTAAATGTCTCGACAAATCTTGAGTGGTCTTTGCAAACACAAACACAAACTAAACAGTTTGTGATAAAAAGGCGTCTATTGCTTGAACACGTGTAGGTTTAGGTTATGTCGCATATCTCCTGCAATAGAGTAATGTATACATTGTGTATATATCTATCTATCTAGTAATCATAACTAAAGAAGTTTGTTTCACAGGCTTAGGTATCGAATTTTTTTTTTGGGATTCATTTTACAATTTCACACATGTACATTAAAATAAACCATTGTTTATTTATTTATTTATGTGTTTGTTTGACAGTAAGATATATATATATATATATATAGGCATAAATATAAATATGCTATATCTTATAGCCTAGTCTTAAAGATGGTAAATCTAGAGTAGGTTTGGGGGCGTGTGTTTGTATATGTGTTACTTGGTTTATAGATAATTAAATATACCATTTCCCTTTAGTATTAGTGATGTACAATTACATTAATTACCAAGTTTTATATTAACAATTTCCATTAAGATGCCCTTTTTTTTTCTTTCTGTTTTACCATGAAATATTATTATATATCTTGGGTTAATAGTTTTTTTTTACATCGATCGTATACAGTATTTCTGTGTATATATTTTTGTGTAATGATAATAATCATAAAAAGGAAAGGAAAAGGAGGAGGAGGGGGGGATTCGGAGGTGTGATCCAAAGACTATTTGTCCATGTATTCCAGAATTTTGATTTGTATTTGTATTTGTAATAAGTTCATTATATATAATTTTAGATATATTGGAGTCCAAAATGCCTTTTGACTTTGGGTACATTTGTATCAGTTTTATTTTTGGAACAGACACGTTGCTAAGTACCCAAGAGCTTGATGTGGGTTTGTATATAGTCTTGAATTGAATGTAACACAGGTACAAGCCATGTATCCAAATTCCTTTAAAAACAAAAATTCAACTCAAACTTTTATGAACAATTATTTTATATGTATGTGTGTTTCTTATTAATCCTCGTTTTCATTAGGTAAGAAACCTTCCCAAGCCAATCTTCTTAAAATAAATAATAATAATAATAATAATTGAAGAATTTGAGTATCTTCCATTGGTCACCCGTATGTCCATTTTCTTTTTTGCAGAATTCCTAGTGTAATATTGAAATACAAGTCACATATCATGTCTCTTGTTGTGCTGGTTAACTTTTTGCCTGTCTTTCCACAGTCCATTTCACGTGATGTTTAAAGAAAAGAGGCTGTAACGCAATAGTAATGCTCAAACATTGTTCTCTGTCATGGTTTGGCCATTAATCCTAGATGCAGATCTTGAGTCCTTGACCAATGAAATTCAGCAATTACCAACGAACAGTAGCAGTGAATTATTTAATGACGCTCAAATTTCCGTTTACCTTTCTATCAAAAAACTAAAGATATACTTGCCAAACGACGGCAAGAAATTGATAACGGTAGATAATAATAGCGCGTCTTATCTATCATTGAACGAGGCCAAGAAAGAAAAATAAATAAAAATAAATAAATTCGATTACATAGTGGGCATACACGGTCCTTAGTAAAAGAATTCCAAAAAATGGTAATATGCATATACAATATACAATATATAAATGTGTGTGTGTATATGTACATAAAAGAGAAAGAAAGAAAGAAAAAAGAATAAAGACAAATGAATGAATCGGCTCTCTCTATTATAAATATCGTGTAATTGACACAAAATGTCCGGGAATAGATGCGAAAAGCAATACAGCAAAGAATATTACACACATTATGAGAGATAAAATCAACAGGGCTATGGTTGAGCTTATATCTGAATCTGTTGCCTTTCTTGAAGCTACAAGAGAAAGGTAAGCCTAATTTGTGTGTGTGTGTGTGTGTATATGCACAAATGATGCTTGCAAATAAATCTCAATTTTTTTGCTGCTTAGAGCTCTTGATACTCTCTTTAATGTAAGTATAGTATCAAGAAATCAAATCAATCTTAATTAGACCAATAAAATTTCTATAGTTGGTCACCACTTCAGTTGAATCGACCAACACAATGAGTTGGTTGATCTGTTTTACTATAAACGGTCGTCCTTCTTTACTCATACCACGTCTCCATCAATATTTGATACGTGGATTAAAAGTTCATCAAAATCCATTTATGGACTCTGGCTTGTACGATTTTCTTTTTTAAACATATGAACTATGTGTTCTAAACTATGGCTATAACTGACCATTTGTACTATTCTTTCTTTCTTTCTTTTTCAGGGAACATTGTACAGATGAACAGAAAAAATTGGCTATTTTAGGTAGCAAAGTCTTTGCCTATCTACTTGAACAGCAAAACACTATAGCTCGAAAATCTGTAATCAATTTATTCGAAGAGTATTTTGCTCAAATGCACACAAGACAAAATCATAGCATGGAATTAGACACAACGTCTTCTGGTAAATAGCCAAAAATAAAAATAAAGAGAGAGAGAGTGTGTGTGTGGGTGCTTAAAAGAAACCCAATTATGTACTAAATGACAACGTCTGTTAATTCGATACGCTGCTTTTGGGTATTGTATATTATATTGTCCTAGTAGACGATGATCTTCAAAGATATTATTTAGGGTATATTTTTGCTCTACCCAATATTTCCCCAGAATTGACACAAGGTGTGCTACAATGTGTTCAATTGATCTACACCGGATTTTATCTTAAACACATCCCTTTTAGCTTGTTGGACCGAAATATTCAAGAGATTAGTCGAGAATGATTCTGCTGGGACTATGTTTATGTATGAACGTGATTCAGAGTACTCTCGAATATATACACCAGCAGGGTATGTCTTGATGATCTAATACATATATTATTTTGTACCTTGAACTGACTTTTCATTTTTATTTTTATAAAAAAAAATCAATAATCCTAATAATCCAAGCAGAGAAATAAGTATCGTTAGTGTGTTTCCTCAGTGGCTATCAAATGTTGCGTTTAGCAAGGATAGCCTTATTATGAAACACGCCCTGGATGTCGCCGTTATGTTGGACACAATGGCGTATGACCCCCGCCTCAATCTGGCCCATCTAATACCGGTAAACAATGAATATTGCTATCATTCTTTGGATTCTGAGATCAACAACTTATCAGTTTCTCCCTATAGGCTGGTGATAAATCGATTCTGGACTCCATGAGACCTTCTTTTGATCAATTAGATCTCCAACCCTCGTCTATAGATCTCGTAAATTGGACAATATCCATATTGGAGTCCAAGTCACACGTGCGTGGAACTGATAGTCTAAAGATCGCACTCTTTTTGATGCAATTGATTATATTCAAATGCGATACAGAAGAAAAGGCAGCCGAGATGCTTGTTAGCATAATTACCCAATTGGACAAACCTAATGCTAAAACAGAATCAAGTAGTGGTACCCGCTACTTGGTTTTGAACCTTGTAGCTTCTGCGGAGACAAAATGGCCTAATGTATTTCAGTAAGTAACATTTGTAATAATAATTACAGAATTTTCTCAGGTGCCTTATGTTTCCAATAATTAGTTTCTATTTTCTTATTTTACTTTTGGTCTATTGAGACTCGCTTATATTATGTCATACTGTATTTTTGTAATGTATACATGCATCCCACTATCTCAATTAATCAAGAATCAGAATGAAAATGCATATATATCAAAGAAGCTTAGTACCACAAAAGAAAACTAATTCAAAAACTCTACATTGCCTTGGTTTTCTTTAGGGTTGTTTTGGAAAAGATATTCTCTCATGCTATTGCTCTTCACATCGCAGATAGTGAAGGATCTGTCAGTGTCGAGAAGATCCTCGGAAATTTAGCTATGCTGTTTGAGGAAACAGGCGAAGCATATGGACCAGATGGGACAAGGCCAGGATTTAGCTCTTTTCAAATGTATATTGTTGATCATTGGCAACAAGTTTTACTCTTGTTTGTGAGCCATCCATCAATGGAATGCAGAGCTATGGGATACCGTGTGTTGGCCAATTCAAAACTGTGGGAGCATACCGGATCTAATATTCAGCCAATCCAGATATCAAAGATGTTGACAGAAGCGTGGTTTAGGCACATGAAGCATAGGTTTCTACGCATCACGCCTCAAGAACGTGAAGAAGAAGTGTCAGTCTTGGAAGAACTTGAGCGTCTGAGTAAGGAAACTCGCGTGGGTAACACCGCTTTGTTTTGTTCCCTTGTAACTAAACTGTTCTGTATTTTTTATTTTATTTTATTTTATTTTTTAGTTGTTGGATGCTGTCAGACCCTTGTTCTGGCAAAGTCTATCCTATGCCTTGCCCTGGACTGTATTATGCAAGGAGCTCTAGAAATCTTCCCTGCAGTAGATCCAAATGTCCTGCAGAGAGAAAAGACCAATCTATTGGACAAGGTCAGGGAAAATAAATCTGCAACGGAGATCAGGTCCCAGCCAGTAAACCGGCCGCCTCGGTTTATAACCACGACAGATCTGTTGAATGGAGAACTGTATGTATCAATCCTTGATTCTCCTTGTTCTGCTTAGGGAAAAAAAACCAAGGATCATTCCAAGAATCTTTCGGGTATCAACTAACTACTTTATATACATATATAGGGATTTCAGGGATAAGACTTATATAGACAACATTGAGCGTACAGCAAGCCTTTTTTACAGCTTCCGTGATTCCAAAGATACCACACGAGGTAAGGTTTAAAACGTGCCAATTTCACTACTCTCCTTGAAATTCACTTGGAATACAGAACACACGACCGCCGTAAGCCTTAGCATACTTTCTCATTTGACATCAAAGTGGCCTAGGCAAAAGGTTTCTTTGGAGGCTTATGATAATGTTTTACCAAAGAACATCCCATATGCAAGGCAAGCAATAAATTAGAGTCGAACAGGCTCTAACAGAACAGAATCTTAAACTGGAATTTACTGGACTCACACACACACACATATATATATATATAAAATATCTAGCGATATCACCACCGGAAATGCGTTTAAAGACCACCCTGCTTTATTCTTGATTATTGAACAATGCTCAGCTATAGCCGGCTCTCCTATTAACGATACCACGCGCAGTATATTGGTGTACTTCATTGCATTCTGGCACATGCCTGAAGTTGCCAAGGAGACAACGACCTTGAAATATGCCACACAGCTAGAAGAAACTTGTAGAATCATGATGCTATTGAAAGCGGTAATTGTTTTCATGCTGTTGTTTTCTTTTTTTCTTTTTTTTACGACTATACTATCCAACTCAAACCATCTATTTGGTCAATAGCATCTCCCTTTACCTCTCCAGCCTGCCTACAAGATTTTTGCATTTGTTTCTGCCCAGGACCTTGGTGATATTCTTTATCAAGCTATTTGGCCCTACATTAGATGGCATCCAAGTGCTTCAGATATGGATATCCCTGGATTGGGTCCTACTGCTGCCCCTTCTCAAGACACCCTTCGTACTGAATCAGAATTGACAAACCAGTGCATGAAAAAGTTGGCACTAGTTTACAACCGACGACTAAAGAAGCTAGAGTGTGCTCCCTTGTGGCATGCAGCCCTGCAACAAGTAGGACGTGACCTGTCTTTAGATGTCAATGAAACTACTGCGTGACTTGTTCTTTACTGAAGCTTGCGCTCTTTCAAAATAAATGTAAACACCTTGCGAGGGCCATGTATACTTTGAAGCAATCATAATGTTTGGTGTCATTCGTGCTATGCCGAGAGGCACTCGTAGACTCCAATTGACCGCCAAGCAGGGTCATAACTTCTACAAAGGTAGAATTTAGATTCACAAGTGACAATTTAAAAGTACATGAGCTCAATACGCCTTTGACATGTCATTAGGTACTGGATCCGGTGCCATGGGTCGTCACACTAAGCAGGGTGGATATAAAGTTGACTGGTCAAAGGTCCGCACCTTCGTTGTTCCTGATCTCCAGAACTTTTCGGTATGTTTTGTATTTGTATTTAGCGAATGAACTCTATAAATCTGACTTTTAGTGGATGTAGTTGGGTCCCTATGTTTCCCGCAAGACTCCTTTTATGAAGAAGAGTGAATTGTAAAGAACAACAACAACAATAACAATAACAACAAATGACCATGTATAATAGCAATCCTCCTGTTCAATAGGAAAGAAAGAAAAAGAAGAAGTAGAAAATCAATCCAATGTCAATATTAAATAAAGCTTCATCTACAAGATCAAGTTATCTATAAAAACTATGATTGACTATTAGCCTTTATTTTCAGACTAATTAAATTTGGGTGGGCGGAAAGAAAACAAAGGGAAATAAATATAGAGAGTAAGGAAATGAGAGAAAGTATACGAGTGTGAGTGTGTGTATATTGAGCTACATAATAGTATGAGGCAGTCTTGTCTTGTTTAACAGGTCCCATTCATGCACCTTTAATATGTAACAAGCCACCTTGAGCCGGAGCTGAAACTACAAAACCTAACTTGCCATTCGCATGTGTTTATGTTGCATCGATCATGACACGTTATACCAAATTAGAAAGAAAGAAGCACGACAACCCTGCAACGGGTGCATTCGATGTAAAACCCCTTCTTCCCAAAAAGCCTACTGAAGGTGGTGGTTCCGGATATCAAGGCAGAGGAGAGAAGAGAAAGCCATGTAAACCAAATAGAATTTTTTCTTAAAAAATAAATAAAATGAAATAAAAAGATCTAAGATTCTTACATGTCGGTATATATTAGACGGCCGAGTCGAAAAAAACACTAATGAGAATGACAAGCGCAAGAAACGTAGAGATCTTAGAAAGGAAAAGGGCACCGTAAGTAATTTACAAAACACAGAATCTCGGTAACTTGAACAAACATTGTTTTGATTTTTTTTTAGGTTTGCTTCGGATGCCGAAAGACAGGTCATTCCGTTGGCAACTGCCCTGAGGCCAAGCAGAGTGGTCAGGGTATTTGCTACAATTGCGGTACTACTGAACATTCTTTGAAGAACTGCAAGAAGCCTAGAAAAGGAAGTAAGTGCTAGAGTACATAATTACTTGCAGCTTGGCTAACTATTATGCTTAGACGAGTTGCCTTTTGCAAAGTGTTTTGTTTGCAAGGCACAGGGTCATTTGTCTGGACAGTGCCCGGAAAACTCAAAGGGACTTTATCCAAATGGTGGTGGATGTCGTTTCTGTGGAAAGGTCGACCATTTGGCTAAGGATTGTGGTACCACAAAAGAAGAAGCTGGTACTACCGTAGTAGGCAAAATTAATCTGGATCAAGGTGCCGATGATGATGATTATCACATCTTTGTGAATGAGAAGCAAAAGGTCACTGAGGAGGTTAAAGAAGAAAAGAAGTTGATCAGAGAGGTCAAGGCGGTCATGAAGCAGTCAAGAAAGGTGGTTAAGTTCTGATTGAAACCACCTTTTTTGTTGTTGTTCTTGGACAGTAATTTTTCTATATAGAGATTGTAAAAAGAAAAGAAAAAATACAAGAAAATTAAAGAAACAATGGTTTGTACTGTAACGTATGTCAAAAAGAAAAACGATCGATGAAACAGCAGTGGTAGACACTGGGCTATCTTTGAAAGACTAAATTTATATCAGAGTCGAGGCAAAGTTTTAGCATAATATACAAGACAAAGGAATGAGAAAGAAAATGAAAATGAAAATAGTCAAGATTTAAACATACTAAAAACACATAATTAAAATAAAAGCTCTTTATAATTCATCAAAATCGTCGTCGTCGCCGTCGTCATCATTTTCATCATCTTCATCATCGCTTGCTTCATTATAAGCACCATCAGATGAATGGCGACTTCCCATTTCAGAATCATCCTCACTCTCGTCTTCTGAAGGGTCATCATCCTGAGGTCGTCCTGGCCTCGTTTCGGGATCAAGCTTCATACTTTCCATAGTGACGCTAGATTATTTAAGCATGTGTTTAATGCATGAAAGATATATCCCAAAAAAAGGCATCCAATCCAATTTCTCACCTCAAGTCATCCGCTAAGCTTGCTCCAGCCGAAGGGTAGGCTTTCTGTGATGGCTGCATACTTCTCATCATGTATGCTTCCTATAATAAGCGCTATGAATATCAGTTGGCGGTTTAAAGACTAGATTTAGTTTCACTTACTCTTGCCTGACTCTGTTGTGAGGCCTCCAATTCCATGGCTTCTTCTAGACTCATCAATTGGACTTTTGCCTAATGTATATGTCAGTATACTCTTTTAGCATTATATATACCTTTGTTAATTGTGGTAATAGTACTTACGTGGTGACCATTCTTATCAACAAGGCTCTCATTAGTAGAAGCTGAATTGATGCTTCCTTTTCTCAGCATATTTCCTGGAGTTGAATCACTCATTGCAGCTGCTTTACTGTTCACCATGTCAACAGCCTGTTGTCTCACATTGATTTTTTGTTCATTAAGATGAATATTCATCAATCTTCGTTCTACATTATCTTGCTCTTCCAGCCCACCATCTGTATAATTGCTACCGGTCACAGGAAGTGGACCAAGAATAGCATCAATACGCTCTACTGTTTCTTTCAGTTTAGCACCACCATCGGGCAATGTTGATAGGAGAGATCTATTAGAAAATAACAGAACCGATTAGTAAATGATCAGCAAATTTCTGCTATTGTTCTGGGATTGTAAACCTACGGGTTGCTCAGCATTCGCTTATTATTGTCGCGTAGATCTTGGAGTTCATTAGGAGACATATTGCTTAGTTTTCGAGTAATGTTAGCAGACATTCCATCCATCATTCGATCAGGACGCCCTCCATTTCCAGAGTTTGCCCAATCTTTGGCGATGCGTAGTGATGTTGAAAAATCTTTGGTGTTCATTGTTACAGATTAAGTGAGTTTAACCTTTGAATTCTGCGCCTCAAAAAACGATTGAGAAAAAAAACGATCACGTGCATAACAGATCAGATTAATCCCTTGCAAAAGAACACCAATGTCAGGTATTGTACCAAGCTTTCGAACCTTTCTGGGGTGTTTTTCGGTGAGTTTATTAAGCCCTTGAGTCTACAATTATTTATTTAATGATATTTGACCCGAGTACTTGTACTAGTACAATGTATAATTATGCAGATAGACGCTAACTTAATGCTATTTTGACAAGCAGATTATTCTTTTTTTTTTTTAAAAAAAAAAAAGAATAAAGTCTTTCCCAGTAGTTTATATATACTAGATTTCCTGTGATTCTTGTGATTTTCTCATACTAAGTTTCGATTACTACGTCTATGATATCTATACACAGAACCTACGATATCTATCAAAAATAAAGTGCATTAGGTTGAATACATAGTAAACCTATTTGAGTCTCCGCATTTATTCTCTAACTTGGTGCAGCTACTGGCATGAAAGAAACTGTGCAAGACTGTTAGTTCTGTGCTACTTAACTTTTCGTACGCTTTTTTTAGCAGACAAGATATATACTGCTCTTAGAAAACAATAATCTGTTTCAAGATTTCAAAAAGCTTATATGGTTTTCCCCAATGTTCCTAATTTCCAAAAAAAAAAAACACGGGATTCAATCCTTATAACTCTACAGAAAACACTCTTTTGGTATTTGGTAGCAGTACTTACAAGAGTAATTATGATAATATAGCTGTTGAACATGGTGAACCTGAAATGTTTATTGGTATCGTTATGTTTCTTTAACTTCCCCCCAGTAATCGCACACTTTCTTCTTCTCAAACGATATTTTTGTTTGTTTCACATCAATGTTATTCTCTAAAATACTTATAGACTTGTATAGATTTCTCTCGAAAACTGTTAAATATTAAATATAATTCATCTACAAAAAATCCAAATTCGTTGAAATCTCAAGGAAAAACACTGTAGTTGGTGTTGACTGTACTCAATGATACTTTACAGCCAGGTTTTATTGAGACATTTTCAAACCATTTAAACTGTATCTACACAAATAGATATATCACTAGAAGCATAAATACTCAATTATATCAACACTTGAATTTTGTATTTTAATGCCACTTTATAATTTGGTATTCATTTTGGAGATATGCGAGGTAGACCAGCGCTCCCATAAGAACTGTTTAACTAAAAGATAACTACGCTCAAAAAGAAAGAGAAATCTGTTCGTCTAGGTTTATTTAAATATTTTATCCTTATAAAGTAAAAAAAAAAATCCATATAAATATTGAAAGCTTTGATTCAAATAAAGTAGCAATAATAGCACCGGCATGGTTGAAGCAAGTTTTTTCTTAGCTTTACAATTAATTTATGACTAGATTTTACCAAAAAGTATACTCTAAAACACTATTGAAAATAAGCAGCATTCGTATTACAGTACATACCTCAACGGCCTCTTCGTAATTTACAAACCTTAAAGTTATTTGGTATATTTCATTGGTTATATGGATTACTTGCTGTAGTTCATTGTGTACGTGATAATGAGCTATTACAACTTTATTAAAATTCTGAAATGGATATCTTGCTTTTGTTTTTTTATTTGACTATATATTTTCTTTTACTCGAAACCTTGAAACGATATGGTCAATACTATTCTGGCAGTATGTGTGTGCAATATTGTGACAGAGAGTTTGAGGATGCACCAGGAAAGGTGTACCTTTCAAAATAGCTATACCAAAGAAGGATTTCGCTATCATACATCGGTATCAAATGGCCATGTGTATATAATTGTTTGGTTTCCAACGATGGTCTGAACAAATATTTCGGTTTGACCAAAATACATAATCGTCTTAACAGGGATTATATCTCCATTTTTTGCGCAAGGAAGACACTTTGTGATGATAGGAAAATGGGCAGCCTTATGTACACCAGGAGAATCTGTATAGCGTGGAGGTATACCATCACCATCATAAACATAGAGATCTGCCAGTGTGAGAACTTATGGTTAGATACTTGGACTGCTTTTGATTATTTATACAATACATACCTGAATTTGATTGATTCGGGTAGAATATATAAAAATCTTGAGATATACACTCATCCGCAATAACAATATCACCTTTTCTGATATACACTTGAAAGCAATTGATGGCTCGGACTGAGCCATCTACCTTTGTAACTTTTCTTTCAGGTATATCTAGAGCTGGATTATATACCGCGTCTGTGCATATACCGTACGTGCGTCGTGCAATCCGCTGAGTTAAGGCCATACAATACAGCACCCCGAGTTACGGCCATTTCACCACGATTAGGCGCAGCTATAGATACTACCTTGCTCACAAACTTTTCTTTGATGCGCTTTAACAAATATTTTGATTGACCAAATCCTCCCACCAAGAAAATTGTGCTTATGTTCAAGGCTTTTCTCAATTGCCCAGATATCAACTCGAATACTTGCTCAACCACAGGGTCAAAAACTTTTTCTCGAAGTTCCTCCATTGCTATATGTAGTGATCCATCAACCACATCCATAGCTGCTAATTCAGAGGCACTAATATTCATTAATTGTGGTAGTGGAAAGTACGCGTCTTCACCATCTTCGAACTCTGGCTAATAAATCTATATGTTTTAGAACGCAATTCCAAATCTTGTGTACTTTAAAGTCATTACCTTGGCTGTAGTTACAAAGTACTTTATCAGGTTATCAATCGCAGCTTTGTTTTCGTTTGCATGATGACCCAATCGACTCATCAGTATATTCCGCATATTTAAATCCAAAAAGGTTGAACCACATGATTTCCCTGATCCTTTTGTAATTTCTTTGAGAGTCATCGTACTTCTATCTTGGCTGTGCTCAAATACAATCAAGCCAACTGTCCCACCACCAGCATCGCATATCATGAACCGATCTCCACTACCAAGTTTAAATTGCTTTGATTGTTTGTCACAGAAAAGAGATGCAGCTTCGGGCTCACCAGTCAGCACAAGCCTAGATGGGTGATTACTCTGTGATATGATACCAGCTTGAATTGCCGCCCTTCTCATAATTGCTTTAGCAGAATCGTCCCACGCAGCTGGGACTGTGAGAGAGTATTTAAATCTTGTGGGATCATAGACTGCCCCGAGAGTACTATTAAGCTCAGAAAGAATGTATTTATGGAATAACCTAAGGTAGTCAGAAATAACTATACGATAATGTGAGACATAATTAATTCTCCTGACTCAATATTTTACACACCTTTTACAGAAGTAAGTCCATTCAGAAGAATTATTGAATCTCTAATTTCAGGGTCCAGGCACAACTTGAATCTATCTACCAGGATCCCTTTACAACCTGGAAGCAAAGCCTTGCGCTGAGCGTCATATCCCCACGCAATAACAGTAGTATCGATTTTGTCGTAAAGTAATAATGTTGGTGCTTTGGGATATGTATTACCATTTGCTTTTGGCTTATCAAGTGATATACAAAAGACTGATTTTAAGGCAGAGTTCTTATATCATGTGATCTTGCTGATTCTCTAGTTTTTTAAAGAAGAAAGAATAAGAAAAGATATCCAAAAACAGGATTTGAATTGAAATACAATTAATAAATGATAACTTACATTCTGGGGGGATGGCTATAGATAAATTTTTGATGCCCTAGTAATAAAATTATTAAAGAGTACAATTATGCTTACCTTCCTATTTTATTATATACATATAAAAGAAAAGAGGTGTTTCAAATACAAATGAAAATGTGGGATATATTTTGTTTCCTTCAAGAGGTTCTACAGCTGTCAGATGGCATGCCACAATTTTGTTAAGCTCATCCAAAATACACATCACTATTGGATTTAGTGTTTATAATAGTTTAAATAAAAGAGATTTGAGAGACGGAGGATTAAAGAGAGACATTTGGTAGTGGTAGGTTTATTAAAGAGAAAGTAAGGGTTAATATCGGTTAAGATGTTATCCTAACTATGAAAACTACGCCTCTTCTATAGAACTTCTTCTACGCTTAGGTCTGTATTTACCATTGGTTTCTAAGATTAACCCTGCGTTCTTCATAGGACTTGTTTTATATATAAAAAATACGACTGTCAAATACAACAGTTACCGATATTATATTACTATTTGTCTTGAGAATACTAAAATAAATGTAAGATCCACAAACGCATGTATACCTGCTTAGGAGTGAAAAATTGGGAAAGGAAAAGACAAAACATGACCTAGGTTATTGGAGATACAAGTCGCATACTATTGCTTGTCACTATTTATATTTACATTATATAAACATATATATATAGCTTTAAAAAGATATCCAAGCGATAAAGTTTGTGCTCGGAGGTGTGCCGGAAAATCGATGAGCTCTAAGCTCGACATAATAGGCCATTTATTTTGCTTGGTACAACACAAGAAGAGTCCTTTCGTAGCCTGTGCAATGTGTTGTATTGGTAGTTTTTTTTTGGAATTGTGTTCTGTACCTATAAATCCTATCTCACTAAGCATAAAAAATAAAACAAAAAATGACTCATCATAACAAAGTAGCGCTTGAGTAAATATGAGTAAGAAGCGGCGACTTTAGATTCATCTGAACAACGAACATCCAAGTCTTAAGAAAAGAAATAGAAAATAGATGGTAAAAATAGTTATCTGGTCAGGACCACTTCCTTTTTTGATAAAAACACTAATATGAAGGTTGCCTTTACTGATAGTATCAATATACAAAGCATAACACTCAAAATAATTTATACTTTCATAAAAAAATAGACTTTTAAATCAACCATTATAATCATATTTGTTCGAATCAACATCTTGATTTTGTCAGCCATTTACGCTTGTAACACTGCATTGATGTAATGTTGACTATTTCAGCTTTATTTCCAGTGAGCTTGTACAGCTACATATTATATACTAGGGGAGTGCAACAGCCTTAAAGGGTTTTTTTTCCTATAGGTTTTTATGCTTTCAGTTTAATTTAGACCAATCACATCTTTATTTTATATTCAGACATACAAATCTAAAAGCCTATAATACTGTTCAGTTTCCCTATTGTTAATAGCTTTAAGATGTCTGTCGATTCTACTAGTGATTTCTTTACAGTCCTTTGTAAATGTTATTTCTCTCAAAGAATAAACAAAATAGCACCATAGGGATTATCGCTAATTTCTTATATCTAGAGTTTTTTGAGAAATACTCTTATAATATTTTTTGTCTATATTTTTGCATCTTAGAAAATTACATCTCAATTTTGTGTATTTCAATCAAGATGAATTTTCGCCAAGTGAACAGCCAACTCATTCTTCCTGAAACCTGTTATCTTTATCTCTTAATCATAAATCATGCTTTTAAAGCGAAAGAGAATAGGAAAATATATAAAATTAAGATGGTGTATCAAGAAGAATCAATAAACTTTCTACAGATTTTCATCACTTTCGACGATGGGAGCCGTATTAAAAATACAGTGTACGAAATGGTAGCAAAACAAATATTACCGTACAAGGCATTAACTTGCTTTTTTTTACCAAGTAATTCTTCCACATTGCTGTGGTCCAGTGGCCCATATCTCTGAGTTTTCATCTACTAATTTCACAAATATATTCACCCATGCTTCTTGGCGTATATTCTGAATTTCACCAAGAGGAGAGAATACATCTGGTGTCAGATTAGGCTCAGGAAGACTTAATAGTCCTGTACATGAGAAATAAGAGTTGACCACATCAGTTGTATACACTGTTGGAGATTGTAAGAGGATAGACTAGAGATGTATGTTTTGTTAATACTATTAATCTGGATTGTAGATAAGTTAGAATACCTCGCTAGCTTCATCAGACAAGGCTTGTAGAGGATCTGCAAATATCATCCCAACCCCAAGGCGATCATCCAAATGAACAATCTTCTCTCTGGTCACAAAGCACACGATTGCAGCTTTCTTGATAACTTTGAAAGCTTCTGTAGAATTGTAGGTTATTAATATCAGTTTCTCGAAGCTAAAAACCAAAAACCAAAAACTATCGGCCTACTCTTTTGTGGCGGAAATTTAACAAGCCCTTCTAGTTTGATAACTAGATCTTCCCGAGGTTGAAGTGTAATCGGATTCTTCTCGCTCAGTAAAGGATCAGTCGTAAGTTGTATTGTCACATTTCTTTGATTTGTGAAAAAGGACCTCGGAAGAATCAATGGCCATTGAAGCAAAGTTTTACTAAACCGTTGGATATCAGCTTTACATTTCTATGACATAAATAATAAAGCTTTCCACAATTAGACATCATATCCTTTGAAACTACCTCTCTTAGACTTACATCTTGATGACCTTCTATCATGTTTGACTCTTCCCAATCCACTGTTTTCCTTAAAAATTCAGCACATGTCCTTTTAAGTGCCGTATGATTCGTTAAGGATGGTAGGATATTTGACTGATTATTTACAGTATTCAAGAGGGGTATGAGGGATGGGTCTATGCAGAAAAACAGCATCCTATAATATATTGTGTTTGTTATATTGCCATTTTCACAAAGGTTTTCTTACCCTGATTTCAAATAAGTGCGAGCAGCATGTTCACAAACCAATGAGCATATCTTATAAGATTCAATTACGTCTAAAGCTTCTTGATCGATTCCGTAAAATGATTGTGCAGTAAAGTCATAACGGAAAGCAAGTTTTCTGAACCGAATAGCACATGATTGCATCTATAGATGAGTTAGATTTAATATAAAGTATTTGTAACTTACAAATTTGGCGAGTTTTCTATCATTGGAGCAGTGTGTTGAATTTGGTTGGAGCTGATCCAATACGACTGTCATGAATTGTATTGCGTTGACCATCTCCATTCGTAGCTGAACAAACCAGGTTTGTAAAAGTAGTGGTTGGTCCAACGCCTGAAAAGCTTTTAATTGGTTGATGACTGCAAGATATTGATTTGTGGCAGCAGAAAGGTGCCCTTCAACTTGTATATCATTCCTTAAAAGTTTCCACTCCGCTTCAGCTAGGGTCGAGAGAGCAGAAAGCCAATACCGGGATGCTTCCGATTCGGCCTAAGGACCAACCATTTAGTTTTTAACGAATTAAGTCGAACGTTCCCCTTTTATTACCTTTCGAGTAAGATCCCGGATGGCACAGTGCATGACCTGATACCAACCGTACACGCCAGCCTCTTTACCTACGAGGTACAAATACCACGCGTTTCTTGTACATACACCGGCTTGTTCATCCCAGTAACCAAATTCACGTAATAATCTTACAATTGACTCGGATATATGATCTTTCTCAATCGAATGTTTTCTTGTTGTTCGAAACAAAAGCCGCATCAAATTGACCTACACACACATATTAAGGACCGTGGTTTTACTAAATATCTAAAAACTTACAAATACAAGAGGATTCTCATGATGACTTTTCAAACCATCAATAATTGCATAAGGCAGCCACTGAGAAAGGTTTTTACATTTGCATGAAATAGAAGATAAATAGGGCAATAATATTGAGGACATGGCATCTAAATAGTTTTTTTAAAAGGTAGGTATGGTATTAGTAAAGGAGTTGGAGTAGCTTCATCATATAAGCTGTACTTGCCATTGGCAACTGTCATAACTTGAAAAGCTTCTCGAAATGAAGTCTCACAATCCCAATCAACTAAAAGCAAGCAAAGTCGTGCTTTTACTTTGAGTATTTCACATAGCTGTAATAAGCAATTTTGTGGTAAGAATATTTTTAATGTGCAGATCATAATAAGGAAATAATAGCATAGATTATCGAGAAAGATAAAAACATAAGCGCGCATATCAGATCCTACCTGCCATCTGGCTGCCTTGTTCAAGAAACCTGTCTCATTTACAACACTCAGGTCGACACAACTGACATGTTTAACCACATTTGTTCCTAGCTGACCCATCCGAGCTTTTATATCATTATCTATATCCATATCCTCTTCAGATGTATTCTTGGTTAAAGAAATCTCAACAACAGATGTCAAGAGACGAGCACATGCAATGGCAAGGGTGTATCGTCCGCACTTTAATGCCTCTACCAGTCTGTTTTCGCATATGTCTAAAGAGTTTAGGAATGTATGTCTGTATATATAGTCTTCATTCTGCAACAGTAGACGAGCGATTAGCTGACGGTGAGTATATATAAGTGCTTGTGAACATTTGTAGGCTCTTTGCTGAAGCCTTGGGCTGACGTTCATTTTGGAGACAATGTCAAGTAATTTCTAAGGGTATGTTGATAACGGTAAGAATGAGACAGTTCACTGGCTTGGTAATTGTCTCTTTTTTTTTCATACCGCCATATGAGAAGTGTCAAATATTATATCATTCCTTCCCAGAAGAACTAAATCGTACAAAAGGCTGAAGCACACAGCCTCTCTTTTATCTTTGAGAGCATACTCCAAAAGGCGGTCGATCTATAAGATAAGCTATTAAGTAAAATATCTAAGTAGAATAGTTTGTTTCCGCTTATCATATACCTGCTCCCTCATATCAATACGAGCTTCACTGAGTAAAATGGTAAGTGTTCGCAGGGTCTCTATAACAAACTTTTCATCGTCGGCAAACTTATCCAAGAAGCCTAAACATGTTTCTTTTGTCTATGGCCAGTAACTTGTTAGCCTTTCCCCCCCTTTATCTTCAAAACCCATATTCAATTCTATTACCTGTCTGGCCATACTAATATCTCGGTGCATGTGTCGAAATATTCTAACAAGCTTTAACCTGGTATGAGGCGAAGTTTTTGGATCTTTTATAAAATGTTAGATCTAATGTGACGGTAAATATATGAACACATTGTTAATATCTCACTTTCTAATTCGGCCACCACCTTTGAATAAATCACAGCAGGGAATCGTTGGGATCGTGCACATATCCGATCGACCGCCCAAATAGCAGCCTCAACTTCAACACGATCAGTTGCCTGCTCCAACCTTTGTACAAGACTTTGGGAAAAAATTAGGTCTAGAATATCATTATTTTTCAACTGAATAAATCTTACCTAAAGTGTACATCTAGCTTTTCTGCGATAATCATAGACATACAGCCAAGCACACTAATCTCAATAAACCTTGTTAGACTATGTTTTGAGTTAAGTTTTTTTTTCTTACCGGAGTGCAATAGATCGGGCGGTTGGATCGTTACTATCTAGAACTCCCAGTATACGTCTTGCTGTTTCTTCAACATTAAGAACTTTAGCCAAGTGAAGGTCAGAAGCTTGCTTAAACACTTGATATATATGAAATTTTACGATGTTATTGCTAATCAAAATGTCAGCTTACGCCTCGAAAGGATACATTCGTGGTTGATAATCACCTTATTCTAAACCAATCAGCAAGTTTTAGAATTGCAGCATTTATAATGACAGGATAAGAGTATTTTTGAAATATTTTAGAGAACATGGCTAGCGCATTGATCTGGGATCCCTGAATGCTTAGGACAACACCGCGTGGTTTAGCATTAAAGCATGCTTCTAGTTCCAAGAGTGCTTTGTGGCCTTCTATTTGCTCTCGTGCAGTTAACTCGGCCATCTTGTAATTTACGACAAATGACCTTGACAATTTGCCTCCAAACAAAATGAGAGCTTCGTGTTGGCGTTATGCCATAGTTTTAGTCTCCGCCAGAGTCAGTGGGTGGCTAAGTTGAAGTAGAAGGGTGAGTTGACCTTGAAGAGGAAAACCAATAGCAGGAAGTATGTCTACGCTCTTTCAAAAAAAAATCAAGCCTATTTAAATATTGTAAAGGTTCTTTCTCTTCAATGTCTAATCATGTGGGATCCAGTATTTGCATCTTCATTAGCTGGATATGCGTCATTTGCATGCTGGGTCATTGTGTTTGCACCGTGCGTTTTTGTACTTAATTATATCGATTTGTAAAACTCAATTGTTGGCCTATAGACAATTATTTATAAACTATAAACGAAAGAATGGAGACGGCTTGTCAATGACATTTCTAGTTATCTGGCTTGCAGGGGACCTATTTAATCTGGCTGGCGTTGTTATGCAGGATTTGCTAGTAACCATGGTGAGTTGTGTCACCTTTGTGTACTCTAACTGAGCTATACACTCAATTATACGATAGTTTATTTTGGCCTTGTGGTATACTGTGGCCGATATGGGGCTTATCTGGCAGGTAGTTCATTACCGAAAGATCAATAAGCGACTACGAGAAGAAGTTGTGGTAGACACGGATACTGACGATCTTCAAACGTGTGGCTCACGAGAAGAGCGCATGAGTACGGAGACAGACCCATTGATTGAACAGACAGGTTCAATTTCTCGCTTTATCGAGAGTTTATCGATTGAGGAAAAAGAAATTTCAACTACAGTATTGAACCTGGTTGGAGGTTCTTCTGTCATATTGTTGATTCTAGGATCGTGTTATGCCTATTATTCCGTGCATCTAAAGACGCCAAAAGATCCCGAAGATGGGATGCCTGAACAAATGTTGAGCGTCTTTCCACAAATTCTGGGTTGGCTTAGTGCTATATTGTACGTTGGAAGTCGAATCCCTCAGATAATTAAGAATACGAAAAAGAAGAGCACAGATGGATTAAGTTTGGGAATGTTTATGTGTGCCGTAATGGGGAACGTCTTTTTCACCTTGGTAATATTAACAGTAGCATGATCAACGGCTGTGTCTAACATGTATTAAAAATAGTCTATATTTCTGCGCTCTACCGATCGACATTACTTGCTTATCAATTTGCCATGGATCATAGGAAGTTCTGGCACACTAGTATTTGACTTTATGGTATGTACATACGTGTGATTGATTATGATTCTTATCCAGCCTACTTTTCTTAGATTTTTCTTCAATTTTTTATATTTAAGAAAAAGGAGAACTATCGGCTTGACTAGGTTAAAAAAAAGCTACCCACCAAACTGGACTATCTTCCCGTTAGTATTTAGTAAACAACGTCTTTGTTTTTTATTAATATCTTTAAATTATCCTACCGGGAAACCGATATTAAATTATATAATATAGTGTAATATAGTACAATATATATATTCTACCGGCCAGAAGGTCTAGTTCTATCTATACATTTCAATAACAAGCAAACTAGCTCTAATCCCTAAGATGCCTCGGAATATTATTTTTCCATGGAATTAATTCTTAAATAAATAAGCTGCTGTAATAGTTTATTCGTTTTTTTTTGCTTTTACTTCCTTCTTTGTTATGTATTTACATAGTATACTTCTTTTACTTGTATTTTTCTGTGTATCTCCGATTTTTTGCCGCATAGCTATATGTACTCTTGACAACCAGATTTATCCCCCTGGAACTATACATGCTCCATGCTATGAATCAAAATGGAAAAATATCATAACTTTTGGAAATTCGTGGACAGAAAATGGGTTGGATATATTTCTCTCTAGAACTAAGACTCTTCGACTTATTTTTCCTTTCTTTCTAGTTACGCTCATCTTACTAGAGAATCTTATATTGCTGGGGATTATGTAGGCAATAGAATATCAATCATAATTTTCAAAAGACACTTAATATTATGTGGTGTTTAGTTGGGCCGAATGACAAATGGACCTACCTGGGCCGAATATCTCTCAAAGCTTCTTGGATCTGATCTATACAATTTTGCTTTTTCCGGTGCAACAGCTAATAACGTAAGGATGACGAGAGATATTTTTGACTTTAAATATATTTACGTATTGATGTAACAGAGCGTTGTATATCGAACTACTGCCGATGTAAGCGAACAAATCTATATGTTTCAGCAAACTCTTAGGAACCAAAAGCTGGATCCCCAAGAATCGATATATATGCTCTGGACAGGTAATTTAGATCAAAGAATCTTAATGAGACCAAATTTCTGATTCTAGCATAATTTTTCTCCTTGTACGACACATTAGGAGTAAATGATGTCCATGATATATTTGTAGCAAGCAAAGATAAAGGGATTGAACCTGAATCAGCAATCGACCGTGTTATTTCTTCTGTTTACAATGAGCTGGTAATACAATTTAATGCCAGGATGACATTTTGCTTAAAAATCTATAGGAGAGGCTCTTTACCTTCTCAAATGCATGCAATTTTGGCATAATGGGCCTGGCTCCTATTGATAGATTACCGCTCTTTGATGACCTTTCGAGTGATGAAAAGTCTGATCTCCGGGATCTGATAAAATTATACAATTATAATATGCAAAATATGATCAAACAATTCATCCATGACCACACTTCTGCAAAACGGAGAAAACGACAATACGCAGCTTCAAATACCGGGCAAGTGAAGATTTATTTCTTTGATAGCCATAATTTATTTCAAACATTTTTTGAAAAGCCTGATGAGCAGGACTTGTGGGTCTTGGATAAGATGTGTCAATCAGAAAACTCAACACAGTGCCGAGTACCGGATAGGTAATTCTATATTCTTTTTTTTTTGTTCTTGTAACTAACTATTGATTTAGGTATCTCTGGTGGGATACTTGGCACCCTACAACTGCTGCACATAAAATCATTGCAAATGGCGTTTCCGATCTAATTACCCTTTAGTATCACATTTGTACATGCTATAATCTGAATATTTAATTATTTAGATAATATATATAGATATAATATTGTTTCCAATATTTATAACTTTCTTTTAGTCGTTCAATTCCTACCCATACAATATATTAACTATTTTCTTTTCTTTAAATTGGGCGATTATTATGAGCTAAACGTCCTTTAACAAGGGCACCATTTTATCACTCTACATAAATATAATACGCATAACATGAGACTGACATGTGCGAGAAGACATAAGAAGATAGAAATAGAATATAAGAGAAGTTAAAAAAAATGACTATCTGTGATTTTTGTACTAGTTGAAGACCACACGCAGTATCATAGCTTCTATGGTAAGTCTTTTAGCTGCGGTCTTTTGCTCAGCAACGGGAGTCTTCTTCTTGGTGTTGCTCACTTCACTACTGCGGTGGAATTTATTGCTTATGATTGGCGAGAATTGTGGCTGAGTGTCAATATCACCCCGCCCTTGACAAAACGGCATTATAAAAGTACATAATCCATACTCATTTGACTCCTTACTCACCTATTCTTTTTTATAATTCAAATCGTAATGCCAACTATTGCCTTTAATTTCTTAGGTAGGCATAACTGTTTGTAAACAAATATTGATATTTTGCGTTAGGAACCCTCTTCTCTTTTGACAGAGTGATTGACCAACTTGAAGCGACATTTCCTGAAGATCTACCATCTCAGAAACAAGCAAGAATATTCTATTATGCATGGCTGTGGGCCGGGATACGCGATTACTTTGGCACATCTCATGCAGGCCGCTATAATTCCTTGTTGTCGATATTGCGAGCTACTTTAACACGAGCTAGATTAGTGCAGGACATGGAGGCTCCAACTAATGAAGAGATTGATCAAATCATGGCAGCTTTCGATGATCTTCTACCAATGGCCACAGCTCTTGAATGTTTTGAGCTCTTGCGAGAAAATAACTGGGATATTTGGATTCTCACGAATGGGTCTTATTCTAGTACAGAGACGTTGTTAAAGAAACATGGTCTAGATACATTTGTTGGTGATAATATTCTGAGCTGTGATGATCTAAAAATTTCAAAACCTCATCCAAAGGTATACTCTGAATTCATGCGATCCGCAGTTCATAAGACAAAGCGAATTGAGGTAAGATGATTCTATGGCTTTGAGTACTTTGAATCAATTTCTTACCCGTAAATTTAGAACTTTTATTTAATTGCAGCGCATGCTTGGGATCTTGCAGGAGCTAAGAACGTGTCTGTACGGACAGTTTATCTAACAACAGAAGAGAAGGTTTATAGTGCAGATGCCTATGATGGTACATATCCGGATATTCAGTCGGATTCTTTGATTAAATGTGTAAAAGCAATGATAGAATTAGAAAATACAAAAAGACGTTTTCTGTAATCGACCCTTTTCTATCTCTTTCGAATGTTCTTGTGAGGTGCCTTCCATTTTATATTTGTCTTGAACACACAACCATCCTCCCACATTTTCCTTCCAATTGCCACTAGATTTCGAGAATCGTCGAGACCGGAATGTTCACGACCCTCAAATTTCATGTCAAGAGCTTCTAGCATTGCTCCAATATTCTTGTTTACGGGATAATTATAAAATTCGCGGAATAGTTTGCGAATATTAATCCATGGTGTAGAAAAATAGGCTGGGCGTTTCTTGAGATTACTGTGCTTGCATTGTTTTGTGATAAAGTCTCTAATATCAAACGGACCATCTATTACAATCAGTTAGTAAGACATCTCTTGAATGTATATATATATACATAAATTACCTGTTACAAACACAGCAGATTTTTTCTGAAATAATGACCATTTGCCAAGAAATTCTTGAAAATCATCGAGAACGTCAATAAAACAAGGGCTGTTATCCACTGTAGCCTTCATAACAGTTAGATATGTACAGTAAAAATTTAGTACAGACTTACTTGGTCAATGCCAGTCAATTCAAGGCAAAATTTTGTTAGCGTAGGATTGATTGTTGGTTTTACATAGGATCGATATTCATCTACCTATAATTGATTAACACGGATACAATTTGATATATTACATTACATTAGCTTACTATTTTAAAGGTGTTTGCATCCACTAGCACAACAGGGAACTCTATGATTTCATTAGGAAACTCGAAGCCACCGTTAACCTCGCACGTCGCCTCAACGTCAAAGAAAAGATAATAATCATACAGAGGCAGTTTTGTCTTGATGTCTTGTTTTCTGTTTAATATAAATAAGAAGATAAATAGATAAACACGACTAAATGGTTCATTACGTCTCTGGCAATTCAACCTTGACAGGTTCTAATGACTCATTTTTGTTGACATTCTGCTTGGTTGCCTTGCGCAAACGCTTCTTTAACTCTGGTTTGTGCCCACGCGAGTCGAGCCCGAGCTCTTCGAGCGCTTTTCTAAGACTATCAACTGTGGTTGGTTTTGGACTGTCTGACATTGCACTTTAAATAAAATAGTAATCTCTGAAGTGGTTATATTGTTTTTGTTTTATTATTTTTATTTTTATTATTGGCATTTAAAGAAAACCATTTTTGCCAAGTTGTGATCCCGATAAATCCTAAAATGGATGTATTTTCTCAACTCTGGTTAATATCCTTGGATGCAATTCTCTAATGCCATTTCATTCCACACGTCAATCTTCCAATCAACGGCAGCAGGATCGTGAACTAGAGACTGCATTCGAATTGGATGATTCAGATGACCGGTCTTTATTCAGCCATGACAGCGATGGGCACGGTGATGATGCATCTTTATTGTTGTCTGACCATGATGGCCAGACTCTACTCCCTGCCCATCATGCAAATGCATCAACCGCATCAGTATTTTCGTTTGAGACGATACCCATGATACCATTAACCCATAGTCAGATGCGAGCGCCTGAACTACAAAAGAAAGTGTCGATGCTAAATGGACTAGGTTTGGTAGTCGGCGCAATGATCGGGAGTGGGCTTTTTAGCTCGCCTGGTAAGAGAATATCTCTGTTGGATGAGATTTATTGCTAAATTTTGAATGGGTCCACATCGGTTACAGGTCCTATATTAGAAGCAATGCATGGCCCTGGTACGGCACTCATTGTGTGGCTAGTGTCTGGTCTGTTGGCACTCTCGGGTGCACTATGTTATGCAGAATTGGGTACTATGCTGCCTATGAATGGAGGTGAGGCTGTATACCTTGGACGTGCTTTTGGAAGCCTGGTGTCTTTTATGTTTGAGTTTGTCAGTATCATTGTTCAAAAGGTAACCACACGCCATACGGGTAATAATAAAGAAGGACTTACTTTTCTTTCTTTGCGTTGTAAATTTAGCCTGGAAGTCTTGCAATTGTCTGTATTGTGTTTGGTGAATATGTGTCGCGGATTATATTTCACGCCTACTTCTTTCAGATTCCACACGACTCTGATGCCGCCGTTGAGTTGGCAGATGCGGTTATTCCTATATACCTCCCGAAACTACTCGCTATATCTGCTCTTTTGATTGTCAGTTTGATCAATGGACTATCTATAAGAGCGGGAATTCTGGTTCAGGATGTACTGACTGTGGTAAAAGTGCTTACCGCTCTGGTGATTTCTATCACAGGTGTAGTTGTTTTGTCAAGGGGAACATATTGGTCCAGTAATGCCTTTCAAGGAGATCCTTTCAAAGATATTGATACCACAACATTTGGGCAATATGCTCTTGCACTGTACTCGGGTAAATATCAATAACCCTAAACACATCCCAAAACTGACTTGTACACAGGACTATGGGCATATGACGGTTGGAACAACCTCAACTATGTTTCTGGAGAGATGAAGAACCCTCATAAGGACCTTCCCCGTGTCATTATTTTTGGGATTCCTTTAGTTATTGTATGTTATTTGCTGGCAAATGTTGCTTATTTAGCTGCCTTGCGGCCAGAAGTGGTCATGCACACAAATACAGTGGCTATGGATTTTGGGAAAAAGGTGTTTGGGCCCGTGGGAGGAATATTATTTGCGGTTTGTGTTGCGTTGAGCTGTTTTGGTGTAAGTATATTTCAAGATTGAAACAAGCTTGCTAACTTTTTTCTCCTTGGGGCTATTAGACGGCCAATGCGAGCGTTTTTACTGGCGCACGCATTATATATGTATCTTCTAAACAGGGGCATTTACCGACATTCTTTGGAAAACTCAGCACTTGGACACAGACCCCCCTAATGGCTATTGTGCTGCAGGCTGTACTGACGAGCATAATGATTCTGCTCGGATCCTTCCGTGGTCTTGTCAACTTCTACTCGTTGTGTGCATGGATGTAAGGAGAAGCAAGTTAATCTGGGATCTTGAGATTTAATATGGATTTACAGTTTTTATTTCTTGGCCGTGTTATCTTTGCTTGTATTCCGTTACAAAGAGCCAGAACTAAAGAGACCGTATCGTGTTTGGCTAACAACACCCGTGCTTTTTTGCATTGTTGCTATGTTTCTGTGTACTATGCCATTTATTGAGGCACCTTTTGAGAGTCTTGCAGCAATTGGATTTGTAGTACTGGCAATTCCTATATGGTTACTGCAAGTCAAGTACAAGCAGAAATTGGCAGGATTGTGGGCAGGTAAAGTGTGGCATGGTAAAAACACTTGAGGGTTACTTAGATTATTTTCAGCCTTTTTAGATCGTGTCAGGGGCCGGCACCGAGGTTATAGTGGAATGGAGATGTCAGCAGCTGATGGACTATAGATTTTATTTTATTGTTTTTTTTTATAAAAAAACTTTTTGGTGTTGTCGATATTGTTTCCATCGCCATATAAAGAAGTACTTTTAATAGACTATATATTTATATAAGCTCGTATATCTTTGAGTATCGGTGGATTAAACATTGTATTCTCATCGAAAAACCTCCCTGTTGTATCCAGGCAAATTTGTGTGCAAATATTTGGTTTTTTTTGTTAAACTATGTTATAGAAAATCCTGTCGTACTAATGAAGCACTTTGAACAATCAATATTGCTGTCGTGTTGACATTTTCTTTATTTATTTATTTTTATTTATGAACGATAGCCAAGAGTACAAACATGTGTAACCAACATGTAGTATACTTCTCTCCTTGAGAATATATAGAATATCCTATTGTTGAATACTTCTTGAAATAGGATATTAAGACGGAAAAGTAGCTAAAAATGGAATAACGTTTTAGTATGTTTCACTAGACTCATCTTGCTGGCTCAAGAGCCTCTTGTGTGTCTGCATTGTTTCGTTGATCACTTTTTTAATCCAATAGTGCTCTGAGAGTGATAGGAGATGACTGCACCAAAGTTACACTATGAATAGTTTAATAAATAAAGAAACAGATCTTTTGGTATATTTTGTGCCTGTCTTGTATACACCCATTATCACATTTTTCTGTAAAATATCCCTGACTAAATACAGTACTACAGTTCATCGTTCCTCAGTAAGCCTTTTTTCTTTTCTTACAATGACCTGAAATGAACACTCCCTTTTGAAATGCATATCTATTACACTACTTTCTTCTATTACTTGTAAACCTTTATCTATCTTTTTCTTTCTTTCTTTCACCCGCATACATTCATTTTTATATACCCTACTTCCTATGCTCTGCAGACAATACTACAGTGCCAGGGATCTACCTCCTCTTCCGGGCACCCCGAAACCCAAAAGACTTCCAATCGAACCGGGCCAACTCAATAATATTACTTCTATTATCAACACACTTGAATGTACAGAGATAAAAAACCAACTCAATAGTGCTATAGAAGAAATTGCTGTCTTGTGGACACAAGAACATAATTTACTCTATAGCTCTCTTCAAAAGATGGAACAACAACACTCTACATTACAACGACTGATGAAAATACAAACAGAACGCTATGAAAAGGCTGTTCGTGAAATGCAATTCTACAGATCAAAACACGAAAGAATTTCGAGAGCATTTATGCACCTAAGACACCAACATCGAGAAGACCACTACAAGAAGATTAGAAGAAGAGGCTGTCAATCGCTTGATGATAGCATAATTGCTTACGATGGATGTCCCAAGTTATCCTCCAAATCTACTCAGGAAAAACAAGACAATCAATGTTTTTCATTATCATCTAATTACGGAAGTTTTGTCTTCAGTTCTAATACCTCAATCAATTCGTCTTACTCTTGCGAATCCAACTCTCGATCCAAATCCAAGACCCTCGAGAGTCATAAGAATAAAAATGATTTGGTTGATGACGATCACTTTGATATACTGTCCATTCTCTCGGACGATGCCAAACAATCTTCTCCAAACCAACCAAAACTTAACGAACCTGCTGACAATGAAATCCCAGATCAGAAAAAAGTCTCCCCTTCTTTATCTGACTCGGTTTGCGCGACAAAATTACCTCAATCTGATACACTGACATTTGCATGTGGAGAAGGTTTCTGGGAAAGTATTGCATTAAGAAAATATACAAAAGCTGAGATCAGTACCCTTATCAGGTAAGGCAAACCAAAATAATAATAGTAATAATAATAATAATGGATAATGGTTTTTTCTTTCTTGTTTTGGATGCATATACTTGCTTATTTATTTATTTAACTATAGTAATTATTTTCGTCGCGGTGGACTTCCTAATGTGGCTAATGTCTACCCAACAGTCCGGGACGTCAAGGAAGGCTACAGTTTAGTACACGCCCTAGTGGCCGTCAAGAATACACGCGCGCTCGAGCAAGTACTCGAGGCTGGTGCAAACACAAATGTATACCCTATGTCCTCAGTTCCTGAAGACCGGATATCTCCTCTGGTATTAGCAGCCAGTATTGGTTATTTAAACGGTGTCCGCTTGCTGGTCGAGCGAGGCAAAGCTGACATTATGCAAAGCGTTGGTCCCAACCAAGAAACAGCTTTGCATGCAGCAATCCGATGTGATTCGCTAGATATAATTATCTACCTCCTAAAGGTTTCCCGTTATGCTCTACTTGAAAAGCCAGACGAAGCTGGTGAGTAAATTTTGTCTTTTTTTTATTGTTGCCAGGATCTTTGTTCTCATAATCTCTCTTTAAATCCGTTGTCTTGTTTTGTGACATGATAGGTTCTACACCTCTTCATTATGCATGTATGTCCGGAAAGACACGTTTGGTAACCTTGTTGATCCGAGATTGCCGAGTCGATCCTAGTCCTCAGGACATCAAAGGAGAAACACCCCTACATTATGCTGTTCGTCATCAACGCCCCAAAGTAATCGCGCGACTAGTCGGCGAACTTGGGGTTTATCCCAATCCTTATATACTTAAGCAAGTCCCTACACCCCTTGATTTGGCCAGATCTGGCGGCCTCAAATCTATTTCAAGCTACCTCAAACAAAATGGTGCAAAGACTACAAAGGAAATGGAAAAGGCAATATCCGGTAATATTATCAGCAGCGGCAGCAGTAGCAGCAGTAGCAGCAGTGAGAGGAGCAAACCCAATTCAATCAAACAAAAGATTCTGTCAAATAAGCCATCGTTGGTATTGAAAAACAAATTTGGAGGCTTGCTTTCCGGATTATTATCTTAGTTATATTGCTTTGTTTCTTGTCTTGGTTTATTTATGACTTATGTAACATGTATATGTATATACATCCTATACTCCAGCTTATTATGCTGGACTTTTACATGGTTCGTGGCCCTTGAAGAATATCTTTGAGGTTGCCCTGTGCATCAGATGCTGCTCTTTCCCAATATTTTTGTGATTTCTCGAGCTGCTGGATAGACTCATCAGCACCTGCGACTGCATTTACATACTGAGACTTCATCTCAGAAAGTGGAGATTGGATGAACCTATTACTTTTACTTAATATCTTGTCATGTGCCAAAATTAGTAATTCTTACATTTTTCCTACTGGTTTGTATGTCTTTGTGTTTGAATCAAGAGCATCAAGTTCGCGACGTGTCAACTCGGCCATCTTGCGTTCTCTCTGCTTGGCTTGGATCTGACTCTTGACCTGGTTCACCTGTTGTGTACTGGAGATGTACTTTGCTTGGAGTTCCACAAAGACCTTTTTAATGGCATCATCGGCGACGGCAGACATGATGTAGATGAGCAAACGCTTTTTTTTTATATATAGTATATTTTTTTTCGACAGGTGTATTTTCTTTAGCCATTTTTGGAGACCCTTTTTGGGTTGCAGTCACGTGGTTTTAATAAGAAAAAAAAAAGCTCGAATGACTGGCATGAAATCCAAGTTTTATATGATTTTATCAATTCAAGGTTTAAATGCTTTCTGACGTTATCTGACTGCAGCTTAAGGATTAGAAATTAAAGAGACATATATTTCTGTCTATATAAAGAAGTGCTTTAGTTAAAAGAGTAAGGAAAAAAAGGAAAGCTAAATTTAGCAGAGATAACCTTTTGAGTAAAGGCACGTATCTACTCCTAATGTATTTTGTTATTTGGAAGAGTAGATGTTTCTCGAATCAACTAGGAGGCCAAAGATTACTAATATGGACTTCCTCTTTGTCATCGTTTTGTGCACAGACAGATAACGTAATCGACGTTAAAGACTTTACCCCTTGGTTTTTTTTTATATATTGAGAAAATAAAATAAAAATAAAAAGGTAATGTCGGCGAATGAATTAAGAAAGAATAAGCGTTGACATGTGCCGCACTTTCCTTTTCCTTACTTCTTCTTCTTCTTCTTTTTTGATCTCATGGAACTTCCAGACATTGGAAAGCAATGCACCTACGCTAGCTGCTCTCAGCTAGGTAAGAGCTACAACATTACTGTAACTTGATCTAATTGAGTCTTAGATTTTTTACCTTATACTTGCTATCATTGCAAGCACATTTACTGGTGAGTTTAAGAAAATCTAAATCTATACAATTGATTACTCATCCTCCATTAGCCAAGAACATTTCAAATTAGAGGATCATCAGTGCCCTAGCCTAAATGACCCTAGCTTGGATGTACGGTAAATACTATCTGTATGTACATAGTATTCGATATATTACTTATCATGTCCTTTATAAAGTGTTCCTACCTGTCCTATATGCGAGAAGCCTGTTTCTGTACCTAGAGGAGAGGATCCTAATATAAAGGTAATATAACTATATATATATGTGTGTGTGTGCTTGAGAATTTTCTATGATTTTTTTTTGGTGTACCTACATTTCGAGACTAACCCTTTATTACTATTGTTATTATTATGTGTATATAGGTTAATCAGCATATTCAAAATAACTGCGCCAGTCCAAAACCACTAGACAATACATGCAAACTCAAGGGCTGCAAGCAGAAATTATTGGTGCCAATGACCTGTTCCGATTGCAAGCTGTCATATTGTGTCAAGCATCGATTAGGGATTGATCACCAATGCCCAGGAAAACCAGCACCAACTTCCAGTCCTTCTGCCTTAGCTGCAATCCGGCGGGCAAATAAAGCAAAGCAATCAAAACCACATAGGACAAAAGCAGAAATAGAACAGAATAAACAAGAGATATCTCGGCTGCAAGCCAAGGCAAAAACAGGGGTAAAAAATAGAAGAATGTCAATATTAGTCGAACTCATTGTTTTTCTAATGGACACTGTTATTATTTATTTATTTTTCATATTATATATATATATATATCCATCAGCGCCTTGCGGAGAGTGAAGAGATTCGGCTGGCTACCCTCTTGTCGATGAAGGATCAGGGCAGCGACAAATGCATATTGAGCTAATCGAGAGGAAGGAACATATTTCTAGTAGAATGAAATTTGATCATGCTTGTCCCTCGCTTGTTCGGGATACAATCACTTGGCCTTGGTGCGTCAGGATCACCGGACGTACGGCTGTATTAGAGTCCATTCCGGGCACATGTTGTCGAATAACATCTGTATGATGCTGATGAGCAGAAGCATAAACTCCCAATCCAATATTCATATAAGCTGGCTGTTGAGTAATGCGTGATGGTGATAGTGGTTTTTGGGTTTGTTCTTCTGGTTGAGACCATAATGAGTACAAAAGTGCGTCTTCTTGTGTTGTGTCTGGTGTGGTTTGCCATTCTCGAGGATTTGACTTTGTGGTATTTGGAGTGGAACGTCTGGCCTGCAGATCGAGTAAGGGTGTGTATACTGGTGGTTGTCTGTACAGAAATGGGGTAGTGTTAGGATCTGTGTCGTGAGGAGATTTGGTCGATGTGGAGGTTGACCATGGATCAACAGAAAGGATATCAAGTGGATTCTTTGGCATAGGGTTTATATCATGTTTCCACAAAGAGGACACGGAAGTGGCATCAGTAGCAGTAGCAGTGGCAATAGTAGAGGGAGATGAGGCTAGGCTACGCGGTAGCACTTGAGTTGTATTGGGTTCTATATTTTTCATATAAAGTCCGTTTAGATCTGTTTGCCTGGATACCGGATTCGATCTGACGTCTTTTGTATTGATTGATATGGGAAATGGTGGGTAAATGATTGGATGGGATGTACGTCGTTCTTTGTCAGCAACTCTTTGAGCGTGTTTCTTGTCCGCCAAGGCTAGTGTTTGTTGAAGAGATATGGCAAATGATTCGATTTCAGGGATAATTATGTGGCTTAAAAGGTGTCGCAAATTTCTTGTGGATCTTTGGAACATAACTCGTGCATGACGAGCAAAACTCTGATTATTCTGTCCACAATTGGGCAAGTGAACTCTGATGGCCGCCATAATTGCGTGAGCTGCAAATGCATTAGAAAGAATTGTATGAGTTTGTTCTGCCATGGAACATGTTAATTGTGTAATGTTGGTTGCAACGGCTGTACATCTTTGCTGGACTACAGTGGCTGTTGACCCGCAGGGTGCCAGTACCGCCAACTCTATCATATTGTACACAAGATGCAAGTGGGCAACCATTGAATCGGGAGGTGGCTGGGTAGGTACGGCATTAGCGTGGGAGGGAAATGGAGTCCATTGAAGATGCAGTGGAAGAGCTCGTAGCCAGTGCAGCAATTCATTGTCGAACAAAAGTGCCTTTTGTTCGTTCTCGTATGTCTGAAGAATTGAAGTTTCGGTTATGTTGGGATCTAGTGCCCGTTCTCCAATCTTCATAAGCTGAATGTATGCTACAAATCCTTGAATAATCTCATGTTCATCTGCATCATCTCCAGGCTGCAGCATTGGTACGTCAATTTCGATGTCCTTTGCTAGAAGAGACCAAGGTTGGCTTCTGTGTATACTTTGAAGTTTGTCAAGACAGTAACATGCCCAGAACACTCGTTTGCGAAGTTCGTCTTCACCGTGTGAGTAGGTTCGCTTGTGTAGCCGAAGATCAAGACTCATACGATATGCCATTCCACTGTAAATCCATGATCTGCAGCCAGGGTCTCCTTTCTTTCCTTGCCGTGATGGTTCAAAAAGGGACAAAAGGCAGAGAGATATGATGGTACTTATATGTGGTCGATCGAGAATCTGGTCAAGCATTCGGCATGCTTGGTCATAGTAATCTTCTGGATCAACAGTCGAATCGTGAGAAAATCGTGCGCCGTGTGCATACATACTGTAGAGTAGACAGGATGTAATAAGTTGCCCTTGGCTTTCTAGCTGGTTGTAAAATTCGCGCTTGGGAATAATTGGTAGTATTGCATAGAAATGTCGAAAATAAAGATTGATGAGAGGATGTCGAATAGTCTGCCATAATATTTCTGATCCGGGCTCTTCGGTCTCATGCTGTGTTACCGGGCAGAAACGATCCGGAACATACCAGCCTTCCCGTCCTTCCCCAGGCCATGTCGTACCGAGTATTTCCAGCAATTGATTTGTCTTTAAAAAGCTTTCATTCCTCATTTCTAAATATTTTTGTTGAGCCAAGGAAATTTTTGGACCCTGTGGGCTACCGAGAGTGGGAGGTAATGATATATATCCAGGATTCTCTTGACTATTAGGTTTGGCCAAATCGAGATCAATTGAACCGTCTAATGAGAATGAACAAGGTATCTTTCGTGCTATATTAAACGCTAGCGTCAGAAAATCTTCTGCTGTTTATAACCTTCTTAAACTTACCTTTACACTATGGTCGTTACAAAGGTTAAAAATAAAATTATTGAGTGAGTGAGTGAGTGAGTGTGTGTGTTGGCATGACGAGAGAATAACAAACTATGAGCTGTATGTATCTATGGTTACCTGCATACATGGCTGTAGTCCATCGCACTAATCACTTGAATTAGAATCTCCATGACAATTATTGCCATCTACCTTGATCTTCTTTACTCGACATGTGTAACAGGCTCTATTGACTTTGAATCTCTTGGGATGTAGTTGGTCATTCGGGTACTCAGCTATACGCTTGAACTTCTTATCAATGCTCATAGTGTGTAAAGTAGTAAATATTTTTTTGTTTTCAAAGAAACAAGTATTATTGATTCTTCTTTTAAACTCCTAGAAGACGGGCAACAATATGATAATAAAATTTTAACAAATAAGAAAAAGAAAAAAGAAAAAAGAAAAAAGGGCCCTGAAGAGGAAAGGGACAATGATTGGTCCGGAAGAGTGAATTATGTAAGCTTCTGTGCTTCAATCTTTATTATAATAATATTAATATTTGAGTGTAGATAAATTGGGTGACAATACCAGTTGTTCCAGGTACTCGAATGCCTAAAATAAGATCAATATTTCGTTCCAGAAATATGTTTATAATTTGTCAGACCTTGGATTTTTTTGAACCCTCTTTTATTGGATACTGCGCAATCTTTACCATTGCAATGTGTGTTTGGTTTTTTTGGATTTGGATAGCCGAGCACGCTTGGAAATCGCTTGGTCAGGCCATATTAACACTGCAAATTCGAGTAACTAGAAGTGTGAACCAACACTGACTATTAATAAAGACAGAGTCCTTATTAATTGCTTTTTGGTTGATTTGAAAATACTTGGACTTAATGAAGAACAATTCCTCTGCCTGTATGATATCAAAACAACTAATCTAAAATGTTCTTTTATTATTATATTTTTAGTCCATGCTTTGTATTTAAAAAACCAATATACTTCCAAATATACGCCAAAGAACCATTTGCTAGTGTGAGTGTGTACTACTGATGACGCAGAAATGTTCTCTCCCCCAAACTTGTTAAATAGTGAATTGGCTTTATATTTATACTACTACTACTACTACTACTACTATTATTATTATTATTGTTGTTGTTGCTTGGATCCAACCAAAAATAAAATAAATAATAATAATACACATTACGTGCGTTTTGAGATTTGAGTTTTGTTCAATTTGAATCTCAATATCTCTTTTCTTTCTTCCTTTCTCTCTCTCTCTCTCTGTATCTTTTTCTTTTACTGTACATTCTTTTTCTTCTTCTTCTCTTATGTTCGTACGTCCAATGCCTTGTACAAATGACATGACTAGCGTCATCTCCCCACTTCCTATCAAAGCTTGTCTAGCAATATCATTCGAATATCCTTTATCGTGCTCTGAACCGTTAGTATTTATATATAAATGACAACAACAGAAATAAAAAATAAAATAAAATGATGCTAACATTTTATTTAGATCAAATGAAGAAGCAGCGCATGCCGAGTTGTTTTCCATTATGGCCCAGCACAATTACAGTTACCAACGAAATAACTGCATGACTTCTCCTGTTTCTCGCACCATCAATCCTATGCCCAATGACACCTTGTTTTGTACTGTCCATGCGGCTACAATAGCAACTGTGCGCGCCGTGACTGCTGCTCATCGAGGACAAGATTGTGTTGCCCCAGAGCGAGGCTTTGTCTTGCCAGCTGATACTTGTGTACCCATGGGAAAGACACGTTCTTACAGTACAAATTCTGGAGAGATGGCCACTGTATATTAACTCACTCCATTGTAAAAACAAAACAAAACATACTTATTTTTCTCTTTGATGTATATTGTAATACTCTTCTATCTTAGTTTCCCTTAATTTTCTCTTTGTCTATAGGCTTTAACCTCTTCTTCTTCTTATTTTTATTATTCCTCTTCTTATTTCTATTATTCTTCTTATTGTGTACATGCAGATATCTTCTTATAAAAACATTAATTTTATACATCTTTACATATTTACATATTTACATATCAATATCTTCCTATATAAGAAACAAAGCAAACCACTTTAAGGTAAATCTCTTTAGTGCGATTTAAATACATTGCAGATCCAAGCTTCCAATTATGTCAATTAAATCATACTGTTTGTGTGTGTGTGTGTATTTTGTATTTTTTAAAAAAAAAATTATAATGAAATTACAAAAAAGCAGATCCCAAGCTGGGAACTCAAGGCCATAAATAGAGAGATATTATTGTTTATATGATCGTAAATCTTAGGGGACATGATCTGCTTATAAAGAATAAAGACGGCAAGTTCTTTAAGATAGTTTCTAGCTTTGTGGCCACTCTTACTACACTCCTAAAAACTTCTTTGTCGAGTGTCCTCTTGTTTGGCAGGTTTAGACTATAATATTTCCCAAGTGCATAACACCGTACCCCACTCGACTAGCCAACAATCCTTAGCGCCTTTTATGCTCCATCCTTTTCTCCCTCATTTCGCCCCAATATATTGACTCATATCATGTTTTGGATGGCATGCTTGCCGCGGCTTGGAAGACATACTGGAGAGCAATTCTTGATGATGTGGCTTTTGTTCCTACCAATTTAGTTGCTTCCGTGAACACATAGCTACAAATTTACTTTCAATACTCTAGTCTCATAGACTACTCATTTCCTTCTTCTACTTCTTCTACCTTTTCTTGCAATATGTCTTCGTCGCTCTCGATACTATCTGTATGTTTTCTCTCTCCTCGTACTTATTAGCTTACTGCCTTAACCCCCACACTTTGTGTGCCCATCAATATCTTCCTAAACATCTACCTCTCCATTATAGGAAGTAATACCTGGTTTTTTTTTCTTTGGGAAATTTAATAAAGTTTCGTCTCATATAATATATATATATAGTCATGCACCAGTATATTGTCCCTTTACTCTTCACATCAATTGATAAAGCCATCAATGTATATATTGCAGTATTATTTACATTAATAATAATAATGAGCTTAAAGGCTAGCTTTACAATACTCTTTCAGTAATTAATACAACTGGCTGCAGTATTAGTTAAAGCTTTAAGAATGGCAATGATAATTGTGAAGAGCTTCTGTTAGCAACTAACCGATCGAGCTGGTGCAACAAAGTCATATGTTACACTTCTGATACATAGTTTTCGATAAGAAAAAGAGAAGAAAAAAAAAAGACCAATTGGGCAAGAAAATATGTTCCTGTGACAATATCAATCGATATACACTTTTTACTAGAAGTAATGCTATAACCGTCCCTTAAAAATTGGCTGTAAAAGAATCAAATGTATAGCATTTATTTAATGGATGAGTCCATAGGCAAACTTTGTATATATTTCCTGTTTTTTTTGGGGGGGAGTCTATTTTACAGACTGGCTACTAAAAGCTTCTTGTTCACTAAGCTTTACTTACACATATTTCAAAAGAATAAATAATATTAATGTAATTAAATTTTTAGTTGTCTACTATACGCTACACACATGTACATATAAATATTTGTGTTTCTTGAACAGTTCATGTTTTCCGTACTTCTAACAAAACTCTTTTTTTTTGGCTTTGTTTCTTTGCTATTAAGGCCTCTTTCAGAACAAATTGAAGTATAACAGGAAGCAAAGAGGCTTTTAAACAACATCGAATTCATAAAACAAATATTTCATTATTTAAAAAAAGAAATTAACTGTATACGTTTTTCTTTCCTTTGTTAGATCTAATCCACAAAAGCTTACATCTAGTTATTGATTGTTGCTCTACGTACTTTCCGGAAAAGCCTTGCACCGACCAAAGAAGAAGGTTTGCAGGTTTTTACCAAATTATAAATGTGTAGCATATGATAAACATGCGAGTATTAGCTTATCGATCTAATATTAAAAAAATATTTTTATATTATAAATATATGTGCACACATTGATATTTGAAACAAAAAAAAATAATCTCAAAATTTAGTAATAAATTATATTTATTTATATGCACCGGTAATTTTATTGTGCAATGCTTCTTCTGTTCTTGTAGTATATCCTTCATTTTCACCTTGCACCAATATACCGCAAACAACAGGTATTTTTATACTAGCATACACAAACTCGTGCAAAATCGACTTGTTTTATTTCTCGAGAATTACAAGATTGGTTAGAAAGTTTGATTTTCACTTTATAGCCAGCATTGACTACCAAAACCTCGAAATATGCTGTTTATAAACAGGAATCCGAATACATAATCCAATTTGTCTTTGTGCAATAAACTATTAAAAATATTCGACTTTCTAGAGTCGCTTTTCTCGATTTGTATTCCCCCCGGCTCTCAATATTCTAGTCTTGATACCTGCTTTGTGTTTGTCTGGCTTGATTATTTAAATCAATTATGATGTAATCGTGATCCAGAACCAAGAATTGTATTTAAATCAAAGTCCTTATACAAGTCAACAAACCTGCCTTGTATTATTCTATTGAAAATACCTTTCTTTATCAATAAAAAGATGTTTTACCCATTCCGACTATCTGGATTTTATAGTCTAGGTCAAATGAAGTATATATGTGCCCACAAGCATAAATGGTTAGGTTTGACCAGGAAATGCCATGTATTCGGTAAAAAGGTATTTTGTACTTCATTATTACTATTATTATTCTTTAAAGCGAACAACATTTTGGATCATTTCATTTGGTCATAGCATGCTTTATACGTCAATAAAATATCATTAACAAAAAAAAGCTATTTTCCAATTATATTTCTGTACCCCATCATATTAGTAGTTTAGTTTCTTTTCTTAAAATATTTATACTGTTGATTTATATATATATTTTATGAGATGCTTCCAACAAATGCTTATAAAGTATAATAAATGTCTTGCTGGGAATTTTAACGGCATGTATGCCCATATACATACGCGTGTTTGTATCTGTGTTTGTCATTGTGTGTGTGCGTTCTTACACCCAATTTGTCTCTCCATCTTTCTTTGGTACACAAAAGACGTTCGGGCAATGCTTCAATCTGCATTTTAAACTACCCTACATAAACGGAAATTGTGCTTTTTTTTCGGGTTCCAGGCCATAGAAAGATGACGTAATTGATGGAGAGGTGCAAATGACTTCCTTTTCATTTTTTTTTTGTTTATAGGGATATGACTTCCTTTTCATGTTTTTTTTGTTTTTGTTTTTTATTTATTTATTAAGTGACCGACATTGAGTTTAAAACCTATATAAAATAATTTGATGATTGGAAATTAGCAAGCGTTTCTTTTACACTATTTATTCATTTTTTTTTGTATTAAAAAAATATAGCATAATCAAATACGTTAAAAAATGAATGTCATATTCTTTCCGCCTTGAAGTAGCCTTCATTTGATGAGCCAAAAAAAGAAGACTGCTCAAATACTTCAATAACACATCATGAAGATACAAATATATATATATCTTGATATTTTATCAAAATCCTGGTTATTTATTATATATATATACAACCCAGAAATCACTCTCGTATATATAATATTAGAGGTAAAAAGGAAATAAAGGAAGAAATAAATAAGACAATATTGAAACATCAAAACCAAAGGACAACTTTGCTTTATACTTTAAGAAACTTTAATATTCGAGAACAGAACAGAATAGAATAGAAGAAGAATAGAAGTAGAAGCAGAAGCAGATAAAAAAATATATTATTTAAGAAATATAGATATACTTATATATATATATTTATATATTTATATATTTATATATTTATATATCGAACAAAATAGCACTCCCGCTTTGATGGAATTTTTCCGATCTATATCTTTTAATTTTTTATTTTTTATTTATTTCTTGCATTCTTTAGATGTGACTTTTACGAATACCGTGGTAAAATTGTTGGCACGGTAAGTTAAAAGGATACAAGATAGTTCTTTTGTTTCTTGTTTAAACAAAGCATCAAAAACTAAATTCTTGGCAAAAACCATAATGAAAAATACAGGATTTCGAAAACACCTTTTCAAATGCTTGGCTACAAAGCGCGACAATCCACACAGTCCCTCTCTGTGATGGATAACCTTAGAAGGTACACGAACATGTATAATATCTATATTCTTATTCTTCTTTAAAGACCAAAAAAAAAGAATATATATATATATCTTACTACAAGGGTGAAGATAAGGAGAAAATAAAGAAGAATAAAACCCACAGAATCGATTGCTTGCTTGACTAAACTCATAAAGCTTTACAAAAGATAATGTTTTATGGATCTCTATCATTTGTACTAATGAATCTTATGTATACAGGAGTAAAGAAGGAAGGAAACCAAAGAAAAACAAGGGAAATTGGCTGGGCGTAGTCCATGTGTGTCAGGTTAGTTTTTAGCTCTCTACAATAGAGGGTTTATTATTACTATTGTTATTTAATGAATAAGGAGAAGGATTGTTGTCTTTAGTCTACTCACCTTTTGTATGCATTGAAAACGATCAAAAACCTCCTTAAATTTGAAACACTTTTTTCCTCTCTTTTCTTTACTCATTAAAAATCTATTTTCATTCGTCGCTTATTCATTTCTCCAAAATTCACAAGCCTCTTTATTTATTTGCCAATCACAGCTCAGTCGACTTTGGCCTACAACTTTGGCCGACACCCCTTGCCTTGGATTCCCCGCCCTTCCATCCAGATGTGTGCCGTGGTCATCGGCAACTAATGGGCCTGCCAGAGAATTCCTAATGAGATGGTCCCATCATTGTCTTTTTTTTTTTTAAAAAAATGACATTGATATAAATGGAGATTCCGGTATGTCAGTTGTCCATCGATTCAACATGTGTACACACGCGTTCACACATTTTTCTTCTTTTCTCTCTTGGAAATAGTTGTGGTAAAGGCAAAGGGGCCCTTTTTTGATTCTGGCAGGCACATAAACACACATGGAAGACCCGCTTCTTAGCTAGCGTATAATGCGCGGGGGAGGGACGCGTCTTAAATATGACGAGGATGACTTGTTGAAAATGGGGCAGGTCCTTGAGTTGAGGATATTATATCGAAAAAATGTAGCGATGATTAACCTCAGACGAATTTATCATAACGCATAAAAGATAGACCTCATCCATGGTTCACATATTCCTATCGTGTTTTGTTGTGCGATATAAATACAAGCTGAGCACAAGGAGGAACCAACTTAAATCGAGAAATAAATCAATAAAAAATAAATAAAAAAAATTGTACGAAAGTCAATGATCTCTCTTGTATATCCTTGGGTGAAAATAGAAAAATCCTTTTACAGCTACCTTTAAGAACACAAGCAAACGGGCCATTTGGACTCGTATACAAAATGTCTGAAATAATAATAAATTATAGCAAGACAAATATATTAAAAATTGTATATGTAATAATTTTAGGACCACTTTGATTGTAAAAAAAAACACAAGTTATATTCCACTATTTCGTTTTAAAGTATTCTATCGAGTGAATATTGAATAATGAAGTCCAGGTTAACAGATTTAAAAGGCTCTCGAATACTAACAGAAGAATCAACTCGAACACTAAAATACACTCAATTAATTACCAATTCTTATTTCAGTATATATATATATATGTATTTCTCACCTTTGCAACAATCAATCAGAAAATCCCATACTTTGTTTGTATTAAGATGTGAATTTGAATACTAACATTCCAGGTCTCGGATTTCTGAGACACCCAATTCAGGTACGGGAAACATACAGTTGGGATTTAGAACACCGAATAGATTTTTTAAAATGAGCAACGTGGACCATACTATAACGGCTTTTTGAGAGAATTGAATTCTTAGCCATTAAAATTTAATTCTAAAAAAAAAATTGGTTAGGCTGAATTGAATGCATTTCAGATTATGTGGATATTTTGGCTTATAAGAGCAATGGTGTCATTAATGACAACAGCAATAATAATGATACCAACACTACTATTCATTGTAATTGTAATTGTAATTTGTAATGTATATAGATTATAAATGTAAAAGTATCCAGAATCTAGGCTTAACAGTTAAAAAAAAAGCCTAAACTTTGTCCACATATTTCTCACAGTATCCCAAATTGAAAGACATGCTCATGCTTTTGTTGACTGCTATTACTAAACCGGGGCCTCTTGTGGCCGTGGCCTACTGATTGACGATGTGCGCATGAGTGTACAACCAGTACGGTAACTTTAACCCAGCAATTTCAGCCTTTCTTTATTAATTTTAGTTTTTCTCTCTCTATCAAACACAGCCTCTTATTGCTAATATCCATTCCATTCATTTAGTCTTACTCTTTTTTTTTCTATTCTTCTTCCTTATTTTTTATTTTCATTTTTGGTGTACATGAAACATCAGCTCTCAACCTCCATTGAGATATGATTTCCCAACACACAAACCAACCTACGCTCCTTACTCTTCATGATGCAATTACCGACTCGCCTGTTTATCGCACAAATGTACACCATTATGATGAACAACTTGATCATTTAGAGAAATGGCTCGATTCTCTTTCACGCCATTTAAAACTTTATACCGAAAAAATTAACAGTAATGCCAAAAGAAAAACCTTTGAAATGAAACCTAGATTACTCAAAGAAAATGAAATGAAATAAACTGGAATCTCTCTCTGATCATCTTTACTCATTAGAGCTAAACCTCGAGACCGACATAGTTTGTCAACGTGTTGTGCCCGTTGGTATCGAAAGTGCCCTAATAGGTAAATATTTTTATATAAAGATCTATTAAATTTAATATAAGCTGCAAACCAAACCAAACCAAACCAAGCCAAGCCAAAAAAAAAACCCCCTTACATACTGAATAGACCCTGATGTGACTATGCCTATTTTGAAGACTTTTGCCAATGCACTTAAGGCTGGATTATCATTCAAGTCAAAACTTGTAAGCCATGTTAGATAATTCGGATTATTAAACACACACACACACACTAGCTGACTAATTATCCTCATTTTTGTATAGGTATCTGACCTCGAGGAAAATCTTGTCCAGCCTTTGCAACAATTTATGAAAACGCATTTAAAGGACTTCAAGGTTGGGTATACCGGATAAACGATTGACAGCTTAGTAATATGTTTTACATCATCTTTTACTAGGCCTTTAGAAAGCAGCATGAAAAGGCTCTCGAACAATACGAGATCCAGCTCTCTCGACACGCTACCCAAGGAAAAAATAAAGAGCCATCAGCACTCCGTGAAGAAGCCTTTCGGTTGTACGAAGCCCGTAAGGCGTATATCCACATGTCTGGCGAGCATGTGGTTCGGATAATTAAATTCCGGTCACTGCTGGAACACTGCTTGGTTGAACGTTTTTCCGCTGCCACAACAGCTCACAAGGAATTTGATGTTGACCGTCAGATGTGGGATAACTTAGACACAATACTTGTTTCATGGCGACAGTGGCTTGTAGACGATAAGAGAACGTGTATTTACCAGCTAAAGAAGCATGAGCTGGCAAGAGAGAAACTTGAAATGGAATACCTCAGTGAAATCGAACCTTTTCGCCAGCTTGAATATTATGGAGATTCTGAAGTTACATTGGCTACACAGGAGAAGCACGCTACACAGGCTCCTCCGAGCCTCAGCGACGATCACCAATCTAGCTCCAAGTGGGGCTACCTATTTGTACGCAGTTCTACTCACAGCACCTGGACACGCAAATGGTTCTTCTTACACAATGGATACATTGGATTCTGCTCGACGTCCATCAAGAACAAGGAGGGCAATACAGTTACTTTGGATGAACGAATTCCTGTATTAATGTGCACGATACAACCTCTTAAAGATGCAGATCGCCGTTTCTGTTTTGAGATCAGCTGTCAAAAGTATGGAAGTATAAAAACAAGTACTCATACTGGTCTTCACATCATTATGGCTAACACAGTTTTTTTTTCTTTAAAAAAAAGGATTACGTATATTGCCCAGGCTGAAAGGAAACAAGATGTGCAAAGTTGGATTGATGCCTTTGAAACCAGTAGGTCGGTACTTATACGAAGAAACTCTATCCCTCCTCGTCGAGCTTCTTCAGATGGAAGTCATCGCTCTATTACAAGTCAAAGCGACTCCGATTCAATGCCTTCTCGATCGCCTGGAGTTGTGAGTGCAAAGTCCCGATCTACCACTGAAGTGACAACACCCATCGACATTCCTGCCATTTTGAGTACCACTCCTACAAGCCCTCTGTCTAGTATTCCGGGATTCACACACATCCAAGGAATACAGTCCATCTCACCTTTCAACAGTATTCTGAAGAGCCCAAAGAAAATGAGCTTGGATAAAATTGGCACTTCCAATGTCTCTCTTGTCATGTTATCGACCTCATTTGAATTTGAATACATCTCTCTTTCAGAATCCATATCATTAACTCCTCTTCTAGTCTGGGGTGCTGCTTCTTCACAAATCAGAATGACAAATTCACTCACAAATCAGCTTTTTCCACTGTGGGGTATTCCATGGACAATTGCATTTATGACTGTTCAGTTCTTATCTAATACTGACACATCTTCGGCTCCATCATCAAAATTGCTTACAGAAAAGGAAGTGATTTGGCCAATTAGACCAAAAGATGTTGTTGAGACTAGAAAGGTAAATATTGTTGACTATGCTCCTCAATTGGAAGTACACAATCAAGGTTTGAGAAGCCTTTTTAGTGGTGTGGCAGAATCAGAAGTGGTTTTGGATGGTGAGTACAACAATATCAAAATATTTGAACTTTGTTTATTTTTTTTTGCAACAACAACCAAAAAAAAAGAGTGATTTTTCTAATAGCAATTTCTAGTATTTGTCTGTTCTTTAAGAAAAAAGCCTACAGAGAGCGACTTTAAATCTCCCACAAGTCCTACCTCACCGGTGGTTAATAGTCTTCTTTCACAAATTACGACTGCGTACCAATCGTCCTCCTCAGAACTCGGGTTTGCTTATACTGGACGTGCATTTGTTACTCAAGAAACCTTTTGGTTTTACAGTACTATACTAATGACCTGTATACATACAGTAAGTTAAATATCTCTCTTTTTTTTAAATGTCTTTGATTAGATATATTTACCAGAACAAAATTATTTAGGTTGCAGTCCGCTTACAAGACATCAAAGAAGTTCGGGTCGTCAAGGATTTAGTTTTATCTTCTGAAGAAGATAATCAAAACGGATTCTCGTGTTGTGCATTGGTTATTGAACTTGTTGATGAAACTAAAGGTCCTGTAACATTTAGTTCAATTGTGAGTGACATTGATTCTATTGCGAATAAATTGAGATTTATGGTGTCCAATGCAAAGGCCAAGGTAAATATATATGCGGTTAAAGTATTAATATTTTCATTTTTGATAAATGTTTACTAAAAAAAAAGCAATTGAAACTTTATGTTGTAAATCTTAGTCTACTGATCTCAACAAACTTTACCAAGAAATTCAAAGGATTTCAGAGACAAACTCTGGAAAGGTCTTTCAAGAAAATATGGTATCCTCTGATCGTTCAACATACAACATATTCGGGGCGGAAACTACAAGCTTACCAGCACCGATTGCCGCTTCAGAATCGAAGAGCAGAACCGGAAATATTCGCAATGGGATTAATAGTCTTCGAAGCAAACAAAGTGAGGCTCTAGGTACAACCCTTTCGCTGACCAAGAAAGTCTTGAAGAGGGATCGATCGACAAAGGCTCCAAACACACTTACAGTAGAAACCAAAAAGCCAATACCTCCCCCAGTTGATCCTGATGCGTTACCCCCATCTATTAAAACACCTACAAGTCCTTGCTCTTGCGAATGCTCCGATCATCTTGATCGCCTTGAATCTGAGTGCGAGTTCCCGATTTCTGCCAAGCGGTTATTCGAACTTATGTTTTCTGACAAGTACAACGGTGCTCCAACAGATGGCGGTGTTTGGAAAGCAAAGAATGAATCTGTGGATGGCCATGATCTACGCGTGACAAATTGGGGACAAGAAGACGACAAGACGACGAGAACATTGAAATATATCATGCCTGTAACAAACCCGATCGTCAGACTAAAGGAGGCAGAGGTCGTCGAGAACCAGGTCATCATCAAGCAGGATCCTTATTTGTGTTATGTAGTCCAGATATCCACAAAGACAGCAGCATTACCTTATGCGGATGCATTCATTCCTTCAGTGCGTTACTGTATTACTTGGGTTGGACCATCCAAATGTAAACTTGCATGTTATATGGGTGTCGCGTGGGTTAAGAGCGTTATGCTTAGAAGCGTTATTACCCGTGCTGCTCTCAAAGCTATGGGAGAAAGTGTGTGTCTATTCGTGGATATTTTGCGGGAGGAAGCAGATAAAGTTGCTGAGCGAGTCGACGAGGAACGTCGAGTGATATTTAGCGGGAATGTTGACTGTGCCCCGGTAGAGGATGTTGATGAAGCTGACGACAGCCAAGGATTAGAGGAGTCTGTCGAAAATGAAGATAGAAAAGATTTTTCAAATTTCTCTTATACAAGTGGTATTTCCAAGACAGATTTCCACACAAACTACACAGACGACGAAGAAAACGAGGACCCGCCTAGACAATCAACAGAAAACAGACGGATCGATGATCACCAAACTCATTCTAACATGGTAACTTCTTCCGGTTGCACATCCTCTCCTGCACTCCCACCGCCACGCAACTCTATTTTGGTCTCCAGGTCTACTGTAGAAAAGCCAAAAACCAAATCATCTGTTAAATTACGGCGCAAGGCAAAGAAAGACGAATTTACAGCAGGCTGGGGATCTAAAGTACCTTTGCTTTCAATGGTAGCACTCGTGTCTGGGGCTCTATTATTGTGGATCTGGCTTAGTCGAATTAGAGCAAATGTACAGCCGGAAGTTATAGAAGTTGGGACGAATAACTCAATGAAAACAAACAATCGAAGTATAAGAGTTATTTCAAAGGCTGTGTATTTAAAGGACCTTGAGACTGGCGTTTTGGAAAATCACATGTTACCCCCTTATTCAAAGGCTGAAAGGTAATTTGTGTTTACATGTTAACAAAAGCAAGATAAATGTCGTCTTATATATATATTATTTTAGCTTCCAAAAATTCCTCAAACAAAAACGCACAGATGATATATCTACTGTGCAGCATCAGTGGTTTTCCGGAAAGAACTATAAGATGGCAATTGAACTGGACTCTAGCCGCGAACGTATTGCTGTAATGAGACATGATGTACTTACCATTTTTAGAATGCTCAACAAGGTCGATACCCAACTCCTTGAGAATGAGTATATGAACTGGCTAATGGATAATCGGCAGAAATGTAAAAAACAGTCTTCTAATGCCTATGATCTTGTCCAGTGCGATCATATCGACGCACAACTCCTTGAATTCAACGAATAATCTATACATTCTAATATTTACTTTCATTCAATTACTATTTATCTTCTTTTCAATTAATTAACTTTCTCGTTTTAGAGTGAAAATCCTATTTGTCTTTCCTGTTAAATATATTATCGTCTACTTTAATCAGCATTGATTTCCCTTATAATATTCAAAAATAATATTTCTAGCATATAGGGTATATTATATAGCTTACTATATATTGTTTGTATATGATAGAAATATGCTTTTGAACTTCCCGAGTCAACTCAAACCTACTGTTTTTTCTCTTGGTTTACAAAATCAAAAGGCTTAATATACAGTAGGTAATCCCAGAGATGTGATCCTTTTAGAAAGAGAGATTTAGTCTTTTTTTTTTTAGATTCTTGATAACCTTTAATACAAAATATTTATTTTTATGTATTTTTGTGTGTACAATTTTTGTTGCAAAGGCCTTTATATAATACAGCAGCTTGGTATTGGTTTAATGCTAAATTACAATATAGGATTAATGAATTTCTCATTGAAAATAGTTTATGAGCTAATAGATAGCAAATTACAGTCAACAATTGCATTTACGTAGAATTAAAAAATTAGACAATTTACTGATTAGACTACAAGTGTCCCTTTAAATAGTCCATCAAATATTGCCAGAAAAAAGTACGACTACTACAATGCATCAACTTTCTGCGTTTCTAAATGAAAAAAAAAAAATAACACAAATTCGCAATAGACTGTCTACAATTCTAGTAACCAAAGTCACTCTTTTGAGATATCCTCAGCCAATTATTCCTGCCTTGATATACGTTTTGAACATTTATATCCAAATTCCTGAGAAACAACAACCACAATCACAGCGGCAGCAACAACAGCCTATAGAATCAAGACTGTTTACGCTGTTTCCCTGGCCTGATCTTAAATAGAGATTTATTAAATTAGGCGGTGAAAACTTTAAGTAGCTATTCGAGAAAAATACAATGAAAATACAAGACGAGTATTTGCTCACTTATTCAAATATAAGAAATTCGAAACTAGTTATATAGAAGCTTTGATAAATCTCGGAAATGAAGGATGGATAATATTCTTAAGCTCCATCTACACCGACGGTTATATGTCCAGGGTATTATTTAGGAGGCAGACTACAGCTGATCCTCTCAATTATGTGGATCTCAAAAAAAAACTTCGAGAGAGCAACTTACATGACATATCCGATACATCATAGACAATGTGCGTATCTTATTCAATTATACAACTTCAATCTAGGGCCTACGGTTTATTAAGTACCTGAAATATATTAAAGAAATGCATATAGTCAGTAGGCCCTAGATAATTAATCCAACATCCCTATACATGAGTCCACAAACTATAGCAAAGAAGGAATAAAGAAGAAAAATAAAATGGTAGATGGGAAGAAGAGACGTCGTATAGCAAATAGGCGGAATTCTGGGATTTCACACCAGTCTATCCAACCAAGGTAATAAGTCAATTAAATATCGTTTATATACAATTTCACTTATAATCATTTAAACTATCACATAAACCATCACTGTCATGTGTTTATAGTCAGAGACGTTCTTAAGATGCCATTAATTGTCTTTGGAAATAGGCTCCCAAACAAATCGAGTGTATAGTTTTGCAGTTTATGGCCTGGCATACATGAGAGAAATTACAAGTATTTTCTTATAAAACATAAGATAAAATAACTGTACTTTTGTAGAACAGTGAATATAACACATCAAAGATACTTAGGGACTCTTTTTTAAGCTTTATTATTTAAGTCAAACATTAACTATATTTGCATGCAGCTGTTGTAAGTCTAAAGGTCCAGGATGTCTCTAAAACGTCGATAAAAGACCTATCAATCCAATATTAGTTTGTAGCAACAATAATATTTTCTGAAATATAAATGACATGATAATCAAGAATATGCTTTATTTTATATAGAAAATTCAGAATGACAATATTTACTCCTAAATCAAAGCAAACAACAATAACACAAGCTGCCGCAATAAACATGCCTGTTTGTCATTCCGGTAACCAAATTTAAAGATGCTTACAGATACAGAAACTTCAGTGGACTCATAATATATAAGCTCAATAGTTTATTATGCTGCTCGCTTATTACAATTTAATTTTTACAGAATATTATCTTTACACACATCAACCAATTTTGCAATTCAAATAAAAAGCACTAGTTGGAATAATGAATCTTACCAGCTATTGAAATGAGAGCCACATAATTTCTTTTTATCTTTATCTAAATCCGTCTGCTTTAACCAAACGAAGCTGTGATTATTTATCCTCTGCGCGTGTAAATTGATAAGACAGCAATATATTTACTCTTTAACATGAACTGTTTTAGGATCTGTACTTTACTTTTAAAGCTGATGCTCTACCAATCAAATATATTACCTTTCTCTATTATCATTTATCCTTTTACTTCTTTACTTATTCACATATTATTATTTTCATCTTTTACAAGAAATTCGCCACTCTCAACAATTTTATTAATTTACTCGTAAGATCACCAGTATCCTCGCCCAATGCTACCCAAATTGAAGCGAGCTCGGGAGTCAATCTAGTAAAAATGTATAGTCATAGCCTGTTCTTCTGCATCCAAATCGAAAGCAGTAAAAAAGAGAAATAAGCAGGATATTGTTTCTCAAACTTGTTATATAAACAGCCAAAGAATTATATTAAAAACTACCTCATATCCAATCTTAAAAATCGTACAGATACCCAAGAGTTTTTTCTGTTTTCTGTTTTCTTTTTTTTACACCCGCATTTCTTAAAGTATACCAATGTCTTTTAATGCTTCCAACACTGCATATAAAGACATTCTTTAAGGAACTGCCAATTGGGTTCACTCTATGGACCATTATAATTATAGCTGTCATGTATAGCAGACCAGAATATTAATACAAATATCAGTAGCTATTGACCATAGAAAGATCAGATAAGCAACTTCTTTAATGAATATATCTATTTATTATCTTCCATCTGTTTTCTCTGTCCTTATCTTTTAGCAAATCAGCTCTTCGCACTTTCAGTTTTTTACCTTGTATTCTATTAACACTACCTCTTGGATTTGATACACCCTTCTTTCTCGCTCCATTACATCTGTCTATAGTGTAGACGTATATTATTCTCCTGCTATATTTAATACTGTCCAAAGCTTTGTCAATGAGAACCATGACGTGAAATTTGGGCAAGTCTTCACTATTGTGCTATAATATTATGACTTTTCCAGGCCTCAGGGTAAATGTTTAGTTGGAGAACCCTTGGATGTCTCATTGGGTGAGCAGCAAGGAGACATCTTAAACAACGTGTTTCATAACTACTATAGCCTTGTGAGAAATAATAGCAGATATATCGGTAAGCTTCCATCTCACATTAAGGCGGCTCATCGAGATTGCGGTGGGGAGAGAATAAAACAAATAAAAATATAGACGAAAGGATTTGTGAGAACTTGTGTAGGCTGTTTCATTTCAAAGAAAAGTCAAGAATAATAAAATTCGATTCTTTCTATACGGAACTATCTACTGATATTTATACGTTTCTCTAATTTATAATTCAGTGTGTGCTTAAGTAATCTTTATCACGATGAGTCAACTTCCAGGAGTATTGTTCTTCTGGAAAGATTCAGAAAGACCAATTGATCTGATACTTCTCCAATCAAATCAGCAAGAGAGTTTTGGTAAAGAAGAGCATTTATGTTATTGATAATATTATAGTATTCCGATCCGGATACACGGGTGATGTTTCATAATATTAATTAGCTGTGCTTGTAGTCTCTTACTAAAGTATTCATATAATAAAAAAAATATGTAGATGAAATATGATGATGCCGTAGATATACTATATGTGAATTTGTATATCCCATATTATGGTGATAATAGTACATAATAAATAATAATCAATTTAGTTTATGGTAATCTGTATATTAAATAATATCATAAATGCATAACCGTTTAACTGGAATAGCTGAGGATATTATCTTATCCTTCAGTATTACCCTCGGATTCAGCGGTAACAAATACCACTGAAAAAATAGGGTAAGTTCATCTAGATCAAATGTGCCTAAAATGTAGATGATTGAGCCAATACAACCACAATTTTTGTGTTATATCATTTTGAGAAATGGTAGGATATCATGTATGGTGCTGAGGCGTATCATCATAACAACAGGTACACGAAAACCCAATGTAAAACGATTGTCAGTCCGCAAACTATGCAAACTAAATAAATATTGTAGTGACGCTTTACTCTTTTCGAGCCTACCTCTTTATGTATTATATTTTGAGGCCCATAAAGAGCTATCATCCCATATTATTATTTTTACTGGGTTTATTTATTAGCTGCAAAACGCTTTAAAAACTATAAAAGAGATGATTGTAGGTATTTTACAATGGAACAGAGAAACAAAGCATGAGTATATTTTTATAAAAGAGTCTCTTTGGTTTGTTATTTATTTCATTTTTGTTTTATTTGATAGAATTTTTTTTCCAGATAAAAATTCTAATTTCGCGACAGTTTTAAAACTATAGCTATTATAATCACTAATACTTCTTGCTTGCTATATATAATTTAAAGTCTTCGAGGAGTAGACATTAGATACGTACTTTAATAGTGGGAATGCTAGTGAAAAAAGAGCAATAGAAAAGAAGAATTAGTAAATGATTTAAATCGAGATTTCTTGATAAACACTTACAAGACGTAGAAGACTTGACATAAAATTGATATAAGTATGTTCTTCAGAATAAATGACAATACCAGTAGTCTTCGAATGGAGATACATTCTAAAATATATAATTATTAATATTGTGCGTAGTAAAAGCGTATTTATTTAATATACTGTAGTTAACCTACCAAATATTATAAATTATATGTCCCCGCGTATGATATTACAGACATAACTAATAAATCACGATAAAATAGGTATATATTTATGAGTAAGGCGAAAGGATAATTTGTATTTTTTTTTAGAAAAAAAGCTTACCATCGTGCTTGATTAAGAGATCACGAGACTCGATGGAAACGAGTAATACTGACTAGACAAACAATATGATGAGTAACAAAGATCTGTAAGAGAATGACATTTTACCTTAGTATATCAGACAGAACATAAGCAAACAAAGAGACATGCGTTTGGTGTTAAACTATAAAAGAAAGAATTGTAAGTAAATTTGTAAAAACTTAAGGATAAGAGAAAGAAAGGAACTAATCAATAATGAATGTCATTAAAAGAAAAAAGGGAAAAAAAAGACTTTGCATTAAAATTCGGTTTGACCCTGACGAAATGCAGGTGATAAAAAGTAATACTCCAAAAGACGATTACCGTCATTTTGAAACTTACTACTTTCTGCCTCATTGAGTTGGAAAAGAAATTGCCTAAATATGGATCAAGCGGTTGGAATATGTGCTTAAATATCAAACAAAAGATAGAAAGTTAATCTGCACCGCTTATTCTCTTTACTAGTACGTGAATTTTAAATATGATATAACAAGTATTAGTTGAAAATTATCAAAATTTATTTTATTAACAGAAAAATGGCCTAACGTATTCCTACTGCTCCCCGCCGACACAACTTACGCTTGAATGTTGTTCTTAATAGAACAATTGAAGGTATTGTTTCTCCAATTGGCACACCAACTCCCAAAGTGGCTGTTGTCGCAGCTCCTAAAGTTCAAGTTGCTGTGACCCCAATGGATCACGTCCTTGCCTTGTTGCCAGCCAACAATGTGCCGATGCAATCCTTGCCAGCAAATGCAAAAGGAGTGTCAGACGCAATTAATCATTTTCAGAATGGCCTGGATTTGCCTAACACGACAAATGGCTTTTTGAAGAACTCAGTCCTTGATGCCTTATACTATACAAAAGCATTTTTCTTCTTCCATGGATGATGATCTTGTCCTCGGAGCGAAATATCACCCCCTGATCTCTGTATGTAAATTTATTATAATAACATTATCGGCCAATATATCTAATAGTATTTTTATAGCAACTTATCAATAGTTAAATCAAGAAAGCGAGCTTTGTACCACAGACCCGCTAAAAGTTACTGAGAATAATAATAATAGATTAGCATGGTCAATGGCTGGCACGTATGGCGATAAGTACAACAAGTCAATTGCACTAACTCTCTTCAAATACCCAAGACCTCAAAAATGGTGTAAAAAAGTGTCAAAAAGAGACAATATGAATAAAATAAATAATCACTACCAGAATCAAGTCCAAGTCTTCCGGACCTCAACAGAGAAGATTATGGCTAGAAATAAAGCTAGAAGAAGACATAACAGAGAGAGGGATGTAGGATTTAAATAAACTTAATTTACTATTTATTTAATGTCTTAATATAATTGGTGTGAACAGACTAAAAGTTCAAAAAGGTCAAAAAAGAGCAAAACTTTAAGTCATATCATTGGGCGAGAGTTTTAATTAATTTTGCCCTTTTTTTGCCCTTTTTTTGAATTTTTAGTCTGTCCACACCAAATTGCCCTGCACTCGCTCAGAACGACGCTGCCTGATCAAATGACGAATTGCTTGGCTACCACCTACACCATCAGTCGAGTGCCAATGTGGCACTATCAAGGGTAACCGAAACCACATGCTTATATGCCCCGCCACAATCACTCTCGTTCAAAAACTCTGGTCTTTGATGGATTTTACTCCTCCCCAAGAGGTTCATCTTATCGACTATGCTCTCAACTGTCTCCCCAGGTCTTTAAAATCGCCTGGTACGTGGTGCGATTGGTGGCCGTGCTTGCTTGCCTTGCTACGTGCTGTTGATCAAACCACCTCATCCTACAAACTGCCAGAAGAAAAAGCTCATGGTCAAATCCTCATCGCCCTTGCAGCAAAATTCCATGCCACAAAACCAATCCGTCCCCACCGCATCCTACCGCCCACCCAAGAACCTGTTCCTGGTGATCCGTTCCCCCATCTTCTGTCCGAAATTTCCACCGTTCCTCATCAACCCCCTCCATCTGTGCCCGCCCGAAATTGTGCCTAGGAGGACTGACTTGGTCTGGTATCGTTGTGTATTCTGGATCCATAAATAAATCGTCCGAGTTTCTAAAAGGAATCACTCTTTGGAGTTCCTATCCCTGCTGAAATCCGTTCCCAATTCTGGTGCCGTCAGTACCTAGTTACTTATTCTCGATTCTTTCATGTCATTTATTTTTCTTATATATTTATTTCACCTGTATTCTTACCAGCTGTATTATCTATTTTAGTCTTAGTCTTTCTAAAAGCCGTTTTACCCCACAGGGGGTTTTTTACGTGCTCTCTTACTTTTTTGCTGACTATTCATCTTTGTCTCTGTCATGCGTGTTCCATATCTTTTCTTTATTTATCTTTCACTTTTTACATATTTTTTTATTCCTCCTCATATTTAGGGGGTTACTTTTATTATTTTCATTTATTCCTCAGTTCTCATTGGGTAGCCAATATGCTAAAATGCGCAAGGCCTAGAAAAACCCACAATAAAATATTTTCACCTGTCCACACCAAATGTTTGCTGGTAGGTTCTTGGCCGTCGTATTATCATATACCAGACATATACGGATGCTATCCGCATGGCTATTAAACCATCCGATTGCGGAAAGATTCTTTCCATTGACGAGTTGGACGGACATAAAGAAGTGCGAGCATGTCGTCCTAGCTGGGGAACTGATGAGGTAATGTTAAACACCTATCTATTTTTTAAAGAAAATAAAAAAAAATTTATTAATACTGTTTATTATTTCAATCAGCTCCAGAAGTTTAGCACTGCCATTGATGACTTTACTGTCAAGCGTTTGAAGAAAAATGCAGACAGTTGTTAAAGCGCATCTCCTATGAGAAAGAAGTGAGTATTCACGAGAATTTGACAGTCACTATTAGAGTAGTGCTTTTCAAAATAAAATAAATCTTTTTTTTCCTTGCCCACTATTTTACAGTGTTTTTTTTTTACGTGTTTATGTGTATGGAATAGAATGTTGTATACAGATGTATGTATAGAATGCCAAGTATAAGCAAAATTTTATAAAAATAATAAATAATAAACTTCCACTTACATATAAATTAGCCTTTATTAATTAATATATATATATATTTGTAGGTGTTTTATTTTTGTATTTAAATCTAAAAATATATTTTTCCTAGCAAAGGAACAACACACATCTGAGCTTTGCCTTCTAAACCAAGGTGCTCACCTACTGCAACTGGATAGCAGATTCTATGTACCTGAAGAATACTGTTCATGCTATCATCTTTGAATCCCACCTCATTCACCTCAACTCCTTCTCCTGCTCTGGGCTGCAGCACAATCTCCTTGTACCATCGTAAGCATGCAAATTCATTCAGACTCAAATGATCAACAAACAAATTTACAAAGAGGTACTGAATCTGGCCTACATATGGTTTAGTGCCTCTACCATCACTTGTCTCAAACAGCACTTGCATAAACGACCCGCACTAATTTCTTGTTTTGCTCCTGTATATTTGGCTGAGAAGATTGATTGATTCAAATTTGTGTATCCGACTGTTGACAAAATTATCGGAGCGACCAGCCTGACGACAGTGAACAAGCGTTTGATCATCATATACCTCGTGATAATTGACGACAAATGCTCATACTCGGACACTTTCATAAAAATCTCTCCCTTTAGAACTAAAGGAAGTGTAGACGGGAGTATAGGCTCGTTTCCCTTGATGATAACAAATTTGATCTCATGAGAACCAAGAACAGCATTGATATGGGATAGTATGGCGGCGGCAGTAGATGTAGTGAGCTCAAGGATGATCGCCGAATGCCCAGATTGAATTACAAGCAAAGTTTGTTGAATAAAGTCTTCCTGGTATGTATCCTCAAGACACTTCTTCATATACATTGTTTCGAGCCCGTCTCTTCTATTGGTCATATAATCCTTCGAAAAGCCGTTGCATCTTTCAAGACCGAACAGCCAAGAGCGGTAAACCAGGCCAAAGCTAAGGATGCTCTCTTGCAAACGTAAATGCAGATGCATCTTCGGTGAACGAAATGGAGTTTGATATAACACCTCACACTCTCTGCAGAAAACCTCCAATGAGTTATGGACCTCATTAAGATGAGCCATGGATATGCTTGGCATTGAGAGGTACAGGCATGCATTCACGAACGTTGTTCATTTAACAAGACGGACTTCACGCAAGCAGCCACACAGGAGAACATGAGAGTAAACCAAGCACTAATACTTCCACTCATTTGCCTTCATGAATGGGAAACCACGCCCAATCCTTGTACCCAATGATGTGTAGTATTCTGACAGTAAAACATTTTCAGCATCAACCCGTGTTGCAGCCAAGTGTGTATCTGTGATGAGACCAGAAGATACCCATTTCTCCATTATCCTCTTCGCTGTACCAATATACAGGCTATACGTCGAATCGATGACAGTGCATTCAACAAGGTTGAAGTAAACCAGGCCATACAATTTTTCCAGGCAACAAGAATTAGAGTAGCACAGAAAATAGCAAAAGATGGACACTAGATAGTAGGAATCACCACACCACTACAAAAGTAAATGAGTTCCACGACGAGGAGACAGAGATAGTGATTGATCCCGCTCGCCTTTACTTCCTTGGGCCCTGGAATGAGACCAACGAAGACAGCATTCTCCTTTATTGTACCGTTCTGGTGTGGGCAAGTTGTTGATGCAAAGATATATCGCACTACAGAGACAACCGACCCCATCGAAAGGCTGAAACGAATGGATGTTCATGGCAGGCATAATGGAGCACTCATGATTCACAGATAGTAAAATATTACCGTCTTTTGGATTATTTCACTATGCACTATCGTGAATCTCAAATTTCATGTCTGGAACGTGTGATCTGTTTCTCCAATAGTTTATGACGTCTTCGAATCTAGGGCGGCAAAAGGTATAGACAATGGTTTGATTGTGGAGCTTTACATGTAGATCCTTGTTGGGATACTCAAGGATCTTGATGTTGCAAAGAAAAAAAGTATTTCTACATTCTCTACCAGAAAGCGTCTCGAAATTACAACACTCTGGAACTATATCAGACTCTCTGTATACTTTTTTTATAGTCGCCACATTTTATAAACCACTAGACATTTTGAGTCACATCGCCAAGACCAGTCATAGACCTTACACCGTTTGTACTGAGGGAAGAAGAAAATAGTGTCCAAAATGCGCCAATACCTCATTGAAAAACTTCAACGGGACAGCACCAGTGGAATCGACAGCATATTTGGATATGAATAAGACAGCAAACAAAGCATTGAAAGCATGAGTGGGATCGGCTGGCATATCAGATGGAGAAGAGTGTTCTATATATATATATGTTGTATTTGTCGATTTCATATACTTTATGTACTAACCCCTAACATCTTCAGATTCACTGTCAGAAATATCCAAAATAACTGCTCCAATGACATCGTCATCTTTGCTTTCAGAATTAAACAAGGAATCAATGGCCAAAAGAGGTAAGTCTTTAGCTGTATTGTCGAGTAAAAAAGAATCAAATTATTAGATATTATAAGCAAGTATACAACTTTAATAAAAATACTATGGATACCTTCAACCTGATATTCAATATCAACATCGTCTCCAAAGCCAATCTTCATGTCATTGTCATTCGACATTACCTCTGTAACTGAAGCTGTATTATATGAAAAGAAACACATTTACTTAAAATTCTCTTGATAATTATTTTCTTAAATTATAACCCACAAGAAGATCCCGACTGATATATTGTCTCACATCATCATCTTCTTCTAAATGTACTCTGAGTGGTTGTTGTTGTTACTGGAAGCGTTGGGTGCGTGTTACTTTAAAGTCTAGAATTGGTAATAATGGAGAATGGTTCGGAGACACAATTTAAGAGCAACTTCAGTAGTTATTTTTTTTTGTATTTAATTGGTACTGCCAGAACTGAAAATGCACGGCGTTGGATCTTATGTAGCTTCTATAAAATCATTGCTTTTCTAAAAACAGGGGTTTGAAACTGAAAGTTCAGCCACAATATAAAAAAGAAAATTTAGTAAAGGATAAAATCCGTGTGTAGAAACTGATGGACTTGCTCTATTCAAAATGATACACCCATAACCACCCAAAATTATTTATATGTATATCTATCCCACATTTATTACCACATTTCTACTTACATTTATGCTATACCAGTATTTTATATCCTTCTCAGCATAACTATTATAAAAAATCAGACGTTATTCCTTAAAATATTATATTAGATCATTGTACCACAAAACCAAAAATGAATAAATTATAACCGCAGCTTGAATTGACCAAAATTTATATCCTTGTACTTTATATAATTCAATCAAATGTTTGATTAACTTGCGTTCTAGTAATTCGTTTTTGCTGAAAACAAGTGCGTTAAAGAGTTAGAGACAATAAAAAACGAATGGGCTAAGAGACGCGGCGGGCTTTTAATTAAATCGAATGTTCGGAGTGTGAATTAGCTCGAAAATGGAAATCCGCCCATTACTCCTGCAGTGGGAAAGTGATGTTTTCAGTCTCCATTTGAGTAGTATTGAAAGACAGAACATACACCATTTTATCAGGCACAAATTTGACATGAAATGTCAATTGGGGTAATATGCTTTCTGATCGGGAATTATAAGAATAGACCGAGAACAAAATATATCTATTATTACAGCCGTATCTTGTCAGGTTTAATAAAATATATATATTTCCTTGAATTATATGAGATTTTGATATAAATTTAACTGAAATATAACAAACAGTAAAAATCTTATCAACTATGAATTTAATATTTTTAGTTGATGTTGGAATATCAAGATTTATTGAAAAACAAAACAATAAAATATTAATATATAAAAAAACACATAACTTATTGAAAACTAGAAAACATTCTATTTAAACTATTAAAAATATGTCATATTTTATAAATTATAAAAACATATGCCGATAATAAAGATCAATAAAATAATGAATAGTAATAACGAAAATAAAAGCTAAAAGGATGATATAATTCTTATTTTTATTTTATTAAATTCAATCATTTTTATATACTTGTTTTATAAGTAAGTACATAGACTTTATTTATTTAATTATCTTTAATATTTATTTTATTTCCATCAAAATTATAGAAGACAATATTAATGCGATTTAAATAAATTGGTTATTATAATACATGAATGTTGTAAAAGCGAATTGACTACTACTGTAGTTACAATTAAGTTTGAAGAAATAAAACATATATTTTTATTTATTTCAGCCAAAGGTGTTTATACGTTACTATATTATCTGACACAGATATTTTTCATGTACATGAGTGATTAATTTTTATATGATGATATCACCGTAATAAGATATACATTAACAAAATATAAGCAGTATAATTATAACTCACAAGCACATTGTTTTTCTATGTTAATACTTCATCACGAATACACATATTTATATAATTAATCACATATTAACTATTGTTATATATAAGTACCTGTGATATTCTTTAAAAAATAAACAATACTCTTACAAAAACAATTTATTCATTTTATATTATTTATTAATCTCACTTAGCATTTAACTATATTTCAAATAAAATATATTGCTTTTATTGAACTCGATGTAATATATTCTATATTCATAAACACTAAAAAGTCAAAATTAAATACTTAAATGCAAAACACATCAAATTTTATTTTATATTTTATTGTCAAATATTAGAATAAACTCTTTTACTTCAATCACTTATATCTACTTATGTATCAAGTGTAGTAGCTATATGTCAAATATTAAAATTAGTATGTAATTCTGATACTTATCCTTTTATTTCAATTATAGCTGTTTCTGATTAATCAATATATTTAGAAAAATGTAAACATTTGCTTCTTACAAAAAAATATGTACCATTAAATATTAAAAGAGAATAATTAAAAAATGAATTACATCTAATAAACTTATATTATAGTAACTTACTTGATTATATTTTGCTTAATTCAAATGTTCATATAAGATGTCAAATAAAAAAAAAATTGTGTAGAACATATAAAAGCCAAAGTAAGATATTAATAAGAATAGCTCTGGTTTAAAGTTGTTAACATTTTATAAATATACTTCTTATGTGCTATTATTGTCTCTAAATAACATTGGCTCTTCTGTGTATTTTAACTCTAATTAATAGCTTTTGGAGGCTTTGGGGATACATGCCTACAGCATGTATCAAAGCCTATATTATATATATAGACTATTATAAATATAAAGTTTGTACTCATACTATAAAAATTAGCCTATTTAAACAAATAAAAAAAAATTAATAATGTATTACATAGTCATACAAATATTAAGCTTTTATATAATACTTTTGTAATATCAAAATAAACACAAATATAAATTGTATGCCAACCCAAATTGAAAATTATAATAGAATATACGATTATACTCAGACCTTGTACTCAGACATATATCACAAAATATTACTCTTGTGTTATTTAAGTTCTAAAAATATGACGATAGATGCCACTTATCTAAAAGAAACGAAAACTATATATATATATATAAATAGATTAAAATAATTAATGTATGTGGGTAGAAAAGAGACCGAGTTTATTTGACTAAAGTGAAAGGCACAAGAATAAGAAGAGTTTGGTGTGATAGTAATTTTATTATAAAAAAGAATAAGAATGTTTTAGTGGTAGAATATTTGTATTATGTTAAAAGTCGGGGGGCAGTGGAGTAGAGGGGGGTGGTGTATGAGAAACAGTTTAATTTTTTTATACTGTATGGTGTGTAACAGATAATTTATATGTATATTGTAGTGCTGAGAATTTTGGTGCGAAAGAAATAATTTATATATATATTGTAGTGCTGAGAATTATGGTGCGTACTGATTAAGAGAGATTGAAACGATGGGACTTTGTGTTAGGTAATGAAATGTTGGTCCAGAACAAGATATCTCAAAATATATAGAAATACGAAGTGTACTTATGAAAATGGTGGTATATGACACTACAAGTATAGTAAAATATAATGTATGATTTTTGGGTGCTGAATTTTTATTATTTTGATTTCGATTTTACAGAGGTAATAAAATAAAAGAATGCTATTAGTATTTGTGCCGATTTTGAAAGCGTTGTGACGTTGGGTTTGGCACAGGTAAAAAAAAAAAAAAAAACAATATTGTGGTTGCCACCGCCGATTTTGAAAGCGTTGGGACGTTGGTTTTGGCCCAGGTCAAAAGATAATAGACAACTATGGTTGCTACCGCCAATTTTGAAAGCGTTGTGACGTTGGTTTTGGTCCAGGTCAAAAGATAATAGACAACTATGGTTGCCCCCGCCGATTTCGAAAGCGTTGTGACAATGGTGTTGGTACAGGTCAAAAGTAAATAGAAAACTATGGTTGCTTCCGCCGATTTCGAAAGCGTTGTAATAATGGAGTTGACCCAGATTAAAAAAGAAAACGATAGTGTGGTTGCTCCCGCCGATTTTGAAAGCGTTGTGGCGTTGGTGTTGGTGCAGATAAAAAGATAATAGACAACTGTGGTTGCTCCCACTGATTTTGAAAGCGTCATGATGTAGGTTTTAGCCCAGGTCAAAAGATAATAGACAACTATGGTTTCTCCCGCCGATTTCGAAAGCGTTGTGACAATGGTGTTGGCTCAGGTTAAAAAAGAAAACGATGCTGTGGTTGCTCCCGTTGATTTCGAAAGCGTTGTGGCGTTGATAGGGACACGAAGGTTTGAATGAGGGTTTGTTTTATTTTCAGAGTCGTATATACAGTGAACGCGCGCAGAAAAGAAAAAATAAAGAGTGTTTGGGTGGTGTTTTTTTTACAAAATAATATGCTCTTTTTTCGTATTGTTCCGAGTTCGGCCTATTGTGAGTTGCAATATTTTATGAATGCCGATTCGTGAAAAGGATGACGAGATGTATAGAGGAATCGCAATTAGCCAAATGAATGACGGGATGTATAGAGGAATGCCGATCCCCAAACCGAATGAGGGGACGTAACCAGTTTATTCAAGGCGTTATTGAAAAGATTTTTTTTTGTTTTGGACGCGTCACAGTAAAGACTGGTTTTGTATACAGTTCTGCCTGGACACTATTGGGTGCGGACCAGACGGTTTTGAGACTATTGGGTGCGGACCAGACGGTTTTGGAGACTATTGGGTGCGGACCAGACGGTTTTGACACCACTGTATGCTTGACAGTCTCATTTTCAATCGGTCATGCTTAGTTCTATAGTAAGTTTTGATGTGTATGGGTGTATGTGTGTTTGTGTGTATGTTGAATAGGAGTGTATATATATATATATGACAGCATGCCTATTATAAATTAACAATAATATATATAAAAACCTATAGTAGCTTATAATATGTGGGTGGATCCGTGGGTGTTGAATAAGAGTATATATATAGTAGTGCACCCAAAACACAATGGCAATATATATAGTTCTAGAGCAGCTTTGGGTTTGTGTTCACAGTCTATTTTCAAGTAGCTTGCTATTATTGTTCTATATGATTCTTAGTTTTTGAGTACAGAGTGTTTGGTATTTTGTAATAAGAAATTGTTATATGCGATTATAGAATAGTGATTATGGATCTAAACAGTTTTATATCTTTTAAAGATCCAAATAAAATAAATCTAGTGATTATTACAATATAGATCCATATATTCATAAACACATATGAAGTTATATATTGTTTGGTAGTCCATAGTTTGGATTTGTGGGATTTTATATATGATACCAATTTGGTCTTATTATTGCACCCAGAATGATTTTATTTTTGATTCTATTTGCTTTTGCTCTTGCGCACGATATGATTTTATATATAATCCCGATTTGGCTTTATTATTGCACCCAGAATGACTGCATTTCTGATTCTATTCAATTTTATTCTTGCATTCGATATGATTTTATATAATCCCGATTTGGTTTTATTATTGCACCCAGAATGACTGTATTTCTGATTCTATTGGATTTTATTCTTGCATTCGATATGATTTTATATATGATCCCGATTTGGCTTTACTATTGCACTAGAAATAACTTTACATCGTGTCCCAATTAGATTATTTTATTGCCAGCAATATAATTTTATATATAATCCCGATTTGGGTTTTTTTATTTTAATCCAGATTTGGTTTTACTTTTACACTTGAAATAACCGCATACCTGATCCTAATTTGATTTTATTCTTGTACTCAATATAATTTTATATATAATCCCAACCAGATTTTAGTTTTGCACCCAAAATAAATTTATATCTTGTTTCAGTTGGATTTTATTATTGTCAGTTATATAATTTTATATATGCTACCGACTTGGTTTTACTCTTGAATCGAAATTTACTTTTATTGATTTATCACATCGACTTTTGACTTCGCACCAATTATTTTTAAATCAAATATATAAGGGTTTGTTTCTCAAACGTATATGCTAGAGTCTATATATATAGACTATAGATATATTTATATATGTTACGTTTATTTTTTTTGAATAATATTAAAATAAAATAAATTAATAAATAAAATAAATAAAATAAATTCTGAGCTATAATGAATGAAAACGTTTTAGAGATAATATCTTGTATGTTATTACTAAGTATATACTATATTACTAAATATAACATTCAGTTTGAGTTGTAGAGTATTTAAATTATTTTTTATAAGTAGAAAGTACGATTTCTACTAATGGTTTATATGTTGCAAAATAAGGTTCTTCAAAATAAAAAAGGAAACTTGTAGTTCTGATAGCTGCTGCACTGTATTAGCCTAAAAAACGGCAGAAAAAAGTATATTTTTCATTTTCATAAGAAACCATGTAAAATTCGAGGTTTCTGGAATTAAAACATACAACACACTTATACGTCTGAAAAAATGTAACGTTACACAATTTAAACTGAACGTCCTTTTTTCCAGTTTTACTAAACATACTAGTGTGTGGATATAAAGAATAAACCTTAATAATAGGACAAAAACTAGGAAAAATATGACTGATTGAGCTTGAGTTTTAGACTATATATATAGAATCAGCTCTTATTCTATCTTTTTTCTATAATTCTGCCGTCAACTACAAACAGAAATCTTAAGTAGCATACATATAAACCTATATAAAGAAAAGAAAAAAAAGAAAAAAAGAAAACAAAAAGTAAAAAAAGAAAGAATAAATAAATAGATTAAAATAATTAATGTATGTGGGTAGAAAAGAGACCGAGTTTATTTGACTAAAGTGAAAGGCACAAGAATAAGAAGAGTTTGGTGTGATAGTAATTTTATTATAAAAAAGAATAAGAATGTTTTAGTGGTAGAATATTTGTATTATGTTAAAAGTCGGGGGGCAGTGGAGTAGAGGGGGGTGGTGTATGAGAAACAGTTTAATTTTTTTATACTGTATGGTGTGTAACAGATAATTTATATGTATATTGTAGTGCTGAGAATTTTGGTGCGAAAGAAATAATTTATATATATATTGTAGTGCTGAGAATTATGGTGCGTACTGATTAAGAGAGATTGAAACGATGGGACTTTGTGTTAGGTAATGAAATGTTGGTCCAGAACAAGATATCTCAAAATATATAGAAATACGAAGTGTACTTATGAAAATGGTGGTATATGACACTACAAGTATAGTAAAATATAATGTATGATTTTTGGGTGCTGAATTTTTATTATTTTGATTTCGATTTTACAGAGGTAATAAAATAAAAGAATGCTATTAGTATTTGTGCCGATTTTGAAAGCGTTGTGACGTTGGGTTTGGCACAGGTAAAAAAAAAAAAAAAAACAATATTGTGGTTGCCACCGCCGATTTTGAAAGCGTTGGGACGTTGGTTTTGGCCCAGGTCAAAAGATAATAGACAACTATGGTTGCTACCGCCAATTTTGAAAGCGTTGTGACGTTGGTTTTGGTCCAGGTCAAAAGATAATAGACAACTATGGTTGCCCCCGCCGATTTCGAAAGCGTTGTGACAATGGTGTTGGTACAGGTCAAAAGTAAATAGAAAACTATGGTTGCTTCCGCCGATTTCGAAAGCGTTGTAATAATGGAGTTGACCCAGATTAAAAAAGAAAACGATAGTGTGGTTGCTCCCGCCGATTTTGAAAGCGTTGTGGCGTTGGTGTTGGTGCAGATAAAAAGATAATAGACAACTGTGGTTGCTCCCACTGATTTTGAAAGCGTCATGATGTAGGTTTTAGCCCAGGTCAAAAGATAATAGACAACTATGGTTTCTCCCGCCGATTTCGAAAGCGTTGTGACAATGGTGTTGGCTCAGGTTAAAAAAGAAAACGATGCTGTGGTTGCTCCCGTTGATTTCGAAAGCGTTGTGGCGTTGATAGGGACACGAAGGTTTGAATGAGGGTTTGTTTTATTTTCAGAGTCGTATATACAGTGAACGCGCGCAGAAAAGAAAAAATAAAGAGTGTTTGGGTGGTGTTTTTTTTACAAAATAATATGCTCTTTTTTCGTATTGTTCCGAGTTCGGCCTATTGTGAGTTGCAATATTTTATGAATGCCGATTCGTGAAAAGGATGACGAGATGTATAGAGGAATCGCAATTAGCCAAATGAATGACGGGATGTATAGAGGAATGCCGATCCCCAAACCGAATGAGGGGACGTAACCAGTTTATTCAAGGCGTTATTGAAAAGATTTTTTTTTGTTTTGGACGCGTCACAGTAAAGACTGGTTTTGTATACAGTTCTGCCTGGACACTATTGGGTGCGGACCAGACGGTTTTGAGACTATTGGGTGCGGACCAGACGGTTTTGGAGACTATTGGGTGCGGACCAGACGGTTTTGACACCACTGTATGCTTGACAGTCTCATTTTCAATCGGTCATGCTTAGTTCTATAGTAAGTTTTGATGTGTATGGGTGTATGTGTGTTTGTGTGTATGTTGAATAGGAGTGTATATATATATATATGACAGCATGCCTATTATAAATTAACAATAATATATATAAAAACCTATAGTAGCTTATAATATGTGGGTGGATCCGTGGGTGTTGAATAAGAGTATATATATAGTAGTGCACCCAAAACACAATGGCAATATATATAGTTCTAGAGCAGCTTTGGGTTTGTGTTCACAGTCTATTTTCAAGTAGCTTGCTATTATTGTTCTATATGATTCTTAGTTTTTGAGTACAGAGTGTTTGGTATTTTGTAATAAGAAATTGTTATATGCGATTATAGAATAGTGATTATGGATCTAAACAGTTTTATATCTTTTAAAGATCCAAATAAAATAAATCTAGTGATTATTACAATATAGATCCATATATTCATAAACACATATGAAGTTATATATTGTTTGGTAGTCCATAGTTTGGATTTGTGGGATTTTATATATGATACCAATTTGGTCTTATTATTGCACCCAGAATGATTTTATTTTTGATTCTATTTGCTTTTGCTCTTGCGCACGATATGATTTTATATATAATCCCGATTTGGCTTTATTATTGCACCCAGAATGACTGCATTTCTGATTCTATTCAATTTTATTCTTGCATTCGATATGATTTTATATAATCCCGATTTGGTTTTATTATTGCACCCAGAATGACTGTATTTCTGATTCTATTGGATTTTATTCTTGCATTCGATATGATTTTATATATGATCCCGATTTGGCTTTACTATTGCACTAGAAATAACTTTACATCGTGTCCCAATTAGATTATTTTATTGCCAGCAATATAATTTTATATATAATCCCGATTTGGGTTTTTTTATTTTAATCCAGATTTGGTTTTACTTTTACACTTGAAATAACCGCATACCTGATCCTAATTTGATTTTATTCTTGTACTCAATATAATTTTATATATAATCCCAACCAGATTTTAGTTTTGCACCCAAAATAAATTTATATCTTGTTTCAGTTGGATTTTATTATTGTCAGTTATATAATTTTATATATGCTACCGACTTGGTTTTACTCTTGAATCGAAATTTACTTTTATTGATTTATCACATCGACTTTTGACTTCGCACCAATTATTTTTAAATCAAATATATAAGGGTTTGTTTCTCAAACGTATATGCTAGAGTCTATATATATAGACTATAGATATATTTATATATGTTACGTTTATTTTTTTTGAATAATATTAAAATAAAATAAATTAATAAATAAAATAAATAAAATAAATTCTGAGCTATAATGAATGAAAACGTTTTAGAGATAATATCTTGTATGTTATTACTAAGTATATACTATATTACTA